GCCAATATTTTCTGGCCAAGGAAATATTAGCAAAAGAGGATTTTCTGGGTAAGGGGAGGATTAGAAAAATTTAGAAGCTAGATATCTTCTACTTTACTTTTTGACTGAATGAGGTTTTTGAAGTCGCAGAATATGGCTCTTGAACTCTCAGAATAGAGTCATAATCTCTTTGTTTTTCTCGGTTTACAGTATAATCTGTTAATTGATTGTGATTAGTCTTTTCCGATTCTCCTTGATCTTAAAACTGATTACTCACCATCGAAAAGAGTCCGCCAAACCTTGTTTTACCTTTTAAAGTAGTATTACTCAATCTTCAGCATGAGTGTCGTAATTGGCCAAGTATTCTAGACCTGTTTTGTATTGATTTTGGTAATGTTTTGTCCGGAAAGCAATGAGCCAATATATGCTAATCGATTTAGCGATAAATTTGAATTGCACTCTTACCGGTTGATTAGTAATGCCATTTACAATCTTATGGGCCAAACGGTAATGTAATTTAAAGCCCGGTTGAGTGCTAACGTTACCGGTCGATTACTAATACCGAAGCATTAGTATTGGACAAGGTTTTAGTCACCCCAGCGAAGCGGCTATGTGCTGAAATGACTACCTTCTTTGTGCCATTTCTAATTAGAAGCTTGTCTCCGAACCCTCCTTTTGTATTTTTGGTGTGACAAATGGTCATTATGGGATCTTTAATTGACTGGAGACAATCTTATTTATTGATTTGAAGGTGGTAATTCATTGGAATACTATTTGTTTACTATAATATGTAAGATACGGGCTTGGCTTTTAAGTTATATAGTCTTTCACTGATATAAGCGGTAGGAATGTTATTTATTTAAAATTAGTAGGTACGATACTAGGATAACATAATTTGCTTCTCACACGAATTTAAGTTTATATTTAGACAGTGTAAGGTCTTTTCACGGCATGATTTTCATGAATTTGAAGATTATGTTCTAGACGTTACCTAGGGTTTGTTTTACTTGACTATCGCTCGCCGATTGATGTTCTTGTGCATTAAACGCGTGCCGAGATGAGCAGTATTGATTTCGAATGTCTTGCGGTAAAATACGGTATCTCTGTCGGTATCTGCAACCAAAACATGGTGAAAGTCTACGAATGGAAAGGGCGTTTAAGAAAGATGTAGTCAATTGATCAAAGAAGATGTTGTCGATTCGACAATCTTATTTTTGGGGTTTGTGAAGTTGTCATGGTGGTTTTTTGTAATATCTGTTTGGTTCAATAGGCCATGGTGGTTTACTACAGTTTGATGTTTAGTATATTTTTAAAATTTAAAAACTGTCTTAGCTTTGAAAAGAAATTTTACTGGCTCGGTCTCGCTTATGAACTCACCTGCCCTTTCCGTAACCTCACGAACCACCGTCGTTTTATGATGTTGTCATCACCGTCCTTTACCGTCGGAGATGCCATTAATAATTTTGCGGCAAATGTTTGCGGCTTCAAAAAGAAAACATTTATTTAGCCGTCTTCCGTCAAACAAATTACTCGAGATTCGCATCTGAGGCAGTCACTAAAAGTGCCAGTTGGGTCAGGGTTGTTTGCTTAACGAAAGTAATTTGCCTATCTTATCTCTGGGATTGTTCAGAAGCTTTCAACTTATCAATTCTGGCGGTTTATGGCATATTGTTTATGAGGTTATCATGCAGGTTTAATGGTTTGTTAATCTGGAAGGATGGTTTTTTATGTAAAATGGTTACGGTAGTCGAAGGTACTGTGTATTTGAGGATATAAGTTTAGGTTTATCATTGATAGGAAGGATGGTGGAGTATATATCAAAATTTGAGAAAATTAGGGTTTTAACTACGGTATTCTTTCCAAAATTTTAGAAAGTTGAGTAGATACTGTGCTTGATTACATAGGATAGGGTACTGTATTTAGCTTTCAACCTACTGAATCTTTCCATACCTATTTGCATATCCAATAAAGTAGTTTAATTCTCTCCCCCACCCCCAATAAGGTATTAAAACGCAACAGTTTACTCGCCTCTTCTTAAGTTGCTTGGCTAAATATGGGTTTGTTTACTTAACGCAAAAGCTGATTTGGATTGCGATTTCTTGGCAACTTAAGTCGGCCAAGTTTGAGAGGCAAGTTTGTTCGTTCGGCGACAAAAAAGGACTTCTTCCGGCACTTGTTTGATCCGCTTAAGAAGCTCTTGAGAATCGGTAGCTTGAAAGTTGGCCGCGGAGGGGTGTGAATGGACTTGTTGGATCACAAAGTCAAGGCTTTACGGATCAAGTGGTCTTTGTTTTTTTGGGCTTATTAGGCGTGGTAAACGGGTTTATTTTGTCAATAAGATAGTATGTAAGGTAAAAGGGGAGCTTGTGTTGTCTGTAGTATAGTACGATTTTTTGGGACATTGATGATTTATGAAGATTGTCTTTGGTTTTTTTAGCTATATGGGGTTCTAGAAACAGAAAAAAGTTAGTGAGCTGCACCGTGCTTACTTCAAAAGATACAAAGAACAATTTGAGCATAGATAAAGCTCGGTTTATGTAAATATATTGTACTTAGCCGCATAGCTTTAGCATTGTTATCAACGTTGTTATGATTTTTTAAAGAAAGATGAAGCCTGCTGTTTACCTTTGATCCGCCAATCTAATTTACCTTGTTTTACACTTTTCTTTATATTAAAACCGCAACGATAGATTAGCTAGATTATAACATTCATTTGTTCAACCTCCATATATTTACCCAGCCCGGATCGGCCGTTGAGTAATGGGCCAGTAAACGCGGTCTTTGCGGTGATCGACGATTCACGGTCGTAAAAAACAAATCGAACGCCGTTTTGCCAACAAAAAAAACTAAAAAAGGCCAGATAAGTCGAGATTACAACAGTTTACGGCGCGGATTTACCGATTTAGATGGCGGCACTCTTGTTGCTTATTAGGGATGGGTAATCGGAGGCTCGAAAAGGCGTTATAAGGCCGGCTGTTTTGGGCTTAGGATTGGGACATTACACTAGCTAGTGCACTAGAGATGGTTTTATAGGCCAGTTGATATTATAATAGGGTTTTGGGTAGGTATTGGTTAGGATTGAGCGTAATTAATGTTTGGGTATCAATAATGTTAAGGCTCACATTTTTAGTTATCAATTAGAATATATTTTAGTTTGCTATGTTACAGTAATGTTAAAGTACTATAAAAAATATGTAAACTTGACTTTTTGATCATAAACCTAGTTTAATCTTGGTCAAACATGACATACGGCCATATTCACTTGGAGGTTGCTCAAGTGTCTACGCACTTTGGAGAGGATTATGCAACTGTGCATGAGGTGCGGAAATATTATAATTTACTCACTTTTCTCCTCTATAATTGCTTTCCAATTTGCGGGGGGTCATGTTACTATAAGGTGTTGTACCTCGTTGAACTGTGCTAGTGTTGGGATTTTGAATGAGTTAGTTGTGTGATTGGGTCTTCTTCATTATTGGTGTAATAATATTGTTTTTGGTGTTTATTTAAGATTTTATTACGGTAATTTACCTTGTAATTTTTAAAAAATGGATATTTCACTTTACTGGGCAGTAATATTATGTTATCTTGGCTAACATTGGTAACTTTTTGCTAATTTAATAAATTGTCTTTTCCACGAACTTTCTGACCAATCGCTCATCGTATTTTCGAATTTCCTCAAGATACGATGGGCGAAGATACGTACATCTTATTGGATAAACACTTGATTAATGACTCCGTTCGATTATGATTTTGTCACCTGATATCACACCTGAGCGGATTATTAATTACTGTATGCCTGTCTTGACATTGTGATAGGCGGTCGAATCAAAGACTGTTTGTTTTGAGTAAATTTTATGAGAAAATGGCATAAAAGCGCTATGAACACCATCTAATGGTGTTATCATAGGTTAAGTGACTTTCTGCCAAAACAGGTACATTGGCAGAATGAATTGGCATTTTTATAGTTAGTTATGGTTGTTTTGGCTCTGATCTTATTATATTTCAAATGGACAGGTACTGGGCGGTAATTAATGTTATTTTGTAGCGAAAAACAAAAATTTACTGCATGTTGCGATGAAAATAATGGCTGCACGGTGCAAAATTAAAAAATTTTTAAAAACTTTAAATTTTGAGATTTTTTAAAAAATTTGTTATAAAAAATGTTGTTCATAAACATATAAAGCCTTATGGGGAAGTTTTTAGTTTTATGGGTTCAACAAACATTGTTCCGCGATAATTTTTGTGGCCAAGTTTCTTTTTTTTTGTTTATAATTTTCTTTCAGTTGCCGCTAAATTCATATTCGAATCGTTTTTGATCCTATATTTAGATCTTTTTGAAAGCTCAGATCTAAATTTGAATAAGTTTTGTCAGAAAGGTTCAAAATTATATATTTTGGTAGATTTTTCCTAAAATTATCCTTGTTTGGTAGGTTTTTAGTTTTTATACATTGGCTTCAAAATAAATTCAAAATTTTGGAACTGCATATCCTCTTTGAACTTTTGAGGTTTGGAACATATTATAAAACAGGTTATATAGGATATACAGAGGATAATTTTAAAGTGGAATAAGTTCAAAACACGACATAATCTGTTTACGACCTGAGGTGAGAGGATTTGGTATCTTGAGAAGCGGGAATTTGATGGGTCTTCGAGTTAATTTGACCTGCCATTTGAATAATATCGAGGATGTAAATGGTCAGTCTTGGGAATCAGATTCGCGGACATTATAGTGGATTTGGTGGGGGTCTATCATAATATATTTTGTTGGTGATCTGTCACAATATATTTTAGTATTTTAAATATTTTTTTCTAAAATAGGTAAACATAAAAATTTTAACGTATTTTGAACATAACGGATTGATTTACTTTTTGAATTTCAGAAAATTATTAACTACTACAACATTATCGCTCATGTTACGATTATTCTGCAATTGAACGCATTGTAACTTTGTTTTGTTAATTTTTATCGCGATATTACTCATCTGCTTACTGATGAACTTTCAATTTTGTTTTGTTTCAGGATGAATCTCTTGGGGAAGTTAACGTTTACAAGTATTCTCTTAACAGTAACATCGTATTCGAATCTTTCAAAGAATCCCAGGGCTGATATCAACGATTCGCGGTATCGATTCTTCAAATGTTTGGCACAGTGTGGAGAAGGTGTAGGTGTAATAGCATTGTAATTGATAAAAAAAGGGTTTGATAACATTTTAATTGATAGTTTTGTTTATACTGCATCAACGGTGGTATAACTTAAGGTAGTATCGATCTTTTTGTTATGGGAGGCTCATATATTGAGAAGCATTGTATATAGATGTGATGTTTTAGTGTGGTACACAAAGGAACACAACGTTAGCTTCTGGAGATGTGGTGAACGATTGGCAGTTGGATGAGCTCAAATTTGATACTGTATGTCTAATAATAACTGAAAAATTATTTTTATGGCATTGCTTACCTAAATCCCTGTTTTCAGTGTAAAATGGGTTGTAAATACGGTACCGGCTTTGACGCATCGTCGCCCAAACCTACAGAATCCACGCTTTCGGACGCGTTCTCACCGTTGGAAGTGATCTGCGTAGATCGGTTATCAGTGACTCCGCCGAGAATCCGAGCCAAACTCAACGTACCATCACCACCTCAAACTGACAATTTGACTATGTATGTGATCGAGGTATACCGAAGCATGGTCAACAGGAATGGAGTAGTTGAGAACGAGTTTGTACAGAGGAATTTTGTAAGTTATACTTAATTAATGAGGTATATTTCAGGTTTTCTAGCTGTAATAATGTAGTTTAGAGGTGAAATTGTATTTATTTTGTGTAAATACAATAGGTGGTCTTACATCTATATTAACATTGCTATTTTCAGTCATTTTCTCCTCGCTTCTCCGTGGAACACGTCTTTTCCGGAGCCAACCCTAAGAAAGAGATCTTGACCTTCAAAGTCTTTGGGTTCACGGCAGCTTCAGAAGTCTTATCTCCAGTTTGTTCGGACGATTTGCTTCTGGAGAATGTGTACGCAGCTCAAAAAGATCCGATCAAGTTGAATATGAAGGAGAAGATTCAGATGCGCGACTCTTCTATCGTGCTGTTGGCGTGGAGTGCTGAAGATCTGAAACATCCTCCAGAATGCGATCAGTTCATTCATTGGACTAATGGACATAGACCTAACCATAAGATGGTGCAGTTGGTAGGTTTTGATGTTTTGTTGGCTTGGAAATTGATTTTTATTTATTTTTGGGGCGAAAGGACGAAAAATATATATTGTAGTAGGTTTTTTGGGCAATTCTTGGTCTAATTTTTTATTTTATTTACAAATTTTTTGATTGAAATAGTATTTTATGTTTAAAAATTAATTTTGAGGTGTTATACCTCAAGAATAATATAATTTCTTCAGGATTCATCCCACACCGTGGCCATAACTGACCTAAATGACACAGCTACATATGTGATCACAGCGTACGGCAGATCAGATGCCGGCAAAGATCAAAGGCCAACCAGCAAACTCGTCTTAAGGCTGAATCCAGAAGCTCACGAACTAATCAGAGCTGAACTTGTCGAGTTTGTTGATTCATATGCCATTATTGTTGGATGTTGTGTCGTCATCATACTAATGGGTCTACTGGGAATCTGCTTTTGTATGCAATACAAGGCCACTGTGAGGAGAAGAGAACGATCAAAGGCACGGTACGACATCAAAGCGATGCAGGCTAGAATGGGGTATCCAATCAAGGTAAGTTCTTGATGTTTTGAGTATGTTTTTGGTATGTTTTAGTAGTGATTTGGCTATAAAAGAGTAACAAGTTGAAAAATGTTGATTAATCTAGCATTTAAAGGTTAATATTCGATTTATTATTACCATAATTCTACCAAAACACTGTTTTGTGTACTACAATACTGTGCTGTTGCCTTTATTTTACAATTTTTGATAACACAATGACATTTCTAGACATCTACACCTTCATCACGCGACGAAGATCATTCCAATTACTCTTTCGGTGTTAACAACAGCTCAGAATTTATCACCCAAACTCCTCAAACGCCTACTGTAACATACACTCAGCGGTTACCTCAGAAACACTACCCAGCACCGCTTCGACCAGGCATTCTCAGTCTGACGGTACAACCGCCATTCGAACAGAAAGATACGTTGTGTTAACACCATGTCACATTGAAGCAGTCATAACACAAGTCGAAACTGGTCTCATCTTTTCATCTCGTTGTAACTCTCTTACACTTTTATATCTTGCCTTGTCCCAGTTATAATATTGCTTGGATCCATTAATTCTTTCGCACATTTAACATTTTTTAACTTGAATTTTTAAATTTTAACTGTTACATTTTGGACAATTTAAATTTTCTAACAAAAGCGAACGAATTAATGGATTCGTTAATAGTTATTATTGTAATTAGTATCGTTGTTAATATTTATTGGGTAATATCATAGCTATATGATCATAGTTAATTCTCTAATGCCAAACTATGATCATAGTTAATATTCTAATTCCAAATTAGAAGTCTTTCTCGTATCTCACCACGCAGGGATATCGTATTTCGTACAGATCATGATATATCTTCACTTTGATAATTTTGATAAAATTTTTATTTTGAATATTAATGTTGGTGTATAAACTTTTACATAAAAAATGGTCGTATTTTATATAAACTTATACGGAAAGTGTCCCGATATGTTTCAAAAAGTTGGGTATGATTTTAGGAGGAAAGTGCCCGACCTGCTTCGCTCTGATTAACTTCAAACTTTTTATATAGAAAGATCATGTAAACATAAGATTTTCAGCAAAGTACTAAATTGCACTTTTCAAGAAATAGAAAATCGAGATCAAAAAATTACGTTTTGAATTTTCCGCCAAATTGGCATTGTGTTTCAAACTTATAACTTTGTCATTTTTTGACTTTTAATCATTTTTCTTTGATATACTAGTAAAAGACCTTTCAAAGAACCTACATTAGTAAATGTTTAAGCGTAGCTCTTCAGAAAAGTTGAAAAAAGTGCTTGAAACACAATGCCAAAGTTGATACATTGACGGTAAAATGACAGAATGTTTAAAATTTAAAGCTCAAAAGCGCGAGCTAAAATTTTTTAAGGATACTACACAAAGAATTTATATAAAAACTTTGAGCTGATTCTGAGTAGGACAGTTTGGGCACTTACCCTGTGAGAGGGACAGGTTAGGTACTTTCCTTGTTAGTCTTTAAATTTGAATTTTAATTTCTCGCCAATTTTGCAACGGGTTTAAATTTGCATTGGTGCATGTTTAATACTGATATATAGTGTTATTATAAAGTAATTCGTTATTCTTTTGTATTTTACAATTTTTAAATTTAAAAAGGAAATGCGAAAGAATTAGTGGACTTGGTCAATAGGTAATAAATAATTCTAACTTTTAATATGTTTCTTTACATTACCTTTAGCATACCTAGTATTTAAACATTATAACACCTAAACAAGCTTTATATGTAATCAAAACCCAACATATCATGACCAAATGTCAGATACGTAGCCCGCGACTCCTGTATGTATAGAATTATCATCGAAAGGCTGTTGTTTAATGCCCTTTTTTGATAACACCGCCATTCATTATAATTGGCCCTTTACAAACATCTCCTTATCTTATCACTGTCGCCGACTGATAGTAGTAAGACCTCTTCAACATTTTTTCAGTTCAACCTTCCACTCGGTTCGAGAATGGTACGATGGCATTTGTAGGTATTCATGACATTTGCTTGTAACTAAAGGTTTACTATTGGTGATAGGTATTGTAGGTACTATACTATCTAATAGGTTAATATAAAGCATATTCATGTGCTATTTGGAGAAGGCTAAAAAGTGTAAGACGATATATCTATTAGGCCATTATAAGCGTCTTCTAGTGTAACATTTTGCAGTATACTGATAAAGTATGAGCGTTTCTACTAGTAATCTACATTACTTTACTTCAATATCAAGCTTACTTATCTTGTAGGACCTGTCATTTATCACTTTGTACCTAAAACCAGTCAAAGGCGCATAAAATCGGTAGAAGGTACATCTAATTGGGCAGATATTATGCACCCTTGATTGATTTTGAATATTGTGATTGAAATGACTATAAATACTTGATTATCAGAGTAAAAAGTAAGGTAAAACTAATATTTTCATTTCTCAAATTTTTAAAATTTAAAAAAAAGTTGTATCTTAAATTACAGTAAACTATTTCTCACGAAAATGATTTTTATATGAGGCATTCTTGTCGACCGGTCGATACTTATCGGTCAGTCGATTACATTCTGACCGGACTGACTCAAAAGTACTTGTTAAAGTACTTGAACTGGACTGCAGTACGTTGGACTGGCTTTGAAGGACGTTTGGACTAACTTTGAACTTGGCTGACTGAAGTAAGCGACGTCAACTTTGAAGTGTTCTACGTCAAATTCGTAGCGGACTGGCTTTGAAATAGATTGGACTGAACCTCGAGGTAGACTGGACTGACCTCAAAGTGAACTGTCCTTAAAGTAGACGGGACTGCTGACCTTGCAACAAGCTAGGCTGATCTTTCAATAGACTGGGCTGACCTCAAGGTAACACAAAAACTTATTGACTATGGGCGACAACTACGAACCGTTGGATTCTCCACTTCTTGGTGGTAACGCTCCACCCCCACCTCCACCACCACCGCCCAAGAATGAACCACGCCAACCTCCTCCTCCGCCGCCTTCCGATCCAGCACCGCCCGAGGACGAGAAGACCGACCTCAGGTCGCCGAATAAAAACGACAACAGTTTGGCGGCGGATAATGGGGAATCTCGTGCCGAGACTGTGCCTCCCAAGAAGGGTGGGTTATATTGTTTTAGTTTTCCTGTGCAATACTTAACATAAGATCTTGGTACAAGCATAGTACGTTGAAATGATACCCAGGTCAGCATCTATTAGGTTGTTCAAATAATTTTGTACTTTCAAAGAAAATTTTTATGATTAATAAGCACATAATTATTTGAACAACCTAATGTAAATATCTAGTTTTATCTAAAATATGCAAAAGAATTAATGGATTTTATGACAATATTCAATTAAAATGCGCAAAAATTAATGGATTTGCCTAAATTCTTGAGGAAATATTGTTTAAAAATGGCAAAATTTAGAAAATTGGCCAAAAACATGCGCAGATTTATTTTTAATGTAACTTTTTTGAAAAGGCAGCAATATACTTGAGACGTTTTGTGAATATAGACCAAATATTAGGCTAACTGACCCACCAAAAACAAATTTAAAATTTACGGTAGTTTTTTTGTTACAGTAGTTCAATTCAAACGTAACCTACTTTTTTATAACTTTTTATAAATTTTTGATTAAAAATAGATAATACTTTACGATTTGTGTTATAGTACTGTGGCTGAATGTAGAGACAGCAAGAGTTATAGTACTGTAGCAAATGTAGGAACTGTACACTATTGATAACGTTACAGTATTGAAAATACAGTTACCAAGACTAATGCCTTGTTCTTAGCCAAGGGATCAAAGAACGACAAGAAGGAGAGCACGGTGGAGAGCACCGATGATGACGACAAGAATAAAAAGAAGGGCGGAAGAACGGCGATCATCGTGATCTGTGCCATTTGCATGTTAGTGGGTCTGATCGGAATGGCAGCATGCGTTTATCTACTTCTTGCTGGCATGAAAGTTCTCTAACTGACAATAAACTTGACATATCTCTTAGTAATTTGTGTTTGACCTGACAAATGGCGTAGTATTTTGTAGTTGATATAGTATGAAGTTTGTGATAACTGTGTAGTGTTACGATATTTTGCTGTATTTTAAAGTTATGACAGTGGTTTTAGAGTTTAAACTAGTGAAAAAATCTTTTTATTATAATAGGTTGTTCAAATAATTCTGAGCCCCATCTCAAGGCAACTTTTCAAGATTAGGAGTACAGAAGCATTTGAAAAATCTAATAACTTATGTTACAGTAAGTTTATAAAACAAAGAATCAAGTTATAGTACTATCATAAATACTTCTTTTGTTACAGTACTTTATGTTAACCTACATTTTTGTTGCAGTAATTTATATTAACCTATAAATTAAAGAAAAGCTCGAAAGGTCTATAAAGCCTGACCTTTTCGTCCCCAAAGAGTAACTCTTTAAGCACTACTATTTACAAAAACTTGTTTTGTTTCTCGAACGTTATCTCTTTCTCTGTCACTCTCTCTTCTTAGAACACTCTTTTGGCGTTCTACCACAAGCCACACTATAATTGAAACGTTTCAGTACTTTTAGTTCGAAATCGTTTGTTTAAATTCGTTTTTATATGCAAATGAGGGTGCATATAAATGTTAATGCGGGGCGGTTTGTTTTATATATTAAGGTAGGTTGCTTTAGACAGTGCAGTAGATTGTTCTAGTAAAGGCTTGAAATTAGTAGAAATTTCATCTGGAGCACGATGTAGCTGTTTTAAAATTGGATAAAATAGTATTTAGTGCTATTTTTATATATGCATAGCTAAACATATGTACCGGGTGCTTTAACATTATATTGCTAGTAACAGTCCAAAGGTCTCAACTGTTATATCACTACTAATTATATATTGATGTAAGCTATAATTACTAATTATGACAAACAAAAAAAAATATTTTTAATTTTCCAAAGCTTCTAGCCACTGCCATGGTAACGCAAATGCATATAGAGCTTTCGTTACTAAAACTATAGGGATTTTACTGCGAAATATTTATTTTTAGTAGCTATGACCTTGTAAATCGTGGTTGTTTAGCCAATTCTTAAAATTTCAATTTTGATTATGTTCAAAATAGTCTCAAAAGTTCTCGGAGTTGTCCACTTTTTGCTTTTTAGAGATCAGAAGCCATAGTAATCTTTGATTATATGTCGCCAACTTCTAAACCTCACAACTTTTGTTATTTCTTTAAGATTTTTTCTTGTTACATACTAAATATAGCTTATTTAACTGCCAAACATTTAATATAACTTGTTCATATCGCACTTATAATACGTTTTGAATTCTTAGTTAAGTTTGTTATACTCAAAGTAACGTGAGGATGACTATTTTGAACAAAAAATTGTAATTCTGAGACCTAATAATACAAATTTTTGTTTATAAATTGACGATATGATTCACCATCGACATTTGAATGCTTTGTTCTTTAACAAGTTGTTATTGTAAAGTTGTTTAATTTAGTTTTTAATAGCCATTTTTATGTTTTTGAAGGATTGGCTCGTCTATCGTGCACTCATAACTACAGCTTTTCATTATAAATAATCTTATACTATTTTGTACCCTTTCAGATGTAATATTTGCCTGTAACAAAGTGTTTTTACCCACAACAATGTCTATACCTATAAGATTGTAATGACTGCAGTCACAACCTTTAACTGTAAATCAAAAAAAGTTGATCGAAAAATTTAAAATTACTATCAATTATCAGTTACTCTTCTTAATTTACTCCCGTTTACAATACGTTTTCCTGTCTCCCTTCGCACCTCGCGACCTTATTTTAGGTAGGCGAGGTTAATATTATACTTGCACAATTGTTTTCGCGCTCGAGTTTGTAATTTTTTGGATTACTACTATATTGTAAAGAGTGATTTTACCTAGTTTTGGTTTCATCACACTTTGCGGTTTATAATTTTGGGTTTACAAGGTTTTTACTATACTAATTAATGCTACTGTAACGTAATATGATGGTAATGTAAAAATTTTAATAAATTATAGTTTAAGCTAGTTTAAGCCAGGTATATTGACATAAATTAACCGTGGAACATCTTTAGAGTAGCTTTAAGGTATTGAAAAGTTTCTTTTGTGTGACCGAAACAGGTATTAAGGATATTGCACTTGAGGGTAAGTAACCTTTAATGCGTTCGCTTATTTAAGGTGAATTAAGACAACACTCTCTTGTATTAAAGACTCCAAATATGTATAATAATAGCCTTTTCGTATGAATAATGTTTCCGTGATAATGTCTTTCTGTTTGAACGAGGACTGATATATTAATGTAGGTCCGGAAGACTAATAAAATGATTTGTTTCTCAAATAAAACGTTAGTTTTAGATAAAGTTAGATTTATATTATGATAGAGAGGCTATTTTTCTTTTAATAATCCTCCTTTTTCTTGTTTTTGCTTGAAAGCCGCTCTTTCAGAGCAGTTTTGGCAAAGCTTGGCATTGCGTTTCAAGCGATTTTTGTGGAAATTTCTGGATTTTTTGGGAAATTGTGAAAATATTTATTCAAAACAGCCTTCCGCATAATAAAAACAGACTGTTGATAGCGTTCTTCAACTTGAACTCGTTCGTTGTCTATGTTTTATATCTTGTCACGCGTTTTGTTTACATTTGCATAAAATTTATCGATTTTTTCAGTGTTTTTCCAGTTTTGCCATAGCTTCAACTCTCGACTAGCACTATGTTCGGTGGCGGAGATCCTTTCGATCCCTTCAGGTTGGTTTATTTTTTGTTTTGTTGATAAATTAGGTTCAAAAATGAGGAATAACAAAGGGAATTGACATTAAGGATGGTTAATATCGCCTCGTGGTCTCTGAAGCCGAATCGATTAGGAGTGCTATTAAAATTGATATGATTTTCATAATATAGAGAGTATGAAAGATGTTTTGGCAGAAATTATTTTTTATTTTTAACGCCTGTAATATTAATCAATACCTAAAACATCGAAAAATCATAATTATGTGTAAAGTTATAAAAAAAATTTAAACTGGACCACAAAGATGATACAAGTTGTACAAAATAGCCACAAACCACGAATTCTAACATAATCTTGTTAAACCGATATTACACATGGCAGTTAATGTGGAGAATCGAAAATGTAATAAGTTGGGTTGTTTTTAATTGCAAAACTAGTTTCTGGACGCGCAGAGTGTTGTCTTAATGTTATTTCTTTTACGTTTCAATTTTTGTAAACTCGACAAGTTGAGGGGTGTAATTGGAGCGCAGTAAAATGTAACTTAAGGTTATATTGTGATAGGGAATGTAATTTTGTACTTTTTGTGAACGGAAAATGTAAATATATACGTCTAGTGAAAGAAAATATTATTTTAAAGGGTTTTATTAAATATTTTTAAATTGAGAATTTAATGATCAGTAATAAAAGTTGGTATTACTTAAAACAACATAACGAAGCGTGCAAAAGAAGCGAGCGTTCGTCGTCGCGCAGGAAAAGAAAGAACGGCGGTTAAGTGAAAACAGACGTGAATCACGTATCTCTGATATCCTTGACGCTTTGCAGTCATCTTAATTCGCTTCAGATTTGGGGGTGACTATAGTGTAGTAGGTTCGCTCGATTATTTGCAAAATTTAAAGGTTTGGGTACGTTTTTGGAGATTATGTGGGTTAGAAAGATTATAAACGACTTGCTAACGAGATATTGTAAGCTGTGAGAGAAAAGAAAAGTTTAGAGATTAAGAAAAGGTTTTGGTGATAATTTTCGAAAAATTACAACGTTTTTCAATTGTAAAGGCGCGGTCGTTATCTTAAAAACTAGCTACTGAAACATTGCTCTATGTCAGAACGTCTGCATGGAATGGGCTGTTGTCACTCGCGTTCTGGAAAGTCTTCAGAACACTCTACCCGCTACCCGTACGAACTAAAGCAAGGTTCCACCAAGCACCAACCCCAATTCGTTCTGAAGCCGGATTCTCAGAAGTTGCCCATTGAGAAGCTGAAGAACGAGAAACGTCGAGAACAGCGTCGGCCGTCGAGAAGCGATTCTCGAAGTGCGAGGAGTAACGGCTACAGCCAAATGGATGTTAGTAGTGATAGGAACAATGAAAGCAGCGACGAGAGTAGGGTTAAAGATGTTACGAAAGGTGTAAACAAGGGAGGGCTTCAGAGACCACAAAGGTTTGTAACCATCAGTCATGTGAATGATTAACAATAGTATAGGAATCTGTTTTGGGGGATTCTGGAGGGGAATTTTGGGTTTATTTTTAGATTAGATTTAAGTTTTATGTTATTTTCGGCTAACATTGAGGTTGTTATGGCAAATTAACAGTTTAATATTGATAAAGGTTTAAAATAACGAATATTGGAAATAATATTGTAAGATGTGATACGACTGCCTTAATATAGCTAAAGATATGTAATACTTGGTATGCTTAAAATTTAATGGATTTAATATCTAAAATCTTTACATTTTTAATTTTAATCTACAAACACCTTCAGACACATGCAACGTCAGATGGCGGAGATGGACAGAATGATGTCGGACCCATTCGGCATGATGAACCAGATGATGGGAGGTATGGGTATGATGCGACACCCAATGCTCCAAAACGGAAACCAACAAAGAGGACGGCATCAACAGAACGATGCCATGGATATCTTCGGCGGATTTGGTGGTGGACTATTGAGAATGGGAGGTAACATGATGAACGATCCTAATAGTATGGTGTTCTGTCAGAGCACATGCATCACCATGGGACCAGACGGACAACAAAGGGTCGTTCAGAACTCGACCAGAAAAGCTGGAGATGTGAGGGAGACCAGAAGGTGGGTAATATCCAACGTTTTAACTTAAAAGAAAGTTTTTAATGTTGACGTTTCAGTGTTGACGTATTTCTTGAACGAAATTTTGAAAAATTTGGCTGTTTATTAGAGGTTTTGAATTTTATTATTGTCATTTTAGAGAAGTCCGTGACGGTGAGGAAGCCAGAATCGCTGTAGGTCACCATATTGGAGACCGGTCTCACGTAATTGAAAAGAAACGCGATCGTGACGGCAGAGTTAGACAGAATCAGAAGTTTGTTAATCTGGATGAAGGTTCGTTTTTTTGGACTGATATAGCTAAAGCCACGGCCAGTTTCCCGGCTTTTAATTTTAAAATTTACATGACCTACTTGGAGTAAAATGACATTTTAAAGGCAACATTATGGTCAAAATTTTAAAACGCAACTATTTTTAGATGAAGCCGAGACCTTCAACCAAGAATTCAAGAATAGAGCCACCAGAAACCTGGCTTTTGACCCATTCGCCAGACAAGGAAGTGACAGAAGAGCCATCGAAGACGGATCTTCTGGCCACAGAAACGATCGTCGTCGTCGAGAAGTGACTCGTGGAGACGGTCCTTCAAGCTCGGCTCCAATCATCGAGATTCCAGACGATGACGAAGACACCGGCGACAGAAGAAGTCACTCCAGAAGACAACAGGACGGACCCATCATTAGAGAACTGTCGGACGAAGAGGCCGAGATGGAATCGTCGAAACGGCGCCGCGGCATGTTTGGCAACATCTTCAAACACTAAAGAGCTTAGCGACCGATTACCGTCGTCCTCAATGTAAATTCTTTCCTTTTCATGGAAACCTTATACTATTGTACTATTTGTAGAACTGAGTAGATTATCGCTGAATGCATTCATGAGTTTACCTGATTTAGTTTTATTAAACTAAATACGCAAAGTTGAGGGATTTGTTTAGAAGAAATGTTCAAGGTGATTACTTTTTACTTTATATTATTCTGAATTTTAGTTATTGCAAAATTTATTATGGTATTGGAATGAGTGTTTTAATGGCCCGAGCTTTATATGAATATTTTAGTTTAGTTTCGCTTTAGTCTACAACAGAAAATGTCGCAAAGGTACAAAATATTTATTACACTGATCTGTATAATAAGTAAAACGTTTTAGGACTCGTTTCGAATTAAGGATAGTGAAGATTTACCCGTTCGTGTAATTGTGATATGTTAGAAACAACAAGTTAGGAAAAGACAAAGTTAGGCAATATTATGTTCGATTCAAAGATTGACAAAGTTTTAAATAATATAGGTAAGAATGATACGGCTAGACAATACTTTTGAAATTTTAAAATGGTTAGACTTTATGCAATAGAATTATGATGAGGTGAGAAATGAACCATAATTAAGGTTACCAATATACAAAAGTTATAGTTAGACAATATTATGGATGAGAAAATGACAAAGTTAGAATTACATAGCCAGTGGGTACCAAAAAAGACACATTAGCAAGGCGTACCACTAACCTTATACCTTAAAGTTGAAAAGTTGTGAAAGGATACCAGACCTATAACAATATAATTGTAAAAAGTGTAACAGACTACTCGACAATCTAGTCTTACGGTAACAACAAGTATCGTTAACATCAGGTATTATGGATTAGCAGAATAGCTGGTGTTAAAGGATTCAAAAAAACAAACATGGCGGAAATACCCTGCTAACTCCTATGTTAACATCCTCCAGCACCATCCAACTAACCGCTCTGTTTCTGTACCAATCGATGGTACAGTCCTTTCCTGGCCAAAAGCTGTTGATGTTTGCCAGACTCAATTACCTTGCCATCTTTACATACGGCGATCATGTCGGCTCGTTGAATAGTAGACAGCCTATGTGCGATGGAAATGGCAGTTCTACCTTCGCTGGCACGATCCAACGCTGCTTGTACGATCTTCTCGGATTCTGTGTCCAAGGCTGACGTGGCTTCATCTAACAGTAGGATCTTGGGGTTTCTGATCATGGCACGAGCGATCGAGATACGTTGTTTTTGACCTCCAGAGAGCTGACCGCCTCTGGCGCCTACTGGGGTATCGTACTTCTGAAAAAGAAGAGAGTAGAAGGTATCTGACAGTCAAATGACAAAACTTGTTATTTTTAAAACAAAAACGGCAAACTCATAAGGTATCTTGTACTATACCACAAGATATAAATAACTCAAATCTTACATTTGGCAGAGAATCGATAAAGTCATGAACATTGGCGATCTTGGCGGCTTCAATCACTCTGGCCATGTCGATCTTATCCAACCCATAACAGATATTCTGAGCAATGGATAGATTGAACAAGGTTGGTTCTTGAGATACGATAGCGACATGATTCCTCAGATGCCGAATCGACATTTGTCGCACATCACAGCCGTCGATCTTGACAGATCCCGCGATCACATCGTAGTATCGTTCCAGTAGCTGAATCGTGGTCGACTTTCCGCACCCAGATGGTCCCACTAGAGCCATTGTCTGACCTTGCTGTGCCTTCGCCGTGAATTCATTCAGTACCAGATGCTGTGGAGTGTTGGGGTAGGCGAAGAAGACACCGTCGCACTCTACCGTGCCGTATATCTCGGGCTTCATACCATTATCTGACAAAGAGTCGATCTTGGTCTCGTGTCGCATCATCTTGAACATCAAACCGGCTGCCACTTTGGCTCTGATGTATTCTGGGAAGAACGATGCAGCAGCGATCACCGTGATTGAGGCTAGATTCAGAGCTTCGATTACTTGGAAGACGACGAATGGAGTTGTGTAGCCACCTTTGATGAGGAGAAGACCAAAGAAGTAGGCTGAGGCGAAGTTGAAGGAAACAAAGGCACCAGTTAGACCATACGTGAGAGATTGGAGCAGTCCTTTGGTGATGGCACGTTTGCGAGGTTTTACTGAAGCGGTACAGAAGCTTTCGTACAGGAACTTCTGGCGGGTTAGGGCTTGGACGGTCTTGACGTGTTCAATGGATTCAGAAGCTATCTGAAATTTCAATTTATCGTATTTTAAAAGTTTGACAATTTAAAAATTTTTTGATATTTTAGGTAACAAAATCATTTATTTTTTAAATTTTTCTAATATTTTCAAGTTCAATTTGCTTTATAATCTCCAAAACCTACTCTAGAAGCATCTTCGGCGACCTTAACATCAGTCAAAGCTCTTTTCTTGAGAAGATTCGTCAGAATGAGTTGAATAATGACGATAACAACAGCCGACCCCAGCCCAACTGGAGCCATGTAGACACTGAAGTAGAACGCGATAGTGACACCACAAACCAGAGATACTAGACCTTGTAGTACTTCGGCCAGACGTTGATCGATGGCAGCTTGGACGTTCGGAGCGTCCGAAGCCAAACGTGCTGTTAATTTACCGGTCGAATGGCGAACATCGTCAAAGTAGGTACCGTCTTGGCGTAGAATGTTCTGAAAGATGAAGTTAAATATTATTTTAGGTAATATTAACTGCATTAGTGAATAAATAAACGTATTTTAGTTTTTTGTAAAAGAAAATTTAAAATTTAAGTAACAAATTTACAAATTTATAGCTTTTGCAATACGAAAATAATATTATCATGCCTTTTTTGGTTCAAAAACAATAAGTTTCCCCTGAAAACAACCCTTCATACCTTGAAGACCTCGATCCTCAACCTCATAGTCAATTGTTCACCAACTTGACCCAACAAGAACCCAGATGACAATGTGAATACACATCCAAACACTCCTAATCCACCAAAAGCAAAAGCGTTGATAACATTTCTAGACGTGACATCTTCATGATTGTTCTCGCTCAACGCCTTCTCTAGAGCTTGGAACATCTGACCGTAAATCAAGGAGAACGCTGGGAACGTCGCTCCTCTGAAGAAGGTGGAGATCAAGCCCAGAAGGAATCGGGCTCGCTCGGGCTTGGCAAAGTGCCAAATGTCTTTGAAGCTGGCTTTCTCGGCTTCTTCTTCTTGCATGTGCTCGATTTGACTGGAAATGGTGGGTTAAATAGGTAATATTAGAAGGATACGAAGTCAGAACAAGGTGATTTCAATGGTAAATCATTGCTATTATCTCATTTTATTTGATCTTATCAAAAGTATCTTCATCTTTTAACCAAAAATTCAATAAAATCGTTTTAAAACCCTGTTTTTGTACCTTTTTCAAGCTAAAAACGTACTCTTCAGTATCCGGATCGTTCTCCATAGCCGAAGCCAACGACTGCTTCAGTCTGCTACTGGCTCTTGCCCTCTGGGAATTGTTGAACTCGCTTCTGGAGCAACACGATCCTGTTCTACTGACTGGTCGACTAGGACTCCTCTCCTCGTCATCTACTACAACATCATCCTCTTCATGGTACTGTTCGATCTCCTGTGCTTGTACCAGTCCTTTGTAGACACCATCCAGATCCATGAGTTCTTCGTGAGTTCCGGATTCCACAATTTTACCGTGGTCGAAGACGATAATCTTGTCGGCGTTCCGTACCGTGCTCAGTCTGTGCGCAATCATGATGGTGGTTCGACCGGTCGCTGCTTGATCGATGGCTTTTTGTACAATACGTTCAGATTCTGTGTCCAAGGCTGATGTAGCTTCGTCTAACAGTAGGATCTTGGGGTTTCTGACGAGGGCACGGGCAATGGCTAGACGTTGTTTCTGGCCTCCGGAGAGTTTTACACCGCCTTCGCCGATTTGGGTGTCATAGCCCTGAATTAAGTTATAGTAAGTTAAGTTTAATGCCATAATTGTTAGTTTAAACCACTATCTTCAAAATCATATCGATATACCTACTATCGATATATCATAACAAGTAAAATAAGCTTACATTTGGCAGTTTAACAATGAATTCATGAGCATTGGCAGCTTCACACGCCTTGATCATCTCTTCTTGGGTCAAGTCTTCCTTTCCCATCTTCAAGTTCTCGATTACTGAGGTCGCGAATACGATGGGCTCTTGAGATACGATACCGATCACATTTCTCAGCCAGTTGATGTTCAGGTCTTCAATTGGTTTTCCGTCCACCAGTACCTACAATTAACCTTAGACATCATAATGTAGGTATTACTATGATAATATATGTTATATTTCACCATCCTATAAGTTCAGTTTAATCTTTCTATCGCATATTAACATCAATATTGGCAGAAAATTCAAAATTCAAGTACAAAAATCAAATTTCAAAACGTACCGTTCCCTTGTCAGGACTGTAGTAACGCATAAGAAATGACATCATCGTACTTTTACCACACCCACTGTGGCCTACCAATGCTACAGTATGACCGGCTTCAACATCGAAAGAAACTCCGCTCACAATTGGTACTTCTGGTCGACTTGGATAACGGAAGTAGATGTCAGAGAAGGTGATACGACCTTCGACTTTCGGTAGTTTGATGCCTTTCTCGGTACAACAATCTAGAGATGGCTTCTGAAGAAGGTACATATTACTTTAGCTTGGCGTGATTATATTAACCATTTTAAAGTTAGAAATATCATAAGAAAGAGAAGAAGATAGGCCTAGGCCAACCGTTGATCAAGAGCTTTGTGAACCCCCACAGTTAAAACATGTAGTCATACCCCCCCCGGTTACATGGTAAAACTTACTCTGTCAATGATAGAGAATATTTCCCCGGCTGACATCTTGGCACCCATTACTGTAGAAATCTGTGGCACAGCCTGACCAACCCTCATCGCTCCGATAACACAAGCCCAGAAGACAGCAAACACCGTGCCTGGGGTCATCTCTCCTTCCAATACCAAGTTGGTACCGTACCTACAATAATATTACCATAAGGAAGTAATAATATTGCTATGAAAGGCGTTATATCTCACCGTGATAGACTTTAATAGTAAAGTGTAGTAATTGTAAAGCCCTACAAAAAAATTCAGTAATAGTACCAGTGCTTTACAGTACCAAACATAATTAAAACCCACCAAAACGCGAAGCCCATCGAAGCGAACAAGATCAACAAGTACATTCCACTGAAGATACCGGTCAGTAAGTGCTTCTTGGTACCATTACTACATCCCATGCCGAGGTATTTACTGTATCTCTCAATCTCGAAATACTGTGCGTTGAAGGCGGCTACAGTACGAACGCCATTGATGACTTCTTCGGCTACAGCGCCAGCTGATCCGTAGGCTTCGTTCTGCTTTCGCAGCGACTTTTTCACTGTCTGAAATATCATTTTAAAATATTATAAAATGTCATTTAAAAATGTTGTGAAATGTCATTTTAAGGTAAAAGAAGCAATATTACAGTAAGTAAATATGAATAGACAAACTTTTGTAGTTACGATAATATATATTGCAGCTACAAAGCATAGGTATGACTATAATAATATATTCTTAAGCCATACTGATCAACTACAGTAAGTCTTACTTACCAAAGCAGATCCCCAGATGACCATGATGACAAATGGGATAACGATCAACATGATCAATGTCATTTGCCAGCTCATAGTAAACCCTACGATAATACCTGATACCAAACAAGCAAAAGCTTGTATTAGTACAGATATCTTGTCACTAGTACCATCACGGATACGGTCAATTCCTCTGAAAATGTTGTGTTACTATGTAAGTCTGCATATATATACCATGAATATTATATAATAGTAGAGAAATATGCTACTTTTCTCAATTTTTTGTTGGTAACATGCCATTCTTTTTCAAACAGCAAAAAATAAAAATGGCATTCTTTTTCGAACAACATAATTTATAAAAAAAAGATCAAACGCTAGTATAATATACAAAAGTAAAACATACGATGACATTTTCTGAGTAAGTTTTCCAACTTCGTTCGTATCAAACCATGCTATATCTTGATGTAATACAGCGAACAAGAACTTCTTACGGTAGGTATCCAGTTGCCTTTCACATAATGTAAAGAAACAGGCTGACTGAAAGCATGTACTATATTAGGCAAACCATTTATACAAAATCATACAAGGTTTACCAGCCACAATTAGTGTCATACTATAGATCAGGCCCCATAAAAACAATCAAACCATAGTTACATATGTTATACTTCACCATCCTATAATTAATCTTAACGACCATACTAAAGCTAATAATACACAAACATACCCAAATGTAACTCAAAACGATGTAAAGACTTACCGAAATATAACTCAACACAAACGTGCAGATACCAAGAGTTAAGTACATAAGAACGTAGAATACGACACCATCGTAGAAGGTGCCCATGTTGATGCCACCATTATCGTACTCATTTTGTGCCATCATCAAGGTGTTTGTAATTCCTCTGAAGATTATTGATCCTAATGGCGATGCAGCTCCAGTAATCAAAGAAAACGCGACTCCAGTCCACAGCAAGGCCCAGTCAAATCTGTTGGCGTATCGCATCTGAATTTAGATTTATTATGAGGAATACTTTAGCTTTTTACAGATATTACAGTAGCTGTTATCTTAAGATTGACTGAAATATTAAGTTGTTCAAATAATTATGTGCCCCCTATCCCCAAAAGGTTGCCTTCAGAAAGACCACAGAATTATTTAAACACTGCAGTAAATCAAACTATATACCGCAGTGAAATCAAAAATAAATTAAAATTACAGTAACCCACCATTTCGTAGAATGAAGCCGGGTTGTACTCCAACAACGAAGGCGCCTTTCCATTGCGTTTAGCAAGCTTTCGGCCCATTACAACGACAAAATCCTGCTTCTCCCTTCGACGGCCAAACTTTTTGAAGTAACTGAAATACAAACCATTACAGAGGGTACCTATAGTTATATTGATACATAGTAAAACATAAAAAGATCATGCTTTTACATATAAAACAGCCCTAACAGCTTCTAGAAGTCTTATTTTAGCTGATTTAAAAGACTTTCATTGCACCGTGCAGTCACAATAAGACTTATAGCACACCAAATACAGTACCCAGCTACAGATATCTATTACAAAATTCCCCAATAACTAGACATGAGCAACGGGCCAGGCCTAATTTTCAAGCCCGGCCCGTTTTTGATTTTGCTCAGGCCCGGCCCGAAGGTAGGGCCCGGGCCGGCACGCTGCTCATGTCTACCAATAACCAAGTATCCTGTCTATATTACACTACCCTCTTTTACCTAAAAAAGAAGTAAATCACAATAAAACACCAACATATGCACCATCCATCTCTTATATAACTACGGTAAGTCTAAGGCGATAAAACTTTTCCAAAACAACCGTATCACCAAATCCCCACTATAACAACAAGGTTGTTTTTAAAACTTTCTTACTTTAAACTTGCATATTCATATAGGTTTAGGCTGATAAGTCAGACTCTAATCATAATATCACTATCTTAACAAAATGTTTTAAAAATTTCGAAAAGCTATGTCAGATCACGTTTCAGAGGCTTTTCTATTAAATTTCTTAAATTTTTCGACATTTTTTCGTTTTTAATTTGTAAAATATGGTTTGATAAGGCTCATCTTATTAAATTATTCAAATAATTCTGCCCCATAACCTTGTCAATTTGCTTTGAGAAGAGCATAGAATTATTTGAACAAACTCAAAATTAGAAAAATGCCATAAAAATAAGGCAAAAAGTCCAAATTTTTTTAAAAAATACGAAAAAATTACTCATTAAGTAACAAAATTTAAGAAGACTGCCTAAACTAGCCCGTTCTGTGGCTTATAAAGGCCGTTAACATAGTGTCCAGAGATCTGTTATCACTGCGAACATCACAAATCTCATGTCTATACTATTTCAAACGTCACATAACAACTTCATATATCACTTATTCAAAAAATCTTTTATTAGGTTGTTCAGATAATTCTGTGCTCCCTCTCAAAGCAAATTTTCGAAATTATAAGAGCACATAATTATTTGAACAACCTAACAATAATACAGTAGTGTAAGGCTTTACAATTCACAGTTTAAAATTACAATAAAGCCTACTTTGTAACCCCCCAAAGGTAAACACAGTAACGACAAGCCTTTTACTATGTAAAAACAAAATAAAGTACCCTCATCTTTCAAAAACTCAAGACTAAAAATCCAGTAACCTTAAACCTCATAAACCCAAAAACTAAAAATACAGTAACTCCTTCCTCTCTTAACCTATTGCTCCCCAAGTCAAATACGTTGCTATGTTGATGTAGAGTCATGTCAATGTTGTATTTATACAAAACACTCACTCTCGCCATGAAATTCTGCTGGACTTTGAAGTTGTGCCCTCAGGGCTTTGCATAATTTGTTTGTCCCCATTCAGAAGCGGTTCTTCTGCCACTTCCATCCTGGATGCGCCGTCTGATCTGGAATTCAAACAATCAGATCACAAACCATAAGATCAGCCACAAAACAAGGTATTTCATATTCAAATCAACTTTTCAAATTTTGTGGTTTGGACGATAAAAAAGAAACGCGTAATATATGTTGCGATCACTATATGTAAAATACGAAGGTTAAGTGATGTCAAGGACGGATATGAACTACACTGCTTTATGGCATAAAGTCACTGTTTTGGGTTTAATAATTCGAAAGCTGTTTTAAAATAAACCTCCTTAGTTTCAAAAAAACCACCTTGTCTTTAACAACTTTTCTAATTTGCTACCTTTTTAAAAATTTGTTACCTAAAATTTTTTTTTCTCAATTTTTCCAGTCAAAAATGTATTTCAAAGAGTTTCGTTATGTAGAAGTTAAACAAAAACATTTTTGTAACATCAACAACACAATTATACATCCAAATGGCCACAAAGTCTTAAATCACAACGTATAAACACATTCGGCCAGTGTTTGTGCTCTGTGCTGTGACCAAACACAAGTTATAAATATAAATTTGCGTAGGTACTTTCAAAACAATCTAAATTATTTATACTTTAAATATAAAACCTTCGGATCTTTTGGTTCACCTAATTTAAGATTAGCTTTTTGACACAATTAGATGTTTTAGACGAAAAAATGTCTAAAATAATTGAAATTTGATAAAATTGAAGGAAAATTTAGTAAAATTGAAGGATACCACATAAGAAATAAGAATACAACAATATAAACAAATAAAATTAGTTCTTCATTATAAAAAGCTCACGAATTTGAAAAAATACCTGAAAAGCAAAAAAAAGAAGCCGCAGTTGGAAGCCTTTTCTTGGCCTTTTTTTCTTTCCGGCCAGGCTGCTCTTCCCGCTTTCCCAAAGTACAAGAAACAACGAGCTAACACACCAATCTTCTCTATTTTATGTTTAAAATATATATCTTATATCTGCTAAAACATAACTTAAAAAGTAGCAGCAACTTTGCGATTTACAAGTTTCTAAAATTATTGTAATCTTATCATGGTTACGATCATAACAGTTTCGTCAGTTATTAATCCCACCTTTTGAATATTACAAAACTTTGCAAAACTTGTAAATTTGTGTCACTTAGGTGATGAAGATGTATTTTGCAAGATTGAGTTTGTTAAGAGCACTAAATGAAGACGTTTTTAAAGGCGGATTCGAACATTTTCTGGTGTTTGACAGTTTCAGATGATCGTAACTCTTTAAAGAGAAAGAAAACTGAACAAAAATCCCAAAATTTTTAATTTCCAAGCTTAGAATTAACTAATAAAAAGCATTTTTGTAATATACAATAATGTTTTCAACAAGCAACTGCTTCTTCTTGTTCACAAAACTATTACAACATTGGCCAAACAAATTTAATCTTTCGATTGGTGCAAAAATAATGCGTTTTATGTTTTTAGTTGAATATTGTTACAAAATTTTTGATTTTATCCAGCAAAACAGTGTAATTATGTTTACAGAGTAATTGGACAATTTTCTGTTGTAAAGGAGAAAGTGTTGACGCATTCCTAATTTCCGGTCAAGTGTTGCTTTTTTGAGCGCGTAAAATATTATTTATGGCTCTAAATTTTTACCGTTGATATCGTTTCGATATCGTTTCATATGGCGCAGTCCGCTTAATTAGAAAATTTTTATGTCCTTTCTTCTGCCAAATCTTCGTTTACACTATATAGGCTATATTTTGCGTAATTATATGTTTTAATACATCTGTTGTATCCATAAATCTATGTTTGTTTCTTTCAGAGATGGATACTCAGAAACCGCTGGCTCGGTTTATGAAAAAGTTGGACCGTCTTGCACCTCAACTGAACGAACATTTTGTTGAGATTCAAGATTTGGACAGGAAGTCGAGGGAAGATGGCAACAAATTAAAGAAATTGTGTAATTCAGCTTGTTCAACTCAACCACGATCGCCGAAACAGAAGAAAGATCAGCATGAGGAGCGGTATACACAGCTGATGGTTAGGTTTTTATTTTTATTTATAATTTTAGGTTGTAAATTGCATTCTTTGGTAATTCAAACTTTAATTGACAATGAATTAGTCGTCAGCTTACAAAGAATCAAGTTTTAGAAGCTTCTAGACGACATGGAAGAAGATTGTAAGCGAAAAGTGGAGTTAGCGTCGACATCATACGAAACTGTCGACAAATATATAAATGATTTGGATAAAAGTTACCTAAAGTTTACTCAGAACGTGACAGCTCCAGTAGATCATAATAAGAAGCATCATCAGAAGGCATCGACCGGCCGGAAGAAGAAACGAAAAGCTTCTGAAGTTGCAGAAACTGATGGAACGGCTACTGAAAGTTTAGGTACGTTTTTGTTGGCATTATGAGTTTAGAAGATGTTATGGTTAGTAGCTTTGCTCTATATTAGTACTTATTGCTAGTTCGAATGTAATATTATTGTAAATTTTGTTTTATATTAGTATTTTACTTCATTATTACATTAGTATTTTACTTTACTGTTTTAGATTTTGATAGTCCATTGGTGGAAATGCCGGTCGATCCCAACGAACCCACGTATTGTTATTGTCATCAAGTGTCGTTCGGACAGATGATTATGTGTGATAACAAAACCTGTAACATAGAATGGTTCCATTTCCAATGTGTGGGACTAACATCAACGCCCCGAGGCAAATGGTACTGCGATAATTGTAAAAGCAAAGTGAAACGAGGAAGAAAACCATCAGCTCTTAACTAAAATTATTTATTTCATAGCAGCATTAGCATTAACTTATAATAATAGCAATATTTGATAGACTAACTTATTTCATAGCTATTTTGTTGCAATAAAGTGAACTTTGCGATTTTTGACAGCCTTTCTCTTGTTATGCGTTCAATCGGCAATGTTACTTATACGTTGTCCTACTTTATCTTCATTTGGTTATGTGAAGTTATTATGCGCTTTATTTTGTTATTCGCACATTTTTAAGTGTGTTACGCCGGCTACAGTATGTTTGATACATTTTTGTTTAAATATAATGTAGATACGACTGTAGTCATCGTGTTTAATACCTAAATATTTGATTTTTTTCCTGTTTAGAGTCTGATATGGAAGACAAGAGGACTCCACGTGAAGTTTTCACGAAGATTGAGAACATTCTAAAGACCACACTTGGAGTTAATGAATTGGTACTGCAGCACAGTAAGACAAATGACAGAACTGTGAAAGATCTACTAACATGTGTCAACAGGAGTCTTGGTGAAATCAGAGTTGAGGTTAAACACTTGAAAAATATGACATTGCCGCTGATCGAGAAGAAGATCAAGTAAGGTTTAGAATGTTTTTTTATAGAATGTAGTTTTGATAATCATGCTATTAGTTTTTAACTTATATTAAGGATGTTATGAGGCAATAAAAAGTTATTTTTAAAGAAAATACGATTAAAATCAATCTTGTTTATAGTGGAAAACGAGAAATAATGGATAATGAAGACGATGACATTCAAATTATCAATGATGTCAGCAAGTCGCCTACGCCTACTGCACCCAAACGACCTCTACCTGCAGTTAAAAATGCCAAGAAATCTGTGAAGGGACCTTCACCTGTTAAAGGTAAGTTATCATGGATAGATAGTTAACGTTAAGTATGGTAGGACTGTTTGAAATGTTGCTTAAGATACAGTTATTAAGTTGTTTAAATAATTCTGTGCTTTCCTTACAAAAGTTGCCTTGAAAGAGGGCACGGAATTATTTGAAAAATTAACATTACGGTAGGGAGTGGATCGTTATCAATTATTAGGGTAGAGAGAGCATCGTTAACTGGAGATGAAGATATAAAGAATTGTCACAAACTTTTTATCTACAGATTGTTGATGGATTATAAAATATATTTTTAGCTAAAGGCGATATTGATTACGAACCTTCTACTCAAGGCACCTTCTCCACTCAAGATGATCTTTTTACTCAAGATGTGGCTTCAACTCAAGGTGCATCTTCTACTCAGGAGCCTTTAGAAGTCACTGAATCAAGTGAAGAAGATGAACCGGAATCTCAGGATACGGTTGATGATTTGCCTCTGAAAAGAAGGACACGAAGCGGTGGTAAAAAACCACGACGAAGACGATCGGTGAGTTTACTACAGCTAATATTTGTCTTTTCATTAATATTTTCTGATATCCTAGTTAAGTAGCTCAATAGTATTTATACAATATAATATCTACGGTAAAAATGATGTTTTAGTTTTACTATTTAATTTAAAAAAAATATTTTTTGGATAATAAAGGGGAGTACGTATCGTCACCTAATTTTTATTTGTAGGACTCGAGTGAGTACATGGAAGAAGAACCAAGTAGAAGACGTTCAAGAGTATCAACCGGTGCTGAAGATGCTCTCTGTAGATACTGTGGCCGAGTGGTGATTAAGAGCACAGAAAAGTCGTGCGCTGGATGCGTTAGATTTGTATGATACCCAGCTTCTCATATTTATTATTTTGCATTCTTCTCATTGTAGTATGTTCGGTGATATAGTATTTACTAATAAACAACTGTAATATTGCTAAGTCGTTTTGATTGGTTAAAACCGATGTTTATATCATTAAAGGGTGTTTATAATACCAATGTTTTAGTGGCCAGAAGAACATTATTATAGATGTTGTTATAGGTATTTAAACTTTAATTTTTTTGTTGTTACAGCAGCTAAAATCTATGTCAATAAAATTGTTTTACTTAGGCTGAATCGTTTAGATGGGAGATCGGACGGTGACGATAGAATCGGTGAAGAAACGCGTCAAGTTGCTGACCAATGTCGCGGATTGTCTTAGCAAGTATACTGGTAGCTTGAATAGTGCTTCCACTGAATTGGTCGCGGCTTTACAAAGAGGTTTGACTGCGGTTCACAATGACCTATGCACTTTGGAAGGTAGAAATGCTAACAAGATGAGTGTCGTTGTCAAAAGGTCGTCGAAGGCTGATACGGAAACTGCTGGTGATTTGAGGAGGACCAGCGCTGTTGGGTGGAGGAATAGTACTAATACAGGATCACGAAAAAGCACTGAGGAATCAAAGAAGCCTTCGATAAATTCACAGAAAATTAATGTGAATGCCAGAAGGAGTAGTGTCTCTCAATCATCTACAACATCACCTAAGAAGGATACAGGGAAGGATCAGAGTCGCGTGGAAGATCCTTCTAAGAACTCTCTGATGCCAGGGCCAAGTATATTATCAAATGTCACAAAACGCAAAAATCACTATACAGATGACGAATATCCACCTGGCACATCATCACAAGCATTGAAAAAGCATACCAGATTAAGTGGTGCAAGTACGAACAGTGTACAAAAGAAGTCACCCGTTAAAGTCAGTAGTCAAAGCGCTTCATTTGGTGCGACAAGCGCTAAAGACGGTTCAGCTGGTGCAATTGGGACAACCGTTGGCCAGAAAAAGTCTCCTATCAAAATTAATCGTCATAATGATTCACCTGGTCCAAGTGTTGCTAAAAATGATTTTTCCGGTTCAAGAAGTCCATACAAAAGAGTTAGTGTCAATACTCCGCAAAGTGGTCCATCTGGTACTCCAAAGAAAGCGAAGGTTGAGCAAGATGTCAAGAACACTCTTGGCACTGTGCCTTCTACTAGTCAAGATGTAAGTTGGAATTGAAGGTGCGAAAAATGTAACATAAAAGTAAAGTTTAGTAAAGTTTTTGCTTTTTTTAACTTTTTTTGTGGTAGGTAAATCCTAATTGTAAGCTTATTTCTAAGATAATGAAATGATAGTGAATGTCAAATTTGGTGTTACAGATTCGGCGCAGCTCCAGAGGATCTAGCTCATTTGTCCCAATGCGATTATGTTCAACGTGCCAAGATTTTACATTCGGTGCGGACATGTGCAAGTAGGTTTTAGCAATTTATTTGATATCTTAATGTTTATGCTTTAAAGTTTTGTTGCCATATTTAAATAAAAAACAACTTGAAATTATAGGAAATGTAAACAGAGACAAGCACAAATAGAGAATAAGAAAAGGAAGGACAACTACATTAAAAGGAACAAAAAACTTGAAAAAGAAGCTTTGAAACAACTTCAAGAAGAAGAAGAACAGCCACAAGAAGAAGAATAAACGTCGACCTTTTCATTTTTAGCATTACTTACTATAGTCAACCTTGTAACCTTACATTTCTCAACTTTTGTTATCTAATAACCTTACCTTAACACAATTTTGTGTTATTTTCAACTTTTCACCGCTTTTCCTTTCCCACCGAATCAATAGTGACACTTCGTCAGACGGATCTTTAAGAAAAGCGCTTTAAACAAATTCGGTAGTCTTATTAAAAACGTATTTGATTGCCCTTTTAAGTTGTCGAGTTTTGTCTATTTTTAAAAATTTAAATATATAAAAATGTGGGTTTAATAAATGTATAAGTAGTTTATGTTATCCATGATATTGACGTCTGTAATGTGCATTTTATTGTTTTCCGAAATCGGAGAAAGTTAACAATAAGATGGAAACATTCTTTATCTTTCTTTCACTCACGAGTAAACTTACTTTATGTCTGTTACTTGCGAGAAAGTTAAAAAAGCGATGTTAAGGTAGAGGAAGGGAGAGATTTTACTCAATTTGATAAGACAAAACTTATCAAACAGAGGCAATTTAACTTGAAATTGGCTTGTAAGGGTTTGTTTTTTAAATAATTTTTTGGATTTAAAGACGTTTATTTTTTAAGAATATTACACTTTTAAACAGTAATAACGTTGTAAGACAATCCTTTTTGTATCTAAAGTGGCCGAGAAGTGGCGTTAAAAGTGATCGATCGTTTTTATGGCCACGAGATTAGGAAAAGTGGAAGAAAAGACAGATCTGGAACTTTATTCTAATGACATGTTAATCATAAAACGAATGGTAATCATTACTAATGAATAGTAATCGTTACCTATTTACATTTTTCACTTTATTGGTGTGTTATGTTGAGTGACGGCTTCTTTGACTCTCATTTTATGCTGTTTATTATCTATTTTGACTCAAAATTCAAAGTTTAAAAATATTTTAAAATTTTTTGTTCAATTACTTTCGCCGTAGTAGTAATCGTATGTCTTTTCTCTAAAGTAATCGTATGTTGTATGTCGTTTCGCTAAATGTCGCCATTAAATGGAATGGATTTATTTGAACCTCTCCCCTTGTCGGAATGGGATGGAAAAGCTGTAATCCGAGCATAAATTAAGTGTTTTTCGTATTTTAATGAAAAAACTCAGAGATTAAGTCAGATTAAAGCGAGATAAAGCCGGCTCACAAACACTTTCACAGAACATTCGATAACAGCAAATTGTGGTATTGTCGTATAACCTCCTTTTTATGTTATTTTTACACTTTTTTTCTCTTTTTTACACTTTATGACGTTGTCAAAGGGCGAACGAAGATTTTCATGTTGGTGGAGTTGTAGTAACTTCCTCGATGAGGAACATTTTGCTAATCTTTGTTATGAAAGGTGTCTTTTCCTGTCATTTAAAGATAGTTTTATCTGGACTGAAACTTTCACTATATATGGGTGTTTACATAATTCTGTTCCCGCTCTCAAAACAAATTTTCGCAGTTATAGGGCAAGGAATAATTTGAAAAACTTAACAGTTTTAATAGCATTGCCACATGGTTCAAACTTTGTAGATAGCACACTATGGTACTTTGTGAAGCCATTTTATTGTATGAATCTTCATGTTTGAGCTCTTCGTACTATTATCCAATAGTACTGTTTCAAAGCGCATTTTGATACTATTTGTGTTTAATTTTCTTAATTGAACTTTTAGTATTTTAATCAAAAACAATTGTCATGTTTGGTCGCTATTCATAAAGGTTTCTTTGCGTCGTAAAAAATGTCATAAACTTCTTAATTACTATGGGCTGGACGTGATATTTAATTTACTTTATGTATATTTACCTTCGTTTTTGGTTTTAAAATACATTTTAAAAAAGTGATGTCGTTTGGTCAAAAAGTAGGTGGAAAAAATCATTCCTTATCGTCCGGGGAATGAGAAACTGATTTTAAATTTTAACCTGCCTCTCTCCGCTACCCTACGTTCTTATCATTATTATCTTATGTTGTTATTAAAGCTTGTTTTTTGGAAATTAGTGCCATTTTTATTTCTACTTCCTCAAACAAAACATAGGCCTTAATTAGCCCTTCCTTCCGCGCCATAATCAGTGTCATATTTTGTCATAAACATGGTTTGGGCCGCGTTCGTGTCCCAAAAGATTAAATGAAACCGGATGCCGGAGGGGAAAAAGGGGGAATGTGGGGTAGATCCTGAATGTTTCATTTCGAATCCACAGAATGTTTTTGAGACGTCTTCTGGAGAAAAAACGGCCCAAAAAAGTTGGAAAAATGCACTTTTTGGGACTGTTTAATAGTGAATGGGTAGTTTTGGGAATGGCTTTTGAGGTAGTTTTATGACAATTTTTGATAGTGTTATTAGGTTGTTCACATAATTCTGTGCCCCTTCTTGAAAGAAGTTTTCGGGGTTCGCGGACACAGAATTATTTGAACAACTTAATATATTCTCCTAAATTGCGTTTGTTTTATTAACTAAAGTTATATAAAGGTCGCTTCGTTCGCTAAAGTTATCTTATTGTAGCTTCACTAACTAAAGTTATATTCCTCCCAAAAATGTTTTCCTTTTGGAAGTGAATATCTGTTTTTAGCAAAAAGTTTCGTTTTTCCTTGTTTTGAAAGGTCACGGCGATTAATGACCACTGAAATGCCTCCGGGCTCTTTTTGTTTTCCCAAACTTTTCGGCCAATTATTGTTTTTTCTTTTTGGGAATCTGATGGTTGGGGAAGACAATATTTGGACTCTTTTTTACTTTATCATAACTAAAGTAATTTTAAAACGTCTTTTAGCCTAAAAGTTATATTAACTTAAGGTTATATTACCTAAAATGTAATTTTAAGTTTGTTTGAGGTTAGTCAAATATTTTTCAAATCTAAAACAGGTCGTTGTTAGGCTTATTATACAGATCTCTAGGCCTAATTTCACAAAAGGTTTTTTGTCTCGTTTTACAGCGTTTTTAGGCTTAATTTATAGCGGTTTTAAGTTTAATTTTACAGCATTTTTAGGCTTATTTTGTACCCTTTACTCTTTGACATTCTACCACTTTAAAGCAATGCAAATGTCTTTGTATACCATGTAAAATTAATCAAATAGCCTGACCACACGTTAGTAATATGCATTCCCTTTATGTACTTTCTGTTGGCGCTCCAAATATTTTTATTTAATTTTTTCGGCCGTTTTCTTTTTCGCCTCATATAGAGATGACATTATATATGGCTACGTTTTCCATTTCCCTTCCCATAATCTTAACAAAGAGTACTTTACTTGAGTAATTGTATCAAATGCAATCTATTGCTCTTATTCATATAATTTTAGATGTTTTAGTATGGAGATGGGCTTGATGGGGGGTGTTTAAAGGTTTATAACTCGGAAAGGCACGGGGGTTCGGCTGTTATTAGATGTTTAAATCATTTTGAGCCCCCTAGCTCCGAACATTTTCTTTGATAGAGGGCACATAAATATTTTAGCAACGTAATACCTGAATTTAGCTATTCCACTTTAACTTTTTTTAAAATTTTTCGAAATTAAGATATTGTTTTGTAAAGTTATGAGTAGCAAGACCAAATATACACCTGTTACGAAGTAATACCGCATCCTTTTCGCTTTTTATGAAGTAAAAGCCTAAAGAATTCTTGTTTTTCCTCGGGCGTTGAATAATGAGGCAAAGGGGGTTTGGCCATAACACCTCTACTTGTTTATGCTGGGGAGCGGTATTAGGCATAATTTGTGGATATTCATCAGTATTTCTAGTTTTTGCCAAATTTGTCTGAGAAACTTTATTTTTTTCGAAAATTCTTATCAAATTCAAACTTTTTAGTTAAAATTTTTAGTTGTTTCGATAGAAAAATCAATTAAAGTAGCATTTGACGCTTATAAATCGTGTTATACCAAGCCTCAATCAAACATACGTACATGTTTTTGTTAAAGTAAACGTTTGTCGAAAGTATTGTAACAATAGTCACGTCTTTTAAATGGCCAGATTGAATTCCGCGTTGCGATCCAATTTCTCCGCAATTAATTTCTTTCCCAGAGTTTAAATTGTATACGTTTAAGCATGTCATAGATTAAAGATTTCAAAACTAAACCATCCTCAGGGTTCTAAACGGCGTTTTTTTTTAAGTTCAAACTTTTCAAATTTCATACATAATTTCAAACAATTTGAATATTCTTTTTAACCACCGTATTTTACAACAATGAAAAATGGCTTTTAGGCCGGTCTGACAGCCATATCTTAATACATCTTCTCTTTATTCGTAGTTTATCACATTAAACTAATCAGTACAATGTCAATTCTAATCAGTACAATTTCAGAAATGAAAAAACTCAATTTAGTGCTCAAATTTTAAATAGCTACCTTGATGTAGATGCTTGTCGGCTTTAAATTGTAATGAGCGAAAGTAAAAGTAATTCCGTTTCTGGTGCGCTTGGCCTCACTTTGGTCGATTATTTGGCTGTGGTTGGCTTTGACAAGGACAAGGGACTTGAGGTAAGACATTTACAATACTAGAAACTAGTTTTCGTAAAATATTGTCAGTTCTCCTATGTTCAACACAAAGGTTATATACTTGAACAACAACATTTATTATAATAACTAATCTATCTTAAATTCCATTTTCTATTAAAGCATCTCAAAATTTGACTAAAGTAAGATTAAATTTGAGCACTATATCCACGGTATATTGTGAAACAAAATTCTTTACAGCTAGACCGAAATGCGGAAGCGGCGGCTGAGCTGAGTGGCTCAGTTCTGTCTAAAGCACCATTAGACAGAGCGTACCAGACCTCGGTGTTACAAGTGTTCCCCCCTTCCGACCGAGTCAACTACCCTTTCACTCCCGAGATCGCTCAGCTTTGCATGCCTAAGGGCTTAAGGTTCTACACAGAGAAGAAGGTACCACCTCAAACCGAGTTCCATTCCTTCGTACTAACAAAAGAAGATGGTAGTAGGATATACGGCTGTGCTTTCACCTTCTTCGAACCCGTACATGACATCCAAGTACGACAACAAATGCTCGAACTTAACCATCAGTACATCCAGCAGAAGGTGGAGTCGGATGTCACGGCACGGAACGACAGTCATCACGGTCTACAACAAACCCACACTCTTCCTCGTAACATATCATCAACATCTCGTCGCAACTTCTCTCATCGAGAAAGTTACTACGACTCTACCAACAAGAACATCTTCGTATCAAAGTGTATCTGTGTCGTCCAACGACTGCCTATGTTATTCTCTACCCAACATCTGTTATGTTCTTTGTATATAGCCGCGTTAACTCCGAGAAAGTCGCAATACACACTAGAACAGTTGATATACTGGTCGTTGCATCAGGTACCACTTCCTATTCCCGGTACCAGTTTACAATGTAATTATGGAGGATTGGAATTGGCAGTACGACGACCTGCCTTTGGGGAATTACACTTTTTCGATTACCCGATGTGTGATCTGTTCAGCTTGATCGATGTAGAGACGTTCGTACGACTCTTTACTTCGTTCATGCTCGAACACCAGATTTTACTCTGTTCACGACGTATGTTTTACCCTTTTTTTGTTATTTTAGGTATATCTTACCCAAAAATATTTGACTTATTGCACATATGACAATCTTTATGGCAATAAGCCTACGTTAGTATACATTAACAGAAAATAACTTTTTCTTATGACGATATGTATGATATGATGATTAACCATAAGGTTTTTCAGAGATGGATAGGTTAATGTTAGTCGCCGAATGCTTATCAGTTTTGTTATTTCCATTCCGCTGGCAATTACCCTATGTACCTATTGTACCATACTCTCAGCTCAACTTCATTGAAGCCCCGGTTGCATATCTTTTAGGTTTTTGTTACGAAGACCGAATCCCCGATCAGATATTTCAGGTAATACCTAAAATTACATCAGCCAGGGTTTGTGAAAGCTTGGTTATGACATTTATCTGGATGAACTTTGACAAAAATAACATATAGACCGTATTTTACATTTTAAAAATAAAAAAAGCTTTAAAATTTAAAGACTGATATATCAGCTGATATAGAAGATACGTTACCTATAAATCACCTTTTCAGAGCAATATTTGCATTCTGGACATCGACTCCAAGAAGCTAGACACTCCAGAAGAAGTTCAGACATTCCCTCAGCACGAAAAACTGGTACGACAACTAAAACGGCTCTATTTAAGGTAGGAACTCATCTTTATATTGTCTATGTTTAGGTTTCAAACCAATCCCACCAACTTCTATGGAGATAGTGCAGTAAAAGAAGAGGCAGTAGAAGAAAAGAGGGAAATGAGCCCAGTGAAAGTTGTTATGAGAAGAGATGCGGGTGTTCAACAACGAAGAAACAACTTGAACAGAAAGGGAATTGTAGATGAATTGTCTGAAGGTGAGTAAAATAACATTTTTAACAATTGAAGAAAAATTAACAATCAAAAAGATTAAATTTATAACAGATTTTATATATAAAACGTAAATAATGGCTAAACTAACCCAAATGAAACTATAAATAAACCATTTCAGGTGTAACATTCCGACAAACCCCTACAACAACATCTGATTGGACTTCAAAACGAATGTCACGATCTTTTGACAATTCAGATTCCTTAGAAGCCTTCAAAGATGAACCTCATTACTACGACGAAATGGAAGAATCAACTTCAAATAACAACATCGTACGTGACACTGTAGCACCACCAAAGCCCACCGAGAACGTCCAGAAGTACTTCAACGCTCTCAACTTTAACACCACAGTACGAGAGCTGTTTCTACATCATTTTGTTCAACTATTCTCAAATTATGAGCAATTCGTGGTCATTAACAAGATGAACGACAAGATCCGAGACTCTGTGGTCGATTTCGATAAGGCTTCTTTCCTTTCCGACCAGCCAGATTCATACCTACCATTCCTGGCAGCTTTTCTTGAGACTCAAATGTTCACCAGCTTTATCGATGCCAAGTTGAAAGCTCAATTCAACGAGGTCGATGAGAATCTGATGTTGTTTGATAAGAGAATCAATGACCTGAAGACCCAGCTTCAAGGAAACGGATCTAACAGAGTTTCCATGATTAATCAGATGCCGGAATTCAATGCTAACGGTAAGAAAAGAACCTAAATTTATAAAAACAATGAAAATCATGTTACTTACCATATTTTTTATAATTTAGTTGGCTTTCCGTCCAACTTTTTATTCATCGCCGTGTTAGAATCTGAGATCCAATAACTGGTGTAGCTAAAACAATATTTTGCCTAAAAAACCAAACATAAAACAAAAATATTACCTAAATTTCATTACAGCAATTGCACAAGAACAACCTCGATATCATTACGAAGTTCCATCGCCATCATCCCATTTGGCATCGACCAGTCGAGAAAATAATTCATCCAGTTTTCCTGAAATCGATCCTGATCTCTTTGACGTTTCTTCCGCCTCACAAGAACACCAACTACCATGGATGGCACCAAACAACAAAGCAGTACTATTAGCTGCTGAATTGGACGAACAAAAAAGAAATTCGAATATCGCGTCACCGAGAAAGAAACAGCGAAAGAAACGAGAACCAGGTAGGTTAATATAATATTTTAAGGCGGTTTAGGTCATTTTTTGCCTATAATTTTAGACAATATTAATTTTTAGACATTAGAATGTATGTAAAATATTGTTTTATAAAATCTAAAATTATGAATATTATTTTCTGAGTCATGTTTTTCTCTCGTTTTTGTGTCAACTCTCCCTGTTAGCTTTAATGTAAATTTACTGCGAAATGAGTTATTTAAAATTGAAAAAAAAAATAGTTTCTGTTATAAATTACTATGTAATATTAAAAATCTTTACAAAAATTCTTTTAAAAAATTGCTTTAGTAACGACAGACACGAAAGAACAAAACTATGCCTTCGTGAAACAACTTCTGAAGGAGACAAAGGTCAAAACAAACCGATTGTTGTTGATGAAGATGGGCAAAGAGGCATTAGATCTTGGTCATCACGATTCTGCAGTCCAAGGAGTCGAAGAGAACACGTTAGTAGCGGGATTCTGCGATCTTCTAGATCGTGTTTGGGCCAACGATTTGAAGAAGAAGACGGCCGTCAACGACAGAACGTGGACTCAGGAGGAGAAAAAGGTATTTTTTGTTGCTGGAGATGTACATTCATTGGTTGAAAATTCATTTTCGTTGTTTGTGTTGTACATTCATTAGGAGAATATTGAGGTAGCGTTAAAAGCAAGGTCACATTTTTAAGCTGAAAGACGATAAATTGCTTTTCTTAAAGCGAGGACGTTTTACAGAGTATACCTTCGTATTTACAGAGAAAGTCAGCCTTATGGACCAACATTTTCCGTTACTGTGAGAACAACAAGCCTGACCTGGACCGGGTATCTAAACATAATCATCCGAACGTATCTCCAGGTAAGTTACTTTTACACGTCGACTAAATTGATATATTTAAGTTAAAATTTACGAAGATGCCGTATTTTACATTTCAAATTCATTTTATTATTTTTAAATTTCGTATTTTAGTCTTTTTTTCAAATTTCTTACTCGGTTTTTAGGTAACATTAACACTTTTTTTATATTTAAAAATAATTTTACAGTTTAATTGGTATTTCACAATATTTTAAACGTATTTCAATATATTTTACTTCGTATTTTAGCCCTTATGTGGATTATTTTCCGAAAGCGAATGGAATGTAAGCACAAATTTTAAAACTTTTGGCTTTGCGCGCTTTCAAAAGTGGTTTTTCGTTGTTGTATATTGTGAATATTGTGTTTGAGGTAGCCGTAGTATTGAAAAGTATTATTCGTAGTTGTAGTAGTAGCTAAAATGCGTTTTATTTTTTTTTAAATGGCTTAAAATTGGCTCAAAAGAGCTGAAAATGGGTAACAATCAGCTAAAAAAAGCGACAAAAGCTTTTAAAATGACCAAAATGTCACCAAATTTAAAAAACTTGTCAACCATACTATTCTGTAGAAGTATATGATGCCATAAACAACAACCCTGAAGCCGGCTTCGAAGATCGCGACCAAGGTGCTTTGGCTGATATTATCCATAAAATCCGTAATCTGACAGAGACCGAGCCAGAAGTCTCGGCCTGGAACAAGATAGTCAATGTCGCCAACTTTGTCTCGGACAAGATCGTCAGTAAACTGGATGAAGAAGGCAACTTTGGCGACAATAACAACAGAGAGAGAGGGAGGTCGGTCCAAAGAGGCAACAACACTATCGACCGGTTGTTCGGATGGCGATCCAACTCTGTAGCGCCTTCTGAAGGCGACAGAGAGGTCGAGAGGGAAGGGCGACGACCTGACAAGGTTGGAGCAACAAGAATGGGGGAGGTTGAGGGTCAGAGGAACCTACTACAAAATCGAAGAGGTCAATTTGAAGATGTTAGACAGGCTTCTAGGACTGAAAACCAGAATGTCAGGCCAGAAAACATGAACCAGATGCCAGAAAATCAATATTCGAGACCCGTGCCAGGAAATAGACCAGGCCTAACTGACCAAATAGAGCACCATCGGTCAGCCAACAGGCCTGGACTACCAGTACCAGAAGCACCACCTTCAAGGAACGTCCGGCAGAATGTCGCTGAACTTCCACCTCATCCACAACAACATCGTGCCAACATTTATCGCCATCCCGAGCCTCAGCGACAAGCCAGGCCCCCCTTACCTCGAAGCATCCACAAGTCCAGTTCAGTCAGTGGTAAGGTGTCGTACTGTAACTTTATTCTCACACTAACACCTGGTACTGTCGTTTCTTTTCACTAACACACATTTGGTACTGCACTTAACATGTCGTACTGTAACATATGGTACTTTTTTCTATTGGTACTGTAACTCTTATGCTACTGACAATGTTACAGTACCTTGTAATACAGTTCGAGGTAGAATACCTTCACTATAATAACACATGGTACTGTAATCGCAATTTATTACTAACGTGTAGTACTGTAACACTAACAACACACCACATCTAACTTAACTTGCACTATATCACACTCTCTTCACTACTAAATCTACTAATATCATATATCACTTAAATTAGGTGCAAATTAATTAAAACTTACAAAAATGCTTTACAATATGCTGCAGTATGCTTATCACTTACTTAGTATAATGGCATTTATTGCGGTGTAACTTACGCTAATAGCTACAGTATTCATGTCGGCAGCTATATTTTGGTTGGCGTTACAGTAATCTTTGTGAAAAGTTACAGTAATCACGCTGGGTTAACGATATCTATGCCAAGATCGCTAAGCCATTTTAGTTATACCAAGATTACTGTAATCATGCTGACAGCTACTATAGTTATGCCATGGCTACAGTAACATGCTAACAGCTACCGTAACCTTAAGTAACGCCGTTTGCTAATCTTATGTTATGCTAACTTTGTCTACAGTAATCCTGTTACCTAAACCTTGCTCTTTCAGACTTTGCTCCCCAATTGAACGAGAATCGACCGCCTCAGGCACAAAGAGATCACTCAGTCCGTCGCGGCCGAGACCAGTCCAGAGGGCCGCATAAGGAAAGGAAAAGGTCGCTTTCGAGAAGTCGCGACTGCGACGAAAAGCTGGCTGAGCTTCCACCACTCCCGACTAGTCTACTTTTCGATTTTAAGTGAGTTTTTTAACTTAATCTTTGTTTTGCACGGTGCAAGTTTAACGAAAGTCCTATTGCACCGTGCAGAGTTTAAAAATTCGGTCAAAAAGTCTATAGAATTTTAGATTTGCCTTATTTTACCTTTCCAATTAAGTTTTTCAATTTACTTTTGGCCTTACTTTTCAATTTGCAATGATTAATATGATTGCACCGTGCAAACTCTTAATTCATTTGTTTGCACGGTGCAACGAAATCAATTTCTTTGCACAGTGCAAAAATCTCTCATTTATCCCGTTGCACTGCACCGTGCAAACAATTCCGAAGTTGAACTGCACTGTGCAAGAAGAAATTCTTTCAACCATTTGTCGCTCGTCCTTACGCTTTTTCGCTACCCCAGCTGTCGCGATAAGGTTGGGTTTGCGGCAATTTGAAGTGTCGCTCAAACTTCCGCTTTGTCGCAACCCCACTGTCGCGGTAAATTTGAATGTCGCTCTCGTCTTTCGTTGTGTCGCCATATTTGGAAGAACGGCAAAAAAAACATGTCGCAGAGGACGTTGCAAAAAATCCTCGCAAATCTTTTGCGACATTTTTGCTTTTTGTCGCAAACAAATCTGTCGCAGAGAATGTCGCTTGCACGTTGCGACATGTCATGAGCGATCGCCAATGCTTTTCATTCATTTTTCAAGAGTTGTCGCAACATGAACAACGACAAAAATCGACATTCAGTTTGTCGCAAGATTCTTCATTTGTTGCGACATCTTTCTTTTCCCGCGACTAGGAATTGACTGCGACGAACAATCCAAAAGACAAATGTTGCCCTAATGTCGCAGGTTTTTTTTGTCGCTTGAAATTTCTGAACAGTTTTGTCGCAAGTTTTTGGGTTTGCGTCAGAAATGCCGCGGAAAAATTATTGTCGCAAAGGAAAGGTGACGCACTGTGCAATGGTGATCTGCACAGTGCATTGGAAAGGAAAAGCTTGACTTGCACGGTGCAGTAAAGAAAAAGAAAGTGTGCACGGTGCAAACAAAAAGAGGGAATTCATTTGCACAGTGCAGTGAAAAAAGCGGTTTGCACTGTGCGAAAAATAAATTGGAATTAGATTATCAACTTGAATATTGATCATTCTGACCTTTCTTTTTCAGCAACATATTCCGAATGACAGAGATCCGAACAGACATTGGCTATGCGCGAGCTTTTGTCAGATTGGCGTTGGAAAGAAAGTTGCTGCATTCCCATCTGAAGACCATCCTGTCCGACCACCGCCTTCTTCGTGAACTCTATCGTCGCTCTGGTTTCCTGAGGTCAGAAGACGAGAGGGAACAGTTCCTCTATCACATATTGTCGCTGAATGCTGTCGACTTCACCTGCTTCACGAACACCTTCAGAAGCACGCGGATGCAGTACGAAGTGCTACTGGTGGGCACGTTGGACCGGTTCCAGTCGTCTGGGGTCTGGATCATGTGTGCTGGCACGTTGGGTTCGACCCAGAAAATCGCGATGCCGCCAAACAGCCTTCAGTTCACGTTCGACCACAAGAACCTCGGGATTCTGACGACGCTGAGGATCGGACATCGCGAGAAGATCTCCAAATGGTTACTACAATATGTGCTGGTCCGGAACAACATCACCGGCCAGTTGTACAAGTTCAACTGCAAGAAGTGGTTCGGCCGGTCGGTGGAGGACGGTGCTCTCGAGAGGGTGCTTGTCGCCGAAGTCGTGAGTCAGAGAGCGACAGAAGATAACAGTCCGACGGAGCAGAGTCAGCCTCAGCAGTACCTGAACTCAGTCAAGAATCTGATGCCCAGCTCCATGATGAACAAGCTGGCTAGTGCTCATGGAGGCAGTTTGAGCACGTTGGTATCAGGTAGGATATTATACTTGATCTAAACTGGATTTTAGCTCATAAGAATATAAAATTTTTAAAAAATCAAAGTTACTGTAGAACTACAGTATCTTTTAAGACTGTAAAACCTAAAAAATTTTTCAAGCCACCAACAGTACTAAAAGCACCATTTTAGGAGCGATGAGCCGCCCCGAGAGTCCAGTCTCAACTCCAGTCAAAGAACCTCACCGTCGTCGCTCATCGTCACGTTCAGAAGTGGGCTATCCTCAACAACATCGCAACCAGTCCCTCTCCCGCCCCGCCCAGTACAACTACTACTCAGCACGAGAAGGGAACAAGCACCAGCGATCGCCTTCAGTATCAGAAGCCCCGGCCAAGTCGTGGGATCCTCGCACCAACGAACTACAGCACCGAATCGGAGAAGCCGTGAACGCCCTGGTGAAGCACTTCTTGTGCCAGTCAGGGAACCCGACTGCCAATCTGACTCAGCTCCTGTGCGGCGAGAAGGGGCTGATCAAGTACCTGGAGCAGGTCTTCATCCTCGGCCGAAAGGATTCGCTCTTCAGATTCTTCGGGAAGACGTACCCGTGGGATTACATAGGTAAGGGAGTCTAAAAACACTGTAAATACCTTATATTAGCATTTAAATTATTTTTTAAATTCAATTTTAAAATTTTACAGATTGCCTGGAGGTACATTACCTAAAAAGCTCAATTTTTAACAAAAATCAAGCATTTTCATATTTTTAAATTTTAAAATTTTAAATTTCAGAAAAGTCGTTTTCCTGGTTTGCCAATCTGATTCCCTCGGCGACAGGAGAAGCGTTGAGTCGAGACCAGAAGTCTATCATAATATACGCTTACGACGTGGTAACAAAGATCGCTGCCAATGCCAATGTGGGCAAAGAAGGCAAATTCCATGCTTTCTTGCTTCTTACCTTGAGGTAGGGTAGAAAACTTTTAGGTATATGCATAAAGTAAAGGTTTTTACCCAAAAATTGAAGAACTGATGTGGGCGCAGCTCAAAAAATTAGTTTTGCAGGCTGCAGATATTAGATTTCGCCGATTTTTGGCTTTTTTTGATGGAAATGATTGAGTTGTAATTTTTAATAGTTTTGTCATTTTTAGAGACCACCAACTAGGAGCACTACTCTCATTGCTAGCCTGGACGCCAGTAACCAAGGAGTTTTACGATGAAACCTCGATTCTGAATCAGCCTGGGCAGTTGAAGGCATTGAACCGACTTCTGAATGCTCTTCACGACTTCAACTTCAACTTTGAGTCTTCTCTAACATATGGTATTGGAATCTAAACTGCTACGGTAACCGAAGATCATTGGGTACAAATATAGTATCTTGAGACGGCACCTAGAGCAGCAGCTCTTACGCAGATCTGAATGTCTCTTTGTACGTTGTCTGATATTATCTGCACCATAGATATTATTGGGTTATTGAAATAGTTCTGTGCCCTTTTTCAAAACAAGATTTCGGGGTTAGATGGCTCATAATTTTTTGAACAATGTAATATTTGACTAACGTATTCTTATGCCATACACAATGTGCTGATATACAGTCTTTATGGAGTGTACAAAAGGATGTTATAGTAATATTCCGGTGATTTCCAATCTTTCAGACACATGACAAGCTACAACTTTACGCAATACGGTCGTATCATACTAATCAATCAATTTTAGTCTAATTTTTTGGTTATGTAAAGGAAATTACGTTTTTTTTACTCTGATAATTGATAATGTACAAAGTTTGGTTAATATTAGGTTGTTCAAATAATTCTGAGCCAACTTTTAAAGCAAAGTTGTGGGATCGGGGGCACAGAATTATTTGTACAACCTAATATATTTCTTTATAGTATTCTTGTTTATCATGTTTGTGTCATATACTACGAACATGTTATCTTTTCATGTCCGTATCTTCTGTCATTACCTGTAATTACAATATATGTTTAGTGAAGTTCACTAAATACCATGTCTACTTTAATACAGTAGAATTTAAATTATGTTGATTATACTCCAAGAATCTTTATGTTCAAGTTGTTACCGTCTCATCGTATCTTGGAATACAAGATACGTTGATGTATATTGTTTATCGCTCCAGAATTTAACGGGTTTTGAAAAATTTGAATAAATTTTACATAAATATAATGAAATGGCTATTACAATATGTGATGGTCGGGTATAAAGCAGAACAGCATTCATTCCACGTTTAATCACAAGAAATATTAGTTTTAGGTAACAAATTTAGAAAAGCTTTTAGTCACAATAATTTGTGTCGCCAGTTTAGTGTAATATCAATTTTGAAACCAGCCATAGTCAGGTTCAAATCCAAAGAAGCGATTAGAAGTTTTTTGATTTTTTTGAATAAATCGATCCAAATCACTGCTTTTTGTAGTCTTTTTTGTTAAAAAATAAGTTTCAAAACAAAAGCAGTCGTTTTATGCTGTAAATAAGGTTTGTTTATTGTGTTGTTTTTGATTGTGTTTGGCAGTTGATAATAAGAAAAACAATCAGTAGAAAGGTTTTGTATCAAATACTGTGCGAAACTTGTGAAGTTCTAGACTAGTTATGGCTAGCAAGCTTCGTTCTTATTCTTGACCTGTCGTTTATGAATAGTAGCTTCAAATACCTTAGGAAAATCTCTCCCGAGTTTTTTATTCCCTAAGATGACCTGTTCGGCAGGGGTTGAGATACGAGCCGGGCCTAATTTTTGAGACCCGGCCCAAGCCCGGGGCCTTAGGTCCGGCCCGTTTTTATTTTTTTTCTCAGGTTGTCCCGGCCCGCTCCGTTTTAAAAAATTTTTAATATTTTTTGCAGCCGTGCTTTACTTTTCAAGCCCGGACTGTTTCAACTACAGTTCAAGGCCGTCCTCGTTTTTGAAGCCTATCTTCCGCCAAATTTAAAAATTTTTTTAAATGGTTATAAAATCATAGTATCAGATTAACTACGCAGATACATTTTTGATATCGGCAAACATTGCCATCAATATGACATTCGATAAGTCGATTGCGGTCGAAAGGCTCAGCACAGCGCCGTTCGATCGACCTTAATATGCCTAATTGTGAACCTCGCAATCTCGCCGGCCAAGCTCGCGAGAGTCAGAAGTCTGACCTGAATTCGTCCTTTTGGTGCGCGAGTCGTAAAATAAGGTTTAAGTGGCATTAATTATTTTTATTTTCAGTAACTTATTATCATGTTTGGACTAAATGATAAGTTTTTGCCATAGTATGGGTTATTGGACATGAGATAGTCTAAGAATAGCAGATACTACCAGAAGATATAACAAGTTTTTTATATCTCTTACCTTTCTACTATGCCGGACAATAAGTTACATTTTAAGCCCAATTGTTTGGGAAAAGAGGTAAGTTAATGTAACTTTAAGTTCGCTATTGTTACTTTACTTTACTTTTTTAAAACAACACCTTTTGTATTTATATCTGTTCTAACTATTTTAATATCTAAACTAACTAAAGTCGTTTTTTTAGTTGTGGGACCAAATACTAAAGCATGTCACCGCAATGGAAGATGTATGCAGTTTCGCTATGGTAAATGCTTATTACTACAAAGTAGGAGGTAACGATTTTAAGAAATTATGCTTAGAAAATGCCATTTTTCGATTGAAAAATGAAACATGGGCTTATGCGTTCAAACGGTAAGTAATATAAATATTATTTTACAGCTTAAACTTTAGTTTTATTATGTGATAAAACGTATTTGTATGACTTTAATTTACACGTTTTTGTTACTGCTGTATCTATGTTTTATGATTTACAGAGCTGGTTACCGTGGCCCGTTCCCGCCATCTGAATTAAAACACTATGCTTTCTGTGACTCTTCGATCTGTTGCCCCTACACTGGCAAGATGGCTGTGATTGTACGTCTAGCACATGTATTAATTACAAACATTGACTTTAGCTCAAAAGAGTACCAACTGCTAGACTTTACCGAGTATAACTATGTTTCAAAAGTACAAATAACAAATAGAGGAAAGCAAATGATTGTAGACACTTATCGTGCTTACATCGTATATGATTTGACAAAGAATAGCATAGTTAGAGTGTACGAAGCTGAAAGAAGTGATCGATACATCTCAAAGTATACCATTTACAGAAATGGGGTACTAACTGATGTTTTGAACCAAAAAGAGTTCGCGGTTTGTGCAAAAAGTTACTGGATAAACATAAAGAAAGTAAATAACTATGGCATCAGAAAGTATATCGGATACGTTAGTGAAGACAACAGGTTCGTACTCATCGAAACATCGACAGGCAGAGAAATGGCGCTGTGCGAGATAACTAGAGAAGGTATTTGGGTTGACATTGATGATGACTCCGATAGTCTGGTTATACGTAGTAAGTTAAGCAAAAAAACGACATAAAGTAGTTAATAACAATATACGATAGTGCTATAGAACGATGTAAGGCAGGACAAAGTGGTTGCCCTTCCCATATCACCGCTTATGATCACTATCTTTACGGCCAATTACCTTTAAAGTAAATCAACAAGTATTTCAGGAAGAAAATTTAGACTTTTCGACATTCGCACCCAAACGAGCATAATTGACGTTGATCTGACATCTACAAGGCATCACCTAACATCTATCCAATGCATATATAGTATTCACCTCAAGAATGTAAGTTTTTAACTTTTCTTGTAAAGATCAAGTTCAACTTTTTGAATGTTTTTGGATAAACATCTCCCACTCTGCCTTGGTTAAAGTAATCTGTGCTTACAATTCTTTTTATACTTTCAGTTTATTTGCTACAACAACCGTAAGAAAAGATGGGAAGACCTGGGACACTTCCCATACATAAGTGTCAAACCCATTATGTACTGTGGTACTGACTTTGTACTTCCGATGATGTCTTTATACGAAGCATGGAAGGAAATATCAGAGGTAAAATACGCACCTTACGTATTTTACCTTGATTTCAGTAAAAGTAAGTATCACGATTTTGAAGTTTACAATTTACAATTTTAGAATGTAAAGCCCATACACAACATAATGAGTCAGTATTATACATTAGGATTACAAACATACTAATGTTTTAATTTTCAGGTAAAATACAAGCAAAGACAGTTGTTAACGTTAAGAGTGAAGAACGAGGAAAGATTCATAAACTATGTGATATTACAGTAGAAGACGGCGATGATGCTGCTAGTATCAAGAAAAAGTTCAAAGAAACCATTGATTATATTACCCGGTCGGAGGTTAGCAATTCGTGCTGAGCAATTTACAAATAGTCTTTCCAGATATATTTAGTTCTGCAGATACTTACAACCTAGTCTAATATTATTTATAAAACTATTAAGTCGTTAAAATCATTCTGTGCCCCCTAATCCTAAAAATTTGTTTTGAGAGGGGGCAATTGAAGAGCCTAACATTTATAAAATTTAATATTATTTACAGGGACGTCGCTACAGATTTTCTCTGGGGGAGGGCGAGGCCGAAAATTTTTTTTCGTCCACAGGTCCTGTGGACCGATTTTCCAAAATTTTTTTTTTCGTTTTTTCACGTACAGGTACCTAGCTGTGTAATTTTTTTCGGATCGGCTCTGGGGGAGGGGGTACCCCCCCCTCCCCCTCCCCCAAACGACGTCCCTGATTATTTATAAACTATTTACCTTACTATAAAAATAAAAGTGCTGTATAAATATTTGGCGACCTTCCTAACATTTTCTCAAACAATAAACGTAAAACGCGGGGGTCGTAGCATTAAACATCGTCAGATAACTATATACCTATATTAGCGATAGCAATCGATCCAATTACCACAACTAACACAAGATCAGATAATGTAACCCATTTCAATTCGGCTTTTAAGGAAGTAGAAATATATTTGTCGGGCTTTTAAAAACATTTTTGTAGGGTAATTGGAATTGATTTTGTAACAGAGAAGGTAGAGTTTTAAATTGTGAGCTGTATTTTTGAAAGAATCAAGGATAATATAAAGTGTAATATGAAGTTGTTGAGCAACCCTGTGCTAGAATGAAAGAATGCGTTCGCTCTAACACTTACCGTGTTAAATTTAATCAATTACTTGTTAAATTAGTTGTAAAAATTTAGGTCAAGCGCTTTGCACTAACAAACCAAAGACAAATTGTGGAATTTTTAAAAAACGTACTGTTTACCTTTCTAAATAGTGGTTGTTAACCTTTCTAAATTGTAGTTTTCTTTGTAACATTATTTAAACCCAAAGAAAAAATTTTAATTCTTTATCAAATTGTATCTACATCAAATTTGCTAGAAATCGTCAAATTTTACAAATTTTGTCTAGAGAGAAACTTGACCTCCAAAAAAAAGAGTCAAGTTTATTATTTTTAATTATTTTATAAAATTTCGACTGGTAAATTAAAAAAACCGTTTATTTTTCAGATTATATTTATTTTGACTTTTTAAAGCTGACTATTACACTTTTTCGTCTTATCTTTTCTTTTTTAATGATTTTTGAGGGTGTGTAACTAAAATGACATTTTAGAGTCTAACATAATATCGTTTATACGTGGCAATTCATTATAATTCAGTCTAGTTTGATAGTTATTAGACGTTTGCATGTTTTATTGCTGTTAATGTTATTTTATATTGTTTTATCAAAAACTAGGATGGAAAATGTGTTACGTGAAGTAAAATTGAATAATGGGGCACTTCTAGTATATATGTAATATAAAACAAAATGCATGTTAAAATTTAAAATAAGTTCGCCTACTTTTTAAAATAACCATTGATGTTTGAATAACCTTTTAAGCTAAACCGTATTATAATAGACGGCTATGTTTTGAATTTTAAAGTGCTTTTTTGAACCACGCATTGGATTTGAATGTAAATTAGCTTCGGGACCTTTATTTTAAACGTTTTTCATATGGTTTAATGTTCGTGTTAATGTGAAAATGGAGGAGTAAGTGTTCAAATGACAATATATGGGTTTTTAGGGAAATGGCCGTCGGAAAGCCAGGCCATTCGTTGTTGGCCAGAGCTGGATCAGCGGTTTTCTTTGGACTGGTCTCGGTTCTGATCGTTTTCATCAACAAGATCTTGTTAACCAACTTGCAGTAAGTAGTTTTTGTTTTTTTTTCAGTTTTTAGTTATGAATTGGATGGTAGTTGATGTTAATAACAACAAGTTTTGTCTATAAAATAACATTTTGCCGAGTTTATGGTGTTTTACAGAAAATTGGTGTCAAAAGCTTTTTCGTTAATGAAAAAACTTCTAAAATACTGTAGAGGATCTAACCTACTTATTGCAAAGATATGAACTTTTGTTATCTATCAAAATTTTCAGTTTTCCTTCGTTTCTTTATGTTGGACTTGGTCAGATGGGAGCCACGGTGTTGGTTTTGTTCGTAGCACAAAAATGTAGCATTGTCGACTTTCCACGATGTGATAATTCGATTCCAAAGAGGATATTTCCTTTGCCGTTGATCTACTTTGTTAATCTGGTCTCTGGACTTGGGTCCACACAGAAATTGAAGTAGGTTTTATGTTAGACATGACATTTCTTGGAATTTTTTGAAATTGTAATGAAGAACATGATTTTAAGTCACTATACTTGACTAGTCAGTTTCTTTTGAGGTATATTTTAGTTCAAATGGTATAAATTATCCTTCGGTTTATCAAATTATGTTTTCAGCTTGCCAATGTTCACAGTGCTTCGACGGTTCTCAATTTTCTTAACCATGGTATTTGAATATTTGTTGTTAGGGTAAGTTGTAAGCTTTTTTTTGAGTATTTTACAGTTTTATAGTTTCAGAAAGGTTTATATATAACAATTTTTTTAATTTTAGGACGAATGTGCCTTTTGCCACTAAAGTTAGCGTGTTCTTGATGATATTCGGGTCATTTATCGCTGCTATGTAAGTGAAAATGTTGTTTTTTAAAAAGTATTTAGCGTATGTATTCAAAATGTTGTTGTCTAACGTGTTGCTAAACAATTTATCAATGTTAATATACGTTTTTAGCTAAATTTAATTAAACCATAACTGGCTTACGCACAAGTCTTTAATAACTATGTGACTTTTAGCTACGATCTGACGTTTGATGCATATGGATACTTCCTGATCTTAATCAACGACATCTTCACAGCGGCCAACGGCGTTTACATGAAGAAGAAGTTGGATGCCAAAGACCTGGGCAAATGGGGATTATTGTACTACAACTCTTTGTTCATGATTGTACCGGCGATGGTATTAGCGTTTGTCACTGAAGATACTGAGAAAGTACGAGCATTCGTCGAGGCTGGTAACATGACAGCATCAGTGGTACTGTGCTTTATATTGTCATCGATTTGTGGATTTATACTCAACTATTCGTTGGTGCTTTGTACTCATTACAATTCTGCTCTTACTACGACTTGTGTTGGGCCTATTAAGGTAAGTTTTGATGGGACAATATAACTAAGCATGGACAAGGAGATGTCGGGATAGGGAGAGAGTAGATAAGTGGAGTGGTTAGTTGTTTGAACTTGTAAAAAAATTTCTTAGAGGCCCATATAAGCTAATTTACTGTAAGGATAGCGAGACAAACCACAAGACTTATTTTTTGATTTCAGAACTTGGTGGTAACATACGCTGGAATGGTATCAAGCGGCGACTACGTCTTCCAGTGGGCCAACTTTATCGGTGTCAATATTAGTGTCCTGGGATCGATACTGTACACTTATGTGACATTCAGAACGAAATTGACCAACAAACGAGAAATCACCATAAAACCGACTGCTTCGAAAGATACCGAACGGTTACTGGCATAGTAACGTACTGGTTAGTAATGCATATTAAGGTAAGATACTTTCCTAGCGATTCATATTAATTTTTACATTTTATATCATTTGGTTACAGTGTCTTCTATAACATATTGCTTAAGTGTTTTTTAAATTTAAATATTGTGACATTTTTTACTGACTTAAAATATATTCACAGGGTTACAGTTGTATTTACAGTATCTAAAGTCTGTGATACTTCAATATGTGCTTCTTAATAGCTTATTATTGTCGTATGTTACTTCAATAGTCACATATTAAGCATATTCTTGTCGTAGGTTACGTTAAGCTTGTTGTACGTACCCGTAGATTAACTAATTTATTATTTTTATATTGTCAGTTAAGTTTTATAGCTTTTCTACAATGCTATAAGGTGTTGCTTGTCCTAATAAGTCTTTTCATTTTACTATCAATGTCTTTTACAGTAGTTTTTATGGCAATTTATTATATTATTGTCAAATTTTTCTTAACTAGATTTTATCATATCCTGTGATTGCTTTAAGTGCCTTAAGGTTGAACTATACAGCTCAATTAAAGTTTCATGTCGGTTGTATTAAAAGTGCCCATATTATCTTACCTATGTTCAGATTGTGATATAATTTATTGATTTTCAAATGCTAATAAATTTAATTTATTACTAGGTTTATATTGTTTATGGTATGCATACTGGTACTAAAGGGGTCTTATGGCCGTACCTCTATTCCCTGGCCTTAAAATCACTATAGTCATGTTGTAACAGGTATATTAGGTCGTATTATAAAGATATATTAGCCATAGCAAGCAACAAAAAATTCTATATAGGTATCGTTTTTCGTAAACTTCAACGAAGTATTGCAATTTTTATTATAGCGCAGTGAAAACCCGTTTGAAACAAGAAAAAATACATGAGATTATATACAGTAATGTTATTCTTCATTCCCAGTCGACCGTTGGCGAGCTTTTGGCCGGCGTTTTCGGAGGACGGTGTCGTTCCAAGAACTCTTCTCTCCTCTTTTTAACTTCTTCATAAAAGGCAATGATGACGTCGTAGCCTGAAACAATATTATAGATGTATGTTATACTAAAAAGACTATAAATTTTAAACATAAAATAGGCTATATTAACCTCGAGGACACTCTAGAGCAAATCAAATCTAGCTACAGTAGAATATACAGTAAATACCGTATAGCTAAAAGTAAGTTTTCAAGAAAAAACGGTTATACTTACTTGGAATCCATGGCTGAAAGGAGAAAATGATGGTATCTATTTTTCCGTTTCCCCGTATTTCGAAGCTCATCGCTTTTAAAATGTCGTTCATTTTAGGAGTACTCTTATAGCGACCGACGGCTTGGAAATGCTTGTACAACTAAAAATCCGACTTATAAAAGAGAACTCTAACTATAGTTCAAGTAAATAAATAATTCAGCTGAAATTAGTGCAATGTATTCAATAATCATTAATACAAACTTTTTAAATCCCCTAACCATTATTAGTCTGTATACATACCTCAGCATTAAGTCCACATCCATACTCTTTCAAATAACCATTAAGTCCAGAATGTGTAAGTGGTTTGCGATCTTGCATGCCTCTTAGAACACATTGGCAGATCAGTTGGCGGTACTACAACAAGGGTTTTAGTAATTAATGAAGGAAAAAACAAACTAATTTGTATACTTATTTTGTCATTGAATTAAAAGTGTTAGACAGTTTACCTTAATACAATGAAAAATATCAGACAGAGTTTAATTCAAAAGACAAAACTAACTCAAAAACTGCCCTGTTAGTTAAGATTCATGTATAAAAGCACCCTTCAGATCATATTTCTAAACGTAAAACACAAATTATTGAAGAAACTTACTTCTAATTCATCGTCAGTTGGAAAATGGCCCTTCTCTTCGTATCCCTTTATCACTCTTTCCATTTCCTTTTGCCAAGCCTCCCTAAAACAATATAAATCAGACATTGTTTTAAAGAAACTAAATTCGTTTACTATCACAATAATTCTAATAGCTAATATTTGCAATATCACAGCTTTCTTCAGCTTTCAAAGACCAATTTAATATCTAAACAATGAATATTTACAATAAAACCTTACATTCTCTTCAGCCGCTCCTCTTCCTGCCTTTGCTTGTACGCCTCTGCATTCATCCTGGCCTGATCCTGTGCATATTCAAAAATAATCGGCTTTATCGTCCCATCGCCATTAAAGTTGTCCAACATGTTGTTCATGCCTTTGTTGTACTTGCAAAACATTGTAAAGTTCTTGTAGCCCAATCTATTGACAACTTGATTCAATGGCATCCTAAAAAACTCGTCGAAATAGTCGATAACATCGTCAACAGTAACAACTTTGGGAAATTCGGCCAAGATATAAGTGTATATTCGTTCAACAACATTGTCCAAGATCTCTTCTTCACTCAGAGTGCGAAACAAGTAAAACATGTCCATTGTTGAAGTCATGCTGAAATAAAATAATTTAAGAAGTTCATGAAAATTAAAAAGAAGCTTGTCGACTTAAAATCTTCAATACAACTTTAGCTAAAGCTTTAGAAGCTCTTCCTCAAAAGTCAATCAAATCTTTTCATAGATTATAAGAAGACGGCGAAAGTTGCGCCCTAGCTTCCGTCGTATAACATGTTCTTTTTCAATGTTTTGTGTCGGATTATCTTTTTCTTTCCGTATTTTATCGTATTCTTTATAAATCTTTTAAATTAACGTGTAATGTACTATATTTTTTCTCATATTTATTATGCTTTTAAAGTTATTTAACCATAATATTGTATATTATAGTTCTTGCATTGCCAGAAAAATAAAAATTAGATCTGGCTGCCAAGCTGGGCCCACTTTTAAGCCGGTCAGACAGCCAAGTCAAATGGAATGTATGATATTAGATTTTAATATAAATAATGTTAAATGTTTTGAAAACAAATGTTATGATAAGACAATGACTAAACAGTATATTAACGTTAAGATCATGTTGTTTGGCAGAGGATATGTTGGAAATGCAATATGATAATTAAATATATGTTGTTACTGCAGACGTTAACCTAAGTTTTTAAAGATTTTAAAATCTCGAGAAAGCTCTTCATAACTGTACAGAAAGAAAGGTCATTACCTACATCATATTCTAACTGACAGTGATATTATGTTATAAAACTGTACTACAACATCTACCATTAGTTAGTTATGATAGATAAATATATAGTGAAGCATATATTATCCTAGCATCACTATGTTTTGATATGTTATCATCGTATCATCAATAAATGTAGTTTATGACGCCCGTCTTTCCAACATAGGATACTCTTCTGTGTGTAGTCCTGATGGTCCCATTAGGACCGAAATTTTGGTTTTCAATTGAGTACCAGTTAAACTGCACCATTCTGCATCATGATGTAGTAGTCGTTTTATCGACTCGGTCAGTAAACTACGGTATCTTCGTGAAACCAGGCAGTAAATGCAGAAATTGAGCGATGCATTTAGGAATACCAACTGAAATACTAATATTAATAATGGTAAAGAAGGATGTGGGGTGGGGTGTGGCATGGTGGAGCGGTGTAGGATGAGGTACAACAGGGTTTATACTATATATTACACTGGGTACGGTAGTGTAATATATATTACAATGGATACATGCTACTGTTAATGATAACATTATGATGGTACATATATCCTAAACAACATACCAACTGACTGATACACATATATATGACCACAGTAGGATGATATGGGCCTAGATAGTCGTACAGTAACCTCGCTGGTGCTTGTGGTCCAATACATACGAACAATAGTACTACTACGGCGAACAGAATGGCGTTTGCGTTGAACTTGTTGCCATTACTTTCTTCAGCCGGCTGTAGCATTGTCGTTGTATCTGCACCGCTCGATCGGCGTTTATCTGATTCTACTACTTGTTTTAGTGTTCGAACCAATAGAGAGTTGAGTACGAGAATTAATAGGATCGGGAATATGTTGAACATGACCAGGGATACCATATTGGTCAGGCGGTAGTACATCTGAAGAAATATTGCATTAATGTTAACTAATAATGTATTAATAACCTTATGGTATGTATATTAAACATGTTAAGGTGTAATTAAAAACAAAATTACTAGAATAAAGTACAGTAAAATATACTGTATGTTTAAACATAAGATGACAAAATGTAAAAAAGCTTACCTGTAGAGTAGCGTCGGTTTTCATGGTAATAATGTAGTAGTAATGATCGCTTTCATAGTCAAAACACTCTGTTACTTGATACACTAATGGCCACTGTAAACTGCATCCAAATGCTATTGTCAATGATAACATAACAGCCAGTAGAGACGTCCGTGATGTGCATACTCGATGTGCCCACAAAGGTTTGCATACACAAACGTATCTCTCTATGTTGAAGGCTACTACTACTCTGTAAGTGATGAGGTTGTGGTTGGAAATGGACATATGAATATATAACACTATATATTACTTAGTAAACACATCTTACTTTATGTCTACCCACATTATCTTATTCTACCCTACCCTACCCTTATCAACAACTTACAATATAGAAGCCCTGAAGAAAGTAGAAGCGATAGTTCGTATGTACAACACCATCTTGGTATACATCGCATTCAAAGTAGAGTTTCTGATGAACAAATGTAAACTAGAAGGTGTCACATCTAATGTCGCAAACACCAAGAATAAGCTATCGAACAGTGCCAGAGATACCAACAAATGCCACGATGGCATCCTCCTAGCAGCTTTATTCGATGTTAATATGTGTAGATTCAGAAGATTACACAGTATTCCTACTAGTGCTATCGATGGCAGTACTAGAACATTGGAGTACCATACTAGATCAAGGGCTTCTTGTTCTGGGGTTTCTGTAGCCACGGCTACATGAGGGCGAATGGAGCATACGTTGAAGAGGTAAGATTCTTCTAGGAACTGGAGATCTTCGTCCATTTGGAGTGCTGTAATGTTAAGATTAGAGTAAAATGATAGTTTTTAATGGGGATGACAAGTACAGTAAAGTTACAAGTTATACAACGGCAAAATGTAATACAGTACTTAACAAAAAGTATTTTCGTCTCCCAAAGTAATGCTTATAAAGTAACATATACTTCGTCTAAAACTAATTTTCCTTAAAAAATCATAAGAAAAACCATTATTTAACAATCTCAAGAGCTCAAGAAACATTATCTTAATATACCAAATACACATCACAAGGAAGATCTTATGATAAATATTATCAAAACAAGATATCAGAAAAACAACATCAAAGTCAATTAATATGCATCTGAATATAATATTCAGTTAAAGTGCATCAGATGGATTTGTGATCGAGAAATGGGCGCAGTAAAGGGGAAAGGGGGGGGGGTTTGGACAAACAAGAATCTCGACCGACCACCTCGAGAGTCGAGACTTTACAAGTTTTCGGCTTTCAAAGGCTAAATTTGAATTTAAATAGTATTATACTTGGATATACGGTACGTAAGTTACAGTATGAGGGTATAATACCATTTTGTAACATTAGTCGAGTGTAAATACACTTACATACTATAATGTAAGAGAGTATGCTAATATATAAAATACTATGTAATACTCCTGTTATTTTTAATCTACAGTATTAACCTACAGTATGACAATAATCTTACATTAAATTTTATAATCGTGAGACTAGAATACAGTAACTACCACGGTAAGAACACTTTCCTTGCACTTTCTCGTACAAGATATGACAAGTAAATAGAGAGATCGCGACTTGGAAGGAAAAGTCGTGACCTCCCATCTGAATGCCTCAGGGTTTGATTTATGGGCTCGGAATAAATATGTTCAATTAGTTCCATACTAAAAATAGAACATACTTGCATATGATATTGCCTTTCTTATAATCTTAAAGATTTTCTTTTTGCAATTACGGTATCTTTGTTATAGTCTTACTTTAACCATACTCAAGATTTCTCACAGCCTTTACTTTAGCCTTAACGTGAGAAGTCTCTCCTACCCTACCCTACCCCACCCAATCTTGTTACATCCCCTTAGAAGCTCTACTTTATCCCACTGTGTCCTTAGCTTTTTGTTTCGCTTACAGGTAGCTATCGGTTCAGTTCGATCCTAAAACCAAGACCCGGACTGCGGTCCTAAATTTTTTAACCAGGCCAATTTTGAAAATGCGTTTGACCGGACCGACAGACCTCTGGCCTCGCCTTTATTAAAACTGACCCTACCTTGGCTTACAACTTTATGTTTCGTCTACGAAACTTTAAACATCAATTGTAAACCAATAAATAACAAGCTAAAAATAACACAAAATAATAACCTAAATATTTAACAAAAGAGCAATTCAAAATAATATGTACAAGATAAGTGGTAAAAGCAATCGTTTTCGAACCGAAAAAAACGAATTCCGAAGACGGTAAACAAGATTTGACGCGAACAATGTAGCTAATGGTCATTGTCCACAAAGTAAACACGTAGATCTATTTTTGGTTTGTGTCTTTGTTGTCGTCGTATCTTGTTTCGCGGTTATTGTAAACGATCCTATTTCGTATTACTTTGTATTACAATTGGGATACTGCGTTGTTACTATAACCATTATATAGACGTCTTGACCATTGATAAGTAAGTTGTTACTGGTCAAGAACAAATAGATTGTTCAACTAATCCTGCGCCCCTCAACCCCAAAAAGTTGCTCTGAGAAAAGGCACAGAATTATTTAAAAAACCTAATATGTAGAAACAAGCTATTATAACAACATAACAGCATTGATCAAATAACATGATATAGTCATTTGAATATATAAATAAATTCAATTTTTTAACAAAACCTACTATGGTAATTAGTAATACTATAGTCTAACCCTTGACATATCACACGTCTGTTAATGATATATTCGATTGAGAAGTAATGTATGCAGATCAAGGTAAACAACACGTTTTTCACTGAAATGCGTGATTAAATTCACTTATCTTAACTATAAAAACAGCCGGTTTGCACCATACAGCTCAACAAACGATCGTATTTTGCGCTTTAACTGACATATGTGCTAAATTACTTCAAGTTTCCAGTAGCATCTGTTACCTATTTTATAGTAATCAAGCCTTTTACTTATTACTTTTCTAACTTTTGATTATTGACTTCTCTAAACATCGTATCTTGAATCAGATACAATAATTTCATACTAATCCCTTAAAATACTTAAAACTTGTGTATTCGTCAAGAACTTCAAACCTACAGTCAAATTTTGACTGTATAAAGACTCACCACCTTATGTATACATGCTGTATACGATGAGAGCCTTGTCCGGTACCTCGTCCAAGTTCGTATCAGCGTCGTTCGTAACCAAATGTGCGATGATCGTAATGGATGCCATGCTGATCGTAATCATCTTCTTCAAACCCTTTTAGACCGCTAAAAGTGTACCACCTTGTACAAACGATGTATATTACCAAGTAAATATTTGCCATTAATAAATTTTAATTATGATTAATATTACAGTAATTAAAACCTTTTGCCCCATTTTTCATATTATAGCTTAACCAATGTCAAAAAACGCTTGCGTTTAAGTGCCTCCCCTCTCGCTAGAATCTTACTTTATAATTTTATACATAACATTTTTAAAACCCAATTACAATAAAACTAAAACGATATTAATGTACCTTTACAAACCCATAATAACACCAATCCGAGTACTGTATTCTAATTTAATAAGAAAAGAACAGGTTTATAATGCCAAGTGTTTTCGCCATGTAAAATGTAATCGATGGTGGAAAAGAAATGAGGAAGCAACGGAAGCGACTCTTCAATTACAATTTACTTTCAAATGGGACAAGGATATAAAATTAAATCATTTATAACAATTATATTTAAGAAAGAGACAAGCGGACGGGGGGTTAGTGGTGGTCTCCTCTACTCGGCGTCGAGTTGGCCTTCCTCGGCTTCGTATTCGCCCTCGTCTTCGGCAGTAGCGTCTTGGTATTGTTGGTATTCCGAGATGAGGTCGTTCATGTTGGATTCGGCTTCGGTGAACTCCATCTCGTCCATACCCTCACCAGTGTACCAATGCAAGAAAGCTTTGCGGCGGAACATAGCTGAAATAAAGCATGTTATAAAGTTGTTAAACAAGTTAAATAAGAAAAAATAGAAGAAATACATCAGCATCTACAACATACTACAGATACTATCAAACAGATCACCAAAAATCACTTTTTGCCTTAATTCAGCCAACTTTTCAACGAAAAACATAAATAATTTCATTCATAATTACCTAAAATGCAAAAAAAAAAACCAATTACTTACCGTTAAATTGTTCGCTGATTCTCTTGAACAACTCTTGGATGGCAGTCGAGTTACCAATGAAGGTGGCGGACATCTTAAGACCTCTTGGTGGAATGTCACAGACGGCAGTCTTGACGTTGTTTGGAATCCATTCAACAAAGTAGCTAGCGTTCTTATTCTGTACGCTCATCATTTGGTCGTCAACCTCTCTCATCGACATACGACCACGGAAGATGGCGGCTACGGTAAGGTAACGGCCGTGACGTGGGTCACAAGCAGCCATCATGTTCTTAGCATCGAACATCTAAAAATGAAAAGGTTAGTATTGTAAGTTTACCAATAGCAAGCCATTTTAAATAATTTTACGACAAAATCCAAATTTTTAAAATTATAATTGAACAATTCAAAGCATTCTCTACTATAACATGTTAATAGTAGCATCTTAACATAGAGAAACTCAATTCACAGTAAAAAACTTACTTGTTGCGTAAGTTCAGCAACAGTCGAGGCTCTGTAGGCAGCAACGTTCTTGGCAGACAATGGAGCGAATCCGGGCATGAAGAAGTGAAGACGAGGGAACGGCACCATGTTGACAGCCAGTTTTCTCAAGTCGGCGTTCAACTGACCTGGGAATCGCAAGCAGGTCGTCACTCCGGACATGGTCATCGACACGAGATGGTTCAAGTCGCCGTAGTTGGGGTTAGCCAACTTCAAGGTGCGGAAGCAGATGTCGTACAAGGCTTCGTTGTCAATGCAGAAGGTTTCGTCGGTGTTCTCGACCAGTTGATGGACAGAGAGGGTGGCGTTGTAGGGTTCGACTACGGTATCCGAGACCTTTGGCGATGGGACGACAGAGAAGGAGCTCATGATTCTGTCTGGGTACTCTTCACGGATCTTAGAGATGAGCAGGGTTCCCATACCAGATCCAGTGCCACCACCCAAAGAATGAGTCAGTTGGAAACCTAAAAACACGAGTTATTACTTATATATACATAACACACTAAAAATCGTGCAAACAACAACTTATCTTTAGAAAAAATAAAGTTTCTAAACAAAAACCAATATTACAGAATAATTTAATCCAAAAAACTACAGTAATACCTTCGTTACAGTATTCAAAAGTTCAATTTGTTAATTTTCTTTCTCATACATGCCCTTTTCTCCTTAAAATATCTAAACCACAAAGACAAACATGAAAACCCTACCTTGAAGACAGTCACATCCTTCAGCTTCCTTTCTCACAACATCCAAGACGTTGTCAACCAATTCAGCTCCTTCGGTGTAATGTCCCTTGGCCCAGTTGTTTCCGGCTCCGGATTGGCCGAAGACAAAGTTGTCAGGGCGGAAAAGAGTACCATAAGGTGAGTTCTTGACCGAATCCATGGTACCAGGCTCCAAATCGACCAAAATGGCGCGAGGAACGTAGCGCTTGGTTCCGGTCTCATTGTAGTAGACGTTGATACGCTCCAATTGAAGGTCGGACTCTCCTTGGTACGATCCATCGGGTTGGATACCGTGCTCGTCAGAAATGACTTCCCAGAACTAAAACAATATTTTATAAATTTTAAAGTAAAATTTTTAGTATTCGGCGAAATATATAAATAACAAAAAACCTGTTTTTCGTTATAAAAGCAGTTAAACGCCATTAAAACAAGAACGAGTTGCCTAAAACGTAAAATCATATATTATCTTACCTTGGCACCGATTTGGTTACCGCATTGTCCGGCTTGAATGTGAACGATCTCACGCATCTTGGTTAAGAAGCTTGGTTAGATTTAAAAAACGACTGAAAAAAAACAATGATTATACTCAAAATGGTCGACAACAGCGCGACAAATCACCCAAACTCGTGTAAATATGAAATGACGAATAATATGCCTAAAACAATTTTCTAGGTAAAACCAAAACTCCAAGCTCTTTATAAAGCTCATACAAATGTATAAAGCTTCACCGAACCCAAATTACATTCCGAGGCGAGTGAAATAGGCGCGCGCAAGCGAAAACAACAATTCCCCGCCCGGTGCGGAATGCCAAAGAGCCCTGAATTTCAGGGCGATGCGAGTTTCGCGCGCGAAAGTACCGCTTTTCGGCCTAAAGAACAGGAGTTTTAAATTCACCTTCGCATAAAAATTGGAATACCTGGCAGCAAAAGTTATTTACGAGTAAATTTACGTGATATGCGCGTTACCATGGAAAAAACAATTGGCAAGAACGGTGGCGAACGGCAAAGTGTTAAGATTGAAGCCATTAAAGAGGTCAGAAAACAATGTGACCATTAATCTCGACTGACGTGGCCGAGCTGACAGCTTTTTCAATGTTCAATGCCTCTCGGTCATTTCGAGAAAAATGACGAAAATCGCCGCCGAAATTAGTTTTTCCGCGGAAAACGTTCAAATCTTGGAGGAACGTCCGATAAATAGGGCGTGAAATTAAATAAGTTTGGGCAGTAATTAGTGCGTAATCTATGCCAAATAACTTTTGCCAAAAAGAGAGGTAATATTTCATCGTTAGTTCAAGGCAATCACAATATGTTTTGCAAAAATCTTATCGCAAAACACGGAAACTGTTCAAAGTTATGAAAAATAAATAAAACGTTCCACGTAGCGATTGCAGAACGTCGGAATGACCGGAGTGAAAAGTGAAAACGTTGTGAGCTTCAACGTGCCACAACGTTCTCACGGAGAGTAAAAGCGTCTGGAGATGAGATAAGACGTTCTCTGTGATTCAGAGGCTCGGGAATGTTTTCAAGAGTTCTCGGTTCGAAACTATTGGGAAATACAGCTGTATAAATACACATTATTGGTGGGAGAGGGGGAGATTTTGAATAGAATGTGGGGGTTGTGGCTTGTAGTTCTTAAAGTGGCTATAACCTATATTATAGTTAGTATAAAGATAGATTTTACGACGTAATTTGCTCCTATGGTCCAAACTTAAAATGTTTAGGCTTTTGAAGGTACCAAACGAAGAAAGCTGGGCTATTCTTGTAAATAGTGGCCAAACTATGGCCAGGAAAGACTAGGTATGACTCAAAAAAAAGCCTCAGAGGTGTTAACAACAACAATATTTCATAACAATACTCCAAAAAAAGCAAAAGAAAATATACAAAACGCGACAATAATACCCATTTGATACCCGTTATCACAATTGAAATCCTCAAAAAAGCATAATATTACATTGTAATAGCTATAACATTAAAGGCATTATTTTCTTTCTTCATAAGCGCCTTTGGGCAAAGTAATTATCTTGTGTGTAAATAAAAACAAAACTGTGCTGGTTACTCACAACTGTTTCGAAATGGGTGGGGATCCCCCTCACAATATAAATTTAACCTAGGATTGCGCAATCGGACGGAACGTGAGGGCACAGTCCGTTTCTCGCTTCAATTTTCACGAAATTCGAAAAATTAAAACTTGAGTGAAATTTAGAAGGGGTTGAGAGGTCAATATCTGTCTAAAAATGTAACTTTCAGTTCAAAAAGTGGACTTAAATTAGCTTAAAATCCGAAAAAATTATCTAAAAGACTCAAAAATCACCCCCAACATAATACAAATTACCAAAACCACTTCCAGCTTGACAAAGATGTAAAAGCAAGCAGCAGCGACTTTTGTACGAGAAATTCGATAAAAATAGGGACAAGAGTGCAGGGACAATGGCCAAGGAATACCGAGGCGTTCCCCTCTTGCGAAATCGTCCAGCAGCCATGACCGCAGGCCGTTTTTGCCGTCGAAGAAGAATGTTTCCTCCGCCGAGGGGGGAAGTGGCCGCGTTCCATGTATTTATTATTCAGAGATTACTGACTGATGTTTCATTGCCTCTAAAAGGTTGGGGCAATTCGAAAAATGGCAGAAAATGGTTGTGGAATTGTGAGAAAAAGGGGAAAATCAGTGGGAGGTCGGAGGAAATGGTCCATAAGTTTTGGGAAAGTGGAGGAAATTGCAAAAAAATTTGTCAAATTACAGAAGAGAGTTTATAAGTTTTGGCACGTTGAGAAAACCGGTCAAAAAGTTTTTGGAAATTAAAAAAAAAATGGACGAAGAGCCTGTAAATAGCCTAGTAAATGGCCCAAGTTGTCTAGTAAATGCCCTAAAGCATTGAAAATCTTCGAAATAACTGTAAATCACAAGGACAAAGTTGTCTGCGAATGGGGTGAGGTTAATTTAATCATGTACGTGCATCGCCACTGAGTTTGGGATGCACAAACGAACTTTGAAAAGTAAATAACGTAGTTCATGTGGGAGAGTAAACATTCTTTTTACAACAAAGTTTTGCAAATTCAATAAAAAATGTTTACAACTTTAAAAACAACAAAAAAGAAGATAAAAAAATTACAAACAAGTTTAAAAATAGTTCAAAACACTTCAAAAACAAGTAAAAAACATTCAAAATATCTATAAAACAGTTAAAAACAAGCTAAAAACATTGATAAACAAATGGAAAAACGACAAAGCAACTTTACATTTGATAAACAAATGCAAGAACCCCAGAACAACAAGAAATTCAAGTAAATATCCCCGAAAGGGCTGGGGAAAGCCATGCGATATGCAGATTTGAGCGCAATTTATCGGCGGTTTAAAATAAGGCCAATCTAATGGCAGAGTCGGACGGGGGTCATGAAGGGAAGCCAAGGAGCAGATGTCAAGCATTACTCTCGGCATTATCCCCTATACCCATGTCCACTATAATACCCGAATAAAATCAAAAATAAATAGGAATAGCATGCATTCTATTTCTATTTTAACATGTACTGTACTAAACCAATCTAAAGTAATATACATCAAGCCACAGTGTAATTGATGTGGAGCGACACAGTTTGCTACTCTCCCCCAGCAATTTTGGTTTGTCTTTGGCCTCGGGAAAAACGGGCCGAATCCCCCCGGGGCGATAGCCAAATGAATTTCCCTCCAATTTTAGTGCCATTTCAAAGGCCTCGGGCCCCAAGTTACTGCGCCAGTAAATGGCCCTTATGTTTGGTTTGGAAACAATGTTTGAGTGGAGTCACAAAATGAGTAGGAGATGTTGAGCTTGGTGGTGGTTCGTTGTAGTAGGAGGTATTATGCTCGGTGGTGGCTGATTGTAAATAGTTAGGAAGTTATATTGTAGTAGATTAGTGATGAAGCATAATATTAATATAAATTACTCAGATAATACGACAAAATGAGTAATTTGATAAGTATAACATTGATATTACGAATACTTAGGTAACAAAATGAGCAATTTGATTGATGTATGGTATGTTATGATATGCCATATGTTGAGGTATATATAATACTCAAATGTCATAAAACTTGACTAAAAGAATTCAAAATACTGATTTGATCATTACTTTACTACAACAAACAAAAACAACGTCTTTACTCTGTAAAATTACCGTGGTATCTATACTCCTACTATCTAAAAGTACTTTGGTAACTACATGTATAAGTTTACTCTCAAGACCATAACATTACTATAACAGCTAAAAACCATATCTTTACTGTCTACAACAACTGATTTGCCATAGTATTACCATAACTGTAATAATCATGAATTTACTGTCTACAACGACTGCATAACACAAATCTATGTCTATCTTAAGGTTGGTACACTTTGGGTGTTCTGCCGCTTTTCTTGATGATCTCGGCTGTGTATCGCTCTGGTTGTACGATGGTTTCCTCTACGATACAACCACGTACTGTCTGGGGTTCGGTGTTGACGAACAAGTCGGAGTACAAGGCCTCCAATGGCAGTTCTGGGTCGGAGATGGACTGCTTCACAGCTTCGTCCACGGCTACACGAACGTCTTTTTCAATTTGCTGAAAAGTGGGAAAAATTACAGTAAGCCAGGGTTACTTTAGGTCAAGAAAAGATTACTGTAACTCACTTAACAGTTACTGTATGTCAGTTAAAGGTATATCACCAAAAGTCCCTTATTTCATATAAAAAACCGTATATTACAGTATACTTTGCCAACTAATATAGTAAGATATCACTATAATCATAACACCCGCAATATCTGTACCGTGACTTCCTATGCCTACCTTCAACTCCTCGTCGTTAGCCAGACCAGCAGTGACGATCTTGTCCTTGAATCCGACGATAGCATCACGATGTTTTCTGACTTCCTGTACCTCTTCACGAGTACGATAGCTGGTACCAGGGTCAGACATAGAGTGACCGACGTATCTGTAGGTAGCCAACTCGAGTACCAAAGGTCCTTTGCCGGCGATACAGTACTCACGAGCAAAGTGGATGGCTTCTCGTACTGTGAGCACGTCCATACCGTCCACCCAGATTCCTGGTACCAGAATTTTAAGGATTTATACGGTATGCGGTTACAGTATGCCTTAGTTTAAAAAATGGATTACAGTATACCCTTAAAATCAAAAAACAACCTCAAATCCCCTACCTGGTACGAAGTCGCCTCTGGTGTAGTAGTCAGTACTAGCAGCACCTCTTGTCGCCGACGTTCCCATAGCGAATCCGTTATTCTCGCAGATGAAGATGCACGGTAACTTCCACAACTGAGCCATGTTTACTGTCTCGAAGAACTGACCTTGGTTGGCAGCGCCATCGCCGTACAAGGCATACGATACGTTCCTCTCGTTACGGTACTTTTGAGCAAAGGCCAAGCCAGCACCGAGTGGGATCTGGGCACCAACAATACCATTACCACCGTAGAAGTTGCGTTCGTACATGTGCATGGATCCGCCTTTACCGTACACGTTGCCGGAGATACGACCTAGAGTATTGTTAGTATATTATAGTACCAAAATAGTATGTTATAGTACTTATGATGCTAAACTAGTATATTATAATACTTATAATACCAAAATGGTGTCTTATAGTACTTATAGTACTAAAATATAATAGTATGGTACTCATAGTAATACTGTAACAAGCCATTAGCGATACTAAAGTTATAGTTCATCCTCAAGGTACTAGTACTAAAACCCATGACATATGCAACCAAGATACCACAACATACCAGTCAATTCGCATAAAACCTCAGAGATTGTAGACCCCATAAGATACGTCCATCCGTGACATCTGTACGATGTAATCAGAGCATCATCCTTGTGTTTGGCCGCAGTAATTCCAACAGCGACAGCTTCTTGGCCATTGTACAAGTGACAGAAGCCTCTGATCTTCTTGTCCTTGTAGAGGTTGGAGGCAGCCGTCTCCATCCTCCTCAACACCAACATCTCCTTGTAGTAGTCCAAGGCCTCGTCCCTCGTCAAGACGGTCTCTCCATTCGGTCCGTAGTCGAGTTTGTGTAGCTTGTAGGGCTTGGTTTGGAACGTGACTTCATTCACGGTGGAGTAGAAGCGAATGGGAAGGGGCTGAAATTTTAGAAGATTAGTTATAAGCGGTCAAAAAGTAAATAGAAAAGATAAACATCAAGTTTAGGCACAAGAGCTTCAACAAAAGATCAGCGACATTATTTTTGGTCGATGTCTTATATAATACTCAAAAGTTCTCGGAAAAACAGCACGTTACCGAATTTGCGCATCTCCTGCAAAACGCTGGGCGCAGTTTGCCAGATCATTTTAGCTTTTATTTCCACAATTTCTCAAAAACATGTTTTCCTGTAAATTTATGCAAATTTTCAAACCAAAAAAATACTATCTGAACTATTTTTAACACTCCAAACCACAAATTTACCTTGAGCACCTTGGAGACCTTGAGGATGGGGTTCAAGAACGACATCTTGTACCTAAAACAATATAAATGGAAAAGGTTGAAGCGTTGGGCGAATGTTATCTATCACGGAACAAACAAAATAATCGAGAAGAGTTGTTCGGTCAATTCATATTCGTATCTTATTAGGAAATAGTTTAAAATCAGTTTTGAAAATTTAAAATTTGAAAAAAAATAAAGATATATAATATTATTATTGTTGTTGACCAAAACAAGCAATTTATTCGAGAGATTTGGACCCTTTTTGGCTGCAAACACTTGAAATTAAATTCAACAAAGTTCAAAAATATATCTTTCACTTCTAAAACGACTTTTTTCTAATTTAAAGCTCAAAAAACATCCAAAAATACTGCCAAAACCACTGTTTTTAGCTGCAAAAGTACCATCAACATAGTATTAATTGTGCTACATGAGAAGCTTGACCTTTTTCAAGTGTATTTTTCCAAAAAATATCAATTTAGAACAGCTTCATCACGCCATGATTGTGTTTCATAAAAGGGAAGGGAAGGGTAACTTACTCTTCACGGGACTATCACGTTATCAGAGCAGAAATCAGAGATTATTAGTGTTTCACAATCGCGTCTATTTGCTTCGACGTACCAGGAAACGGGAGTTATTGGTTTATATTTCGCTCAGGTACTATAACATTTTTTAATTTTTCATTTGGTACTGTTAATATTAGCTTTTTCAAATAATACTGAGCCTCCTAAGCCCGGAAATTTGTTTTAAAAGGGGGCACATAATTAGTTCACAACCTAACTCAAGATTTTATGTTAAGTGTTGTACAAGGCAACTAAAACAATATAACAACCTACCCTTTTTGGAAGGCACGAAGCACAGAATTATTTGAATAACTTCATGGTATTATTATACATTATAACCGGCCTAGTAGTACTAGCTGTGAATTTTAATTGTAATTTTACTCTATCAGCGACACAAACGGTACTGTTTAGTTTATTTACAACTTGATGTTAAACAAAAAGTTGCCATTACTACTTATAATAGTATCAACAACAATATATGCCCTAAAGTAAAAATCTCTATATACAACGACAATCTTGATAAACACATGTTATGACAACTATAAATTGCAAATACGACCCATATCTATCTACCACAATATATTTATGAGGTCGTTCAAATAATTCTGTGCTCTTTTCAAAGCAACTTTACAAGAGGCGCAAAATTATTTGAACAACCTGTTAGTGATTATAATCAGCAGTAAACACATACCACTAACAAAGAGTAATATAAACACGTTCTACAACTGTTAAAACCAATGTAAAATCCTAAAAGTTAAAAAATGCCACTTCAAACCCTAGTAAACTTCCAAAACTCTCCTATGAGACAAGATATGTAAGACAACAACATAAGTACAACAAGATGGTTCAGATCAGTTTAATCAAAAATGACATCATTCTGAGAAATGTCATCATTGGGAGAGCACATTCACATAGTACTTCACGGTCTTGGACCATAGTTTACCATGGTAATTCTCAAAGATCAGTCGGTAAGTGCCGGGTCCGTCGAGGTCGATCTGAAATTACAGTATGATTCTATATGTCTGTATCTATTTTACAGTAAAATACTGTAATTTATCGTAAAATTCTTCTCCACGTTTACCTTACATCAACCGTACACCTACCGTTCTCTTCTCGGGTACGAACTGTGTCAGAAGCCTGAACTTTGGCCAAACGATCGTGTCTTCCTCGTCCTCCACCTTCACCACATGAAAGTCGAGGTCACCGCTGTCGCATTTGAACCACCACTCCAGTTTGTGATCATCTGAATCCGCTTCTACTTCTACGTAGTTGTATCCTCTAGCAGGTACGGTGATCTTCTCCTTGTCGTTGTCGTCCTCGTCTCGGAAGTAGTCCTCCTTCTTGACTTTGCCTGCCATTCTGATGTGACCTGTCGGTAAGGAGGACCGTCTGATACCTCCCCATTGTTCGAAGAGTACGTCTTCACTAATCGTGTCCTATAAGGTGATATTGTAGTAGGTAGTGGTAGACTTTGAGCAAGAGAATTTACTACAACCTACCCTAAGGCGATCCCTCCAATTGCTGCCACAGACCTCGATCTTCTGCTGAGTTTGCTTGGACAGACAAGGGTTGATGGCCATGAAGATCATCTGGACAAAGCTTGGAGCATTGATGATGAAGGCTTTCCGTAGCACATCTGGGAAGAGGTCCTGAAGTCGCGCCAGAATATTATTCACAACTTTCAGACCGGTCAAGTCAATGGCATCACGACTGAGACCGTCCAGATCGATGATCACTACGGTACCTACAGTAATGTCATTAGTACGTAACTTTGATAAACGTTATAATAAAGTCTGCTAAGGCCAATCATATATAATCTACCCTACCCTACCCTACCCTACCCTACCCTACCCTACCCTACCCTACCCTACCCTACCCTACCCTACCCTACCCTACCCTACCCTACCCTACCCTATCCTACCCTACCCTACCCTACCCAACCCTACCCAATTCTACCCTACCCTACCCTACCCTACCCTACTACCCTACCCTACCCTACCCTACCGTACCGTACCGTACCGTACCGTACCGTACCGTACCGTACCGTACCGTACCGTACCCTACCCTATCCTACCCTACAAATTATATTACCTACCCAACTGCTTGCCAGTCTCCTGTTCCAACCGTCGCAGAATCTGCATGACACCTTCACTCTCGACCACCTTACTCAAGAACAGGTCCGAGACCTTGGCCGTTCTCAACAGTCCGTAGCCATCCAGTCGGCCCAATGGAATGACAGATACGACGTTACCTTGTTTGTCATGACCTAGTAGAGATCCTGGGAAGAGACTTTGGTGTTCAGAGAGACTGTCACAGTACTCGTTCACTTCCTCCACCGTGCTGAACTTCTTCTTGTTCAAGCCTAAGGCACGGAGCGATACGATGGCGTCGCGGAGTTTTGGGGTTATGGCTTCTGAAATGGAGTTAGGTTAGTTACTTTATAGTAGGTGTAAATCAGGTTATACTGTATTTTTACTAAATTTTATAAAGCTTTAGGTACCATAACCTCCTATGATTACTTAAAGTGCAAAACCTAAATATATTCGTCAGTAGAATAAGATAACCTCCAGTCCACAACATACCGACATTGTTGTCCCATCCAACAAGCCACCTGTTCAAACTCGACGTTTTACCGTAATCCGGGTACAATTTCAGTTCTGACCTGAGGGCATCCTTCAGTTCAGCAATCAGTTCGCTCTCTTCTGACATTCCAGCGATAAAAATCGACCGGTCGGAAGAGAAAAGTCAGTTGAATAACCCAAATTTTACTGAAATTTTGGAATTCAAAAATACGATTGTTCACATAATTCTGTGCCCACTAACTCTAAAAAATGGCTTTAAGAAGGAGCACATAATTAATTGAAAAACCTATTATAAATTTTTTAATTTTAAAATATTAGGCTGTTCACATAATTATAACCTTAAAAATTTGCTTTAAAAGAGGGCGCAGAAGTAATTGAACAAGCTAATATAAACCTTTAAAAATTTTAAATTAAAAATATTATTCGTACAGTACGTTCCCACGATCAAGCTAGTACTATCCAGTACTATATTAACATAGCTTAAATATCAAAAAGCGAAGAAAAAACAGAAAGAATCGGTTATAAAAATGAAAAAGTAGCAAATAAAAGAAAAGAAATCTTGGGTTTGTTTGCTTTTTAACTATGGCGACAAACCTTGAAACTTGACATAGAAACGTGCAAAACATTCTGATATCATAGCGTTACTATGGTACGACTTGCTTGTAGGCTTTAAATTAAATTGTTTTATTATGTTTTATACGAAATGTAGTTTCAAATCTGTTTTTTGCAAAATTTCTGTATAATATTTTACAGTAATATTTAAATATCTTTTAACAAGAAAAAAATCTACCTTGCCTCGCTCAGTATCATCTGAAAATCGCTACATATGTATATAAATTCTTTGTACCATCAGCAGTACCCAAAAAAAATTTAGCTCGCACTTTTGTGGTTAAAATTTTAAAATATTTAATTTTTCCGCCAATTTTGCAAATTTGGCATTGTGTTTCACGCACTTTTTTCGACTTTATAGACAAGCTACGCTTACAAATTTGAAAATGTAGGTTCATTTAAAGGTTTTCTACTAATATATCAAAGAAAAATTATTAGAAGTCAAAAATGACAAAGTTAGAAGCTTGAAACACAATGCCAATTTAGCGGGAAATTCAAAACGTAATTTTTTTTACTTGATTTTCAAGAGATTGACCAGAAAGCGCGATTTAGTACTTTGATGAATATTTTATATTTGCATTATCTTTCTATATAAAAAGTTTCTCAATCAGAGCATGGAAGATCTCGTATTTTCCTTGAAACTACAAGTTCAACTTTTTGGAATGTTTTTGGGTCCTTGTAAATTGGAAATTAAAAAAAAAGCTTTTTATTAAAAAGTAAGTAAAATTGTAAGTAAAATCGCAAATAATTCTAATTTGAGAACTAATGCCTTCAATTAATGGCAGTAAAACAATAAAGCTAGAAAGGATGTTATATTGACAAGATGACAAAGATAACATACTGAAAGCCAGAAAAAAGATAATTCTCTTTTGGCCGTGCTTTTATGGCCAAAGAACGCTGAGTGAGTGTTCCATTGGATTTATAAAAGTTTCAATTTTCTGTTTTTTCGGCAGCCGGCTGGCGGCAAAAACACTTAATTCGTCGTGTTTTCAACTTTATATTATGTACAATATTAGGTTTATTGCTGTAATTGTACTGTAAAAAGCTTTAGTAACATTAGTTTTACTGTAAAATATTTGTAGTATCATTGTATAGATATATGGTTTACTAGAGGTACTAAAAATAGGTATCAAACTAGCGAAAGACTACCAAAAGTAAACAAAGTTCATAAAAACTAAAGTAATATCATGTTCTTCAAATAATCCTGTGCCCCTTCTCAAAGCAAATTATCGGGGTTAGAGGGCGCAGAACTATTTTAACAACCCAATATAATTGACATAAATAAAAATTCAAAGAGTTGACTTCTTTGTTGTAATTATGACTCATGCCAATCCTTATCGTACGTACGATACATAAAGTGACTAAAGAAAATAAATCCGATTAAATGATGTATTCGAAATATAACAAATATTATGTTGTTCAAATAATTCTGTGCCTTCTAACCCCAAAAATTTGCACTGAAAAGGGGCACCGAATTATATGAACAAATTAATATTAATTTATTTAGGCTAATCGTTTGACCGGGGGTAAGAAAAACGAAGGGCCTGGTCTACAAATTGGACTTGGGAAGCCGGACCAACCCTTAGGAAGTGAAGCCATACCTGATCATAAGGAAATTCAAAGAAAACTCGAATTATAAATAATTCCTCGAAAGATGGTTAACAGGAGTGGCTCCTCACGGTATAATTTCCCCATTAAACAGACGAAAAGTTGGATTGAGGAGTTTCGACGGAGATTAATAAGGAACGTTGGGGGAACGACGCGAAATGTGAGCGACGAGTAGGCGACCTTGTGAACAGCGTCGAATTTAATTTTGGTATGACAAACACCGTCATGACTTCTATTTTCGGATTCTGGAGGTTTGGATTATGAAGTTGAGGTTATATTGTTGTTACATTAAGAATTTGAGGTTATGTTGTTTTAGGTGGTAGGTTATGGTACTATGCTTCATTTTACAATACTTAAAGTGATTTTTAACGGTAAAACGTCAGGAGAAGTATTCAGTACTACTTGGCAACTTTTTGGTGACAAAAAGTTAAGATTTCTCTTACTTTGAATATCAGAAAGGCAATTCTTGGCCAAGCACAACATACATAACACATGACACTACAATATACATACCTAAAAGCTTTAAACACTCACATTCACAAATAATAATGCCGAGTCTCCAACCAACAATTATATAATGCAAATGAAGCAGGTTGCACTACACATCCCTCTTACTTCTGACTCTCTTCTTTTCGCACCCTCTCTCGTCGCTTTAACACAAAAAATGCACGCTAAAAAGTATAAGGTCAAATATGCTGAATCCTCCTACTCAGAACATTCTCAAATTGTTCATTCCATCTTTCGAGCATCTTCAAGACGGTTCGGTCTGATTTTAGGTTGGTTTTATTCAGATTTCGGTCATACCTGATGTCTAGTGTAATATAATTGTTGATTCTTGTTTGTATTGTTTTCTTGTTTTATTTTCATATAATTGTGATTGATATGTTTTTACTTGATTTTGGTATTTATCAAAAAGCTTAAAACACTAAATATGAAGTGTTTTAAGCTTGTAAAGTCATAAGATACCAAAAGAATAAACAATATCAGCTCTCTGCCTTTGTAAAACAATATTATTAGTTCATTTTAATGTAAAACCATAAAATGCGTATACGATTTCCATTATAAAAGTAAGTACACGTAGTATAACCTTTTACATGACGTGTACAAGTTATTTTTTACTAGAATAAGGGGCACTTTTCGTCGTATAACACGGAAAATAAATTATTTTTCGAATTCGCGGGCTTTTTTCCGCAATAAATAGTCTGGCATCCTCTCAAATCATCGTTTTTGTGTCGATTCGCCGGTCATTTTTGGTGCTCGCGAAGGAATTTTTTTTCAAAAATTTGTTTTTATTGAAATTTTAGAGATTTTGGGTAGTTTATGTTGTTGTAGACGCGTTTTCAGAGTGTATTTGTTGGTTTTGGCGGGTGTTTTTTATGCCGTACATGGCTTGTTTTCCGGCGTCTGTAAATGCTGAAGTTTTATCTTTATACTTTTCAGTTATTCACCAATTTCTAACCAATAACACTTGGATAAAATGGCTTCAGTTCCAACGTAAGTTCTATATCCTAATGTAATTTACGTCCTTTAGGATATCTGCGCTTCAACTAGGGTTTTAGGTATATTATAATATCCTGGTGTATAAATAAGTTACTCTATTATCTTTTTTTTCAGTAGACAAGATGAAAAAACGAAGAAGAACGAAGCTTTGGCTACGGCCATCCTTAAGGACAAACATAAGCCTAATCGCCTGATCGTTGAAGGCTCCAGCAAGGACGACAACTCCGTTGTAGGGCTGAGCCAGGCCAAGATGGACGAGCTGGGTCTCTTCCGTGGTGACAATGTGATTCTGAAGGGAAAGAAGAGACGTGAGACCATCGCCATCGTTCTGGCTGATGAATCCTGCACCAACGACAAGATTTTGATGAACCGTGTTGTCAGGCACAACTTGAGAGTCAGATTGGGCGATGTTGTCAGGTCAGGTGTTTTTTAATTCTTTTTGCTGTTTAGACGTTAAAAATAACTGAATGGTGTTCAAATGGAGAAGATTTATATTGTTGTAGATGGGTTTAGTGTTGTATGGTAAACCTCGGTTTATTATTGAAAATTTGAAGCGAGGTATAAGAAAACGTATTTTATAGAAGGTTTGGAGTACGTTGATACAAACCTCGTATAAAATACAAACATTCAGAACAGAGCATTTTGGTTAAAGGAAGCCAAATTGGTCTACTTGAACAGTTTACATTTTTATTTTGACAATATAGTGTTTAACATAAGAACCAAATGTATATAGGCTTGAAGATTAACGTAATTCTAATAATTTGGTTTTTAGCATCAACGCTGCCCCCAACATAAGCTATGGAAAGAGAATCCAGGTCCTTCCAATTGACGATACGATCGAAGGATTGACCGGAAACTTGTTCGAAGTCTTCTTGAAGCCCTACTTCGTCGAGACATATCGTCCAGTCCACAAGGGAGACATCTTCTCCATCAAGGCTGCTATGAGAACTGTTGAGTTCAAAGTTATCGAAACTGACCCATCTCCATGCTGTATCGTTGCTCCAGACACCTTAATCCACTTTGAAGGAGAACCGATTAAGAGAGAAGAGGAGGAGGAGAACATCAATGATGTTGGTTATGATGATATTGGTGGTGTCAAGAAGCAATTGGCTCAGATCAAGGAGATGGTTGAACTACCACTTCGTCATCCACAACTTTTCAAATCTATTGGTATCAAGGTATGTACAAGGTTATATTTTAAAGGTTAGAGACTAGTTTTTGAAGTAGAAGGACGTAAAGGTAATGTAGACATAGGCAATGATGAGTTGTGCAGGGGTCCTGAAATTGGCCAGCATGTGATCCAATGTCGGCTGACTGAAAGGACATCGGTGTCCTCGAAGTCGGTCGGCAGAGAAAAAGCACACACTGAGCTTAAGTTACAATATATGTTAATGTCTTTGAACAAGTTAATAAATTTGATTCTTAAAAGATATGACAATTCATATATCTCATTTCAGCCTCCACGTGGTATCCTTCTGTACGGTCCACCAGGTACTGGTAAAACCTTGATTGCTCGTGCCGTTGCCAACGAGACCGGAGCTTTCTTCTTTTTGTTGAACGGTCCAGAAATCATGTCCAAGTTGGCCGGAGAATCAGAATCCAACTTGAGAAAGGCATTCCAGGAGTGCGAGAAGAACTCTCCATCTATCTTGTTCGTCGATGAAATCGATGCCATTGCTCCAAAGAGAGAAAAGACCCACGGTGAAGTGGAACGTCGTATTGTATCTCAACTCTTGACCTTGATGGACGGTCTGAAGCAACGTTCTCATGTTGTCGTTATGGCTGCCACCAACAGACCCAACTCTATTGACCCTGCTCTTCGTCGTTTCGGTCGTTTTGACAGAGAAATCGACATTGGAATCCCAGATGCCCCAGGCCGTTTGGAAGTTCTCAAGATTCACACCAAGAACATGAAGCTCGCCCAAGATGTTGACTTGGAACAGATCGCCAACGAATGCCACGGTTACGTCGGAGCCGATTTGGCTTCATTGTGTTCAGAAGCCGCTCTTCAACAAATCCGTGAGAAGATGGAGTTGATCGACCTTGAGGATGATACCATCGATGCCGAGGTTTTGAACTCATTGGCCGTTTCCATGGAGAACTTCAGATTTGCCATGGGTAAGAATACTCCATCAGCTCTTCGTGAGACTGTTGTTGAGACTCCAAACATCGACTGGTCGGACATTGGAGGTCTCGAAGGTGTCAAGAGAGAGCTTCAAGAGTTGGTTCAAGTAAGTCTTTCGCTTTATTTTTGTATTTTAGGTATGAGTTTAGTGAGCCATATATTTTAGGTTTAAGATTAAAAGGTCATTAATGATGTTGTTTTAGTACCCAGTCGAGCACCCAGACAAGTATCTCAAATTCGGAATGCAGCCATCTCGTGGTGTGTTGTTCTACGGTCCACCTGGTTGTGGTAAGACCTTGTTGGCCAAGGCTATCGCTCATGAATGTCAAGCCAACTTCATCTCCATCAAGGGTCCTGAACTCTTGACTATGTGGTTTGGTGAATCCGAAGCCAACGTCCGTGACGTGTTCGACAAGGCTCGTGCTGCTGCGCCTTGTGTCTTGTTCTTTGATGAGTTGGATTCTGTAGCCAAGTCTCGTGGTGGAAACGTCGGTGATGCTGGAGGAGCTGCTGACAGAGTTATCAACCAGATCTTGACTGAAATGGACGGTATGGGAAGCAAAAAGAACGTATTCATCATTGGTGCCACCAACAGGTAAACGGGCTTTTTATACCTTGTAGATGGATTTGAGATAATATTATTGTATCTTTACTTATTTATATTGTTTTAGACCTGACATCATTGACTCTGCCATCCTTCGTCCAGGTCGTTTGGATCAGCTGATCTACATCCCTCTGCCAGATGAAGGATCTCGTCTCCAGATCTTCAAGGCTAACCTCAAGAAGTCTCCAGTTGCCAGCGACATTGACTTGGGCTTCTTGGCCAAGTCGACCGTCGGTTTCTCTGGAGCTGATATCACCGAGATCTGCCAACGTGCCTGTAAATTGGCTATCCGTGAGAGCATTGAAAGAGAAATCTTGCAAGAGAAGGAGCGACAAAAGAGACAGGCCAAGGGTGAGGAACTCATGGAGGCTCAAGGTCAGGATCCAGTACCCGAGATTACTCGTGCCCACTTTGAAGAGGTATGTTTACTTCTTTTTATTGTTATGAGTTATATTATTCTTGTATATATTTTTGTTTATTGGTTCTTACTCTTTTTCTTTCAGGCCATGAAGTTCGCTCGTCGCTCAGTCTCCGACAACGACATTGTAAAGTACGAGATGTTCGCCCAAACCCTTCAGCAACAACGTGGCTTCGGCAACAACTTCAGATTCCCAGAACAACAAGGTGTACCCGCAGGTCAACAACAGCCAGCTGCCGTTCCCAACGCCCCAGCTGCCCAACCGGTTGGCGGAAACGACGACGATGATCTTTACAGCTAAGGCTTGTGTATTTACACTAATTTATTGTATAATGAAATATTTTGTCCAACCTAATTGTTTTATAAAATACGGAAACGAGTAAATTCTAATCTTATCTCTTGTTTATTTGCAACGGATCTACTATCTATATTAATATTATTGTAGTATTAGTATTAGATTTTTGGATAATAATGTTCTTTTGGGTTATTAAAGGTTCAGACCGGCTAAACCAGCTAGTCCAGACTGAGCGGCTTTCTGGATACGTTGAAGTCTGGCTTCACACAATCTTTGTTCAGCCTTCATCGAGCTCTTGAGTTTTCTCAATTCACTCGATTCAGTGCTCGCATTGGTTTGGTCACAGCTAAAGTTAAGGATCAGATGTGTTTGAGGAAGGATAATACCTTAGTATTGTTAGTTAACTTACACAATAGTGTCTGGGCAGCACGATCTGAGAGCGCGACATCTTCTCCCCAACTCCGAGTGTCTGTCTTTGCACTTCTGTTGTTTGTCGCTGTTTGTCAGTTTTGGGTCTTCGTCGATTGGAACGCGAGCCAGAAGGACTAGTTCGTTGACCAAGCCAACGTTCTCACAGCCATCAAACTAAAAATGCATGTATCGACTACTGTAGCTACTATCCATAAAGGTTTTTGAAAGTTACAGTAAAAGACATGTGTTAACTATTTCTACCGTATATACATCTTTGTAAAGATACGGCCGTATCTCTATAAGGGTTACAATACACATAGCCAGTGTGAATATATATATATATTTCAATTGAGGGAAAGAAACACTTGACCCGTTGCGGCTTTGGCGGAATTACTTATAAACTTATTTGGTGTGTATATATACTGTATTTTTGATGACTCCAGACAATTAATGAGGACGAACTTGTACTTTGGCGTTATCTTAATAAACTTACTTCAGCTGATTTGCGTCCGACTGATCGATCACGAGTGCACTTTTCGTTCTGTTTATTTACAACTTGCTGCAGGGCCTCGATCTAAAGATTATCAAATTTAACTCACTATCTTAAAGTATTCTTCATAAAAATTTCATTTACGAGTCAAAGCCACAAAGATATCATCTTATTATGAACAAGTTGGTGGGAAATTATCCTATACCCACAAATTGAAGCGAAAAACCTCATGTGGCTCTTTAAAAATGTTAGGAAAGTTAAATCCAACAATTATAACAACCTACCTGAGCCTGACTAATAGGATCCACGTTCTTCAAGCAGGTTTGTCTGATCTGGACGTCAGAAGTCGTGGAAGTGTTCAGGAAGTGCCATCTGATGTGACGGTTTGGAATTCCATTGACAGATTCCTTATCAACTGGGAACTTCAATTCACAATCATCATCGAATTGTTCTACAACAGCTGCACATTCCAAGAATTGGGAGCAGAGGATGTTGTGGATCACTTTCTGAAAAAGGGATGTAGTAGTAGATCTAATTGATGTTTTAGAATATCGAAATTTGATTGAAAAGCAGATGCAGATGTCTTTTGCGATTTTAAAACGTATGAAATAGGGGTTTCTTGAATTTAGGTAACAAATCAATTAAAAAAGGCATATTTAGGTAATAATTCACATAAAAAAGGCATTAAAAAGTATTTTTAGGTAACATTATATTGTTTTAGGTAATATTCTTTTCTTTTTTCTACCTTTCGACCCAAACATCGACCAAAAAATACCTTTTCAGTGGAGAGGTCTTCCTCCTTCTTTCCCACGTCGTTCTGGATGTTCTTCTTCCTGGATTGCCTCAACTCCTTGATGGCCGTCTTCACCCTCAACTTCTCCACGGTGTCCAACTCGGTCTGGTTCATCTGAAGGATGGGTTTGATCTTGAAGAGTTGAGATCCGCCCTCAGGCAATGGGAGTTGAATGATCTCGTCTTCGTCGTCGTCTTCTTCATCGGCCGCCCACTCCTCGGCCTTCTTCTTCTTGTTGTCCAACGAGAAGCTGAGGTCCATCTGGTCTGGCTTGAAGTCCACGTCCTTGTCGTTGTTCTTGGCTGGTCGATCTTCGTCTACGGCGTCGCTGGCCTCTGACTCTTGGACTGGGATCTCCTCTGGCTCTTGTTGAAGCTGTTGAGGTTGTTGTTGAGCTTCTTCTTGGCTTTGTTCAACTGATTTGGATTGTTGAGCTTGTTGTTGAGCTTCCTGACCTTGTCCTTGAGTTTGTTCTTGATCTTGTTGGACTTTTGGAGCTGCAGACGATGCTTGTGGAGCTTCAGTGGAAGCGACGGTCGTTGGAGCTTCGGTGGTCTGTTTGGTGGTTGAACGTTCGAGCTTCTTCAACAGTTTAGCGTCGTTCAAGTAGCCCTTCTTGACTGGACTAGCCAGGCATTCCTTGAACTTTTTGGTCAGAATACTTTCCTTCAGCGACAATCCAATGTCATTTTTGGCACGCTCGTAGCATCTGAAATAAATATTGTGAGTTTTGTTACCTAAAAATAAAAAAAAATTTTAATTTAAAAAAATTTTTGAAAATTTTAAAGTCCTTTGTCTTGATATTGATACTTACTTGCTGAAGCTAGGACAACATTGGCTGATCTGTTCGCATGCCTTGAGGTCAGTTTCGTATCTTGTGACACACTCATGGTCCTCAGCCTTCTCAGCTGGAGCCAAAGCGACTTTGACTGATTGACACGGTACTACTTGACTGTCTTCAATGGTACCCATCTCCTCTTTGGACAAGCATTTGGCTACGTTCTTTTCGACTGTAGCAAAGATGGTCTCCAGGCTGGTGATGGCTCGTTTGAAGGCTGAAATGTACCGTTATTTAGGGGGGAGGGGTACTGTAGAAATTTTGGTATCATAGTACGAAATAACTGATAAGGTTTTATATATAATAGTTTATTATTTCATGATAAGGGTTTACTATCTACTGTAATATATATAAGAGTTTACTACATACTGTAATATATAGTATCAGGTTGTTCACATAATTTTGTGCCCCTTAATCTCGATAATTTGAGTTGTATAAGGGCACAGAATTATTTGAACAACCTAATAGTAATTATACTCTAAAATAACATACTACGGCAAATATTACATATTACAGTATATTCTCGCTATAGTAAATAAATCATTGCCTATACTATGACGTTGCTTAAGCTACTGTACATAATGATATAAAACTTACACATTTCACAATGTATTCTGTCCAATGGCGCCACACCTTCCGATGGGATTCTGGAGAAGAAGTACGATGAAACTCCATTGTCGCACTTCTTCAACCGGTCGTACGCCTGCATACGACAGGTCGTGTAGGCGTTACAGTAAGCCTGAAAATGGAAATTTTTAAACTTTATGTTACAGTAACCTTGAAATACATATTTAGAACTGAAAAAAGATCTTAAGATATTGAAAAAGTTACAGTATTTTATCTTTCAAAGCAGTTACAGTATCAACAATCTCTCAAACAGCTACAGTAATATGTACACAAGTTACAGTACTTATACAAATTCAAAAGTTACAGTACCTGTTTGACTTCAGCTGCATTAGCAACGACTACGGTAACAAGCAGAAGCCCCACCACCGACTTCATCATGCTTTTTTGTCGCTGAACCCAAAAGATGGGGGTTTTATCGCTGAAACCGGACCTTCAAACACTTTCGGAAAGCAGAATCCGGAGTCGAGAATCCCGGTTTTGCTATCACCAGAACCTGCCCTTAGGGTTTTTGAAGGTTCCGGTAAACAAAACAATAGAGTATCGTGCTGGGAACGTGATATACAAAGTAACATTGTCAATAATTTATATATTAGGTCGTTCAAATAATTCTGTGCCTCCTAACCTCGCAACTTTGTTTTAAGAAGGGGCACAGAATTTTTTTTAATTTTTGAACAACCTAATAATACAATCAAGGGCGGGAGGGGTAAAATGGTACCCACCGGACCTCCATCTCTCCAAAAAATCTCCCCCCCCCCCCTTATTCCTGATATAAATAACTTTTTCTTCACTACCCTCTCCCTCCCACGCCCAAAATCACCCTTCCAATTCTAGATACGATGCCCAAGTATAATATAATATTTATTGCACAATTTGTACTTGAATATGTTATCATAAAAGCTTTACAGTTATCATGTAACCTTGTATCGTTACCATGTAACTTTTGTACGTTATCATATAAACTTTACATGTTATATTAACCATGATATGACACCTCTAGCTCTTGATGTCCCTGACAAAGCCACTGAAGAGGATGGACTCTTTCACCACGACAAAGAAAATGAATGGATGGTCAGCGACAATAGTTGGACTAAAGGATCGTGTAGCGTGGGCTGCTGTAGCAGCCGCGGCTTCTGTGCCTTGTTCGTCGGTCTGAAAATTTATAGAAAGTTACATAAGTTCTGATAATGAAAATTAATTTCAAACTATTTTGAGTAATGTATTAGGTTATCCAAATAATTCTGTGCCCGTAACCCCAAAAATTTGTTTTGATAAGGGGCGCAGAATTAGTTGAACAACCTAATCAAAAAAAGGACCGAACGACAATGCGTATTTTACATACAACTTAAAAATACTAATACGGTCCAAAAATTTCCAGACTTTTCGTAATTCAAAATATTTTTTAAAAAACAAAAAAAATTGATTAACTATTCAAAATGACACAAAGCACACTTTCTGATGCCATTTTATAAACAAAACTTCAAAATTCGACAATATATTACTACGCCCTACCTTAAAGAAGACCTTGTGTTTCACTTGATCTATAGACACATTTTCATCTGTCAGTCCGGAGAAGTCGGCTTCTGGAGAGAAGGCCTTCTTCAGACCAATCTCCTGAAGCTGTTTCTTAACATCGTCGCTGAATTCTACTGTAAATTTTGGGAGTTTTACCTAAAATATTGTACCTGTTATTATTACTTTTATTACAGATGATAAAAGCTATAATAAAACGTCTAAAAACACTTAAAACAAGACTAAACGCTTCCAAACAACAAAACTTTCAGGTAAAACAAATCAAAACAATAAACTTACAGTAAGCTCCTGTGAATCCATAGCATCGCCTCCAAAGATGAACTCCTGTAGCCGTTCTGTAGTCAGATTCTGAATCAACTTGTCAAGTCCGAACTTGGCCACCGGTACCACTAGTACTAACTTGGCATCGCCTTTGTAGGGCAGATGCAGAATCTGGGCTTCCATTGTCGCCAAAAACGGAAAAACAGCCTTTTGTACCAACATTGGCACCTCTTTGTCAACGCCAGCTTTGGGATAGAACAAGGCATTGGTGGTACTCTTTTTGCTAAATTTGTGGACAAATTCAGCATTGAAGTAGAGGGCGTTTACTAGAACAAAGCTGAAATGATATTTATTAGAATTGTAATAAAAAAGCAACAAGAAACAATAGCTATATTGCAATAATAAAGCCAAAAAATTTAAAAAAAATTTTTTAAAAACTTTTTGCACGTTTTTAAACATAAAGTGACTCTTATAATGCAAAAAATTTCAAGTAGAATAAAGAAATTACACCTAGAATAATGTAAATATCAAAAAATCCTTTAAAAAATAATTAAAAAGGGCCAAAATGCGTACGCCACTTGAGATTCCAAGGACGTCTCCGATCCAAGTACTAATCAAGCGCACCGTTGCTTAACTTGCCAGATCGGACGGGATGGCGTGCGTTCAACGGGCTATGGGCGTACACATTCGAAACTCTTTCTTTTCGCTTCCTTATAGTTTTGATTGGGAAGATATATTGTTTGTTGAGATTTTATAAGTATTTTTGACAAAAAAGCCAAAAAATGTTTCTTTTATAAAAAATACGTTAAAATACCAAATATAATATAATTTATTTCCTTATTTTTGGTTGAAAACCTTTAAGAATACTTTTTTAATTAAAAACCTTGTTTTACATTCCCCGTCAAGCTCTTATTTTATTTTAAAACGTCAATTTAAGAAACCAGTATTAAATTGGCTACCATAACATTATAAAAATTAAAATCCAATAAAATGCTTACGCAGTATCGCCATTCAGATCATTTGCATCGAAAATCGTTTTAATGTGGCCGTCGGTCGAATTCTTCACAAAATCGTTTATTCGATCAGCAGCTTCTGAAGACTCGGAAAAGTCTACTTTTTCGATTTTGTCATCAAGCTTAGACTCGTACTCTTCCTTGACATTGATATTATTTGAAAGAAAAGCTCGATCTGACATTTCCAAAGTCATCCCTTGGGAGCTTCTGAAGGCGGATTCTGTATTTGAAATGGATTCAAAGGCATCTAAAATGTTTCTGGCGATTATTATTGTTACTTATTTGTTAAAAACCATGGTTTTAATACAGTGAAACTATCATTATCATAGAATTTTCTAAACATTTCATATTGAAGTAGGTATGAACTGTATCTTACAAAAATGGTTGTAACTTAAAAAGTAGTAAAGCCACATTTTCAAAATTTTCATATCAGAAGCAATACAAAACAATTTAAACAATACAAAAACTTAAGAACATACCATCGCCCAGTAGCTCCAAAAACTCTTGTTTAGTACCACCTTCAGCTCCCTGATAGGCCAAAGTAAGAGCTTTTAAAATGGAAAACCCAGAGATAGCTACATTGTCCACGTTATACTTGTCGGCCGTTCTTTTGAGCAGATCTTTCTCATACTCAAAGATGTCGTTACTTTCGCCTGAAGCCATAGTTAACCGTAAATCGATAGAAACAATATATTAAAGTAGGCAGTAAAGAGAAATAAGAGTTTCGACAACCGTTTGTTGGTTTTGTTTTCAACTTTTATGGCGCTTGAATTGTAAAATTAGACAAAACGTAAACACACAATGTTGTTGTTGTTTAAAATTTCAATTTTTATTCTAAAAATTCCTAAATATAAAGGATGAATTAAAACATAAATAACACTTCCTTTATGAGTCACAACATGAAATCAATAGCTGAAAACTTACAGAGCAAAGCAGTTATTGCTAGGAATATCACGACTTTCATAACCTACTGATCTGAAAAAGAAAATATGAGAATATATTGGAATATGTATATAAACACACATTAAGTCTATATTAACCATGATTTAATAAACGCCTGATATAACGCCGCGTTCTCAACAGTAAAGTGTTTATTATACAAAATAAACTTTCAGCTCTCAAGAGTTTTATTTACTTTGTTAGAAAACCAATTAAACATAACAAATGTTTTTGAACTTTTATCAAATATCAGTAAAGGTTACAGTGATAAAATGTAAAAAAATGCTTAAAAAATTAAAATTTCAGGGATTTTAATGAAAATATATATCTTCTTAAAAAAGTACAAAAAATATTTTTAAATAAAAAAACTATTCATAGTAAATCATCTTACAAAATAATAATTTGTCATCAAAAATTACAGCTTAAAATCACTGAAAACTTATTAATTACTAAACTTTCCAACAAAAAACCCCCATAAAAGCTCGCAAAACTGATGTTTATTTGTCCAAAATTTCTAGTGAACACCTTTAAAAGTAAATATTATTAGTTTAAAATACTAAAAAGCCAATATTTACAACAAATCCAAGCAAAAAAAAAGAAACTTGTTAGGTCTCACCGAGATTCGAACTCGGGTCGCAGGATTCAAAGTCCTGAGTGCTAACCGCTACACCATGAAACCACGGCTCGTTTCTGTTTTCTTTTGAAAGAGAATTCGGAGAGGGAAAAAGTGGTTTCGCGCCAAAAGTTTTCGGGACAAAAAACTGTTTTTTTTCGAAATTAGGTAGGAAAATGTTTTTAAAATTTTAATATTAGATATACAAAACCCTAATCTAAAAAGATTTAAGTTTTGAAACTACTTATGAGGTAGAAAAAAGCTTTTTTATGAAATTTTTTGCTAGAAACAAAGTCAAACAAAGCAATATCAAACAAAAACTTGTTTCACTAATTATTTATTTCGAAATAATTAAAATACGAATGGATATGAAGTAATGAGAAATTACAGAGCTTCTTCGAAGCCTTTAGCCGTGAAAGTGCCTCCAGTTGGGGAAGCGCACTCTTGACGAAGAGCATCGGGATTCGTTTGCTCTAACTCGTTCATTTTTTCCAGGTGAGGAGCCACAACTTCCCATACCTTGTTTTCACGAACCAGCTTTATGACCTGCTGAATCTCCGGATGCATGTAACGGTCTTCTTCTAATGGTCTGTAAGGGTTTATGGTTAATTTAATTTTGTTTAACTAATAATATAATTTTAGGTATAAACAATGGGAGATCGTGTAAGATATCTCGCTACTGGATATGGATGGTATTGAATATGGATTGTATTGGATATGGTCCGTATTGGAGATGGACGGATAGTAACTTACGGAGACACAGTTCTGACGAGATCGTAAACCTTCTGCAATGGTGGAGTTGATGTCAGAGGCTTTAGGAACTCCATTCCTTGACAAGCACATAGTAATTCCATGGCGAGGACTGTAAGTTTTCAATTTTTTTTGTTTTGTAATTATAATTTATAATTGAAGTTAAGGTTTTAGTAAAAGTAGTTAGGAAACGTATATTATACTGCTCGTTCTGACCGACGAAAAAGCAGTATAATAACTTTTCCTTACTACCAAACTTTATAATTGTTGTATTTTACTAAAACGAGGTAACTGAAAGGCTTTTCCACTAGTTCCTATATTCTTACCTGCTTCAGTATGTTCCACAACTTTCAGAGCTTTTCTCGCCGAGAATCCGCCCATTGAAACGTGATCTTCCTGATTGCAGCTGGTTGGAATACTGTCAGCAGACGATGGATGGCACAAAACTTTGTTTTCAGAAACCAGAGATGTCGCGCAGTATTGAATAGTCATGAATCCTGAGTTGAGACCACCGTTTTTGGTCAAGAACGTTGGAAGTCCGCTCAATTCCTTGTTAACCAACCGTTCCAGTCGCCGTTCACTGATTTGTCCAAGTTCTTGGACTCCAATCGCCAAGTAATCGAGGACTTTGGCTGGATATTCACCATGGAAGTTGCCTCCGGAGATGATTTCCTCTTCGTCGGCAAAGATCAAAGGATTGTCTGTGGCCGAGTTGATTTCTGTGGTAAGCACGTTCTTGGCAAATTCGATAGTGTCGTGAGAGATACCGTGGACTTGAGGAACACATCTCAGCGTGTAGGCATCTTGAACTTTGCCGCAGTTTCTGTGGGATTCAGCAATCTCAGAACGGTTTCTTTCAGAATGCGACAAAGCACGAAGACGGCTGGCTACAAGGTTCTGGCCTTTGTGGGGACGGACTCGATGGATGTCTGAAAGAAGAGGATGTTAATGGAGATAACGTATTGGTGTTGAAGTAACGAGTTCAAAAAATGTTGTAGGATATTGAGGTAGATCATTTTTTAAAGATTATTTTACGTTTATTATTATTTTGAAGAACTCACTAGCATTGTAAGCGCGTGAGGTCCCTTTAAGTACGTCCAATGTCAAAGCGGCAATTACATCTGCTTGTTTGGCCAGGTTTTCGGCTCTCACAGTAGCTAAAACAATCAAAAATGTAAAATGATAATACAAGGAACAAAGAAATAATAACATCAATTACAAAGCAAGGTAAAATATTGGAATTTAACCAAAATATTATCAAAAACACAAAATTAATATTAATAAAGCACGAAAACTTACCCATAGCTCCAATAGCAGTGACCATTTGAGTACCATTGATAAGGGCCAGCCCTTCTTTTGGCCCCAATTCCAACTTTTCTAGTCCATTGACTTCTAGAACTTCGGCTGCTGGGGCCCATCCAGTCTTGGGAGACCACATCTGACCTTCTCCACACATTCCCAAAGCTAAATGTGCTAATGGGGCCAAGTCTCCACTACAGCCAAGGGTACCTTGCTGTGGAACAAAACTTACACAGAATGCTGAAACAATACTTTTTTTATAATCTACAGTATCATTCAGATTCATAGCTGGATTTACAGTACCATCAAGCTTCTTAGCTGAATGTAAAGTACCATAAAGGCTTTTAGTAGAATATAATGTACTACAAACACTTACAGTTGAAGGCATTGACAAGTTTTTCTACATTTTCCAACGAAATTCCAGAATGTCCTTTGGCGAAGACGTTGATCCTCAACGCTAACAACATTCTGGCTTTGGATGGCTCTAGATATCGCCCATATCCAGTAGCGTGAGATCTTACGAGATTCATCTGCAGCTTCCTGATGTCTTCAGGGTTGATGGCTACATTGGCAAAAGTCCCAAAACCGGTCGTGATGCCGTAGACAACTGAAAATTGTAATTGTTGTGGAATGATAAGACATAAATTTTGAGATTACTGGTCCTTTAATGCCATTCTACGTGTGTTATTGTAGGTATCATGCTTACTTTTGTGTTCTTTCGCGATTTTGAGCAAAAAGTTTCTGGAGTCGCGAACTCTTTGTTTGGATTCTTCGGAGAGTTCGATCCTGACCAGATCTCGAGAGCAATCCACGAGGTCTTCTAGGGTCAAGCTTTCTCCATCTAGTACCAATGTTCTTTTTTCATTCGTTGAGAGATAGCTGAAAAGATTTTTTTTGCAATTTCTTTATTAGTGCGGTACCACCTTAAAGCTAACCCTAGATCAATTCAGCTTTGAGTTTGTCTTTCTCTACAATAATATAAACATTTCTTACTCTTCAGGATCGTTCTTGAGTATGGCTTCGGCTTCACCAGAGAATACAACGTTTGAAACCATGGTTGATTTACAATTGGCAATAATAAAGTTTGAGATGACCTAAAAGGAAAAAAGTTTAATTTGCAAAACAAATACCGATGGTATACGATCATCAGTAACAAAACAACAATAAAAGTACTGAAAACAAATCAAAATAATCGACAAATCTAAAAATATATTGTTCATCGATGATAGTATTGTAAATATTATCACAGTCGATAGAGCTACTTAACCATTAGGTCGTTCAAATTATTCTGTGCCCCTTTCAAAGCAAATTTTCGGGGTTAGAGGGCACAGAATTATTTAAACGACCTAATATAAAAGAATTATTGTGTTATTCAAATAATTCTACGCCCCCTAAAACTATAAATTTGTTTTGAGAAGGGGCACAAAATTATTTGAACGACCTAATATAAAGGACATTATTTTATTTATGACCATAGCACACAACACTCATAAGATTACTACAACAGTCATCAAAGCAAGCACTTCTTTGACTAAACCTATTCCTAAAATGTTACTATGAACAAGAAACGACATGACTGTAATGATCGCCACCAGATGTCACGTTGCAGAATGCGACAAATAACCCAAGACTGAAGTTCCAAGAGATGATTAATCTTATCATATTAAACTTTTTGCGCGGAAACGCTTTCAATCGGATTCGATAATGATAACCAACTTTATCGTTATTGTTGAGGCACGTAACCTTATCACCTATGATAAACTTATCATCTATGTCTATGACATCAATTTTTTGGATGTTAAGATAAATAACATCAAAGTCATGTTATGAAAAGAAAAGACTGCATTACAAAAGACTTAATAAAGGTAATGAAAACTTACAGTAAATGGATTCCATAGGTGAAAAAGTTGCTGTCATAACAAAAATGATTAGAAATAGATATTTAACTTGTTATTTACTTGAATTTCAAAGGTTTCTAAATTATTTTACTACGAAAGAACATTTCAATGATAACTTTGAGGGTGTTTACTTTATTTATTAAAGTACTTTTAAGGTCACTGAGCAATAACACCTTTAGCAACAAGTTTGGAAAGGAATAGTAAAAATAGAGCTTCAAATCTTATCATAAGACAAAATTCAAATTACTTTTGTACACAAACTTTTTGACAAGTTTTTGGCCCAGCGTTGACTAAACCTAAAGCGTTTTTAAATTTGGAAAGTCGAGCTTTTGATTCAGCTGTTTTAAGTGTTACTCTGCGATTTGAGAGCCAAAGCTGGCCCTGAAGTCATGGGGAAGGTTGGGTTCAGAACAAATTACACAGCAATTTAAATTGTAGCAATTACAGAATAAAATTCACTTTAAAAATTGTAAAATATCGTATATTATTGACCATCAAACGACAGGGGAGAGAGAGAGAAACAGGCCTAGCTTTTAGGTCCGGCCCGTTTCAAATTTAGCTCAAGGCAGGCCCAGCTTGATCTTATGGCCGAGCTGGGCATACAAGTACCGTTGTTCACCCCTATCAGAGAAAAAAAGTATTAAAAAAAGCAAAAACCCTACCCAAAAGTTGAAGAACTTGAAAATGTAAATCAAAGTTAAAAACTACATAATTATAAGCTGAAGAAGATCAAATGCATCAACACCCCCATTATAGAACCATGTTTGCAGTAACAATAATGATGTTCTCGAAGCAGCGATCAAGTTGTAATAGGTTATGAACTTTGTGATTGATGATATTGTCTGTTTCGTTGACAAACCAAAGACTACAAGTCAGAAGGATATTGATACATGAGCTGAAGTCATACGTTCGTGTAGTTGTAAAATCACTCACTTTCGCAATTTTGATCTTCTGGTTTTGTATACGACCGTATTAGGCGAATCTGTGTTTTGCTTTTTACGTGGTTACGGTAATTTTGATCGTATGTTACAGTAAGGCTTTATAGTAAATAGAATCATAAGAAGTGTTAATAATATTAATATAGGTAAATCTCTCTCTATAGTATCTAAATTACTCTTATTCTCATCAACATAGCACCATACTATAGCTCTTCTCGATCATCGTCCGCTACCATAAGCTCTTCCAGTAGTATCTTGTTGTAATCGTCAAGCATCAGGTCTTCCATTCGAATTTTACCAAGGTTTACAGGTTCGTACAATCGTTGGAACTTCTCGAAGACTTCTGTAGTTACATTCAGGTCTACTTTACGATAGTTATCGGCACAGTAGTTTATATCCAGCGATATTATGATAGGATGCTTAGTACTGGTTCGATTCAAGGGCAAGTAGAAGATACGTGAGATCATTGAGGTTGTTTGGCTGAAATTGTGGGATGATAAATAACATAGACATACATAGTAATAATATACCTTACTATACTGTATCTTATTCTAATCCGCCCTCCCTTCAACAAGTGTCCTCAACATCCATTTGGTACTGCCACGGCATGCCGTGTTACTGCAGAACAACTTCTTGATTTTACCTTGTCCTATCTACTCTACAGTACCCAAATACTCAATAGATTAAACAGTAAAAAACCAATGTCATTCTAACTTACCCAAGAATTTCGTAGTAATAATCGCTCGCTAATTGATACGCTGTGATAGTGAGCAAGTTCATTTCCTTGTATGATATCATCTCCTCACATATGAACTCACCAGTAACACAAAGAGCTGTAGCAGAAGATCGCGGACATCCCATAATATGACTAACACAACATAATAATACAATAACAATCGACCGCATTATAAAAAATATATCAGAAAATTATAAATATTTACATTTTTGACATTATTTTTAACAAAATTTGCAAAAAAAATTATAAAACGTTTCTTTTATATTTTAAAAAGGTTTGTTACCTTAAAACAGATTTTTTATAAGAGTCGAGCGACCCTGTGTACATCAAAAAAAAATTTTTTTTCAAACTTGCGCTAATGACTTGTCTATCAGTGTTAATTAACATGCACTAAATTTTTTTTTCTAAAATTACCGTAATCCGTCATACTGTAGCTTGACCTCGAATTTGGTATCTCAGGAATGAAGTGAGCTAGAAACATGGGGTCTTCACCATAATGTAGCCTGTGCGAAATAATGAATATTTGTAATTTACACCATGTTTCGAAAACATCTTCAATTATTTTTAAAATTTGGTTTTTTGTGCTAAATTACAATAATCCTAAATTTTCTCAAAAAAAATTGCATTCATTTAACCCTGTTTTATTTTTTAATTATTAAACTGCAGGCTTTTTGCGGTTCCAACGCACCTAAAATTTTCAAAATCGGAAGTAACTACCTAAGGTAAAAATTTCATTTGAAAATTTTCATTTCTTTAAAAAAAATTTAAAAATTTTTTTTAAAATTAATGTTATGATTTTAGAACTTTATTATGTACATTCGTAAACAGTTAAGTACCAAATAGTACATTTTCTTAATTAAAAAATTTTAGTTTATGTAACAATATGTTTATAAATAAAAAAATTTTAAATTAAAAAAAAATGTACAATTTGGTAATTAAGTGTTTACAAATGTACATAATGAAGTTCTAAAATCATAACATTAATTTTAAAAAATTTTTAAATTTTTTAAAAGAAATGAAAATTTTCAAATGAAATTTTACCTTAGGTAGTTACTTAGGATTTTGACAATTTTAGGTGCGTTGGAACCGCAAAAGCCTGCAGTTTAATAATGTAATTTTGCACAAAAAACCAATTTTTAAAAATACTTGCAGATGTTTTCGAAACATGGTGTAAATTACAAATATTCATTATTTCGCACACGCTACATTATGGTGAAGACCCCATGTCGCTAGCTTATTTGGTTCCTGAGATACCGAATTTGAGGCCAAGCTACAGTATGACAGATTACGGTAATTTTGGAAAAAAAAATTTAGTGCATGTTAATTAGCACTGCTAGACAAGTCATTAGTGCAAGTTTGAAAAAAAAATTTTTTTTGATGTACACTGGGTAGTCTGAGCTGGCTCGAGTCTTACAAAAAACCTGTTTTAATACCTTAAAATTAGGTGGTTAAAATAATTCTATTCCTCTCTTAAAGCAAATATTCGAGGTTAATGGCACATAATTATTTGAACTACATAATAAATTTGGGAAAAACACCTTTATACCTAAAACGTCATTTTAAAATTTAAATAATTTTAGCGATAAACTTCAAAAATAAAGCGCCATAACCATGAGGTCAATAATTTATGAACAATATATACATATAAATAAGTTATGGCAAGTCAAACTTAAAATGACAACTTTAAAATCACGAGGCTTTGGAATCCACCGAACTCAATAGTTCTGCACATTGTGTTATACATGATGCGTCCTAAAGTTCAAAGTTAATAAGTTGCGTAAGTTACTAGTTAATATAAGTTATCAGCCATCTTGAAATTCAAAGCTAGTAAATATGATAAGAAACGCACCTTCTTGATGTCGTTAACATCGTACTGTTGGAAGAGTTTGTCGCAGTTTTTAACTCTAACTGGAGCACATTCAGTCTGAAATTAAGGATTAATAACTTTGAATAATCTTTTTATCAATATGTAGAACATAATTTGATAAAAAGTCCGTGCAAATATAATTACTGTAGCAAAAAGCCCATAAAATTAATGTAACTTTAACAATGCCATAAGAAAGTAAACGTACTCCTTCCGAAGTGCAGATACAGCTCATACAAGGCGTGATTCTTCTCGACTCTCCCAATTGAATCTTCAGTCCATTGATTTCACATTCAGCTAAAATTACAGTACTCTCCATTGTTATTCTTACACAAAATATACGATACAGATGTATTAATATACATCATATAATATACAATGACGCTACTTACGTGTTTCCTTCCACAAGCTCAGATCAATCGTTTCGAATTCGTTACAACTCAAATGAGCGTTCCTGAAAAGTTACTATTATGTACGAACATTGAGTTTTAGTACATTATCACAGAGTTACCTTACAATAATTATACCATAAATTATAAAATTTTGAAAATATGTCAGTTGGTATGATGTATATATTACATCTTAAGCCTAGCCATGCCATTTTAGAATAACATAGCCAACTCACATCATGTTATCAGGCAGATCAAACACATTTGGTTGTAAGAACTTGAGATACTCGCTGTTCTGGCAGAAGATCGTGGCCAACTTCACCTTCCGGATCTCCTGCAGCTGAGGTGGAATGAACCTGGCAGCTTGATTATCGTTTTCATAGTAGAATCGGTCGCACTTCTTCAGTCTTCTGAATTGCTCCGCCAGGATACAGCTCATCGTAGGTCCGAGAAGAGCTCCAAACTTTGGTCGTTCACTCGTCAATCCAGGGAAAAGATCAATGTCATCAACATCCTCGTACACCGCCTTCAACGCGTTCACGGCACTAGAATCCATCAGATCCAAAAGATCTTCGAAGGATTTGGCCTTCTTGAAGCCGCAAAGTTGACGGTACTCGTTGTAGGGTTGCACACCGTGATCTCTGGCTCTCAACATGTTGATCGCGATCAGATCCATCCCTGATTTGTCCAATCCACGTCTCGCGAACAGATGATTCCTTAACGCGGATGTGATATGTCTGTCAAAGGCCATAGCTGGAGTACCCAGAAGTCCCATCAACATAGAATCCATGCCTCCAGCCGACTGGTTGTAGATTGGGCCAACGTGACCGAAATGTTGTGACAAGTCAACCGGTTCTGCCATTTCTTTGTAGTTAGGGTCCATTCTGGGGAACAGTTTCCTCACCAGAGTGTGACCGAATCTGTAGGCAGCTGTAGCGAATGGCTGTGAGATTGCGGCGTTGCATGTGTCATCATACCCAATGTAATATCCATTCTTCAAAGGTACGAGATCGTATTCGCTCAACAGTTCGTTTCCAATGATTTTTGGCAGAAACTCGCTGAACACGATGTGCTGAAGTTGAGCGACGTGAATACGACGAGTCTCCTGGAAGATCCTCTCATCGTTCCAATGAGGATTGATCTTGGATAACTGTTTGGCGATCCTGTTGTGTTCTCTCAAGAAGAAGGTGTGCATCATGGTGAGGCCAGGTTGATGGCTGTTCCTTTCGTCTCCGGCGACAAAACATTGTTCTCGAGGCGACGATCTACAGTCTTTCTCTTGCTCTCCTTGAGGTAGAGCCATGTGATTGCCCACTCCGAGGTTGGTGAAGTTCATAAGACCTCCGGAAAAGAGACGAAGGTTGTTGGATTCACAGGTCGTGGAGCCGTAGATGGCTGAACCGTCAATGAAGGCGGTGAGCTAAAATAAAGAAGGTATAGGTCGTTAAGTACTACAATATCAGTCTTATAAGAGGCGATTGGTAAATAATAACTAACTTGATTGATCTGAGCTCTGTAACCCAGATTAACTTGACCAAGAAGTGATCGTGCGAACGGTAAACATCGTGGTTCACCATTCTCCATCACCGTGGGGAAGTGAGGATCTCCAGGCTCAACTCTCAAAGGCATACAATGTTTCGATATTGTTGTAGCTGAGTCACATCTGGTACAGTTCAGGATCTCATCGTTGGCAGCACGAGCTACAGGTGAATGGGTGAGTTCGTGATCCACAAATTGACCAAACTGCATTACCATGTGTGTGAAACGGGTGTGACTAACGTTAACATCAGCGTGAACGGTATTCGAGATGACACGAGGAGATGGCAGAGCCTTTCCTGACTTGGCACGGGATCGTGGAGCGTCGAATCCGTCTTCGTAGGATGGCTACAAGATTTTTAATTAATTTTAGTTTAAAGAGTAGATAATAGTATTTGAATTGGCATTACTATACTTTGTATGAAGTATTAGGTTGTTCATATAATTCTGTGCCCCTAATCCTGAAAATTTGCTTTGAAAGAGAACACAGAATTATTTGAACAACCTAATAGCTTTTATATTATTAATAAACATACCTTCAAAAGATGTTGAAGCGGTGTAAAAGCATTAGCAAACTCAGGATGCTTCAAATTGTTGCACCATCCAGAGTAGGTTCGGTACCTACTAGTATGATCACATGGTAATTGTCGTGGTAGACATTCCTCCAACGTCGCTCTGCCATTTTCACTCAAAAAAGCAGTGAAATTGTTGAACAAACTTTCAATACCAACATCAGGTAGCAGCTTGACAAGCACATCATTCGATAGTTTAGGTAACACTTCACCATCAGGTAAAGTCCGACCTTCTGTTAGGATTTTGGTAGATTCCAGAAGGACATCTGCTACCTTGCTGAAGATCTTGGTTTCTGTTTTTGGTCGCATCATATTAGAATAGGCAAACAGTGGATCTCCTTTTTGGAATGGTCGCTGATCTGGAAAAAGCTAGTTAAAAAATAAATTTTGTCAATAAAATGGGTAAAACTTAGTGTAATATCGATTGAATTAGTCCAACAATATCCGTTAAACCAATTTCAACACAATAAAGCAAAGTTATGATCTCTTACTTCTCTGTACATTGAGCGTCTCTCTCCTGTCCCTCTCCTGAATATTAAACTTGGCCAATTCAATCACCTTCATCAAGGTTTCTTTGGTAACTGGCAGCTCAATGGTACTGTCGTCGTCCTTCCAAGCCATGAAATCCAACTTGTTGATCGTTTTGGAGTCACATTTCACAAAAGCATTCTCATATTGATCAGATTTCATGAACACGGAAGGCTGAAGTTGTTGTTGGCCACCAACGGCACACAAAACACTGGCCAAAGTGGTCTCTCTGATTTGAATAAGTTGATCATCGTTGAAGGACGAGGTTGAAAAGAAGTTTTCGTACCAAAAACGGTCGCCTTTCTTGGTCTACAATAACATAATGTCATGGATAACATAAATTTATACTTTAATTGCGATTTATAGAACGACAATGTTTGAAAAACGTCAAAACTTTCGATTTCACATAAGAAAAATCAAATTTCCTCAAAATCTTTATTGTTTTCGCGGTGGGACAAAACTACCTTACAAAATACTGCTCAAAACGTTCAAAATTAAAACTTACCTTATAAAATTGTGTACCCAATATACAAGTTAGTGTAGGACCAACTAAAGCTCCTTTTTTTGGTTTTTCGGCCAAAACTCCAACCAGTAGATCAATATCATCTACCGAGTCATAAACATCACTCATACGTTGCAGTAACTCGAAGCTCAAGATGTCGTTTCTTAAGTCATTGAAAGTGTAGATCTTTAAATTAAAACGTTTTATTTATTTCATTAAAAACTATTATCCAATTTTAAAAATTTCTCAAATTTTAAAATTTTAGGTAATATTTTAGTCTTATCACCTCGTTCTTACTCAATTATCATAAATATAAAAACAGTCCAGACTTATTTTTTATGTAAATACGGCCAGTCTTCATAGAGAAGTCACAGCTTAAAATTCGAGCTCTTACCCTTCCAAAACCACATTGCCTTCTGATGGTAGCATAGCCGGGTACTCCATGCTCTCTGCTTTGTTTCAAGGCCATGGCCACTAAATCTAGTCCAGGCTGGCTTGGTGATACACTCAAGAATCGTCCCCTGAAAGCTTCACTCATCTTTGGACCAGTATGCTCCATATTGGCTGTGATGAGTTCACTGAAATAAAGTTTTGGCATAAAGCTACATCTTCTTGTCTCTGTTTTCGTATATTAAGTACATTTAACAAAATATATACGAAATAAGCAACAAAAGTAAAAGTCAAACAAAGATAACTTACTAAACAACTCTCTCAAACCCATTCCTCTGGTAGAAAACGTCAGGATTGTTGAAGCTGGCCATCAACTCCACCTTGTGTTTGTTCAACCAAACCAAAGCCAGGTTGGTCGCAAGCACGGCGAATTCGTTGAGAGTAGCACCGTTCAGTGACATGTCATAATCACTGGCGAACCCGTTTGGCATTGGCGACAGCTGATAATGATTCATGGCTTCTTGACCGAGTACCAATGGTAGAAACTCGGTGTAGGTAATGTGTTGGAATTGAGCGATGGTGATCTTACGAGTTTCTTCGAAGACACGGTCGTCGTTCCATCTTGGGTTGATTCTCTGGAACATGATAGTAAGTTTTTGATTAAAAAATTAAGGTCATTTTTCTTTATTTTGAGTTTAGATGGCTATAAATGCAGGTAATAACCTACTATAATATACATCTTAACAAGTAAATTAAAATGTTTGAAAAGTTTTGAAACTTTTAACTTTTAGTACCTATACATGTCTATATATCTTCATGTTGAATACAAAAAATCCAAACAACTCACTCTCAAGTTATTGGCGATAAAGTTATGTTGTCTATGCCAAATAGCATGTAGACCTGTAATCCCGGGCAACAAGTTCACATCCCTTGATCCACTCAAGAAGCAATTGTTGTTCAAATGTGATCTACAGAAGGTAGCAAACGATTTGTCAGGTGGAGGAAGGTCAATAGGTCCTGAAGACAGTAGGCGACCTCCAGAAGCACGAAGTTTGGCCGCTTCTTCCTTTGAGTTTCCGTACAGGAAGCTCAGGTCAAGGTAAGAACTGGCCTGGTTTGACTGTTCTCTGTGGCCCAATTTACATTCATTTGGCTGAGCTGGGAGGGTTCTAGCCAATGGCATGCAGTTGACGCCTGAGGCATTGTAAATGGGGTCATTTTGGAAGATTGGGATAGATACACAGTCGGGGTGCTTGATGTCTGGGGAACAGCAGGGGAGCGGGTTGGATTCACCTGAAACGGTATTTTTGGTTAAACAGGATAAAACTGTTGATATTAACTGTACTGGTTAGTGCCGTGATATAAAAATCATGAACTGTACTAGTTAGTACCCTTATGGCCAACACAATTTCTGAATTACAGTATCGTTTCGTACAGTTTTATAGCGAAACTCATACTGGAAAATGTAACTCTGTAACATTGATTTATATTAATGTATGTCATATTGACTCGTCACGTCGTACACGTTGTTGTGTCGTGACTTGTTTTGCAACCGACATCCCTCGTAAAGGATAAGTAGTAGAAGCTTGTTTTAGTTCCTAAACTCGGTTACGCAATCTTCACGTCGTGGTTGCGCAAGAATTTCGAACAAAAAACGAAAAAGAAGATAGATATCGAGAAAGCATAGTAAGTGAAAAAAAAATGTAAAAATTAGAAAAATTATGGCATTCAAAATGAATAAAGGTTAAAAGTTAGGCCTAAAGCTAAAAATGAAGCCAAATAGGCCTAAAATCATACAATTTTATCAAAAAACCATAAAACTAGCTCACCATTCAAAATCAGCTGATTAGGAGCACTTTCCCCCATATCACTAGCCATAATATACATCCAATAAGGTACCAGATGGGTCAGCCCTTCATGTGGTTGGTTTGGTTCTTTAAATACTTCCAAAGATACCAATCTTTCATTTGGCAATCCTTTTCCAGTTTTACTGTCGCGTGGAGCTGAAGTAGAATCAGCATAAGCAGCTGGACTCAATCGTTGATATGGTCCTGAAGCTACACCCCATTCAGAGTGTTGTACATTGTTACATCTGCCATTGTAGCTGCGGTAGAAGGTTGGAGGACATGTCTCGTTCTTGACTTGATGACAGGTTCGGCCGAAGTAGGTTGACTGAAGAAGGGTTTCGTCCAGACCCTCGAAGACGTCGGATTCGCGGAGGCCTAGTCTGAAAATGGTACAGTCAACCATCTTTAGTATGACACTAAAGAAACTAGAATAAGTGCCAATATAATTAGAGTGCCACACTATAAAATTGTTCAAATAATTCTGTACCAACTCTCATGGCAAAATGTCGAGGTTAAGAAGCACAGAACTATTTGAACAACCTAATAGAAGCCCTAAATTATGAATGTTTATATCTAACATATAATATCCAAGTTTTAATGCTTACCGTAAAAACTTCTTTGTCATACTGTCAGAAATGTAAGCTGGAATACTTTGTGCTTTGGTCAAATGATTTACAGAATGCATTTTGACAAAACTAGACATGGCTGCTGACATTGAACTTCCTGAAATTGTGGTAAAGTACGTTGCCTATTAGTAATCACAGTATTTCATGGCTATATTTTATAATTTTTTGATCTTTTTTTAGTAAAACAACAAAACTATTACCTAAAAACTGCATTTTTTGATCAAAAATTAATCTACAATTATTTAAAACGACACTATACCACAATAAAACCCTCAAAAACCTACTAGAATTGATAGGTTTGGCCGAACTCTCGTCCAGAATCCTTTCGACTTCTGTCTGAGCTTCTTGTGCTACCGTTCTGATCATACTCTCAGGCAGTTTCGGCCTCTGCACGCCTGGGTTCACGTTGGAAACACCGTACACTCTGACTGGTTGTTGTGGTTGCAGCACCACACCTTCACATGGGAATGACGCCTTTCCACATGGAATCTGTGAAGCGTGCAGGTGGAGGAACAAGGTCCCTATTAGGAGTAGGACCCACATTTTGTGACTGAACGAGAATATTGTGGTACAGAGAAAGGTACGCTTTTAAAAAAATAAATATGCAGAGTGATGCAAAAAGAATAGCGCATAAAAACTTTTCTTGACAGGCAAAGTCTTCAACGTTTCAATTCATGCTGATAAACAAACAATATGTACTATAAGATACCTTACAGTACCGCTTTAAAGTATCTCATAGATAAGCTACAGCGAAAAAAGTACAAGATAACATGTTCCTCACAATACAGCACCCCCGTTACAGTAAACAACGCCGGCTTAACCTTTGAGCGTTCAAAAACCAATCCGACTTCACCGACTGACCGACTTTCCTCATCCCCAAACCCCCAAAACTCATCGAAACATGCGGCTGGGGAGGGCGGGGGTAAATTCTAACTCTGTTCGCACATTAAAAAAAAGTTGAGCGACGCCTCGAGGAACACAATATCCAGAAGAATATAACTGGTTTTTCGACGAGCCGCTCACAGCGACGGTCAACGGCGAAGACTCACGTAATCCGACAAAACATATTAGACAATATCATCGCAGTAACTTTTAACAATATTTACCAAAAGCTGGGTTGCAATGTCGTTTTAATTTGAAAAAAAAATGTGTTCATATACTTATTTAAAATTTAGCATAGAGTATCGTTATTAAATCAAAAATATTTTTAAATTTCGTTTTGTCTCTGAAGCTTACAGTAGCTTTCTTTGAGCCTACGGCATTCAAAAAAGCGTAGTCAAGACACTGCAGCAACTATATCATAATCCCAACAAGCCCTTTAACTAAAAAAACCTCGAAATTGCCATACTATGGCTATTGTATTGGTATGGGAACGTTGCCCTATTTATACGGTTGTCTACCGTGAAGGTGAGCTCCGCCTTTTGATTTGGATTTGATGGATTAACCGAGCTTTCAGAACCGGTGTCGTTTGGCGATGACACAAAGCGGTTTTTTAACAGTTTGGACGTGATAATTAATCAAACACTGGTCAAGGGAAATAGTTTGGAAAGAGTTTTTCAATGTTTTAAGCCATTGGAACACCTTACAATCGTTTCGGCATTTTACATGCAGTCGAAATCCTGTAAAATGCTAAAACAATCGTATGTTGTTTTAAGGCTTTTACTTTTGTTTTGAAATGAAAAATATTTTAAAGATTTATTAGGTTGTTCAAATAATTATGTGCCTCTTAGTCAAAAAAATTTGCTTTGAGAGCATAGAATTATGTGAACAACCTAATAATACAAAACTAGAAGCAAATTAGCTTCCTTGTGTTTTAATCTGAGTAAATACCGTGAAAAAACGAAATTGCGCGACATTTCTCTTTCAATCTGTCCGACAGTTTTCTAATTGAATTTGTGAGCTTTCAATTTTGTTTTTTCAAATATTACTCACTTTTTTCAGTTTAAAAAGTACTTCAACCATGGCCACTAGGAATGGTTTAAGCCAAAGTCATGAGCTCTTGCCATTTTAGATTTCAAGCTATAGTTTGTTACAGCTAAATCTGTGAAGTCGGGACGAACCAATTTTTCAACACAACCCCTTTCGACTCTGCTTTGGCCCGGCTCACAAGTTGTCAGCCCGAGCCTAGTGGGCCAGCCCCCTTTCAAGTCTAGTTATATCACTAATTACCCAAAAACCGTATCATTAAACCTATCATAATATTTTAGTAAATTATCAATTTCAATCCAAATTTAATGCCCTCAGGCTAATTGTAGTTAATTTATTTTCATAAAAGTTTAAATAGTTATTACGCGTCAAAAATGAAAAGTTACGAAATAGTAAGAGATTGTAAATAGTACTGTCTTGTGGTGACAGTACTGTTTTCATAGAATTTTGAATAATTTAAGTACGTGCCTTCAACTATGGCCACTACGAAATACAATTCTTGTTCAACAGTTCTCGGACTGCTTACTTTATCAAAGATACAAAAATTCCTGAAAAATTCTCTGATATTCAATTCTACAAACATTTCAATCAAACTAAAACCGTCCGAGAACTTTTGAAACCCTTTTTAGTTAAAATTGGGTTGGCCCCAAAAGATTCTGCGTATTTGAATAAATAGAGATAAGCTACTATAACAATATACATGCTATAAAAAGTCAGTTAAACTCTGTCATTACCTCAGCCATGTCACATAGTAAATACAGTAATTCTTTCGCTTACAAAAAATATAATTGTGAAAGAATTAATGGAACAAAAACAGAAAAGATCAATCGACCAAAATAAAACAAAAAAGATCAGTCGACCTCATAAAAAAATTAATTTGCAAATTGAGCAAAATTGGCGAAATTAGCGAATCCATTAGACTGTCCTGACGTTTGACCATTCGATTGGGTAGCATTGGCAAAGGGATCGGATCCAAATGGATCACCAGTCGATTGAGACTGATTCGAGAATGGATCCGACTCCCCAAAGGCTGATTTGGCTGCGTTGTCGTCGAATGGATCGTCTGGAACAGGTCAAACATTAGTAAAACTACAAAGAAATTTAAATTTGAAACTTTCTAAATAACATTAGTTCAAAAGTTCAAACCCCTATTTACATTTTTACAAAAAAACATTAAGTCATGATCATTCAGCGATGATTTTCAGAAAGATTGAGAGATAATTTCAAAAAAGTACCTTTAAATGGATCAACAGGAGGCGCTTCGTAGATTGGCCTTGATTGGAAAGCATTGGCTTCAAAAGAGTTGCTTTGTGGTATTTTGCTACTCGTGCCATTCTGAAACAATCATTAAAAACTTGTTACACTCTCCTACTCATCTTTTTTTAGGTAACAAATATCAAAAAAATCCACTTCCAAAAGCCTTATTTTAAAATTTTTTTTCACTTATCAAGAACTTTTTCGAAAAAATATAACATGAATGTCATTGTCCATAAAAAAGATTACTTATAGTTTAAAATCTTACCAAAGAAAACTGTTCAAACTGTTTAAAAAGCACAGCTTCATCTCCAGTCGGTTCTTCCACCTTCTCGGCTTCTTCCAACTGCACCTTAATCTCCTCCACCATCTTCTCAAGCTGTTCTACATCACTCTTGTTCGTGTCGATCTTCCTCTCCATCAACGACAATTCATCGACCGTTTTCTCGATTTCTCGTCGCTTTCCGTTCACTTCGAACTGTAATTTACTGAACTCTGCTTCGAATTGTGACATTTCAGCTCTCAACTGATCCAGAAGCACTTTCTCCAAGTTCTCGCCTTCCTGTGCTGATTGAATGTCATTTTTGGTTTGATTCAGTCGTTCTTCTTCTTTTTTTAGTCTGTCAGCCGTCTCGTCGCAGTTGTTCTCCAACCTTACAATTCTTTCATCCAGGTCTGCCAATCGTTTCGAGGCTTCTCCTTTCTGGTGTTTCAGTTGTTTTACTGTCGCTGTCAAAGTTTGATATTCGATTTCAGAGTTTTTGATTTCCGCTGATTTGACTAAAGTATCTGCATCGAGTTGGGCAAGATCTTTGTCAGCTTTTCGACGTTCTTCTTGCGATTTCTCAATTTCTTCATTCAATTCGTCAATTCTTGGTGAGCTGGGAATCAGAATCTTCTAAAAATAAAAATAAGTAAACAAGATTTTTTAAAATTTATTAGCAAACTTCATTTTTAAAATATTTCTTCCTATTTTGACCTTTTAATAATTTCACAAAAGCAAATCCTAAAAATAAAAAATCTATAGAAAACAAAACTTACTGATTGATTTGCAGTTTGAATCCATTGTAATAAATGAGACGGCAACATGTCAGGCATCGGGATACCGTGCCGACATTCGTTTACCAAAGTTGTCCTAAAATACATTATTTAAGTCTACTTTTAACAAAAAAACTTTCAAAAATTATATTGAAGCAAGTAAAAAAATTGTTAAAAAACTTACAATAAAGTGAATTGTCCATGATTAAGTCGACCGGTATGTTGATAATCGACCAATCCCCAAATCTTAGCCAAGACATGTTGTGGTAGACCCGATTGCATAAGAGGTTCGCGGACGTCAGCTCCATCAACAAATCCATCCATATCAGTGTCAAACCGTTGAAAGTCAGCCTCTGAGGCTTGTAGTGATATTGTGTCAACATTCTAAAAATATACACCTTAAACACATCGAAATTCAAAACCTTTCGGCTACCATACATACTTTCAACTATCAAAACAAAGAAAGTACTGAAAAAAGAATCACAACACAAACTTACGTTTTGATCCAAGACAGACTTGATTGGTGTCCCTGGCGTTACATTATCCGTCATCGAATCCAATATGCTTCGATTTAACGAACTTATGCTTGGAGTTCGCGACCCGTGACTAAACGCTGAAACATCCCATATTAGTCATAGAAAGTTAATTTATCTTTACTAAAGAATCACAAACACCATAGAAAGTATAACAGTTCAAAAACCTCATAAAATCTCTCCAAACTTTATGAAACTTTTCAAGATATAAAAGAAACACCCAAAAACAATTAAAAATATAATTTGTAGTAAAAAAACAACTATTCTGGCTCATAAAGTAAAACAATGAATACTATAACCCATAAAAAGTAAAGTAAACTTACAAGGCTTTGGAAGCGGAGAAGCAGCGAAAGATTGTCTCCTAGATCCAACTACAAGATGTCGTTTTGTTGGATGAACAAGACCAATTGGCAATCGTTCTGGCAAGGTTTCATTCTGCAGCGCTTTATAAACAAGATGCAGAGCAACATAGAACTCATATCGATCTAGGTATCCATCATGATCAATATCAGAAAGCTCCCAAATACGTCCAAGTTTGAATGTAGGTAGCTTCGAGTTTAATAACAAAGGTTTTACCTAAAATGTAAAGTAAAAGGTAGACAAAATCAAAATTTATCAAATAAAAAAGTTAATATTTATCATTTTAAGAAAATATTTACATTATAAAAATAGTAAAACACGTCATTACTAAACAGTTATTCATTTTCAAAGCATTAAACACATTAAACTTTCAATTTTCGTTACCTAAAATTTATATATTCAAAATTTAAAACGTACCTGATCACCAGACAACCTCCCATTTTGAGGATTCAAACTCTGGAAGATGGCTGCGTATTTCTGTTGTTCACTTTCAGGTAGCTCCCATTCCATAGGCTCTGATTGAGCAGAAGCGCGACCAGAAACAGTTGGGAACGATGGAGGTGGCAAAGTGGCATTTAAGGCAGCTGGAAGTGGCGGATGACCATTCTGAACTGCCGCTATCAACTTGAAGGCAATAAAGATGCCTTTTCTATCAAGTCGACCAACATGGCGATAGTCCGCTAGGTCCCATACCTAAAAATGGCATGTTTAAAATTGATTCTTCTTTGACTTATGTAGTGAATTAAACTTATTAAGCACTAAAAAATTACATTTTAATGACTATACATACACAAAGCAGAAATAATAAACTACAAGTATATAGTCAAAACTTCCAAAAACAACGTCACAGAACACGTATCCGTGTTTGTTACCTAAAAACAAAACAAAAGTATCGCAAAACTTACTCTACTCAATAAGGTGACGTCAATGCCTGAAGAACGGAGAAAGTGAGCCGCCGGTTGAGCATCTACTTCAAGTAGGTTGTTCGGATTCAACTAAAAATACGATTAATTAAAATAATTCGTAGCGGAGAGAAGTATAATAATAAAAAAAACGTCAAAAGCTTCTTCTGTTTACTTACTTCCCTATAATACCTAAAGTAATGCTCCAGATGAGGACCAGCAATCTCTTCCTCAGACGACATCACCAAGCCTAAAAATATAATTTTAAGTATTAACCTGTTCAAAGGTAAAACATAACATTATAAGGCACGCCTAAAACAATTTCAAATTATATAAAATGCTACGCAGAACCTTGTGAATCCAATATAAAGATAAAAACCTTCAAAAACACCATTTAAACGTCAAAAACATTGCTAATATCCCTTGAATATTTATTACTTACTTATTATCTTCGAAAACATTACATAAAGTTCAAGAAATTTACATTATTCTAGATAAAAAAAAACCCTTAAACCTTCGAGTTTCATATTTTAATAAAAAAAACTTTACAAACTATTTGTTTCCCCTCAAAAAAGAGTTGAGAACGAGACATTTTCCGGAGTGCCGAAATCGAAAATCGAAGAAAACGGCCGAAAAAAGAAAGGAATTTCCTTCAAAAGCCCTTTTTCGGCCGCGGGAAATAAAAAGTAGTAAAAAACCCCGAATTTTATTCAAATTGCGCTCGAATAAATTAATATCCCATTCAGGACAGGACTATTCACTCGCCTAACCGCGTATAAACAAATGTTATCTAAACGAGCCGAGAATAATATTTTTTCAAATATTTTAGACATCAACTGGAAAAGTAAGTTAAATCAAGAAGATTGTGTTGAAAAGCATTTAACCGACTATTAAAGTTTAGTGGATTCGTCACTGACCAATTTCACGCTGTCTCGAGCACAAGTCTAGAGTTCGAGATAGAAAAATAACGAAAAACGAAATGTCACACAAATATTGGCGTAGCGAAGTTTCTAAATCAGATCACCTTGCTTGGTTTTTTGCTGGATAACCTTTACTACTTTTATTTAGCTTTATATTTTACTGTTTTTGCTTGTATTTTATGTTGAATCAACCCCATTATAGTTCTTTTTAGTTTAGTAAACGTTTATTAAATATTAAGTTACAAACTGATAGTAAAATAAACAAAGAGAGATCGTAGTTCAAAAGTACAAAACCCGTAGAGTATTATTATGTTAGTTTAGTTAGTAGCCATTCTGGTAATCAACTCTCATTTCTCGTAGACGATCGCTGAGTTCGTCGCCATTCCGTTCCAAATGTGATGGGGATTGGCATTGTGATTGTTGTTCAAGCGATGAGCGTCTGCAACTGTATTTTAGTTCTAGTAATTTTATGCGATAGTTGAGGAAAATGTTTGTGTATGATATGCTAATAAAATAACTTATAAGATAAGCAGTGTGGCTTACCTAGAATATATTTTAGCTTCTCCATCAAAAGAACATCGAAGTTCGTCAGTTAGGAACGCTATCAACGTTCTCCAGGCTCTACCAGCTTCTCGGACTTTCTAAAATTTCAGAGTATGTTATGTTTTGCATTTGGCATACAAGGTTTGTTACGTTTTGCAAGTGGCATACATATTTTACGGTAGAAAATTGGAACGTACCGTAACAGCATCAGTAGAACAAACTTTTTCCATGCAGATTTCTCCCAATTTCTCCCAAATGTCAGCGTGAAAACCGCAGGATTGATTCAGAATGGCGTGTGATTGGCCACATCTTCGTATCATCGCGGTTACCGCGGCCTCACAGTCAATGTTGAGGACAATGTCATCGAAAAATCTAAAAAAATGTTGATTAATATACCATATCTCAACGGTTTATTGTACTATATCTCAATCATTTCTTCAAATTATATCTCAATAAGTTCTCAAAATTTTATAAAATGACGTTTTTTATAAAATGTCATGATGCCATACCATATAAACATCAAAAAGAACAACATACTTGACAAAATACTTGACATGTTCGTCTAATGTCCCTTGTGTTCCTGGTTCCTTGTTTACAAAACAGTCCACCAACGCTGCCTTGTAGAATATCTGAAATGTAATTAGGATAATGAACTGGATATGTATAACTATAGTATAGTATGTAAGGGAAACTTCCATGAAAATAAGGTAAATTTAAGGATTTTTCAAAAGTTTGGGGATAAGTTTTATATAAAACATAATCGCAGTAAATTTCACTTTTAAATTACAATTTTTGCCGTATTTTATGAAAAAAAATTTTTGATTTTTTAGAAATTTTAGATATTGTGGTAAAATATAAAATACTACTTACATCTTTAACTTTTGGACATACAACTTCCAGTTCTTGGAAGATACGACGAGATAACTGTGTGATTTGAGTCTTCAAGGCCCTCCATGAATGTTGTAGAGCTTGTCGTTGGTTTGGAGTTAGCCTAGCGAGTGATGAGTTTGACTCAAAGACTGAAATCGTACAGTAAAGTGTTAAAAATACCGTTTTCAGTTTTTATTTTATTTTTATTATTTTTTCAATTGGTATTATTAGATCGTTCAAATAATTCTGTTCCCCTATCAAAGTAAATTTTCAGTGCTAAAGGGCACAGAATTATTTAAGCAGCCTAATAGTATGTTTTCTATTTTATAAATATTAGGTGGTTCAAGTAATTCTGTGCTCCCTTTCAAAGCAAATTTTCTGGGTTACGAGGCACAAAATTATTTGAACCTTTTTATAAATAGCACTGAACCAAAAATAAAATCGCAACGTTTCCTCTGACGTCCCACACTTTTATTGCTGTAAATCACGCACGTTACAAAGTTTCGAATGTCGTGTAATGTAACTTACTCTTCCGTGTGCTGCGACTGCGATAGGCACGCGATCCTCTTCTGGTCAGTCCATTACTCACTGGACTGCCTGAAATAGAACGTTTTTATAAATAGAAAGTCGGTTTTAAAAGTTTGGGTTCAAGGGGAAGTAGCTATGAAGGCAAGGTTAATATTAGGTTTGGTGAGGAAAATAAATACAGTATACTGCTTTTGTAAGAAACGCCAAAAATCAGAACATAACTATAAACAAAAAGTAAGGTATTTATATAAAGGTTGTTCAATTAATTCTGTACCCCCTATAAAAGCAAATTTTCCGAGTTAAGGGCACAGAATTATTTGAACAACCTAACAGAAGAAAGAAGCACTTACCCTTACCTTTTGGATACCGCAACGACTGTGTGCGGCGGAACCCAGCACCATCCATGTTTGACGGAGTTACACTCAGTAATGTAATGATTGTAATGTTTTTGGAACTCTGAAATCCATTTAATTACTTTAGTTATGGAACGTAAAGTATATCACGCAAATCAATGTAAACTTGGCATTAGAATAGGTATGTTAACAGTATATACCAACAATTTTAATCTGCTAAACTATTTAAAATATTATCCTTTACGTTCTCTAAAGCTACAACAGCGGCTGGCGGTCTGCATAGTACTATTGAGCTGAACTTTTGGTACAAAATAAACAATTTTACTATTTTTATGACACCGAGTAGTACGTACTTGGGTTAAAAATCTAACACTGTAACCTGAATTGATGATGAAATGTTTTTTCCTAAAAGTGCAATTCGTTTTCTATAGTAGTTACAATACTTGTTGGCTTACTAGCGATCACCCATACTCATGAATACGTAACTAGCACTATGTACATACATTGAACAGTAAATAAAGTCCTACAAACATATACTGCACTAATTACCACTACAACAACATGGCTAATACTTAACGAAAATATTATAAAAAAGAGAGAGCCAACATCTTAAGTACTATACATTATCACATAAACTTGCCCCAATACTCCCAACTTTCACATTCTTATACCAACCTTCCCATTGCTATACCATGAACTACCTACCAATCCAAGAATATGTACATACCGAGTACATTCGAGAGTACAACGGCAAAAGCCGGGCTGTAAATAAGGAAGTACTGAGTAGTATGACTTGCCCGAAATCAAACTTTGTGACAAGAGATGTTATAACAAAGGAGAGAGCCGCGCACGATTCAATTTGCGGCTTCTGAATGGGCTAGCCCGTCTCACGGTCGATGCTCGACTCGAGGGCTCAGACATTAGACAGAGGTATTGACTCACAACCTCTAGCTTAATCTGAATTTTAGAAAGTAGAAGGCCGATTAGGCAACAAACTTGATAACTTTGCTGGTCAAAAAGTAGGTATTAAGTTATTCAGATAATTCTGTGCCCCTTGACTCAAAAAATTTGCTTTGGGAGGGAGCACAGAAGTATTTGAACACCTTATAAAATTCTAACTGAAAAGGAAAAGCTATAATTTTTAAAGTTTCTAATTAAAAAACCTTCAATTTTCAACAAAATCTATATTATCCATGGCAAAAATTGCCTCATTTACTTCAAAGTACATTTTTAAAACCTCTACCATTAAAATCTTACTAAAATTCCAAATAAATAAGCCTTCAAACACAACTCCAACCCCCTAACCTAAGGTATGTCGACCAATATTCGATGAGAAAACCCACTTTTAGGTAACAGTAAATAAACATAATGAATATTGTTTGTAGAAAACTGAGTAAACTAACATTACATTCCTCACGCCAAGCCCAGAAACCTGTTATTACAACTCAAAAATCCCATTTGTAGTTTAAAATGGCACGTTTTCAACGAAAATAACAATTTTAAATAAACAAAAACTATAAAAAGTAGTGGTTTTGTACATTTGCTAGATATTAACTTGTTTTAAGGCCAAAAGTGTATTTTTAAAAGGTGTTTATGGGTTCAAAAAAGTTATATATGTAATAGTTTGGACAAAAAACAAATAATAATATAGGTAACAGTGTGAAAAACAAAGAACTAACCACCAGCTAACGTGATAAAGTACTTCTACGTACTTTTCGACCAATAAAATAAAAATATAAAGATTATAAAAAGCTTACCATAATGTAAATTTCACTGAAAATCATTTACAATATAAAAAAATTAAGTTTTAATGTAAAAAAGTATGAATGACCTAGTAAAAGTAATTATTATATCCAAGAATAAATTTATAAATTCGCAGTAATTCCAGAGTTGTAATCATGTGGTAACAATTAGAATAACACCTCAAGAATTCACATGTCAAACATCAATATGGTTTTGAATGTTTAAGGGACGTAGTGCTTGGAGTTACAATAGTCAAATAACAGAAGAGATAGGTAAGGGCGTGAAAGAAGTCCGTAGGGGTGAGGAATAGGCCCGGCCCGGTCTATCTCAGCCCAGCCCAACGATCAAACCGGGCCTGAAAGTTGGACCCTTTCCACGAGCCAGTCCGAGCCTATAATTTTTTGACCAAGCCAGGCCATCCTCTGAAAAAATAAAAACTTCCCTTATCTCCTCCCTACCCAGTTGCCATATCATAACACATAATATGAAAACTCAGCAAAGAAATGAGTATATAAAAGCAAAATAGAACTTTTGGTGTTATTTACAGTTATATATAGGGAAAACGAAAGAAGATATGCTTACTCTCATGGATTATTCATCAGAATCCGTGAGTAGTCTACATTAAAATGCAAATTATATTAATAATGTAACTGTCTGATTGTGAGCAAAAACAGTTTTTTCGTATTTTAGAATGACAAAAGTTTTAAGTTGTTCAATTAATTCTGTGCCCCTCTAAAAGAAAATTTTCTGATGTAAAAGCTCAAAATTTTTTTTAACCACCTGATGCTTAAAAGCTCAAAAACCATGCCCAAACTAACCCCAAACAACAATTACTGTAAGGTAATTACAGTATTCTTCAGAACATAATAATAAACCAAACGTTACGTCTAGACATACGACGTATTTACTTTGCTTTTAATAATATTTTATTGCAAAATGTTTCCAACCGTTTTCGAATACTTTTTTTACTTTTCACACTTGGGAATTACTTTTTACAGCTTGCTGGAATGCCCTCAAGGTATAATAAAGAGACATAGACAAAGCAGCTCCTAAGGCTTCTGGATTTTAGGGTTTACATTGCTATACTACAATAGTAATGTGTAATTGCAATGTAACTATAAGTTAAGTTGTTTAGACAATGCAATACACTATATTATACATGCTGCATCGTGCAGGATAGAACATAACTTTCAATTTATAAGTTGTCCAATTATGAATGAGCTGAATCCGGCTGAAATTTTATTGGCTGTATGGCTCATCCATATTTAAACAACCTGCTATTATAGTAAAATGTAAATCAAAAAGCAATTACATACCGCGTAAAGCAATAAAATAAACCTTGAAACCAAAATAATTTTAAATGTTACCAAAAAAAACTTATTGCCACTTAACGTCTACATCCCCAAAGTACGAAAATAAGCAACATTTACAGTAATTACTGCAGCAAAAGCGGAAAAAGTCTCGAATCGTGGTGTTTTTGGGGAAAAACTGAGGAAATCGACGTAAAAACAATGGCAAAAGACAAAAGTTGAATCTCGTTTCCGGGTCAAATACTATAACATCATTTGAGTGACTACCTGTCTATAAACAACCAAATGTTACATTTTCAATGACATTTTATGTCGGTTTGACTAACTATTATATTAATTTGTTCAAATAATTATGTGCCCCTTAACCCAAAGAAATTGTTTTGAAAAGGGCACAGAATTAATTGAACAACAATATTAATTACTATACGTAGGATAAAATACAATATTACTAAATACCGTAAGAAATACGTTAGACTTAAAGTTATTGCACGGTAATTAAAAGTTATGAATATACATATATAATAGACCCCTACATTACAATGTAACGGTCTGATTCCACACTAAACCTTATATAGGTAAGGTGTAACAAGTAGTGCATGTAAAACTAACACGTATACTTTAATAGTCCAAAACAGCCCATGTAAAACAGAAAAAATGCATGAAAAGATGTCATAACGACGTCGCTTAAAGACTTCCTCAATAGAGTGTCATGAGTATTCCAAACTTTACACCATGTCTTCAAACAAACATGTAATTCTTTGCTACACGTATAATACCTTTATTTAAGTATAATATGAATATGTCACCCTCATGCTTAATCACCAAGCAATATAGTGAAAAACTTAAAATTTTGTCTTTTTTGTCAGATACCAGAGCATCTGCCACTACCCTACCCCGCCTTATTTTATAATAGAGTATTTTATAACACTACTCTACCTTACCTAACCTTCTTGTTCGTATCATATAATATCTTTTAAATACAATATACCCTGGCCTACTGTAATAAAACAAGGAAGAGTATCTTATACTACATTTTATATTATTTGTAAACATTTTAAAGTAATTTACAGAACTTGTTTTGAACATGAAAAACAACAACACTACATATAAACATACCCATACCCATGCCCTTGCACATATCATAATAATATAATAATATCAGGTTGTTCAAATAATTCTGTCCCTTCTCAAAACAAATTTATGGGGCTAAAAGGAAAAGAATTATTTGAACAACCCAATACTTAATTTAGAAACCTTCCTCAATACTTGTGTATTCCTACCTTACCCTATAGTACTATAACAAACAACAAAAACAAAAAAAATTTAAAGATAAATCACTAAGTAAACCAAGAAATACCATCAATTACCGTAAAGTAACAGACCACTTTAAACCAGGCCATTTAATGTAACCCAAATTTGTTTCTCGAAATTTCACATTTAACGACATCCGGCTAATTCTTTATGGATTTGAAAAAAAAGTCCAATAAACTAGTCAGACTAACAGCCTAGAAAGGTTGTTAACTGGATCACACACAAATGTCCTTTTCTACTTCAAGATAGTTGAACATTTACTTTAGATCGTAAAAGAAATACATTGGCTAAAGTTGTAGTATGTATAATACATTAACTACAGTTTAGGTACACAAAAGAACAAGAAGGTAATAACTTTTTAGGTTTTACAACAGTTTATAACCAGTTGTTAGAGATATAAAAATAACTTACAATAAAACCTTTTTATCACAAACGTATTATAATTATATAAATGATAACACAGTTATCATTAACTATTATAAATACACGTTACTGCTCATGTAAAAAGTGATGTGTTTATACTATAGTCATCAGAACAAAACAGCTTTAAACACTCTATTCTAACTAAACCAAATTTCATACTAATACTGACGATTGGCAACACAATATTAAGTTGTTCAAATAATTTCGAGCCTCCAAACCCTTAAAATTTATTTTGAGAGAAAGCACAGAATTATTTGAACAACCTATTATATGTATACTCATAATACAATATCACCATATATACTTATAATATGGTATTAACCTATATACCCATAACATAATACTAACCTATATACCGATAATATGTGTTGAACGTCATGTTTTACTACGCATCATAACTAAGCTCAACGGTGAGTAAGCTAGTCATTACGTTTACAATATGACATTGCCACAAATGAGACATCAGACTAGCCTAGGTGTTCTCTGAAATGGCTTTTCTCAAAGAATCTTTGATGTTTCCAATTTCACGCTCTCATAAACTCAAGAACAATACTCTGGAAACATACTACAATGTCATCTTCTTTGACGTTATTTTTGGTGCAAAAGTCTTGGAAGTTGAGAGCTTTGGTTCAAAAAAGTATTAGGTTGTTCAAATAATTCTGTGCCCTCTCTCAAAACGAATTTTCGGAGTCAGAAAGCAACAAAATTATGTGAAAATCTTAATAAAAATAACTTAACTTTGGCAACAATACTTTAAAGTGAAAGGTCGGCAATGGTATGAACATAGCTCAATAGGTGACTTCCACAAACTTTTTGACCGAATATTTAACAACAAATTTAAAACGTTTTATTATAAAAATAAGTGTTACCACCCACCAGTTCAAACTCATTGTAAAATCATAAAAAATATTAAAGTATGTTCAAAAAATAATTGAATATTAAACTAGATTCAAACCCTTTATAACTGAATATCAGCCCAGTATCATGACAATACTTGTGCAGCTATGAAACCTCATAGCTTATGCAGAAATTGGGACCCCAAAACAATTGGCCAGTCTAGGACTCGGACAATGAAACTCTGAAAACAAAACGAATGCCTAAGGGAATACTTGATTAGCCGGCTTTAAATGACTGCTAAATGCACTTTCGTGGTAATCACATAGCCGTTAGGTCAAAAGTTGCCACTTGCCTTGCCTTGCCTTGCCTTGCCTTGCCTTGCCTTGCCTTGCCTTGCCTTGCCTTGCCTTGCCTTGCCTTGCCTTGCCTTGCCTTGCCTTGCCTTGCCTTGCCGGCAAGGGCCTATCTTACCCACCATACTGTTACAGTAACCTCCTCACCCAAATTACTCTTTGTTGCCAAAGAACAGGATTAAGGTTTAGTTGGAAAGTTGATAGATTAAGCATTAATGAGGTCATAGTATTTACTATGGCATGCTACACTGTCATTCCGCCAGACATAAAATTGCTGTTTACCTTGTAATTCATAATAAGTACTAATAAACGTGTGTTCAGGTGAAAATAAAACAAAAACATAAACATGAACATAACATGCGTAATATGTTAGTGATTAAACAGAATATTGGTCAGAAAGTAGGTGGAAATGGTTTTAAAGATAACTTTAAATCAAAATTTCGATATAACTTTTGATCACAGTACATCGTGGCTTACTGTAGTAAAAACACATTATAACTACTTAGTAATACCATAACAACCGGTAGCTATTTAAACAAATTGAAATTTCAAAAAAATGTCATAAGTTTGACGACAAATCTTATGAACCAATGTTAATATTCAAGACAAATTAGACATACCTGCCTTACGTTTTATAATGAAAAGTCAGTCAGACTAAAAACTTTTGATAATCGCTACGTCGTATTTAGAAATTAAAGTAAGTATGTCAGCTTGACTGAACTTTGATAATAAAAGTAGAATCTAGATTTTAATTCCTGGAACTTGAATTCAAAATATTTTGAAGTGCAATTGAGTGCCTAAAAATACGAAATTTAGGTATAAAATGTTAGAAAACGTCATTTTTAAAATTGTGTAACTATAAAAATAAGACTTGAATTTCAATACACGACAACTTTTAATCTGGTCAGTAAACTTCCTAAAAACATTTATTTTTATAACTTTTCCTAGTTATTTTACTTTTTGAACAACATGATTGATGTTGTTCAAATAATTTAGTGCTCCCTATTAAAGCAAATTTCCGAAGTTAAGAAACACAGAATTATTCGAACAACCTAATATAAAGCCCCGAGCCATTGTGTCGCCGACGAATAAACCACTAAATTCAGAAACATTTCAACCCTGGCGCCTTTGTATGATAAGTTACAAGTTAATAGTTAAGTGCACGAGGAATGGTAAATCGGTTGCTTGGTCTACACAGGCTTCCGACTACGGCCTGAATCCTTGAGGAGCACCTCAGCACGACACAGTAGGAGAAACAGGATCACCCGAATGGAGGCAATTAGGAACAGCTACAATGAATTTCTCTGACAGTCTTCATCAAACCCTCACCATTCCCCCTCACGTCTCAAATAATATCTCTGGCGTTGAAAATGAGAATAAACTTCATAAACCATAAAACACTGTCGGATCTCCTGTTATAAGAAATTTTAAGAGAAAGACAAAATTTTTAAAATATTTAAAAATAAAAAAATCAACAGAAGCCAAACTCTTTATCAACGATCCCTCCCCATCATCCAAACATCACATTCTGCAGTTATGTTCGTGTTGTTTCGACTCAAAAGAACATCCGGAAACACAGCCGGATTCGACTCAAAACTCATGAAACAGCGACCAATTATTAGCCCCCGAGCCTAGCGCCCGCTGCCAGACAATTACCGCGCCAATAATACACGGCGGCCAAGACAAAAACATACTCAAAAAGTTGTGAAAAACACATGCGTACATGGTGGTATGTTCTTGCCTGGAGCCTAATCAATCCCAACTCAGTGGACCAACACATCCGTTCCCCCAGTCAAGAATTATTTGCCAGAAAACACTTTTTATTTATTTACAGTAGGAGCGGATTATCTCCGGCGTGCTGAAGATGATTCAGTCGTTTTTTGATGCAAAACTGTAGTAATTACTAATATAGGCAAAGTAATGTCACAAATTCGACTTTTTTTAGTTGCAGCTGCTTTATAAAACGGTTTTTCACACTTTAGAAACAGGTTTATTACCTAAATATCTTAATAACATCTACTGTTACGACATTAAAGTACCTTCCGACCCTTCAATGATTCATAGTGACAAAGATAATCGTATGTGAGCTTAACAACGTTTACAGGAGAAAAGTTATTCAATGCGTAAGTCCCTGTCCCAAATTATTCACCCTGCCATCCAATTTCAAATTTTCCCAATATGCCATTTCCATATTGTAATCACTTTAAAATTCGGGCTTGAAACCTGCCCAAACATGTCGAGCAATGTGTTTGATGTAATTTGATCCCAGTTCAATCCAAACTAAGTAAAGAACATAAACCAAACCCCGGAGGGCACTAAAGGAGCACAACGTCATGGGAAAAGCCGGAAATAAAAGGTTCGAACGAGATATGTTAACGTAAGTGTACATGTAACCAAGAGACGCCCCCCAATTTGTCGCTAATGTAAACAAAATCAAAAGTCTTAATTCCGCCATTTCATCGTGCTGATACCGTGAAGAGGAACGTCTTCATTTTCCATGCAGATTTATGCGGAAAAACATGGGTAATATCCTTGTTTTAGAAAAAAAACACGGCTTTAAACTGCTACAACACACGGTTTCATAATGGACAAAGCTACACTGACCTTACCTATATTTATCATTAAAATAGGTTGATTTAGAATGTAAATAAAATAAACCTTTCCCTAGTTTCACTAAACTGTACAAACTGACTCTGTTCATCCAGCCAATTTATGCCAAAACTTATTGGACTTTTTGCAAAAACACCTGCCCAACAGTGCATTAAAACACTACGTTACAGTATGCTCAGAACAAATATGTATCCGTGGCCGGTACGCGAATCAAAAGCCGAAATAAACAGTTTTTATCTAAAATATTTCAGTCGTTTTTAATTAAAAGCCCGGAGGCAAGATAGCATCAAAACAAAGAAAAAAGTAATTACCGTCGCGCATCCGGAAAAGCCGACATTTTTTACATTAAAAGTCATTCGATTACATTTTCTAATTCAAACTGATATTTTAAAATTTAAATGAATTATATTAGGTTGTTCAAATAATTCTGTGCCCGCTCTCAAAGCAAACTTTTGAGATTAGGAGACACAGAATTATTTGAACACCCTTATTTACCGTTTCTAACCAAAGTGACGTTTTAACATTAATTTTACTTCAAATTTACACATGATTACCACAATATGAATTAATCTTTTGATAATTTATTCATAAATAGTCGTAAAACTTGAACAAGATACAATTAGGTAACGGTGAACAAGATGAATGAACATACCGTAATAAAACTTTACTCGCCTGAGATTACTGTATTTTAGCATTCGAGAAGTCCATCTCAGGATGTTGCTCCATGAACTTCTTCAGAATATTCTGTTTCTGCTTCTCTTCTGAAGTCGGAAGCCCCATCTCTTTCTGTCGCTGATCGTACATCATCTTCTCCACCATCTGTCGGGTTTCTCCATCAAGATCAGACAGCTTTGAGTTTTCAGGTTGTACCTTCTTCGTATTGATCTCTGGGTCCGTGGTTATCAGCTTTGACCACCAAGTCATACCGTTCACCTTGAATAATATAAATATAAAAATACAAACCTGAACACATTTCCTAACATTTTTAACTTAATTAAACTGTTAATTACATAGTGAAGATAATAAATATACAACATAAATTGATCCCCCAAGCCATTAAACTCTGAATAAGACTTTAAAACTTCAAACTCAAATCCCAAAAACCATCTTTACCTTTTCCAGAGAAATAACAACGTCTTTAGAATCCTGAAGTACCCATTGAGCATCTTCTGCCTTGATTTCAGCATGAAAATCACCATCAATGATCAATGGCTTTCCTTTGATACCAACCTTAAGATGCGTCTTCTTAATTTCAACAACAACATCTCGAGACTTCAATGGAACACCCGCTCGCAATGGGATTGTTATCTAAAATACTCGTTGTTCATAAATTTTATTGGCAAAAGAACACAAAATGTAATATAAAAAAACTATTTAAAGCAAAAAGCACATAAGTATTTTAATGTTAATATAATAGTATAAACTATTAAAAACCGTAATCCTCATAACACAGTTAAAAAAAAACATTACCTCCACTTCGCTCAAAGTCTGAGTCCACTGATAATTTGGTAAATCGCATCCATTTCCAGAGTTTGGCAATACCTTATCCTTATCAGCGGGATCTTCCTCTTCTGCTTCGCCTTCTTTCTTTTCACTTGAAGCTGGTGGAGTTGGCATAACAGGCTTCTCTTCTTGTTGCTTCGCAATCGCTTCTTCAATCTTCTTCTGCTCTGCCAATCGTTTTTGTCTCAACTTCTCTTCCTCTGCTTCCTTCTTCAGTTTCTTTTCTTCCAAAAGCTAAAAACTTATGTTAATTCTGAGTAAAATTAAATAGAACTTCTCAAACATAAACATCATCATGCTGATGCAGAAAAAAATTCAATTATCATCATTTTTACTTCCTAAACTAACGAAAATATCATAAAGAACTTAATTTAGTAGCTCCTTGAGCGTATTTATTATATGCGGCAAGTAAAATAGATTGAGCTTGTTCTGGTTGGGTGAAAAAGTCGGTCTTCCTGTTCAAGAAACCAAAAACGTTGTCCAAAAGTTGAGGTACACCACCTTCAAGATTTTGGGCCATTGCCAAGAGAATACCGTCAGTTCTTTCGTCTCCAGCCATTTTTGAAGTCTAAAATATGTAAGACTAAACTTGTAAGAAACACACAATTTAAAGCTCATATGAGCCTTCTAGAACAAGCGCGAATACCTGGTATCCTAGCAAGTATTACCTAGCGAAAGAAACGCCAACGTTAAAAGACGTAGGCTTAAAAAGAATTATCGTATAAAAAATAATATAAGCTTTAAAGTAATTTAACTTTGTTTCTAATAAATATGAAAAACATACAAGTCAACAAAGTTACAAAAATTTATCAAAAATAATATTTTTTTAAACGAAGTGTCAACTTTTTAAAATAACGTAATGTAAATCATTTCTCCCACGGAGAAAACAAACAGAGCTAACTATGTGGCATTCTGTTATTCTTTGCATTTTTGTAAGTGGCCGACGTGGCTGGTAGTCTTTTTGATTCAATCAGACACTAATTTTTGTAAAATATGTTAGATTCGCGTCTCGTACCTTTTTCAACAGCGTAAATATTGCTTTAATTGATATTTTATAGCGTTATGGGTTCGTTTCTCCATTTGACGACAATTTTGTTTGTCTTAGCTTCTCTCTGCTATGCTGCTCCAGAAAAGTCTAGAGTTTTGGTGTTGATTGACGACCCAAAGATTGAACAAACACATTCCATCTACTTGAAGGCTTTGAAAGATCGTGGATATACACTCAACATCAAGAAAGCTGACGATGCATCTTTGGTGCTTATCAAGTTCGGAGAGTTTGTGTATGATCATGTTATTGTATTGGCTCCTAAAGTTGAAGGTAAGTTGTTTTAGTTTTTTAGATTTTTGTTTTTAGATGGAACTTCTTACTGTTCGCTTTCTGAAGCTAACTTTATATTTAACTTTTAATATCTTCAGAATTCGGAGGATCCTTGAGCCCATCTGAATTGGCCAAGTTTGTCGATGGTGGTGGTAACGTACTGGTAGCTGGAGACTCTAAAATTGGCAGCGCTTTGAAGGACTTTGCTCTTGAAGTTGGATTTGAGTATGGAACTGAAGGAACAGCCGTCATTGATCACTTCAATTACGATGCCCGCATGGATGACGGTACTCACACTACCTTGGTGGTACCAAAGACCCAATTGACTGATGCTGAACTCATTTCTGGAAAGAAGTTGAACCCATTATTGTACAAAGGAATTGCTTTGACCTACAACAAGGAGAATGCTTTGAGATTGCCTGTTTTGACTGGTACTCTTACCTCTTACAATTTCAATCCTAAGCAAAATATCAACGAATTCCCTGAAGCTATTGGTCAAAATGCTGTTTTAGTTGGAGCTATTCAAGCTAGAAACAATGCTAGAGTTATCTTGACTGGATCTTTGGCTTTGTTCAGCGATGCTTTCATCAACGCTCAGATTCAGAAGAATGGAGCTAGCCAAAAGTGAGTTTTTTAATTAAAATAACACTGAACTTAAGGATTCAATTGTCAAAATTTATATTATTTATCTATATTATTATGCTTGTGATATTTGACTTGTAACGTTTTAATTTATTACCTATTTTAGGGCCGAAAAGAGTGGAAACGGTGAATTTGTTGAAGCCATTACTAAATGGGTATTGAAGGAGAAGGGAGTGCTCAGAGTCAAGTCTGTCAAACACTCGAAGGTTGGAGAATCATCTCCACCAAGAGAATACACCATCACTGACGATGTGGTACGTTTTACCTCATTTATCTTTTATTATTTTTACTTTTTATAATTATTTTAATTTTTTTAGAAATACGAAATCGAGATTGAAGAGCTAAAGGAAGGAAAATGGGTACCATTCCAAGCTAAAGATGTTCAGTTGGCTTTCATTAGAATTGATCCATTTGTTATTACCACCTTGAACAACAAAAGTATGTACAGCATCTTTACTGTTGTATTTTGGACTTTTTTTAATGCATATAGCTTGTTTATGGTCTTAACTACTTAGGTAGAAACGTAGAGGTTTTAAAAGTGTTATTATGATATATGAATTTTGTTTCTAATGATTTGAATTTTCAGATGGCAAGTTCAGCACTGAATTTAAGATCCCAGATGTTTATGGAGTATTCAAATTTGCCGTCGATTATCGTAGAGTCGGGTACACACACTTGTTTGACGTTCAACAGGTAATTTTCACGTTAATTTTGAGTTTTGGCATATTTTTTTAGCAAATTTTAACATTTAACCGTTACCATAGAAGGTTTAAGTTTTTTCTTATTAAAATTAGACGTTTAACATGATTGTATAAAGGTTGAGATAACTATTTTACATTTTTAGGTACTCGTACGACCATTTGAACACACTCAATACGAGCGTTTCTTGCCAGTAGCCTACCCTTACTACGTGTCATCCTTCTCCATGATGTTGGGCGTTGTTCTCTTCTCGTTTGTGTTCTTGTACCACAAGGAGAAGCCAGTTGAGGCTCCTGTAGACACCAAGAAGGCCAAGTAGATGTACTTGTTATTTATTTAATAATTTAATAAATATTTTTGTAAAGGATTTGGACTACTTTCTTATCATAAACAACATTTTTGTTGTAAGAAAATCTTTTTCCAAGCTCAATATCTGCTTGTACACGTATTTGATACCAGAACGTAGACATACAAAACAATGCCTTTGGTGGCAGATGATCAGATAAAGACTAATTCGGAGTTACCTGGATCCAGCAAATCCATCTATCATAATATTCCTTTGTTTTCGGTGCTTGAGTTGGTTCTCTCTCGGTGAAAGTAACCTTATCAATGCCTGGGATCTGCCTTTTCACTTGTCTCACTTACTTACAAGGTAATGCACACCTTCGACCATATGTCACTCGTTTACTTTTTGTGGTGACAAAGTTGTTTTAGGTGTTTCAGGTTGTTTTTGAAGAATAAAAGAAGGTTTATAGTTCTTTTTCTTATTTTAATGTTTGAAATTATGTTTTTTAGCATAGAAAAAAGTGATGAATAAAACTTAATGTTACGTTATATACGGTAATTGCACTTTTGTTCCGAACTTTTGCAGCAAAAAAGCCGGCTGCCACTTTGTTTACAATGAATCGGCATCTGACAGTCTTTCTTCTGTATAGACCCTCAGAAACGAAGATTAGTCATCTTTTAAACTCCATAAATTAATGGTCCGGCCCCAAATGTTTTCAAAATCTTGGTTTCGACACGTTCGAAGAGTTTATGGCCTTAAATTGGCTGTTTAGCATAAATACAATCACTTTTTGTTCTATTTTTATCGAACACCGTATCAGTCATATAAAAAGGCTCATTGATTCAATTTTTGTGTTACTTTGGTGATGTGGCCACTGTTGGAAGGAGGTCTTTCTTACCGTAGTTAAATTTGAAATTTCGCACTTTAATTTTAAAATTTTTTAAAATTAACCGTTATTTCACTGTTTTTTAAATATGACATATTGCGAATTTTAGAAAAGACTAATTATTTACCTTTGCAACATAACATAAGCAGTTGCGTTAACGAGAGAACACGCGGTAAATAAGAGGCTACAGGAAGAAAAAGGATTTTGTGTCCTTGGCCTTTTGAAAATCGGCCAAAGGGCTTGAAATGCGAAAAAAGAATGCGCTTTCGAACACTTATTCTGCAACGTTTTTCTTACCGCCTTATTAAAATTCGCTTAAAGGTTTTAAGTTTGTTAGCTTCTTTAAATACTTCATGGATAATACAACACATTGAGCATATTAGGGCATTTTATGGTTTCAGATTTGTAAAACATTATTTGACATTTTCTTTATTTTTTACCAAAAAAAATTGATTTTAAATCGCGATTTAGCCGCGTTTTATTGATCAGAAAGCGATCGTGTTGGGATAAGGTGATTCTTTCTCTGTAACTTTATATTTTACAATATTTTACAGCTTTAGTACATTTTTTGGTAAAAAAGACATGACCAAACGTGATTGGGATGCTGAAAGGGTAAGTTTTAATAGTTAAACCTTTTGAATTCACGATTTCTGAGTATAATATCGCATGAATTGATGGAAAAAATAATTTTAGGTATTTATTGATGAATTTATTAATTTTTCAAATAATTTTAGCCGTTCATCAACATATCGGATGCCGTCCACGACAATATTCCCATCAAATACCCGATAAACTTGCTCATAGACACTCCTCAGTTTCAGAGACTTCGGTATCTAAAACAACTTGGAGTTGTCTACCTGGTATATCCAACGGCTTCCTTTGGCCGATTTGAGCACAGCCTTGGGCAAGTTTTTTTTCAATTTTTTTGCTGTTATATTGAGTTTGATTTAAAATAAACTAAACTTGATAGAACTATAAGTTTTGAGGTAAAAAAATGTTCAGGAGTTATGTTTTATACCTAAAATAATATTATTTTACTTGCAATTGCTTTATTTTAGCTTGAATTTAAGTAGCTGTAGCCTACATGTGAATATTTTTTATTTGTATTTGAAATTAAGAGTAAAATAATTATGTTTGTGCTGATTTGTTACCTAAACTCTTGTTTTAGTGTCTACAAGTTGAGTTACGAGTTTGTTAGTCGGTTGGCGACGCATCAACCGGAGCTGAAGATTACGGGAAATGATAAGCTGTGTGTGGCCATAGCTGGACTACTTCATGATCTCGGCCATGGACCTTATAGTCACGTCTACGATGGCAGCTTTCTCAACCGTGCGTACAACGGCCAAAGCCAGTTTAGGGTAAGATGAAGATTTTTAAAGCACACTTTTATATTTAAAGTAGTGTCTTTTTTTCTTCTTTTTATATTGTAATTGATTTGAAAATTATTTTCAGCACGAGCAAGGATCGATTCGGATGTTCGACTTCTTATTGGCCGAAAATCCAGAAGTCAAAGCTGGTTTGGACGAGTTCCTAACGGAACAGGATTACATCTTCATCAAAGAGTTGATTGATCCTCCATCCAGGTTTGTGGATGGTAAAGGGGAATGGATACTGGCCGGAAGACCTCGTGAGAAAGGCTTTCTGTATGACATCATATCCAACAAGTTTGATGGTTTGGACGTGGACAAGTTCGATTATTTCTTACGAGACTCGCGAGCTTCGAATGTTACCATTAGGTTCAACAAAGTCAGTTTAGAGATTTTGTTATTATGTAACTCATAATTGATATTATTTATTGTTACCTAAAATTTTCAAAACTACTGAGTGTTGTTTTAAGCTATCAAAATAATATCTTTTGAATGTTATATTGTTATAGATTGTTAGCGAAAAAACAAATGAAAACGCAATGTCGTATTTTACCTGTTAGGTTGTTTTAGGTCATATAATAATACTTTAGGTCGCATTAGAGCGAATCCACAATCACACCAAGATTGAAAAGGTCCAAAATGGTCTGTTCAGGCTTTGTTACGCCTCAAAAGTCAAACAAAACTTGTCAGAAGCATCGGATTCAAGAGTAACGCTACACGAAACCGTTTACCAACACAAGACGGTAATTGCGTACGAACAAATGCTGGTCGATATGTTCATGGCTGCTGATCCGTATTTGAGGTTCAAGGGAACAAACGGCAAAGAGTACAAGTTGAGTCAGGCTTACGAGGACCCTAAGGCGTTCATGCAGCTGACTGATGATCATATTTTGTCCATGGTAAGTTGGATATTCTTGAACTTTAGTTTTTTTGATTTGATATGTATATTAAAAGACTTACATTATTGGGTTGAAAACCTCACTATAAATTTAGATCCAACATTCATCAGATCCAAACTTGAAGCCAGCTCAAGAGCTGTACAACAAGATCTTAACCAGGAAACACTTCCGAAGGATTGGCCAGATCAAATTGGCCAACAAAGAACTGTTCAAGGAAGAGAAGGGCAAGCTACTTGAGTTCTTCGAAGGGAAAGGCATCAATACTCAGGATCTTCTTGTGCACGACGCCACAATTCACCGAGGATTGGGTGTGGAAAAACATCCCATCGATGAGATTTGGTTTTACGACTCTAAGACAACGGTGGAGCCGACTCGGCCGCGTCAAAGTGAGGTATGGTTCTTTTCCAATTTTGTATCTGAATTTATAACATTAAAACTGTTATTTTAAATTTTAAAACTTGAAAACTGGCAACCTCAAAGCATTCTTACTATGAAAAAGGCTTGAAACCATATTTTAAATTTCAGAAGATCACGAATCCAGTAGCAGGCTATGTCATCATGTACGTCTTCAGCAAGAACCTCTCCTTGACCAACGTCTTGAGAGACATGTTCCAAAGCTACCGAGAGAACTACAATACAAGAGTAAGCGATTGAATGTGTTTTAGGTATATTTATGTTGTCGTGAACTTCTTAACCTTTTTATGTTGTAGTAGACTTCTCACCCTGTTTTAATAAAACCATAATATTATGCATAATAAATGTTTTCAGTTTTTGTTGCATTATTTATTTGTTTTTTATTGTTTTGTGTGTATTTTAGAACAGTTTTGTGGTGTTTTAATTATAAAACAAAACAAAATGAGCTTACTGCTAGTTATTGTAACGCTTTCAACTACTTTATATTCTTTTACTGCTTCCTTCTATCAATTAACATCATGTTTTACTTGTTTGAAGTGTTTTAAACTTACTTTATGTTAATTACTAACTATTATAACAAGAATATTAACAACTAACCGCTTAGCTTACTAATACAACCACTTTTTAGTTCGAAGAACAACACAGAGAAAGGGAGGCCAGCCTCAAGCGACAAAACCATCCACTTACTCCAGCAGAAGCTCCAGATGTCAAACGTCTCAAAGCTTCTAACAGTGCTCAAGGAATCGCGGTTTAATCCTGACATATTTTGGCCACTTAGTTAAGGTTGCAATATTTGCATTTATTTAGCGTTAATTTGGTTATCATAGCTTTCACAATGGTTACGGTGATCTTTTTTGTGATCCTCACGGTTCTGTAAGAATATTTTTAGAAAATAGATTAGCCTAGTTTTTAGAACTGCTTAACGTTCTTCATCTACAGTTGCTGTAACACTATATCACCGCTTTCATCTTTTTGGGGATTGTTAACTCCATACTGTCGTTACTCTTTCTTACCAACGGTATATTTAGAATGTTAGGGGAAATTCCTGTATAAACATGGTATTTTGTTAAAACTTTTTATAGAATTCGTTATTTCTTAACTGCCCAAGGCAATACGGCTAATGTATATAATTACTGCCTTTTATTGTTGAATAAACTGTTACATTGTGCTAATTTAACTAGAATTTGTTCTTATTCGACTAAACTTTGTTCTCATTTATGAAATGACTTTTTTTAAATGTAAGAACTACAAAAACGGATTCAAAATGCACGTTAAAACTCAAGTTGAACAACTTTGGACAGCGATATACAAAGTTTGACAAATACAATGTGGGGAAACTATATATCGAAAAACGCAAAATTAAAAAATACATCCAAAAAGCCTAAAATTTACTTCTAAAACCGATTACAAGGTCTGTAAATAATTTTAAAACTGGTTGATAATCACTAAACAGTTGGTCAATTGCGCCCGACGTTCTGCAAACTGCAAGCATATAAAATGTCTCAAAAATATTTTTTTTTATTTTCACAATTTTCTTGTATAAAATATACTTTTGTTGTTGGTATCTTTATTATAAAATGCTGAGGAGTATTGCTAGGATATCGAGAAACGTTATTCCTAGACAAACAAGGTTTTGTTCAACTAAAAATGGATCGGATAATTTCAACAAACTGGAAGAAAGCGAGGATTTCGAGCCTGTTACTTTGGATGTAAACCCATACAAGAAGGATAAAATCAAGTGTGTGTTGTGCAGAGAGAATATTCAGTTGGATTATAAGAATACTCGACTTTTACAGGTAAACCATTTATTTATTTTTGGAGTTTTAGGTAACAAACAGAAAATGAGACGTAGATATGAAAACAAAGCAATTTTGATGAAACCTTTTTTTATTAAAACGTTATGTCTCCAAACTTTATCACAATACCTTTGTCATTCAATATCTAATTCTATTTTTGCAGCAATTCGTCTCATCGTTCAGTGGTCGTGTCTATGAACAACATGTGACTGGACTGTGTAAGAAACAATACCAAGCCGTAGTGGAGACGATAAGACTGAGCCGGAAAGCCGGCTACATGCCTGTTATGACCAAGGATCCCAAATACTTGAGAGATCCCAAACTGTTCGATCCAATGAGGCCAATTCGACCTCATTCTTACGCTTAATACCTTGTTGGACTAGGATTGTTATTGTTTGTTGTTTATAGATAAACTTTGTTTGATAGATATTATCTTAGAGATGGCTTAAAAGTATGTTGCTTTATTTTTACATGTTTTGGTGGTTGGTGGATATGTCTTTGTGATGTTAGTTTTTCTCTTTGATTCCCTGTGATTATTCAACAAATTTCAACCAAATACTTATTATCTATTTTTCACACATCATAACTATCTTTTATTCTTCTACTATCACAGTTAAAAAGATGTTTAATAATTATTACTAAAGTATCTATCACATATGTCAACAAGTTCAACAAAAACATCTAAAACAAGTAAGGGGTGTCTATAACAGCAGCACCAACAGCAACTCCACCTTCGTTGATGTCTTCGGCTTTAGATCTGAGTATTTGGCCTCCAGTAGTGTTGGATTCTACTTTCAACTGGTCGATATTGTAGCCGTCTGTCGGGTTGAAGCTCGTCTCTCCTATCAGACATCCATATACTCCAAGTTCACTGACTGTGTTGGCTAGTTTTACATTTTCAAAAGCTCGGAGATGGTAGTTCTAAACAATTGTTCTATGCATATATTCAATGTTGACATTGAGGAGCGGCTTATATTGTTTTACATGGTCAAAAGTTTTGGTTAACCAAAGTATTGAGAACTAGCCTATAAGTAAGCTTACCTTAACAACTAAAGGTTGTATTCTTTGCATCAGAATGTGTGCTGATCGTTGTTTTGCGTCAAATGTGCCTAGCTTTTCCCTGATTTCGTCTCCATAGAAGTTTCCACCACCTCCTTCCAATTGTGGCTTCAAAACGTATCTTTCTGGGTGTTCCATGGCATCCTACAACAACAATATTATCCGCTATACTATTTTAAATATCTTCTTCACGTCTACTATTAACAACTTACTTGATCCATTTATCCTCATGTTACGAGAGTAGCTGGATCAAATTATACTAGATTAATATATACTCCCAAAAACTTACTTTAATAACATCTTGTGTCTTCTTATCATCAATCTCTAATCCCCAAAGTCCAGCGAATGTGCTTCTGACCAAATCGATTACTTCTTGAGGTTGATCTGGCAAATAATGTTCTACCACACCAGCCTTGTCTAGTACTTGTTGTACCTTCTTTGTATTAGCTAATTGTAATCCAATCCAAGGACATTTGATGGCCAACGACTTTTCTATTGTTAGCCTCGCAGACCATTCTTTATCTGTTGGGTAGTTCGTTGGGGAATAACCTGCTCGGAAGTATACTAGGCCTATTTCATTGTCTTCGTAGTATAGCTTGTCGTCTTTTGTTGTTAGACTAAAAGTGGCATTAAAATATCATTTGCTCTGAATATACAGTACGTTTTACATTTTTTTTGATGAATATTATTTTTTTTTATTTACAAACCTTCTTATACAACTTACTTTTGATGACATTGTGTTAAAGTAGCCCTTATGAACTTTACTGGACTGCCTATTGTTTTTTCTATTTCGTATTCTACAAATCTCATGTCCAATTGGTTCTGATTCACTTCTTCTATCACTACTAGTACCGCTGAAGATTGATTACCGTAGGAACTCCTATAATTAGTACATAGTATAACAACCACAACATTAGTCACTTTACTATCAATTTCAACTGGCTTGTCGCCTCAAATTTGATTGAAACGGTAGAGGTTAAGGTGGTGAAAGGATGACGAAGCCCCTTATTCTTACTCCTGGCCATACCCTTGAATAGCTAACAATAAGAGTAAGACAGTCATATGTTTGCACCGCCTAAATCCTAAAGTTACTAACAAAAAAAGAACTTACCATCCAGTAGCTAAACCTGTAGCCAACGTCTTGATAGGATAATTGTCTGGTACTCTGGATTCTGCTTCTTCTGGAGTCATACCTAACTTAACCAAGGCTCTTCTGTGCCAGAGTGACGCTCTTTGTGACAAACCACCCATACTTACAGCTATGTTGTTAACTTCTATCTGAAATTTGATTACATTAAGGTCGTGGTTTACCTAAAATACGAAAATTGATGTGGCAACCTTTTATTTATATTAGATTATTCAAATAATTCTGTGCCATCTCAAAGCAAATTTTCGGGGTTAGAGGGGCACAGAATTTTTTGAACGTTATATTATCTATGCCATTTTCAAAAAAGTGTCCTTTATGCCATAACATAACATATCCATAGACATTACCTGTTTTAACTCCGGCTTCTGTCCCTCTATATAATGGCACATGTAGTCGGCTCTCTGTGTCAGCACCACCTTCTTCTGCACCAACCCTGACTTGATGGTCTCCAGGAAACAGTTAACCATGTTCCTAGTAAACTCATCTGTCTCAATCACCTTTTCATGAGCTTCGACCAGGAACTTTTGGTCAAATGACAGTCGAAAGTAGAGCAGGTTCATCCATTTCTGTACTTCTATCGACTTTTCGAACAAATTCCTCGGGAACGGCGATGGTAATAGGGCTAACGGTGCAGCTTGACAAATGTCTGATCGGGATTTGTGCTCACGAGTCCTTATCACTAGGCCATTGCACTGGAATGGAAAGGTTATGATAAGATAAAGACAATATTGGTGTAGTAGTACTATTTTAGTATGGTATATCAACTTCAATTTTATACGTTATGATTACATTTGTAATAATAGGTCGTTCAAATAATTTTGTGCCCCTAAGCCCGAACATTTGCTTTGAGAGGGGACGCATAATTATTTGAACAATCTAATATTTAAGCCTAATGCTGCAAAATAACTCAAAGTAGAAAATACAGTCCATGTCAAGTAAAAAAGGTACGATTAACTTACATGAGCAAAGTCAAAAACGTCTTCCACCAGCCAGTCCAACTTCTTTGGGTCAACGAGTTCTGGCACAAAGTTGACAGCTTTTTCCATCGATGATATCTTAAAGCTTTTACCTTGAAAATGATAATTCTCACTAGCCGTATTTTACAATAACATAAAAAGAACGCTCATTTACAAGTTTAGTATCTATCACAATACCCTTTATCAGTACATTCCAATTATAAGAAAATCTATGAAAAACGTCGACCCAGCTTACAGTAAAGTTACGACGAAAAAACTTGGAAAAAGACAACATAACTTTGCCGGAAAACCGAAAAATTCAAATTTGAAATAAAGTTTTACAATCTTTTTTACAAAAACAAGTAATAACACCATCTTTTTTGTTATCCACAGTAGGAAATATAAACAATATCGTATTTTGAGACATTTTATATTTTTTTGTATATCAAACTTCAAATTGTAAACCCAAAAACCACAAAAATTGACCTAATGAAAGCGAGTTTTCGTTGATATTACAGCAGTCTTCATATAAGACTTGCGATCATTATCAATAAATAAAAGTTTGCATTAAAGCGTCTCATTATTTATATCTCAATTCGTTTCCTTTTTACAATTGTTTCCACCCTGATTTTAATAAGTAATTAAAAAGTTTATAGTTATCTTTATAGATACAATAGTTCCCAGGTCATGTAACTAATTTAAAAAAATTTTAGTTTTTTATTTTAATGTTTTTTGACACGTGATAAATTATGTTTCAAAAGAACTAAAATAATATTTTTCCTCTTATTCTTAGAGTATTTAACCACTCAAGCTTCAAAAATGGCCTCAGAAAGAGACAAGGCCATCTTAAACATGATAATGAACCCAATGATGCCCACAGGAAATGTAACAGAAGATGTCCCGGTTGAAGAAGAAGGTAAGGAAAATTATGACTATCTTCTATATTAAATGAGCTTTGTTATACAATATGTAAGTCCTCGTTAATTTAAAGCCACAGTAAAAAAATACTTTAACAGCACTGTTGATATAGTGAGCTTTAAGATCAACACTGACCTAGTGAAGCAATATTAATGTTTAACAAGTTTATAATAAAATATTTAGATTACTCCCATTTGGAAAACTATAGTAAAGCGCAAGAATTAGAAGTGGATGGTATTAGACTGTCGGAAGAGAAGAAACATGACGAAGCGCTACTCAAATTCGACCAAGCCATCGAAATCTGTCCGAATAATCCTTCCGCATACAATAACAAGGCCCAAACTCTTCAGTTTCAACGCAAAATGGACGGTGAGTAATATAAACTAACGACAACAAAGAGTTACTCATATTCTTGGTTAATAAGCATGCTTTGGGCTTTAAACTGACAAGCATAGATGCTCGTCTAAAAAACAACCATATCTGAACATAATAATAAATTGCCATTTAGAAGCCCTTACTTTACTAAATAAAGCCATAGAACTAAGTAAAGGTAAGGGAAAGACAGCGGCTCAGAGTTTTGCACAACGAGCCCTCATACATCGTTGTCAAGGTAGACCATATGCTGCAAAAGAAGACTTGGAGAAATCGGCAGCCTTAGGGAACAAGTTTGCTAAAATGGAATTAGTCACACTTAACCCATACGCAGCAATGTGCAACCAGATGCTCGGAGATGTCATGGAGAAGCTCAAACATGGAAATTGACAGAAACTTACTTACATTTGTTTTCATAACAACCCTTTTATATCCCATAAAACCTATGTTTTCTTATAAAAAGCATAAATCTGTATAAAACTATACTGTCATAAATGAAAATTTAATAACAAAGAAAAATTAAGTAATTGTGCTTCACAACTGTAAAAAACTACTTTTTTAAAAAATTTTCTAAAAAATACATTTCACGAAACGTTTTATTTGGTCCCATAGCGAAAACTAACAAGCGCTATAACCGTATTCATTTTTAGTGAAAAAATAATTCTCTCTCCTCATTTTTTCGATCTTTTTTGAAAAATATGTTATTGTAGGTTTTTTAATAGTTTTAAGGGGTTTGGGGTATTTTAGAAGTATAAAATTTTTGAAATGAATTGTTTTCAGTGTAGTCATGTATTTGATTTCTACGAATTTATCGCTTTCTTGTTGTTTTAAGGATTTTTACGTTTTGGCTTGAAATGTGCTTTAATTAAATTTATTCTGTTGATTTGCAGCTTATTATTGCCAGATTTTAAACATTTGTTGTAGACGCGATATTGTTAAACATAATTTTGCGTATTTTCTTTTTATTGTGTATTTCAGGTAAACCACCATGGTTAACGTACCTAAGTCTCGTAAGACCTTCTGCCCAGGCAAGTGCCGTCGTCACACCAACCACAAGGTTACCCAATACAAGAAGGGAAAGGAAAGTCGATTTGCCCAGGGTAAAAGACGTTACGACAGGAAACAATGTGGATTCGGTGGACAGACCAAGCCCATCTTCCGTAAGAAGGCCAAGACCACCAAGAAGATTGTATTGAGAATGGAATGCACTGACTGCAAACACAGAATCCAGCTCCCAATCAAGAGATGCAAGCACTTCGAACTCGGAGGTCAAAAGAAGTCCCGTGGACAAGTTATCCAGTTCTAAGGTATGCTTTTGCTTTGTTTCTTTGGTTTTTAGGTGATAAGATGGGTTTTTCAAGTTTAAGGAAAAACTTTATTAGTTTTTATTGAAAAATAGCTTACTTACTTAACTTTTTGGGCTCACGTAGTGAACTTTATGTTTTTAAAATTATAGATAAGCCAGTGGCATAAAATTAAATGATACTAGCTTATAATGCTACTGCTTTTAGAATTTTCAACTTTTTTTAACTAGAACTAGGTAGCGTATGGCGTATAGGAACCATGAGAGTCTTTAAATGTCTTTTGTGGGCCGATAAACCGCCGATATTATAGTTGTTGGACGGTCGCTGCGGGTCTTTTATATCCCGTGTGCATCCTTTATACTGCACGACATTTACCTGTAAAACCTTTAGCTTTATTAGTAGGGGAGCTTATAATTTTTTGAGTCTTTTACTTTTGTACTCTTAAACTAATTTTGAATGTTTTCAGCCGTTTCCCTTCTCTTTCGGCAAAGGTACAAACATGGATCATTTGTCTTCAATGTTTTTTCGTTGTTCTATTTGTTGATAAATTTGATATTTACACAATTTGGTTTATTATTTGTTTTAACAAGTGAATATATAACAAATATGGAAGTGTATGTACCGGTATTTTTTGTGCATGAGTAAAGAGGCCTTTAGAAAATTTTAAAAAATGCTGAGAAGGTAGCTTTGTAGTTTTAATGATGTCGTATAACTTAGGATCGGCAAGAACACTTTCTGGTTTCTGTGTCAGCTTGTCGTATTCTTCGTGGTGGTGTTGAATGTTCTTTCAATTGCTTCCTTTTGGACATTCGTATGTCTTTGATGGCACTTGAACAATCTCTTTTTGTACATTTCAGAGCAGCTGCTAATTTTGACAGAAAACTCATTACAGTCTCTTTCACGGTTACTGTACCAGGTGTGGTTGGACTTGGTGGTGCCACTGTAGGAATGAGTTGATCTGTCGTGATGGGATCAACATGTGATACTGTTGTTTTTGATATTGGTGGTTCTTTGATTGGATCCAGCTCCAATTTCTCATCAAAGTAGCCATGTTCGTCAATGAATTTGACTTCCAAAGGTTGGCCGTCTCTTGTCATTTCGGCTATACGATCAAAGTGTTTCTTTGGCAGATAAACTGACACTTCATCCTTGTTGACAACACCTTGATCATTTACTTCTATCTTCAGGGATATAGTTGATTGTTTAGGAATTGTCGTTGGCATCGGAGTTGTTTTGAGTGAAGGCTCTGCGCTTGGCTTTGGTACAAAGTCGCTGTACGGTACTGGGGTCATTGGATCTGAAAGTTCCCTACAATTAGACTTTATCGAATATGGTTTTATAAGACAATGGTTGGTTTAAGAACTCTGTTTTAGTTATACATACGAATCAAGTTTACCTTCCATTGTCGGTTGACTTAGTTTGATGTCATCATTTTTGTTGTGTTTGTTTTTAAACCTAAAAATAGGCTTTAATGTTACATTTTAATAACCTACGTTTCATTGTTCGTGTCATCTTTTCCATCTGGCTCTTCTTCCTTTAAAGTTTTGTTCTTTTCTTCATTAGCATCAACTTCTGGAGCAAATTCTTCTTCTTTCCTGACTTCTGGGTTCTGTATTTTTTCACTTTCTTCTTTTTTTCCTTCTTCCTTTCTATTCTTTTGATATTCTTCTTTAACTAACTTCTTCTGATCTTCATCTGCATCTTCAATCTTTTCATCAATATCACTGTTACTAGTCTTATGATGGACCTTTAATTCTTCCGTCATCTTGATTTGTTTGCTATCTGGAAGTATAATTTTTTCATTTTTAGTTGGAATTAGAGGATTTTCGACGAATTTTTTGATATTCATGTTCCACACGATCTTGTTGTCATCGTAATCTTCTGGAATCTTCTTTAATGAACTTTCTTTTAGCTTCAACTGTTCTTCAATATCATTTTTGTCATCTTTGTATTCTGGGATCTTTTCTTCTTGTGTTTTGTGACTTTTTTCATCAGATTCTGGGCTTAGAATTACTTCTTTTTCTTCATTAATCTTTTCTAAATTGTTCTTTGTCACTTTATTAATAATTTCATTGGGTACTTTTGGCTTCAGCTCATTATCATGCTCATTCTGAAGATTATTGTCATGATTTGTTTTGAGTTCTTTGTCATTATTATGCTTGAGCATATTATCTTGATCTATCTTCACCTCATTATGTGATTCACCTATATTTTGGCGTTCTTCACCTATACTTTGATGTGCTTCCCCTATATTGTCATCTTTTTTGTCATCCCCATGAAGGTCGTCCTTAACATGATGAATATAGTCTTTTAGGTCGATTTCCCTTTTTTGGCCAAAGCGATTGTCCCAGGGTTTGATGTCTACCAAGTCTAGGCGACTTCGCATGCCCTCGAACTGAATTGGCTGTGGTTCATCGGCTACTGGAAACGGCTGGACTAGGGTTGTGTAATATAGGAGAACAATTGTTGCTGGTATACTGTACATTGTCTGAAAATAGGGTCACTAAATGCATGGTACTGACAATGAGATATAATATATTGCACAGTGCAACGAATAGTGAAAGAGGTAGAAATATTGTAAGAAAAGCAAAATTACAGTAAATATAACTTGACTTATGTTGGAATTAAGATTCATGGTGTACTGTAATCAAAAAAAATTAAAAAAAAGATATTTAAAGATTACAGTAACCCACCTTGACACAACCTTATTTACCGCGCTTTGTGGTCAGTAAATCACTAAAATCAAGATAACCTCGGGAACGAAATAAAAAAGAACGGGAGTAATGCTTTTACAATTCCAGTAGTCGTAGTAATGTCTTTTAATGGATAAAGTAATGTCGTGTCACCGAACCTTATTTTATGTAATCACGAATTACCCATGCAGCTTCTTTATTAAAATTGTACTATTTAATCCATTCGACTTGTAACGTTGTCCTTTTTACGGCATTCAGGCTAATAACATGTTGCACTTGCACTAATTAAACATTTTTGGAAGTTTTGAGGTCAGAAGTGACACAATTTTGAGGAAATTAAAGTAGTTGGGAGTAGAAATGATACAAGGATTCATAGTATGCAAGAAATAATTATGTTCGCGGTCAAAAATTAAATAGAAGTCTTAAAAAAGTGGGGTTAAAAATGCAGTTTAAAATCGATTTTATTACTGTTAGGTAGGGCATGGTTAAGTTAAATTGAGGCAAAGTTAGGGTACATTAAGACAAGATTAGGGCACGTCAAGGTAAGCTTTGTTAAAGCAAAGTTAATTTAAGGCTACATTTAGTTATGACAAGACGGAGTAAGGTAGGCTAGTTTAAAGTAAGATAATAGTATGATAGAGTAGCCTAGCATAATAAATGCGACCTAAAACACAATAAACTAACCTTTATTCAGTGAAAGACTTAAAATAAAATGAAAATTAGGCTCCAGTATTAAAGAAAACAGCAGATTTTTTAAACTTTTTGACCAAAAACCCACAAAAACCGTTAAATTTGGTCAATAATTTAAACTTTTTTCAAAAGTATCTCAGATATTTGGCCAAAAATATCTCATAAATCTGGCCAAAAATAATATTATGAATGAAGATATGATTCAAAAACAATATACAAAAATAGGAGCCCCTCTTTACTGTAATAAAAACACTCGATTAAACACTGATAAAGGGCCGGGATTAAACGGAAATCTTGGAAATGGAACAGGTGATAGGCTTCCGCATGATACCTCATTAATTAGCCGGCTATCTATCAGACGGGATTGGCGCTGAAAAAGTACACAAAGTAGAGACCAAAGAGTACCGTATGATTTACGTGTTTATCCGGGTGAAACGAGGTAATTTGGGTCTAAAACTACTATTTTTGGACGGACCACTCCGGAATTAAAATCGGGCCTGGCCTGGCCGGCATTGAGATAAAGTTAAAACAGACCGGGCTTAAAAGTTGGGTAAGGCTTGCGAGCCTGGCTTGAAAAGTAGGCCAAGGCTCAAAAAAATTAAAACGACCCGGGTTTTGCCGGTCTTCGAATTTTTTGAACGTGCCGTTCCGGCTTGTGAAAAAATAAAAACGAGCCGGTCTTAAACGTTGGTCCCCGAGTCTGGGCCGGGCTTTCAAAATGGGCTGGCTTACTTCTCACTTCTAGTTGGCATTCTAAATACTTTTATATTTTGAAAAGTATCGTAGTTTATAATAAGATGATAACCTTGAAAAATGTTAAAACACCCTCAATCTAGTAGCTAAAGCTTCAAAAGACAAGGAAAACATACTCATCACTCAAATAATTCAAAAGAATGCGCATTATCTATAGCAGTAATATGTAAAGACTGCAAAATATCTTTTTTTTACAAATTAGGAATGTGTCATTCATCATTGTCAGTGCCTCTTTTCGTATTAAAAATTTTTAAAAACTTTACAGGGAGACGCAGTTGAATGTAATTAGGATAATTAGGTATATCTTATAAATGACTATTAATTTTGTTTTTAAATTTTATCACGTTTTTTAAAATTTATATTACAATTTTCAAATAATTCTGCATCACCTTATCTCAAAAATTCGCTATGAGAGAGGCACAGAATTACTTGAACAACCTAATATATTCATCACTATTTGACTATTATAGTTTATAACAGAACAAAAATCAGGTAGGATTAACGGATTCCAATGCGTTCGTATTTCTATTCAGTGTAACATATTATTGTTGTCTGAGTCATGATGAGTGCAAATCCGCTTGAGCTCAAGTACGCAATCAACAAGAAGGCTTTAAAAAGTTTTGTCACTTGATCGAAATTCTATTTTAAAAGTTATTGCTCTTCCAAAATCGTATTTTAAAAATTAAAAATATTTTAAAACTAACTTTTTCAATAGGTCTAATAGTACAATATATATTTTAAAATTTGAAAAAAATACTATGAAATACTATTTACTATTGTTATGTTATGTAGCGTTTGTCAAATGTGATAAATTAAAGTTTGTACAAACTATTTGGCGTCACGGTGACCGAGCGCCTGGTGATTTACCGTACCCGTTGGACAAGTACGATGAAAGTTACTGGCCGAGAGGATGGAGTATGTTGACTACGGTAAGTGTAATAATTTACAATATTTGATAGAATGGTAGGGTATAATGAATGTACGGCAAGGCAGGATGTGGTAGGGTAGGGTAGGCTAAGCTAGGGTAGGGTAGGTAAGGTAAAATAGGGTAGGGTAGGGTCTAAATGTGTTTTTCTAACCTTTAACATTTCCTCATTTCCAGGAAGGTATGAAGCAGATGCACGATCTAGGCAAATTCTACCGTGAACGTTATGTAGAAGAAGACTTTATTAGTTCCGAGTTCAACTCATCTGAAGTTTACATTCAAACCAGTGAATCTGACAGAGCTATCCAAAGTGCTCAAGCTATGTTAAGTGGACTGTATCCTCCAAAAGATTCGGATCAGTTTGACGATGATATTAATTGGCATCCAGTCCCAGTTCATGGTAGTGAACCTACTGGGAAAGATATGGTAAGATCGGCATTTCTTATATTGTAAAGATTAAAATGTCTTACTGGATATTGTTATCACAAAGGATAATTATTAGGTTGTTCAAATAATTCTGTGCCTTCTAATTTTGAAACTTACTTTGAGAGGGGTACAGAATTATTTGAACAACTAATAGTTTGATAGTTTAAAAATTATAAAAAATCGAATTTTCAGTTATTGAAACCAACGTCTTTTGACTGCCCTACATACGAATCAAGCTACGATCCTATAGAGACAAAGCTGGACAGTGAGTTGATGGAAGAGTACAAAGAGCTTGTTACTTTTCTACAGCCAGTTAGTGGATATGGCAGTAACATGACTATGAAAAATGTAATTTTATTTCATCACTATACTTTACTTTGTAACTGTGTTTTCTAAAGAGTGATAGGATAATATTGTGATAATGATGAAGAGTTTACATTGCTTTGAAATTATAAAAGTGTTGATTGTCTACTGTCTTCTTACTATTCTACCAATATATTTTTTGTGAAAAATTTTTTTAAATCATTTTTTGATGCTTATAATCTTCTTACCTATTCAAACACTATTTCCAGGCAGTAGACATAGCAGACGTCCAACTAGAACTCTTGCATAACCTGGATGATCAGCCTTCTTGGTTGTCCAAGAAATGGGATCAGTATGACGAAAAAAAAACATTGGAGATATTGTTAAAGCTAAAAGAAAAGAGAAGACTAAACGAGTTTGCAGACCCCAGTCTAGCCAAGTTAGTTGGGGGATACCTATTGGGGGATTGGTTGAAAAGACTTGAGCAAGTACAAAATGGTACTCAAATGGAAAGAATGATCATGTATTCTGCTGTAAGTATAGCACAACTTTTTATAGGGGGCGCACAATTATTTGAACAACTTAATACAACATTTTTTAAAAGTTTTTGGTTGATTATGATTATATAACTCTTGGTTAGTGAGAAAAGTATGACCCAGAATAGAATTAAATGTACTTTTCAGCACGATGGAACGTTGTTATCACTAACGGGTACGATGGGTGTATTGGACGACGAAATGATACCGTATGCTAGTGCTTTGATCATGGAAGTTAGTGAAGACGACGATAAGTTGTATGTCAAAGTAGGTGAACATTAGTGTGGTCAAAATGTTAAAACTTGTTATTATGCTACAGTATTGAATGATTGCTAATCATTTAAATACTATAACAACATAATAACACGACAATGATATACTATATCATACTGTTGTGACTTTAACCTTCGGTGTTCTTGTAACACAACAAAGCTGATGTGACCTATAGTGGTTCATACTATACTATCATAATAATGTTTTTAATATCCAGATGTACTACAGAAAAACCGATTACGATAGCCTGAAGCAAGATAAAGACGGTGATTTCAAATTGAAAAAGTTGAAATTTAAGTGTGGCGAGAAATGTCATCTCGATGAGTTTATCGCCGAGATGAAGCCGCAAGCTACATACTCAAAATTAGACGTGTATAAGGTAAATTCAACGTCATTTCATTATTTGAAAGCTTTACCGTTGTAATAGTTTGTTCAAAAATGCTGTGCTTTCTCTCAAAGTCAATTTTTAGGGTTAAGGGGCACAGAATTATTTGAACAACCTAATATTACATTATATTAAAACCATATACATTATTTTTAATTCTATATAATTAATTGATGACACAATAATTTATCGAAGGTCTTTCATAATAATACTCTTTTTAGCAATGTGGACTTCAGTATTGTGTTCAAATGCTAGATGACCAGCCTTGTTGTAAGTTAATTCTAATTCAATCTTAAAAGATCTTTATTAGAATGTCACAAAGTCTAGTCACCCAATCTTGCACAGTAAAAGCGACAAGACTTTTGCGGCATTTGACATAAGTAGCTGGTTTAAAAAAGGTTTTTTTAAACTTTTTCTTCACTTATTTAAGGTATAATATATTTATAATATAAAGGTCAAGGTTCTACTGCGATTATCTTTATGAAGCTTTACTTTATATTTTTAGAATTGATTCGGCTCAATATGAACAACATGACTGTAACTGCTAAGTGAATTACACTCTAAAGCAAAATTTTTATTGTTTTTTTTAATATAAGGCATGATTCTGAAAAAACATAGAATATTTGTGAGGTGAGCGCTTAAAAATGCTATCAAAAGGTGTTTTTTAAAAATTTTTTTGTTTGAAAACTAGAAAAAAGTAAATAATATTTGTATTTTATATTGTCCATGACAAATCATATCAGGATAGATTTTTTTTGTCCTCGAAATTTGGAATCACGAAGGATTTGGTTCTATTTCCGTGTTGTTATTGAATCATGAGTGAAAGGTCGCTCGAGAGCAAGTTACTAAACCCAGGAAAACGAAAAGTTTTGTTTGTTCTTTTGACATTTCTTTTATCACACTATATGCTTTCTTTTTTACATAGCATAGCTAAGAGTTTACTTTGGCGTCTATAATAACTTGAACTATTATTTATTTGGTTTTTACTGTCATTTAAAGTTAATTATTGACATTTAACAGTATCTAATGTCAGTTTAAAGGCTTTTTTATAACTATATCACTAAATATATTGTTTTAAACTAAATTATTGAAGTATTAAGTTATATTGTTGTACATATATACGTTTTGGGCTTAAAATACAGTATCAAATAAAGATACTGTAAGTTTGTTAAAGTAAGCTTGCATATAAGTATGAAGTACTGTATATTACTGCTATTTTATATAGTATGTGTAAAATGTGACAAACTAAGGTTTGTACAAACTATTTGGCGGCACGGTGACAGGGCCCCTTCTCAGTTACCGTACCCTTTGGACAAGTATAATGAAAGCTACTGGCCGAGAGGATGGAGCATGTTGACTACGGTAAGTGTAGTAGTTTACTGTATTTGATGGAATAACAGGGTAGGGTAGGGTAGTTATATTAACATTTAAAACATTTACAGCAAGGAATGGCTCAAATGTTCAACCTCGGCAAATTCTACCGTGAACGCTACGTAGACACAGGCTACATTAATCGTGAATTCAAGATTTCTGAAGTCTACATTCAATCCAGTGAGTCTGACAGAGCTATCCAAAGTGCTCAAGCTATGTTAAGTGGACTATATCCTCCAAAAGGCTCTGATCTCTTTAATAGTGCAATTTACTGGCAGCCGGTTCCAGTTCATGGAAGTCAGAAGCTTGGAAAGGACATGGTGGGTTATCATAATAATCTTTTTAAACATATTTTCGATAGTAACATATTAGGTTGTTCAAATAATTCTGTGCTTCACTCCAAAAATTTGGATGGAGAGGGAGCACAGAATTATTTGAACAACTTAAAAGACGATTTCTGAGACCATGAAGCATCCTGAAACGGCCATGTGCCCTAGAAATTTACCCCCTGTTTTTATTTGATAAATCGATAACTAGGACCGTTTTAAGACACATGGTAAAGCGATTTTGGCTAAAATACCGTTTTGGCATTTTTATGCCACTTTTTGACATAGTTTCAGTTTTCAGTTTATTTACTAGCTCAACCATCAAATACAAATAAAATCATAACATTGAAATTACATGTGACAATAATCTCTGATTTCTTCGGTGTAGTGCCTGAGAGCTTCTTGCCATCTTCCATCCTCCGCCTCCATCCAGTCAATTCCAACCTTCTTCCTTATCTCATCCTGCCATCTTGTACGAGGTCTGCCAATCGGTCTTTTGCCATCAGGTTGCCAGGTCGCAACTTTCCTTTCCCATCTATCTTCAGGCATTCTGGCTACCCTCCTTCCAAACTTCCACTTTCTTTCCGTTGCCTTCACCACAGTGATGTGGGAGTCTTCTTGTTCATCAGCAGCCATTTAACTTCCTGGAACTTGCACCATCCACTTCTGATTCTGTCTTTTATCTCTTCACCATGCTCATTTGGAAACGTCAACGTCTGACCCAAATATTTGCACTTCTCTGTCTTCTGAATCTCCATATTTTGAATTCTCAGTACTCCTTCCACATTCCCCATCCAGCATGTTTTCTCTTTGTTCATTCTGAGCCCAATCATGTTCGTCGCTTCTTCTACCTTTTCTGTCATCTCTTTTAGTTCTTCCGTATTGTTCGCCAGAATTGTGATGTCATCTGCATAAATTAGTATTCTCAGCTTCGAACCATTGATGTCAATCCCCATTTCTTGCCAGTCAATCTTGTCAAGTGCATATTGTAACCCCAGTACAAAGAGTATTGGGCTCATAGCATCACCCTGTCGTACACCTCTTCCTCTTCTGAATTCTTCTTCATTTGATCCTATTCTGATGACATTGTTGTCAACTTTATACAGCTTCATTACCATTTGTATTGTCTCCTCATCTACACCATACTTTTTCAAAGCCTTCCGTACCGTTCTCATACAGATAACATCAAAAGCTTTGCTCATGTCCAGGAAACCAATTGCCAGTGACTTTTGCCATTCCTACGCCTTCTCCACTACCTGTTTCACTATGTAGAGCGGATTTATCGTTGAGACTTCGCTACGATAGGCAAACTGTTCCTTGGCCAGCGTTGTTGTGATCTTCTTCTTGATTCTTTCAGCCAAAGTTCCAGCTATAATCTTGTATAGAGGGGGCATTAGACTTATCGGTCTATAATTCTCGATTCTGTCTTCATCTCCCTTTTTGAATATAAGTATTGTACTTGATTTTTTGTAGTCCTCTGGGTATTTATCTTCTTTGAACATTTCATTTGTGGCTTTGGCGAATTTTTTCCTTGAACTTCACCACCATTTTCCTCGCTATTACTGTTGATACTCCATCTCCTCCAGGCATCACTTTGTTCTTCAGATATTTTGCAGCTCTTTCAACTTCTTTTGGCTTTATATTATACTCCACTTCTTATTGTAGTCCCAATTCATTTTCTTCTTCACAAATATGACCTATGTGATCTTCTTCATATAGCTTTTCCATGTATTTGGCTGCTACTTTCGCTGCTTGATTTGCCGTTTCTACCAGGATCCCATCTTTATTTATCAAGCTTGTTCGTCTCTTAGACCATCCTTTTATATCTCGTCTTCCATTCCTAAGTTTTTGGCTTTCAATGGCTTTCTCCATGACATAAATTCTGTGATTTCTGAGGTCTTCTTCCATCGATCTTCTTACTTTTCTGCATACCTCCATCATTTTTCTTCTTTCACATCTCTCAGCCATCCATTCATCTCTTGTTTGTCTCCTTTCCTCCATTAAATTCCTGGTTATCTGGCTAATTCTCTTCACTTTGTTTTTCTTTTCCACCATCGAGAATTGCGTTACCTCCTTCAGCCATTTTCTAAATCCTTCATAATCGTCCGGCGGCCTGTCCATCTCACTGATTATATTAACCATGTCCATGTCCACTTCTTCTTTTTTCTTCTCCCGGCTTATCTTCTTGTCCTTTATGTTACCAGTGGATATTCTAATGGCTCTATGGTCAGACATTGGCAGGTTTAGCGTTTCACAGTTCTTCACATTTACATCTTTTCCGACTAAAAAATGATCATTCATCGTTTTGAAGCCGCGTGGTGACTTCCAGGTCCAGCGTCTATTCATCCTCTTCTTGAAATAGGTGTTACTTATTCTAAGATTAGAAGCAAGACAAAACTCAATCAATCTCTCACCTCTATCATTTCCTTCACCATACCCAAACTTTCCAACGCATTGTTGATCATCAATGCCACTTTTTACTTCAGCATTGAAATCTCCTGCTATGATTTCTATCCAGCCTGTTCTTCTTTCCTTGCTAATCCTTCTCAGCTCCTTCAGATCATCCCAGAATCTATCTGCTTCATCCTCATCACGTCCAGAGTGAGGTGCATGGCATTAAATCCAGCTCAGTGTCTTCTTTTTGTCCAGTTTCACTTCCACTTGCATCATGCTGTCATTGAAATATCTGATTCCATCGACCTTCGTGTCCCAAGTTTTATGCAACAAAACTGCCACTCCTCTCGACGTTCTGCTTCCATCCGTCTTTCCTGTGAAGTACATCGTATTGTCTTAAAACTCCCCAAAATACGCAGCCCTAGAAGTGAAAGTATAGTCTATTAAGATCTACGTTAAATGTAGATTTTGAATATGTAAAAATTGTCCATGAAGATCCGTGCTAAATTTTTAGATATTTGCACTTTTATAACCGACCGATTGGATTACGGTAGTTTACGGTAATCCTAGAAAAAAATTTTCAATTACAATTTTGTTCAGCATGGTCGAAAACATAACTATGCCAAATTTGAAACAATTCACAGCACTACAAACGCTGTTATGATTTTTTAATATTTTGACCGTAAGATACGGTAATTTTTTAAACGGCCAAAAATCCCCAAAATACGCAGCCCTAGAAGTGATCGTATAGTCTATCAATATCTACGTTAAATGTAGATTTTGAATATGTAAAAATTGTCCATGAAGATCCGTGCTAAATTTTTAGATATTTGCACTTTTATAACCGACCGATTGGATTACGGTAGTTTACGGTAATCTTAGAAAAAAAATTTCAATTTCAATTTTGTGCAGCATGGTCGAAAACGTATGCACGCACATTTTCAAAGCTTTTGAAGCATTTTTGGATTTTTACAAAATTTAAACTGTTTTATGTCAAAAAGTGGCATAAAAATGCCAAAACGGCATTTTAGCCAAAATCGCTATACCATGTGTCTTAGAACGGTCCTAGTCGTCGATTTATCAAATAAAAACAGGGGGTAAATTTCTAGGGCACACCTTGCTTCACGGTGTCAGAAAGCGTCTTTTAATATAAATATATTAGATAATTTAGTGATAAAAATGTTATGTTTAGCTTCTGAAGCCAACGTCATTCGATTGCCCTTCGTACAACTCTGAGTACGATGACATAAAGACAAAGATGGACAGTGGTCTTCTGTTAAAGTACAAAGACGTCATCAAGTTTCTGGGGAAAACCAGTGGGTATGGCAGTAACATCACTTTAAAAAATGTAAGTTAATTTATGTGTAATATTGATTTGTAAAGCGGGGAAAACTTGCTAGTAAGACACTCAAGCAAAAAGAGGGTGTTACACTTTTTAGTGTCATACCAAAGAGGTTTTGCTGTAGTTCTACTTTTTTGAACAACTTAATACTACGACTTACAGGCAATAAGCATAGCAGACGCTAAACTAGAACTCCTTCACAACTACAATCAGCAGCCATCGTGGCTGTTCGAAAGATGGGCACAGCATGACAATAAGAGCACGTTGGAGATTTTACTGCATTTGAAGAAGATACGACGATTAGCACAATTTACAGATCCAAATTTGGCTAGACTAAGGGGTGGCTATTTATTGGGGGATTGGGTTAAGCGACTAGAACGACTCAAAAATGGCACTGAGACACGGAAGATGGTCATGTATTCGGCTGTAAGTAGTTACAACAATATGGCTTTTTTGTTTTATTACTCTATTTTTCGTGTTATTACTGTGTTTTTTGTACTGTAATTACTATATTTGTATTAAACGCAATGTCAACAATCTTATAATTGAAAACAAAACGGTATTTGAATTAAAATACGTATAAATTATGTTCAAACATGATTTTCAGCACGATGGCACGTTGTTAGCACTAATGGGCACAATGGGCATCTTGGACGGAGAAATGGTACCATACGCCAGCGCCCTAATCATGGAAGTTTCAGAAGATACGGATGGACAATTATATATTGAGGTATTTAGGTTACCACAGTCTTTACATTACAAATTGATAAGATATCCCAGTTATTAGTATAATATATAATATGACTTTACTTTTTTTTTAATTTTAGATGTACTACCGTAAGACAGACTACGGTAGTTTGGTGAAACAAAAGTCTGAATTCAAACTGAAAAGATTTAAATTTGAATGTGGAGAGAAGTGTCATATTGATGACTTTATTGACGAAATGAAGCCTAAGGCCGTATTTTCAAAGAAAGACATGTACCAGGTAAGGCTAACGTATCTGGAAAATACTATTAGGTTGTTAGGTAAGTCGTGGGCCCCCCTAACCGTGTATCAGAAAAAAATTTTTTGCGTTACAACAAGAACGAATTATTAATCAAAATAGTTATCATCAACATTAACACAATGTGTCCAACGTTTTTAAGCATTTTTATCCCAGTAGCATAGGATTCAGAATTTCTAGAGCCTAAGAAAATTTTGATGGCTTCCATGAAATCGTCATCTTCAGTGGATTGTCGCTGACACATAAATGCTGTCGAAGATTTGAAAATATGGTAATATGTAGCTATCATGTCGAGTAAATACAAATGATGGTCAAAAACTTTGTATCCAAACCCGTTGTTTTTCTGCGGTCATCGTTGCCAAGTGGGGGCGGACACTGTCATGGACAATAATTGACCTTCTGTTTCTCAACTTTGAAGGTAGATAGTGGCGCATTTGGTCAATATTAATAGAATACGTACTAACAGTTATGGTTTGGCCAAGTTTCAAGGAATTATAGAGAACTACTCTACAGGACCTCCACTTTTCTTCAAGCGTCTCATCTCCAGAAGGAAGCTTTTGGAACCAAATTTTTGCTGTTGTGTGGCTCACAATACTTTGTCCATGTGTCTTATTTATGAATCCGGCCGTAGTTTTAACGTTACGACTTGTTTTGTACTCTTTTACATCACTACCCAAAGTCGTCATTTGCCCTATAATGTTCTGGCCACTAAAACAACAAAACAAAAAATTAAAAGAGGTTTGAAACTTACATATTCTGAAAATATAGGTTTTAAACTATAAAAGGACATCAAAATTTTCAATTTGTGATATATATTAATTTTTTCCTGATTTTTCAAACATTTGTGTTGAAAGGGGGCCCACGACTTACCTAACAACCTAATAGTAATAACATTGCTAATTATAGGAATGTGGTCTCGAATACTGTGTAAAAATGCTGGACGATCTACCGTGCTGTAAGTCATCATCAGCTTTTGGAATTACAGTTTCCTCACTTCTCATTTTATCATTGACTTACTTGTTGTACATAAACTGAATAAAATTCATTGATATTGGAGTAGATACCTGACTTGTGTAATTACACTCAAATTGCGTGGTATTGTACTTTTAAAATATGTTTAGATTTGCATCGTATTTCCTGGGCTGACATGTTGACGTCTAGGCTGCAAACAATTTGAATATCTTTTTATTTGAACAACTTGACGTTTGAAATTGATTGTAATATATTTGTGCAATTAATCGTACGTATTTAACATATAAAAGCAATTATATATAAAAAGCTTATTAACTGTCACAGAGTTCGCCTTCTTCACATCATATTGTTGAGAATGAAGTGTTTCATATTGCTTTTGTGCTGCACAGTACTATGTGTCAAGTGTGACAAACTAAAGTTGGTGCAAACTATTTGGCGACACGGTGACAGAGCTCCTTCGGATTTGCCATATCCTAAAGACAAGTACGACGAAAATTACTGGCCACGGGGATGGAGTATGTTGACAACGGTAACATTTTGCTATTAATCAATATAAATCTAATTATCCCCCTCCCCCCTCAAAACTCTCGTTACATTGATCTTTTTTTACTTTAACCTACCCTTTCGTACCCTACTCTAATCGATAATATGCATCATTTAGAAAGGAATGCAACAAATGTATAATCTCGGAGTGTTCTACCGTAAGCGTTACGTAGACTCAGACTACGTTAGTCATGACTTCAATGCTTCTGAAGTCTATATTCAGTCAAGTGAATCTGACAGAGCTATCCAAAGTGCTCAAGCTATGTTGAGTGGGTTATATCCTCCAAAAGAATCTGATCGATTTAACAATGGCATTTATTGGCAACCAGTACCAGTTCATGGGAGCGAACCTACTGGAAAGGATATGGTAAGACTGCCAATTTCTGGTTTTTGGTAACGTCAAGATTAAAATATCATACTTCGACAGTAACTTAAAGTACTAACATTACAGTAAAATTGTAAAAATTAAAACAAAATTTTAGCCTTGACCTTTTAGTTACTAAAACCAACATCATTCGACTGCCTCGCCTATGACAACAAGTACGATGAGTTTGAAAAGAACATGGACCAAGAGTTATACGAGAAGTACAACTTCCTCATGAAGATACTACAGTTGGAAAGTGGCTTTGGAAAGAACATGACAGTAAAAGATGTAGGCTTACATACGTCACATTTAATTAACGATCTTCAATTACTTATTTACAGGCCGTGAGTATAGCAGACGTCCAAATGGAGTTGCTGCACAACTACAAGGACCAGCCATCGTGGTTATTTAAGAAGTTAAAGGAGTACGGTAACAAAACCATACTGGAGATACTGTTGGAACTGAAGAAGATACGACGACTGACACAGTTCACAGACCCAGAGTTGGCTAGACTGAGGGGTGGATATCTGTTAGGTGATTGGCTGAAACGCCTAGAACTATTAAAGAATAGCACTGAAGAGGAGAAACTGGTCATGTATTCGGCGGTAAGTACCTATATTTTTGTAGGCAACCTACAGCAATAGTAAGCGGTCTACAGTAATATAAGTGCTAAACTTTATCATACCTACATTTACCTTGCTTTATCTATTATAATACCCCAATGATGAAAACTTGCTTTACAGCACGATGGAACGTTACTAGCATTAATGGGAACGATGGGAGTTCTAGACGGAGAGATGGTACCATATGCTAGTGCTCTAATCATGGAAGTCAATGAAGATGATAAAGAGTTGTATGTTAAGGTAAAAAAGAGAATCAATTTTATCAAAAAAGATGTTTATCTTTGTAAAATAGTTTAAACTTTATTACCTTATGTTTCTGATCTAAATGTACCTTCAGATGTACTACCGGAAGACCGACTACGGTAGTCTAAAACAGAGGAAAAAAGGTAATTTCAAATTGGAAGAGTTTAAATTTGGATGTGGAAAGAAATGTCATATTGACGAGTTCATAGAGGAAATGAAGCCTAAAGCCATCTTTACAAAAACAGACATGTATCAGGTAACATTATTATTAAGTGATATGATATCAGTGTTGAAAAAATAATCTTGTAGATCACCTTTTCTATGATTCAATAAAAAGTATCACCATAACGCTAAAATTAAACTTTCAGCAATGTGGGCAACAGTATTGTGTAAACATGTTAGACGATTTACCGTGCTGAATTCATTTTTGAAGTTGACCCGATCGATTGTTGCAACGCGTCTCAAATGAAAAATATTTTTTTTGGAATTTTGTTGTTTTTAATAGTAAAATGAGGTAAAAGCCAGTAAAAAAACGTTTAACTTAAATTTTTAGACAATTTTTTTTCCTTTAACATCACGTGAGACTATATGCAAATTTCCTTATTTGGTACCTAAAACCATGTAATAGAACATACTTTTAGTTTTACTACTGTCTTTTTTGCAAAAACTTGCTTAGAAATAGCAAAAATGAACCAAAGAACAACATTGTCTGCTTCTTATATTACTTGAACCTGACATTCAATCTCTACGGAACATGTTTATCTTATGTTAATTACTTTAAACTTTATACATTATGAAAGATTCCTTGTTTCTCCCAAATCTCCTCCAACCTCGAGCCCTTGTTCTCCTTCAAAGCCCCATTAAAGATGGGACAAGTGCCACCACTGTCTTCCGTTCGCCAATACCTACTCCCAACAGGGCAATTGTAGGCGTCGGAGAAAGCGGGCATGTTCATCAAGGTGCCTTGAACTCTGAAGTCAACTCTCGGATGGGCTCTGAAGGCCTTCTCTGACTGGCCCTCTCTGCCACGAGATTCACACATGTATTGGACGTAGTTGAGGAAGAAGAGTTGGGGTGTGGTGAGGCGGTATATTAGGTGACCATCGGGGCGAGGGTCGGGGCCGTAGACCTCTAGCCAGGATTGGAGGGCACGGTAGGCTAGTTGGAGGCCTAAAACGGGTTTTTTTTTATGAATTTAGTTTTCGAAGTTAACTTATTTTAGGTAACATTTACCTTCTTTCGGTCCATACATCAAGTTATTTAAGGCAAAATAAACTGTTTTTACTCTCAAAAACCCACCAATATTATCAGCCATGATCTCGATATTACTCTGAACCCCATCAGCACACACTCCTTCCGAATCACATAGATTATCGTACTGATCGGCCAAACAGCCAGCCATCTTTGCGTACGACCGTACCTCGTCGTTCGTCATCCAAGCTGGATCGTCCGGGAACTCTTTAGGTAACAATGATCGTCCATCGAACATATGAGCAATTTCGTGAGACAAAGAAGCACCAAAGAAGCCGAACACGTACTCAGCCGGATGATCATGATCGTACATTGGCCAGAAGAGAGAGTTGGCCGGGAATACGACGGTGCTCGTGGTTTCCAGAAGGTGGATCATGAACTAAAATAAGATTTTTAGAAAGTCAATCACAATCTAAATGTGGTATGTCACAAACATCTTACTATAGTTATTACCTATCATTACTAAACGATACCTACATAAAATAATATCATCAAGTTATGCTATTAAAAGTACTTATATATTTATATTATACTCTTACATAACATAACAATAAGCCTACTACAATATAAGCTCATCACTCACACTCATGACCGGTGAATACGGTAACAAACTCAATGTGCAACATCCAAACTCAGCCCTTCTGATAGGCATAACATTGTGAGCGTACTGTTTCTTAATGACATGGTCTTCATCAAATACTGTATTGTTGTATATCTTGATCAGGGCTTCGTCCAGTAACAAAGGGTCGTTTCCTAAGATCATAGTGAGGTTATCTCCACGCTGCAATGCTCTTATCAGTGTTGTTTCACTTAACCAAGGTGTTTCTTTCAGTAGGTACTTCATGGCCATATACACATGTTCTGATTGGCGGGATATCTTTTGCTGAAATAAGAAGGTTTAGTTAGTAAAATATACCTAAAACATTATTTTTGATTATTTTAGGTAAAAAATACAATAAAAATTAAAATATTGCTCTATAACACGCTACATCATGTCTTATAACACCTTAAAGCAAAGTAATACCCCTTCCCTAACATACCTTAATATCACCCTGATCTTACCTGAAACTCCTCGAACAATATCTTCCCCTCCTTCCTATCATTATCAGTGATATTGTCAAAGACAAATCTCGAACTCAACAATATTCTTCCAAGCAGAAACTCTCCAGCCGTCTCCATAACTCCGTAACATACGACGTTATCAGCAATGTCGTTGCTGAACAAGTGTAACAACAACTCTTCGATCACTCCATTAATGGCTGCCACTTGAAGTTCATGTTCTGTCAGTTTACTGTAATTTACTGTCAAATCGACTGAAACCTTCTCTTCCGGTGACAAGTTGTGGCCAAGACTGGTAGTGAAAAAGGCGGTTAAGTTTAGTCCAACTGAAAGTGAGTTGCCATTAGTTACTGATTGTAAAATAAAGTATTAACTGCAAAGTAATGTCTCATTAGGTGTGCCATCTTTTAAGCTTCATCCTGACTGGATTGACCAAGATAAAAGCCAGCCTAGCTAAGATAAAACAGAGTTCTTTAAGGTAAGCCCACCTTTGTTATAGTCAATACCACCCAAAAGTCCATTGACAGAATTGGAAGCTCCAAATTGCTTTAGATTAGATATATCTTGTAAGAAACTGGCATTCCTTAGGTTTATTCCTTCAATAACAAGCTCGTCAATCTCTGTATTGTTGATGCTATGCCCTGTTACATCAAAAAAGCGTGCCCAAAGGTTACCACGGTCATTTGGAGTCATATCAGCTGGTGGCAACGTTAAGATACGAGCCTGAAATCAAAAAAATAAAGTATAAAATGACTTAAGAGCAATATCAAAAGCTTAAGTATTATTTTACTTATAAAACGACGAAGTTAGTTTATAGACATAAGCTAGAAGCTACTTTAAAAAAAATTTTTTTTAAATTAAATTTTAACTTTTTTAAATTTGTATTCTTCCTAACGCTGTAATTTGCCTCACAGCCCCCAAATCCCTACCTGAACATGTTGATGTACTCCAGTCCGTTTAGCAGTGTAATACTTGTACGGTCCAACATTGAATTCACTGTGAACATAACCAGCCAAAGCTCCAAACTTTTGCAGAAACTCATCTCCATCAAAGTCTCCATACCTTACTGGAATCTGCTTCAAGTTTGTTACCTCTTTTATTCTGTCAATAACTGGCAGTAACTCTTCTTTGGTGTAAGGCAAGTCTCGCAGTTCTCCTCGTACACACTTTTGGTAGATTCGCTTTAGAAATTGAATTGCCTTGGGCTGAAACGACGTTTTTTAGAAGAGATAAGACTTTCAAGCGTATTTTTCAAAATTCAAATTCATTTCAATATATAAAGTCGTTTACATAATTCTGCGCCCCTTGACATAATTTACAAAAAGATTGTAATCAAAAAAAGCATCTTTATCATAATTACTGTACAACAACACTCTAACCTTACCTCCCCATCAGCAATCTTGCCCTGTAACTCCTTTTCAATCAACTTGATGTTCTTATCATACGTAACCTGATATATACTCTCCGTAGACTTTCCACATGCAAATTGATAAAAGTCGTCACAAGGATTAACAGAATTATTCAAATTTCTCTCACTGAACGCTCCCAACTCGTCGAACTTCTTCTTCACAACCTGAGGTTGTCGAAGATGTAGTGATGTGAAGGTAGATCCCAACCTCAAGTCTGTTTTAGTGTGAGTAAATGAGAAATAGTCATCAGTGATGCAGTTGAAAGAATTTGCATAAATGTCAGATAAGACTGAGGAAGAGCTGTTGGCGTCACATTCGTTCTCGATGAAGTAGGCAACGTTGAAGGCTTGGTCGAGAGTAAAGTCTTGACCTTTTTTGAGAGTTTTGACTCCTGATTGGTAGGAGTTTAGTTGGAGAGCACGTAGAGATGTCGTTAGAGCTAGAATAATTACATTATAAATTTTTTACAATCATTTATTTACTTTGTTATAATGTACAAACAACATTGGGCTAACCAGACAATAAGCTAACAAACAAAAGGAAACAGTGATATAAAGGGAAGAATTTAGCAAAAAAGAAAATTTTTAACTGACATACCAACTTGATCAAACTGATAATCAGTGAGTTCAGAATCTTCGTCCAACTCCACGATTTCTCTCCATTCTAAGCCAACCTCTTCGTCTAAAATGACATTATACTATACAAATAGGTTTTCAAGGCGTATTTTACTTCATAAATGAATAAGCTGTAGTAAATTCAATGTACAAAAATACAGGTTTAAACCCTTTGACAAACCAGTTTTATAATCACCTTTCGTATTAACCTTATAGTGCTACATCTAGAAGATGCATCTATTATTGATGCAGAAAACCTTACCAATTTTTCTCCAAACCTTCCTAGCTACAGTAACTCCAATAGTACCGTAGAAAGAAGCGTCATCCAGATCTTCGGCCCAACTCCAATGTCTTAAATCAGATATTTGAATAGTAATCGCGTTAGAGTCTTTCTGCAACAATAACTCCTTAAATAGTAACATTAACTTTCAAAATGACAAGTTAAAATGGTATTTTAAAATTAAAAGTCATAAGTAACATTTGAAGTTCAAAGGTATCACTGCAAAAACGTAACATCTATTCTCTGCTTTTATAACGTAAAATACGCATATAAAACAGAACTCCACTTCATAAGTCCTTACAATATGCATCGAATTCAGAAGATCATACACAGCCAACGACAAGTTCAAGGTGTTCATCTTGTACGATATATGATCGTCAATGTCCTTATCAATCTCTGTAATCTGCTCCACAAAGGTTTTATGTTGATCAAAGTCGGAGACTTGAAGGAAGTTGACATGGAAAGCCTTTAACAAGGATAATATCTTCAGTTCTGTGGGTTTCGCCATCTTTGTGTGTAGTACTCGTTCCTAAAAATGTCATTTTAAAATTATTGTTCAAATAATTATGTGCCCTCTTTCAAAGCAAATTTTTCGGGATTAAAGGTACAGTATTATTTGAACGGCCTGGTACAAGATTGACACTATCCTTGTAGCGTGTTTTGTCATATTATAGTACTCCTAAAACCCTTTACCAGCTTACAGTACCTCTAGCAAATTACAGCAGCCTTTCATCACTTTAACGCATTAAAATCAACATTATCATCTTACCCTCACCGCCTTCCTGACATTGTTAAACACCGTGCTCAGCTTCTTTATCACTTTTTGTCGCTTCGCTTCCGTATCAAACAACTCCAGCGCATTTACTCTGTCCATGATATGTTGCAGTGCGTCGTTACAGTTTCCCCCCATTACAGTACCATTCCTGAGTTTGTTGTAGGCTTCTTCCGTCTTCTCTATGACCGTGCACTCCAGATGCCAATGAGCGTAGTTCTCTCGCAAATCCACCATCATTTGATATGCTGGCGTTCTCTCGGCCAAGATTTGACTGAATTTGCCATCGAACAAATGCCCTTGGGCGAAATTTAAATGCGATCCGAACTCTTCGAAATATGGAGCAAATTGGCGATACCTAAAGTAAAGTTTTAGGTAAATGAGATAAAGCTTATAATGAAGTTTAGGTAGTTACCACATAAAATCTAAAGTTCTAATACCAAAACAAAAAACTTTGTTACCATAAACAACCTTTTGATACCTAATGTATAGTTTTAAGCAAAAAAACACTTGTAAATAACCACTTACACAGCAGTTTCAAGCCCAGTAACTTTGCCCAAAGCAGTTGTCATTTGCTGATCGTGTTTTAGAACATTTTCTATTTCGAATTCATTCAAACCCATCTGTTTTAGAATATCTGGTCGAGTACATCCTGATTCAGCAACAGCACGAAGAACAATACGTTCACGCTTGGCCGTCAGCTCTTCAACGTTTTCTATCTAAAGCCATATACAGATATTTTCACTTCAGGACAGAACGTATTATGTAAACCATACAGCAAAGTATGGTGTATAATATAAGATGTGATCACATGATTTAAAAAAATTCAACCTCCTTCATGTAAGACATACCGATATTCGATAAAGATAATCAATCCCAAGGTTGATCTTGAGGAAAGCGGCCGTTCGCATATATAAATGTAGAGCATGTCCCTTCAGGTTGTGTTCCTTCTCGGCCTTGGCTACTGTAGCATTATATCTGTCCAAAATCCTCTTATTGTAAACTTCTTTGTTCAGTTTTACTGTAGCTGGCTGATTACATTGTTTTATTACGGCATTCAAATGTTCTCTCAATTTTGAGTTCTAAAATGTTGTGTTTGTTAATATGCTCGGTTCATTGAAAAAAATAACATTGCTCGCTTTACAGAGCCCAAAAATGCCATATAAAACAAAAAAAACAAAGCCATTTATAGCCAAAAAATATCATATAAAGTCAAAAAGATCAATATAAAACCACAAAAAATGTCATATAAACCCTAAAACAAGGTGATATAGAGCCAAAAGCAACATACCGTTTTAGAATGAGTAAAAACTTCAAACTCTCCAAACTTATAGGTCGGTAGACTGTCACAAATGGTATGTATCGCATCGTAATCACATGGATTCGAACGGAAAACGCCAAGATCTACCGAACGTTTCACGGATTTTGCGTCAATACCTAAAATAATATTTTTTATAAAAGTTATTTTAAAATACGACACGTTTAGTTTTTGTACTATTATATGACACAAAATGAGCTTTTTATACAGTACATCATGCATGTATAAATGAACATAACAAATACAGGTGAGAAACGGGCCGAGTAGGGCCCATCTTTGAGACCCGGCCAATGCCAGAGACCCAAAGTTCAGGCCCGGACCAATCGTAAGACCGGGCCAAACCTATAAAGCCTGTTTCTTACCCCTAATAACAAAATTATGTAAAAAATTAATTTTTTCTTTGATAAAACGGAATTCCATCAACTCTTTCGTCAATAGACGAAATGTCACAAATCATATCGGTTTGGTTTGTAAAAAAAATTTCTGTTACTGTGAACGTCTTTTGATTCTTTGTCTATCGTTTACGTCTTACATTTCCTGTTTGTAGTGAAAATAAACCGTTTTTTTGTTCAAACGTCTTGGGGGAATACAATTTTAATCAGGTTTTTGGGTTTCATAACTTAAAGTTGCTTTACTGTAACAAAAATAAAGTAACTTACCGCTGAAAATAAGTAGAACAAGAAAATGCAGTGAATTCATGGTTATTTGAAGTTGGTTTTGTTATAGAATCATTTAAATAGATTTAAAATTTATGTGATAGTAATATATTATAGTAGGTTTAGATAGTAGTAAAGAGTATTTAAAGGTGTTTTCACAGTAATTTGAAGTTGTGTAGCCAAAAATAAGGAAAAAGTGTAAAGTAAATAAGTGTAGAATGTAAAAATATAAAAAATGTAACAATATTTACCTAAATATATTAAAATAATGTAAAATAACCTCGAATGCAAGGTAAAGACCAGAGAATAATCGGGAAATACCACGGTAAACTCCAGAAGAAGTTCGTTGTTGATCTCGGCGGGACGTTGAAAACAGTCCAACTGAGGGTGAAAAGAAAATAATATTAAAGTTGGTTGCGCAAGAAGTGAATGAAGGTAATCAGAAGTAATGATGATGGATGACCCCAGGCTCGAGATTGTTTGTTCTATCAAAGACGAAAGTTCGTATGTTGAAATGTGGCAATGACTGTGTTTAAATTGGGTTGAAAATGGAAGTTTTGTTTTGATTTTTGCATATTTAGATCAAAAAGTTTATGAAACATGGATAATGTAGGTAGGTTTGCTTGGAAATAGTGTTTATTATACTTAAAATTAGGTAGTTTGTCTTGAAAATGGCGTTTATTATATGGTCAGATCGTTCAAGTGGTTCTGTGTCCCCTCTCAAGCAATGTTTAAAGGCACATAATTATTTGAACGACCTAATATCTATTACCTAAATTTTAGTTTTTCAGAAACTTCATGGCCTAAAATACTATTTATTATATTATTTACTCCAAAAATATCCTTTCCAATGTACATAACTCAACAAATGACCCTCTGAATACACGTATCTCTCAAGAACTGAAGAGCCTGTTGACTGAACCTTGGCCGTCCACTAAAGTCAGCGTGCGCGATCCACTCCATCTGAGGACAATGGGCTGCCAATCTGTATATAAAGGTATCTGTGCATCCTGTGCCTCGTATCCTGACTTCACTAAGGTTGCCATTCGAAGCCAAAGCTGATAAGCCTTTATCAGTGACAAAGCGACAGCCATTGAAGTTCACGGAGCGGATATGTTTACAAGTGTCAGCGATGAGGACCAGGAAACGGTCGTCTACTGTAGCCATGTGCGAGGCTTCTAGGTCCTGAAAGGTTAAAAGTGTACTGTCGAAATGAAGAGTTTGTACCGTAAAATGTTTTTGGGGTACTGTAATATCATTTTTTGTACTTTTTTATTAAAAAGTTATCAAATTTTTCACTTTTTTTTATTATTTGTTACCTAAGACCTCAATTCTTACGAAATTCATCATATTTTTAATACTACAGTACTTTTAATGTTACAGTATTCCTTAAAATTACAATACACTTACCGTAAGCGACCTAGCCCCTTTGCCAATAGTAAACAAGGCTCTGTAGGTAATGCGAAGCCCTTTGAGTTTAAGTGATTTCAGTTTGGCACCCTTCGAGTTGATGCCTCCGGAAAAGAACTTCCTGAGGTAGTAAGTGTTGAGATGAAGGCATGAAAGAGCGAGGTCGGTGAGGTGGGGCAGAGCTTCTGTTATCAACGCCATCACTGGATCCACGATGCGACAAGCACTGATATGAAGCCGGGTAATCTTGGGACCAAGGTGCGACAGGAAGTGGGTTAGGAAACGGTTGGCTGCTTCGACTAACCACTGAAAATGACATTTTAAGTTAATAAAAGGACTAAAATTGAAATTTACAGTAGGGTTTTAATAGTTATAGTATAGTAAACATAAATATAAAGAAATTAATTGTCACAACCTTACCGTATCTTCATCCAAACACTCTAACTGTAAATGTAGATCACAGAGTTCTTCATGTGATTCCAACTTCCTGACCAACTCTTCGACATCTTCACAGCCCGTTACTGACAGTCGTATCGTTTTGATGGTTGGTGGCAATTTTGGAAGATGAACAAAGTAATTCCCTGTAAAGTTTATATAAATTTGAGGAAAAAAGACGTTTTTAACTTTTTTTTCGTTAAAAAATCGGAAAAAATCGAGAACAGATTAGGTTTTGAATTTCCCGCCAAGCTGGCATTGTCTTTAAGATTATAACTGTTTCACTTTTTGTGTTTCAATCTTTTTCCTTTAATGCACTAGTAGAAGACTTTTAAACGAACCTAAATTTTTAAGCTTAGCGTGTACGGAAAGTCCAAACAGTTCTTGAAGCACTATGCCAAATTTTTTAAATTGGCGGGAAACTCAAATATTTCAATCTTAAATCTCAAAAGCTAAACCTAAAATTTTTTATGGGTAATATTGGTGATATAAAGATTTCGAGCTGATTTTGAGTGGGGTAGGTAGGACAATAGTAAGAAATAATTGCTTAAAAGTACTAGTCTTCTGAAAAGTCTTACCGTATAAATCAATTTCCCTGAGTACAGAACCAGCAATCTCGTATTCTGACAGTACGTCGTTTTCCCGCTCGGCCTGAAGTTGAAATGGGTTTTTTATTTTTTAAAAACTTTTAATTATTCAAAGAACCTTACAATTTTTTGAAAAATTTGTAAATGCATTGCTATTTACATGAAAACCAGAACATTACTGTGTATTTTATGGAGTTTTTTAAAGTCTTAGTTTCAAAAATAATCTTGCACTACCCTTAGTTCAACCCAAGAACTTACCCCAAAGAACCGACACAAACTCAATTGTGATATGTTGGGACATTTGTGTGACAGATCGTGTAAAGTGGTTGCTGGATCCAACATGTTTGGAAGACAGTCCAGCTCGATCGTTTCGAGATTCTCACCAATACAATAGGCAATGTCATATAAGGCTTGATCATCGAGGTCGCGACAATTACTCAAGTTCAACTTTTTGATACTTCTGTTGTTGTAGACCAAGTCAAAAATGCCTTCTGATGTTATCTACAAGGTTTTTTTTTATAAAACATGGTTTGATAAATAGAAAATACAACCTTATAGACATGTCCAACCGTGTTTTACATAACAGCGTAGCGTCTATAATACTATATGGTACAAAGTTAATGTACCACAACATATTAAGACTTACCCTAGAACACCCACTGAGATCGACCACATCTAAATACCGTGACTTTATGTTCTTCAACCCATTCGAACTTAGATTCCTCAAATACCGTAGTTCTACTGAGTACAAGTCAGGTTGATTCAAGGTAATGTCCAGTATGCCTTGATCAGTGACATTTGGACAATCGATGATAGAGATCTCCTTTAATGATGTACATGACTTTACAATTGTCCTCAAGAGATCATCAGTAACATCTTCACTCAAATAGAAAGTCAGACATTCGATGTCAATCGAGAAGCCGGCTGTCAGGACTTGCATGCAATTGGGGGTGGATAACTGGAAAACAGAATTACTTTGTTTAATATAGCATATGCAAGCTTTAAAAATAGTATATGACAAGTAAAGTAAAGTACTAGTATAAATAGTACTGCGTAGTAAAAATATTTAACTATTACCTAAACTATAACACATAGTGAAGCCTTACCATGTCATGTGAAGTGAAATATTCCAAAAGTTTCTCTTTACTCTCAGCTGGCAGATACGATATCCCTTCGGCCAGTCTGTGTCGACATATCGTTGTCAAACATATATCAAACAATGAACGTACCATATTAACACACAAAAGCTGAATACTTTACAAAGAATGTGATTTTTAACCTGAAACAGATTAATTACATTGAGTTATGTTCTACTGTAACGACATGTATAGTAAACCTTATACAAATCACTTGTTCAAGTTCAGTAAAGTGTCAGTTAATTAATTTGTTATACTTAATAAAGAAGAGTAATTGTAGTGTTAGGTTTTTCACTTAATCCTGTGCCCCTTAACTCAGAAAACTTTCTTTGAAAGAAGCCCAGAATTTTATGAACAACGTCATATAAAATGAAATGTTGAGAAAAGTACTCTGATAAACATAGAAAGTCAAGGCTTGAGTATGACATTTGATGTGATATCTTGCAATTAAGACACGGAAATCACGGCTCAAAAGGATATCACATGTCGAAACATATGTTTCTTGTCTGACGCAATCCATTATCAACAAAATGCACTTTTAACCATACAAAATGACAAAAAATACTATATTCTTATACCTTTTACCAATATATATTGTCTATCGTGTCTTCAAGTTATATAAAGACACAAAATTAAATAGTACTCGTTATATTGAACGTCGATAGCCTGACGAATAATTTGGAATAAAAGTTATAAGCTAGACTATAATTATTACAGTACAAAAACTACAGTATCTATACTATTTTGCAAATGAATACTTGAAAATTTTGTAATGAAATACGCTCGTATGATATACCAACGTGATTTGCCCGCAAAACGCTCCCAAAGGTTAAAGACTCCGCTTAACGGATCTCGTTCACACGGCCAGACGATCAACAAGACTCTCGAGATAACGGACGCTTTTCCGTCTATCGTCTTTCTTTTCTCTGTTTCTTTCCTGGCTTTGCTCTTCAAATTGTCTTTCACTCTTTTCTATCTTCTTTTTACGTTATATTGTTGTACCTGCTCACTGTCTCCCTTTTTTATCATTTTATCTTTCTATACCTACTCTTTATGCCTCTTCCAAATATCTTCTACTATCCTTCGCCTCTTTTTACAATTAAAAACCTATTTCTCACTACTTTTTCAACTGAAATACTTGCACTTTTCATTATACTTTCATGTCTCCAAAATCTATCCAATCACCATACTCTCTCGTTCACGGCCACAAGATCTCTCAAGAATTTGTGTGACTGATTTCGTTTGAACTTTTGAGCAAAGAATAGTCAGAAGATTGCTGCAGACCAAAACAAAGGCACGCTCTGACACACATCAACAAAATAATTCATACTTGATAAAAGATATATTATAATTAATATATGATAGCAGAACATATATCATTTAGTATAGTACATATTAAAAACGTTGAAAAAGCAGTTAGTATAATATATATATTATGGAAGAAGGTTTGACTTACCGACCAATCTTTACTGACAACTTGATATTTTATATTTATTTACATTTAATAACTTTACATTTTATGCATATAGCATATACAATATGTACTGTAACCAATCGTACAGCAAAAGTTCAATACAATAAGTTCTTGAAAAATATTATTTTGTTCAAATAATTATGTGCCCTCCCCTATCAAAGCATGTTTTCGATGCTAAGGGCACAGAATTATTTGAACAACCTAATATAAATTTACATTATAACATCAACTATAATAAGAAAGTACCAATAACAACTACAACTACTGTAAACTACAATGTAAACCTTAAAACTCTGTGTTTTGTACGAAACTTTTTGCAACATACGAAGTTTCTTCAGCCTTCCATTGTGGCGCCATATGCCCGGCACCGTGTATCGTCGTATACGTCAGTCCGTTATTGTATACGGTCTTCTTGCCTCCTATCTTGTTGTTAAACAACCAGGATTTGCTATCGACCAATGGGGCACCACCAACTTTGGCGGTAAAGTATTCTCCACTCAAGTGATTACATACCATGTCTGAAACATACGATAATAATAACGTATATTGAAATTAACCTAATGATATCATATATTATAATTAAGATTTTCGTACATTAGAAAAAGAAGCCATTACCAAACGCTACAGTACGCACTTACCAGTATCCCCGTAAAAGTACAGTACCCTGACTTGTTTGCTCAGTATGTACCTTATAAAAGGCTCCATCGATGTGAATGTACTTTCATTATATGGCTTTCCAAGATGATCTGCAAGACTCCTGAAACTACCATGATATCTTTGAATAGTAACTTACTTACACACCTTCCATTCGAGGTTATGTGGTATGTTTAAAGTCTTTCGAACATCTTCCTTGTTCATGTATTCTTCAAAAGATACGTCGTTGAAGCAGGATATGTTTTCCTGCAAGATTATCTAAGATTAGGTTGTTCACATAATTCTGAGCCCCTAACAACAAAAATAGTCCTACCGCTTTAACCTCATCCAGAAAATCCAAACAATGCAGTGACATGTCATATGGGTCGACACCAGGTATGTCCATGGTAATGTTCTGACTCAGCTCAATACATTCCTTTGATGTTGCACATGATGTAGGTGCCATGTTCTCGCAACATCTACTTTGAAAACTTTCGAATTTGGCTTTTCCCAATAGTCCAATCGAGTGAGCATAAAATGGAGAAAACACTGAATCCCAACCATCCACCACTACACCGTTACCTATGGCGATACCCTGAAGATGACAGTACTTATAAACTTTTGAATATAACTGTACATATGAACATTTATAAGAATATTTTTGTATACAAAACTATTAGGTTGTTAAAATAATTCTGTACTCTCTAAACCCAAAAATTTGCTTTGAAAGAGGGCACACAATTACTTGAACAACCTGATAAAACCTACCTTGAGGTTGATTGGGTAATCATTTTGTTCCAGTATCAGAGAAGCCAGCACTGGAACATAGTATCCTGCATAGCTTTCCCCCATAATGTAAAAGTCATTGGCTCTGTAGTTTGGGTATGCATTGAAGAAGTTGACCAAAGCCAGCAAGTTTTCTTTGCCTGTCTGTAAAAGTTTATATAATACATAATTTATTGGAATGTTCAAATAATTCTATGCCCACTAGCCCTAAAAATTGGCTTAGAGAAGGGGCACAGAGTTAATTGAACAGCCTAGTAGTTCAAAACAAGTACCATATTATAACATAACAAGTCATCAAAAACAATACATTTAGTAAACTTTTATAAACAAGATTACCGTATGATCATCAGTAGTAGTTTCGTTTGTACTAGAGTAAGAGTACCCGGTATGAACAGGAGATTCCAAGTATAATATGTTTGCAAACTAGAATTTTTTATTTTGAAGTAATATTTAAAGTGATATAACGAAGAACTCGTACACCGTATTTTACACACAATAACCTTTAAAAGTTTCATAGAATAACCTTTAAGATACGCATTAATTTAAAAAAAAACTAACCTTAGTCCAGCTATTTTCGTTTTTGCTTAAAACACTGCCATTACTAGATAATCTAAAAGGCCCGTTCTCCATCAACGCCCCTTGTAAAGATGAACATCCGGGTCCTCCATTTAGCCTGAAATGTCCGTATAATGAGCCTGAATTAATGATGAGCACAGAATTATTTGAAAAAACTAATAAATTCTCATCTTAATATGACTTGCCACAATATAAACGGATCCTTCTGCGGATCATTCTCCGACTCGAACATCCAGAAGAACAAGAATTTGGTGTCCGATGCATTCACAAACCCAGAATAATGATTGAAATTGACATTGAAATTAAGTCCTGGCAGGTCGCTACAATACACCCAATTAAAGAACCAGAATAGAGCTACGGATTTCCGCATTATAACAGTAAAAGTTGTTGTATTTACAAAGCAAATTAAAAATAGTTAACACAGAACAGATATCCGATACCCGCGAGGGAAGAGCCTCTAGTTTGTAGTACAACGTGTTTCCTCTTTCAAATGTGAAACAGTGGCTTTTACAATATCAAACTGCTTTTAACAATGCAACTTTCAGTTCTTTAAAGGCATTCAAACTTGCAAACGTTAAAATTATTAATTAAAAAAGCATCTTCATCACAGCATCGTTAATAAGAAAACATATGAACCATGGTATATTTTATTATTTGCTTTTGTTACTCACAATTAAAAAGACAAAACATATAAAAAATATATTTTACAACATGTTAGAATGAAATTATATTATGATACATTTCTGTCCCAATTCTTTTAACTTTCATTGATTTACATAAAAATATTCTTGTAAAAAAATTATATGTTCTAGTAAAACACATTGTTTACATTTTAAGTTGTAAACTGTGTTTTTTTATAGAAGCACTAACGTTTTTATAAACTGTATCATTGTGAGTCATGTTATTTCACCTCCAATTAATCGCTTGAAACCTTCTAAACACCTTTAAAAATCATGTTTGTCATAGATAACATGTACTAACACGTTTCATTTTAACTTGTTTTGACAAAATGATCTTGAAACCTTTAACTTAGACGGTCAAGTTAATGATAAAGCTTGTGTAAAGCTGTACCTTCGGAAATTTCTTGCTTTTCTCAACAAAACATTACTTTTCAGTTTATTTTAAGTGAAAATCCAAACAATATTCCATGTTTTGGCCGCAATTTTATCTCTTTTGGCCGCGATTTTAGTAGAATTTAAAATTTTAAGTAAAGAATCTATGTAGGTAAAAAAATAATTTTTAAATTTAAAATCTTTGCAAAGTTATATATAAGTAACGTTACATGTATACAATACAAAACACGAATTTGTTCCTTGGCTTTCCTTCTCCTTCATCAGTTGTTTTCGTTGTGGGGCTTAAATAATTATTTCTTTTGCTTTTTTTTCAGTTGACAAAAAAAGTCTTTTTGTGATTCACGTAGTTTTGTAAGATCAAGCTTGGTTTGAAAGAAAATGTAATATTTATTTCGTTTTCTTCATATATTTCAAATATTCTATCATTCGTTTAAGGAGCAATGCCAAGTTCCGAGATGTTTTTTATTTTTCGTCGTCTTTATTCACACATTTTCTTCATTTTGTTCAACTTTTTATTTAGATTTTTACTTAATTCAACATTTTTATTCTAACAATTTATTTATTCTTGTGATCTCCGGTCGTGAAATACATTATCCTTGACTTATTCGCTTAATTTTTAGATATTCTTTGTTAATTGCTAAAAATTTGAGTCAATTGTAAATCATGTCTGCTGACGCTTCTCCATCTACCTCCAACGATCGCGAGATCTTCTTCGTACTCAGCGATGGCCGTGAAGTCAAGGTTCACAACTCACTTCACCATTTGTCCGGCTTTTTGAAGGATTTCTTGAAGACCATGGCCAATGATCCATCTTCTATCGTCAAGATTCCTACCAATGATGTTGGCTACGATGAGGTTGAGCTTCTGAACAACTTTGTCGCTTATTTGGATGAGAACTACAAGGACCAGGTCAGAAACGAGCAGGACCGCAAGGACTTCTGGATGGAATTCATTGTAAGTTGATTTTATTATTATTTGCAGACTTTTAGGTTCAGTCGACGTAAGAATAGTCAAACGCTCGCTTGACTACGTCTTTGATATGGTTTAAAAAGGAATGGTTTTTTTTGGAGATGTTAAAGATAGTTAAAAAGTCCGATCTTAGTATTATATTAATATCTATTTTTTCAGCCAACCCACAAGGAAAACCTTCGCAACTTGGCCAAGGACGTTGACAAGGACTTGTTGATTACTTCTGCCAATGCTGGCGACTACCTTATCATTCCAGCTTTTATCTCCTTCTGCACCTACTTCCTCTGCGAACGTGCTCAGAACTTGAAGTTGAAGGAGCTCCGCGAGTTCTTGAACGAGGAAGCTGACTTTGACGAGGAACAGCTTCGCATCATTCGTGAATGCCCCGAATTTGATAACCTGTAAATTATTATTATTGTTCTAACTGGTGTCATTGAATTTTTGAGAATAAACTGCTGCGATCGCTAAATTTACACCGTGTTTTTGTTTTTACCCATTGTTAATAGAGCAAGGTTGTCCTACTTTAAGTTATTTATGGTTTTTCGAATGGAGAAAAGAGATCTGGTTAAAATTGTTGTTGGAAAATAAGAAAAAGTAACGAATACGTGAATGCTTTTCTTTTACTTTGCTTTTTATTTCCTTTTTGACTAAAAATCTATCGTTTTTTTATACTTATCATTTTAAAAGAATAAGCAAACAATTCGAAAAACTTACAATCACGGTTATAGTTATCTATAATTCAGAAGGCATAAAGAAACGTTCTCTACGAGATTAGGAGTGTAATCTGTTTATGTGTTCTGCAAAGGGTTCTTTGCATCTTTCGACGACCTTCAGTGGTACCATATTTTTTATTTTCACTTTCTGTTCGGAATGGGCAGAGCGAAAAGAATGGCTTATCAGTTATCGAAAGATCATTAACCTTAAATTTGATTTAAAGTTTCTGGGGTTACATTTGCTGCCAGGGGCATTTTTTTGTTATATTGTTTTAGGAGCAGGTGAAATTGGTTTTCACATGTAAAGGTTGACGCGTTTTAATATTTTTTTGAATCATTCTTGTTTTTTTTAATAAAGAAGTTAATTTTAATATAGAATAACATCAATTTTGTATTCTCCTCGCGCACGTGGTAAATATTTTAAACCTTTTTTAAAGTTTTTTGTACTATACTCTTAGTTTTACTTTGATATTATAGTTTTTAAGGACAATGGGTTGTGATTGTCTAGTAAAATCCATTGGCTACGCTGCCGTCCTGTACTTTGTATCTCGAATTGCCACCCATCTGTGGGCCCTCCTTTACCCATATGTCATTGGAGGCAAACAAGATTTGAAGAAATTGGCTGGATCCAACACTGCTGGTAAGGTTTCGTATGATAGTTTAAGTTTAGCGATCTATATTTTCAATTTTGGTCATATAAATACAAATTAACATTACTTTGCCATGTAATTGTATGTTTAGTTGTCACCGGAGCTACTGATGGAATTGGCAAAGCATATGCTTTCGAGTTGGCCAGAAAAGGATTCGATCTTGTGCTGATCTCAAGAACGCAATCTAAATTGGACGAAACTGCCAAGGAAATCACGGAGAAGCACTCTGGAGTTAAGGTAGATACCATTTCGTTCGACTTCTCGAGTGGAGATGTCAAGAACTACGAGGAAACGCTGTTCAAGCAGTTGGAGCAATATGACATTGGAGTCTTGGGTAAGTGTGTTATTCAGAAAGTGTTTTTACGTTTAGTTTCTACTTTGAGAAAATTTTTAAAAACTATATTTATATAACAAAAATGCAAATAATTAGTTTTTTACAACGCATCTTTTAGTTAACAACGTTGGAATGTCTTACGAATACCCAGAACGTCTGCATGAGATTGATGGAGGTCTCGACCGTGTAGCCGGAATCACCATCATCAACACCCTTCCAGTAACCCTTCTCTCGGCTTTCGTTCTCAAGAAGATGGCTGTCAGAAAAAACGGTGTCGTCATCAACATCTCCTCATCTGCTGCCACCAAGACCATGGCCTACTGGGCCATCTACAGTGCCACCAAAAAATACGTCAACTGGCTGTCCGAGATCATGAGAAAGGAGTACGCTGACAAGGGCATCACCATTCAAACCATCTTGCCCATGATGGTGGCCACCAAGATGTCCAAAGTTCGCAAGAGCTCATTCTTTGTCCCTCAGGTAGGTTAATGTAATATATAGTTGCTGTAATAGTTTGAATGCGTCTATAGGTTCATTTCTAGCATACCATTGAGTTAACATGCATAAAATTTTCTAATTTTAGGCCCCAGCTTACGCCCGAGCTGCCCTCGGAACCGTTGGTTTGGTCGATGAAACCACAGGTTACTTGAGCCACCAGATCCAACACGATCTCTACTTCAATATCATCCCCGATTGGGTCTTCAACTACATGTCCAACCAGACCTCGCTAGCAACTCGTGCCCGTGCCTTGAAGAAAAAGCAACAAAAAGTAGAATAATTAAATTCTTGTTAATTTCTAATAAATATAAAGTATTATATTAATGAGTGATATTTTCTGTTCAGATCAAGATTTATGTGGGGTTGAGTTAGGCCTAACGTTAGGGTTGGCGGTGTGCTATAGAAAAAACCGAAAATAGATATGGGAAATGTCAAAAAGTTTGTTGGTGATAAAATTAGACCAATCGACCATCTTTTGTATTAAAATACAGTACATGCATTTTGTAAAGAATTTTAAAATTTTTTGTCGCGTATCCCGCAACGAAAACAAGTTTTGGCATTATATATTATTAAAGGATTTTTGCGAAATTATTACTGATTTTTTTAAAAATAAAATAATAAAATTGCCTATTTTTAAACGATAACTGTACTAAACTAATAGTATTTTTAGTAATTTTTAGTATTTTAGGATGCCTTCTCTTCAAGAACAGTTGAAGAGTTTAAAAACTCCGGTTTCCAAACAGTTGGGAGTTGAAAAGATAACAGATTCCTTATTGTTTGATCGAAAAGAGGCTGCTACCTTTACTTCAGAAGAGTATTTCAACTTGGGTACGTTTTAAAATTTGTCTTTATTTGTGTTTAGGCTTGTTGGGCTTGCAAAAGCTGCGTAAGTTGGATAGAACACTGGCTGATGCCGAGTTCGATCTGTTTCACCCAGCTAAAGTGTCGTTCAATAGGGCTGTGATAAGTGCTGAACAAAATGAAGAGCTGGACAAGAAGTTGAGGAGTTTGTTGGTGCACATTTGTCCGTATTTTCATCATCAGTCTTGTAGACAAGTACTGGAATGGCTGATCCACAAGTATCAGGTAATATTAGCTCTTTATGTCTGCTTTTTATTTTTACGATTTAAGAGCATTTTAGTGACATTTTTTTTATGATTGTATTTTTATTATCTTGATTTAGATTCAATTGTACAATGCTGATTTGATAGCCAACTTGTTCCTTCTATATCACTCGACCAACTCTTTCGGTCGATTGTTGTCGATTCTGAATCTGACGAAGAAAGAATGGTCTTTTTGTTCAGACTACGCTACAAAAGGCTTGCCAATTCCATTTGAAGTGCTTGTGAAGGGTTGTTTGAAGACGGGAGCTACATTTATATCTTCACTGTCAGCTACGTTAACAGAAGCTATTCAACTGGTCGGAGAAGATTATGTGGCTGATAAGATGCAAATGCATTTCACCTTCTTTGCTAGTCTTGTTGTTCATCTGTTTGCGGACCCTGCTCATATTACTGAAGAACTTATTTCAAGAGTCATACCTTTTGTAGGTATCGCTTTGAAGTCGAAAGTTTTGCCGTACAAGACAGCAGGTTACATCATTATTTGTGATTTGTGCATGAATACGACATTGGCAGAAGATGTGTTGCAAAATGTGTTGAAACTTTGTTTATCCGTAAGTGATTTTGTTGTGTAGAATTTTAGGTATTTAAACTATGAAATTTAAAATATATAGTGTTATATATATTAAAATATTTAGAGTTTATGGTGTTAATGGAGATTTAATTATAAAAAATAACGTTATAACTTTAGAAAGTGAAAGCAGAATGGTTTGAAATGACATTAAACACAACTTTTGTCATAACACAACATCAGAGGTTGAACACGTTACCTTTGAAAGCCACTTTGAACTTTTTGAAGAGATCAGAAGCTGATGAAGATATTAATCTACAAGAGTTTTTAGCTACAGCTACTAGGAAGTTGGACATTAGTGCGTTTATTGTGGCCTTTACAAAGACTATAACAGCTTTCTTGGCTCAAGGAGGTAAGACATGATATGTTTTTGGTAGTAAACTGGTTTTTATTTTGTAATCAAGTTATAAATTGTTTATTTGGGTAAGACATAATATAATATGACAAATGTATTTTTGGTTATGAATAACTGTGTATTGGAAAAAAGTAATGGCTATATTGTTTAGAAGCAGATACTGAAACGGAAGAACTTGTGCTGACATACCTTGAACTTTTGTTGGATTTGGAGAACATGAGTTCAGCTACAGCTCAAGGATTCTTGGAAGCTATTTTGGAGAACTTTTCAACTAAAGAAGGTGTTGCTATTCCAAGCAGGTTGTGTCCTATCGTCAAGAATGTTGTTATTAGGTAGGTAAACATGTATTTTGTTCTAGAAGACACGCTTTTTTTGGTCGAGAATACACGCCTAGATTAACTTTACAATAATTAAATTGATTAAGGATGATTAACGTAACTTGTTGTAGATTTTCAACAATATTTGATCAGTTCCGAGCTCAGAACCATCTAACAGACGGCCAAATGCTTGGAAGATTGATGGAACAATGTAAAATTGCTGAACATGAAGTAGGAGTGCTCGATTTTACTGAGAACAAAAAGAAGCGAAGAAGGCGAACATCGAGTATGAGAGTGTTAGAAGAAGACCCAACTTTGTCTGTAGCACAAGGTTCTGCGCCTAAAATCAGCGTAAGTTTTAGACTAGTGCAATATGCAAGGTCACATTTAAAATTTTGGTACAATTTGTTTATAACTTGCAGTTCACTTACAGTTTTTAGGTATGAAAGTGGATTTTTTACTGAAGGGTCTAATTTCTTTGCTTAATGTTTGTTATTGTGAATATTTCAGAAGAAAGATCAACTCGATGCCTTACAAAGTGGAAACGAGATCAAGAAGATGTTCAAAAGACCAGTATCGGATATTGCGGATATGTTAAATGCTGACGATATTGATGTGAAAGAAGTGGAATGGGCTTTATTATCTTTAAATGATGACAATTACTTGTCCAGACAAACTTCTAAGGAGTTGAATGGTTTCTGGGGAAATGTTGTTGTATTCATTTCGAAAAACCCGAAATCAGAACTACGAAAGGCTTTGAAACTGGCATTGGTTAAGGTTGGTATATATATTTTTTGTTTCTCGTTAACATTTTTTTAAATTTGTTTTGAATACAACACGGAAAATTAGTTTTTAAATATTTTATTAACTACTACAATATAGAAACTGTTTTTTTAACTCTTAAAATTTAGGTGAATATTGCGGACAAGTACATAGTGTCGTTAATGTCAAGACATCAAATTGCAGCTAAGAAGCCAAAATTGGAAAATAATAATGGAATTGAAGAGACTTTGGCAAAAGAAAGTGATCAGGAGTTTGGCGATCGAATCTTGTTTGTTCTTGAAGCTTTATTGGCTTCGATCGTTGTGACGCCTTCTAAAGCTGTCATTCATAGGATATTCAAGCTCATTGAAATGTAAGCGCTTATATTTATGACATTAACTTGTTTTAACAATTTTTATTTTTTAGGTATTATTTGCAGAAAACATAGTTTTTTAAATATAATATAATGGATGACTGATTTTTCAATTAGAAAGTAATATTTATCGGTTTTATAAATATTATATCATTTCTTTACTTTTAGATCTCAAGTCACTGATAAGGTCATAGAACCCTTGAAGAACCCTGTACAAGTACAACAGATTTGCTTTGCCTACTTGGTGAAATCTCTTCGAAGTTCAGAAGTTCTTCAAACCATCGAAACTGAATGTCAAGCTGAAGTCTTGATCAACATTATCAGATTTGGTCATGATGTTAACATATTGAGGAACGCTTTGAAGGTTCTTACGGCTGTAGCACCCAGAATGCCAACTAAACTGACAGCGCAAGTAATGTCACTCTTTGCTTTTATGGGCGAAGGACTTTTGAAGAAGGACAACGAAATGACATTGGCTGTAGTCGAGGAATCTTTGTCATCTTTGATCACAGCTGTCTTACAATCATTCCAAAAAGGGTCTATTGAACTGAAACGACAACTACTGGCCATCAGCAGAATATTCGCCAAATCTCTTCACGATATTCCAATCCATCGTCGACTGAAGGTGGTGAAGGTAATTGGAAGTTGTGTGGAACCTGAAGATTTGTGGATTGTTTTCGCTTCAATCTACGAAGACTTTTGTTTGAATTGGGTAAAAGGAACGGCCAGAGATTGGGAGGAGGAACTGGACTACCTCTCTTTGGACTTGTTGGGATCTTTGGCTCCAGAACATCAGATCCAAGCGTGCATTGACCTGGTGAGGTATATTGTTGGTTTGAGCGGAGATGAGGGCAAAGGAAAGAAGTACGACGCTTTTGAACTGAAGATATTTGATGGAGGTAATCAGCCATTGAAGAAGTTGCGACATTACCGGTATATTGTGATTGGTTTTGTTGTGAAGGGCGTTAGTCAACCAGTGCTGTTTGAAGAGGTAGTTTCTTATGTCTATGTTATTATTACTTCTTTTTGAATTTATAGGTCAAATTAAAGTTTAATATTATTCTAATCTTTTTTGTCAAACTTTTATTGAACTTAGTTTTTTAAATTTACAACCAATTTTAGTTGGCCAACTTGTCAGACGAAGAAATTTACGAAAGAACAGCAAGTGTTGGTGTCAAAATGCTGGAGACCATCTCGGCTTTGGATGACTTTGTCCTAAAGGAACTGACAACAGCAGAAAAGAAGGAACAACAAGCCAGAGGCAAAGCTGATGCACCTGGAGCTATTCAAACCCTAAAATACTGGATTGCGTTATCAGCGAGAGCCGAAGTAATAGCGGACAAGATGAGATGCATGTTACCGGCTAATGTCAGCGGCCACATTATTTGTGATCTTTTGGATAACAAGTCCACCACTTCTAAAATGAGAGATCGTGCTTTGCAGCTTCTGAATGTTAAGTTATTGAGTGAAACAAGCAAAGATGGCGAGAAATCAGAACAGTTTGATACCTATTTGGTCAAGTTCGCCAAGCTGTTAAGTCAGTGGATTAAGGTGGCGAAGAAGGTGGAGGATGTAAGTTGTTGTAATACAAATATGTTGTAGTAGTACTAATGACCTGTTTATCTTTTTACGAATTGTATTTCAGGATTTTTATATTGTTTGTAATCATGTTTTAGGTTGCATTGTGCCAAAAAGCGGCGTTTTCTTTGAAATTACTGGCCAAAAGAGTTGTCTCAACAGAGTGCCAACCGACTTTTGTTGAAGCATTGAGGAAGTGCTGTGAAATTGTAAGTATTTAAAAGTGTTATTTCAAGGTTTTACAATTTAAACGTAATATTGGCCTTGGAATAGGGGTTTTTTAAAGTTTGGCAGTTTTAATAATTTAAAAATATGTCAATTTAGTTAACCAAATGGAAAGATCAAGACGAAGCCATGCTTGGCAATATTCTCTTATTAGTAGCCGAGATTGTAAGATCCAGACTTGTGTCATCTGCAATCCGAGAGAATTGTGACATTATCTCTCAAACTTGCTTGAACATCTTGAAGAAGTGTACTGCCAATTCAGAACAACCTAAAACAAGTGAAGACACTTCGGCCGTAGCCAGAAGATTCAGACATCGTGCTCATTCTATGAGTGGAAGGCAGTTCGGAGACGATGTTGTCTTTGTCTGTGCTTTGACCTTGATGTTGAGGTTGCTGGATTATGAACATGAAGTAGGTCGTGAAAGCTAGTGTTTTGGAATTGAAACTTTTAATGTTTTTTTCTTTAAAGTACAATCTAATAGGTCTTACAGCTGTAACTTACTAATAATGTTATTGTAGAGTTCACAATCGTACCACGAAGACTTCTTGATCAAAGTATCCGAACTGACTACTCGTTATATTCCAGTAGCTGAAAGCTTGAAAGAAGAAAACGAAGAAGATAAGAAGTCGGAAACAGCTTCACAAAAGACATCTCCAGTCAGACATCGACTACAACAACTTAACACGTCATTTGCTAACGTTTCATTAGAAAGACTTCAGGAGTGCTTAAGTGGAGCTGTCAAAAAGGTTCATGACAATGTGGTAAGTGTAATATCGCATTAAAATTGTTTTAAAAATTTGATTTTTTGGCTTCTTTTTGTGTGATTTTGACATGTGTTATTTGTTCTTAATAATGTTAAGTTAAATTAAAATTTATTTCAGGAATGTTTGGCAATCCTGGGACTTTTGTTGGAAGATGCTGTGAAGAAGAACGAAGAAAACGAAAAGATTGGCAGTCTTTCTGTCGAATTCTTGCCGACAGTTATTGACCTACTTGAGGTCAGAAAGAACACTAAACATACGGATGTAAGTGTTTTACAATATTATTTTAGGGAATTTAAGATTAACTTAAAATATTTTGAAAAACTCTTATTTCGGAGAAAATAATGATTATTTAAAGGGCTCTCTTTTTACATTATATTTTAGGCATTTTTGTTTTGGACTTTTATTTGCTCAATTTACCTAAAACATTCTTTATGACTATATATTATCTATGTTTTTACAGGAAAACCTAGAATCCTTAAAATTGGCCGAAACCGCAGCGGCTAGAGCCTTTATTTCATTGACCGAAAACTTGAGTGAATCAGAATTGACTCCGATCTTTGGCGAATTTGCTGATTGGGTGGATCAAGCATTGGAAAGTGATGATGAGAATATTAAGTACAGAGTGTCTACAGTCTACTTCTTGGCCAACAAGTTCTACGACTACTACAACACGTTGGCTCTGCCATACTTTAACCGATTGTTCTCGTATGTTCCAAAGTTGATGAAGCGGTTGAATGTGGCTACAAGTAAGGTTTTGGTTTTAATTATTTTGAGAGATTTATTTTAAAATAGTAACTTCATATTTTATTTAGTTATATTGTGTTATATTCGAAAAAGGGATAAGATTCAAAATTTTAGTTTTTTGTTGTTTTACGATCAGTTGTGAGGAATTGAACGTAATGTTGTATGATTTTAGCTGATTCTGATGAATTGTTTATTGACGGAAGCTCAAAAGGGTCCGTTGAAGGAATTATGGCCCACGACTTGATCATCCGACTTGTTCAGTTTGTAACAAAATGTGCCAAACACAGGGTATTTATTGGAGAGTAAGTCGAACTTGAACTGGCTTTCAAGATTTAATTTTTATTCCAATGTTTTATTAAAAAGGCTTACATAAATATAAAGCATTCATGTGCTGAAAAATGTAATTGTCAGTGTTTAACCAAGAGATAATCATAATTTTTTAGAGATAGAGCCGAAGTAATTCACGAATGTATTCTGGATGAGCTAGAGAATCGTAAAGTCAGAGGCCACGAACAAAGATGTCTCACCTATCTTATTGATTGTATCTACTACATCAGTGAGTCGGCTCCAGATCTCTTTGCTTCTTCGATTTGTCCAAAACTTTTGGAGAAGCTGAGACACAGTAATGCCAGAGTACGTCAACGTTCATTGGTGGTATTTGACCGTGTAGCCAACAGAGCTGGCGATGCTATGGCTCCACTGTTGCCGATTGTGGTCCAATCGCTGACGGAAGTCTTGGAAGGCAGGGTTTTTAACTTGTTTGGTACTGGATAACTTTAATGAGTATGAGGGGTTTTAAAATGAGATATGAGTGAAAGAAATATGTAATTGGCGAAGAAATTGTTAACACAATGAGTTATATTACATTGATATAAGCACGATACTTATTTGTATGATCACATACTTTATTGTAAAATATGTTGAAGAAAGCTCCTGTTATGGCTTACTTATCACATTGTTTTCAGATTCCGACCAGAAAGTAGCCGACCAATGTGACCGTACCATTAGAATGCTGAAGAGTGTATTTGGAGAGGAAATACTTCAGAATTAATTAATTTCTTGTTGATTTTGTTGTTTATTGTTATTGTTTATCGTTGATTTGTCAATAAAATACGATTTTTAAGTTTTTGAAGACTTCAAAGTTGTTACGCAATCAATTTGTATATTTAGCCTATTTTTAGAATTATCGATGTCAATTTCTTATTGATTTTAATAGATGGGCTAGTTAAAACCTAGCTTTATCTTTTAAAGTTTACGATATTATATTATCAGCTAGCGTATTTTACGTTTTAGTAATGTCGAATCGGTTTGTAAGACCGAGTTACGATGAAGAAGATCAGGACCTGGCTTTAGAACAAAGAAGCGGCGCAAACGAAGATTTTGTGTTTCAGAATCCGTCACTGGCACTATCGATTAGTCAAACACGGAAAAGGTTACCGATTGCAAAGTACGAAAGACAGATACTCTATCTATGTGAAAGGTTTCGAACGGTCATTATTGTTGGCGAGACCGGGTCTGGGAAGAGCACACAGGTTCCGCAGGTAGGTGTATGGTTATTTATACGATAGCTGTAGAAGAATGTTGTTGATGGGGTATAACTTTTTGCTTTAATTTTGGAATATTATATTTTATGTTAGTTGAAAATTTTATTTTTTTATATTAATGATGAAAAGTTATGTTGTTTTAGTTTCTAGCGGATAATGGATGGGCTCAAAATGGACAACAAATAGCTATCACACAGCCACGAAGAGTAGCTGCTGTTACTGTAAGTAAATATTTACACAATACATTATATTATACCAGCTAACGTTACTTATACGAATTCATAAATAACGTTACTCCTAAAAATTATTCGCAATTTATATAGCAATCACGTTTTCAGCTAGCCGCCCGCGTAGCCACTGAAATGCGATGCCCTTTAGGCGACAAAGTTGGTTATGTTCTTCGCTTTAACCAAGTAATGTCGGAGAACACTCAAATCAAGTATATGACTGATGGCATCTTACTCCGAGAGTTTCAATCAGATCCACTACTTACTAAATACAGTATTGTGATTGTTGATGAAAGTCATGAACGTACGGCTACGACCGACTTGTTATTGGGACTGTTAAAACGGGTTTTGAATGTTAGACTTGATCTGAAGTTGGTTGTTATGTCGGCTACTATGGATGCTGAGGTGAGTTCTGTTTTCACAGAGAAGAGGGTGGGTTTTAAACACGGGGAAAATTTTATTTGGGAGTAGTAGTTTATTATTATTATTTATGTTATTTTAGGTGTTTAAAGACTTCTTTGAAACTAATGATTCTTCTGATAAGTCACTGGATACTGCTCAAATCATATCAGTCGAAGGACGAATGTATCCAGTCAGTATATTCTACTCTAAAGTGTAAGTGAAAATAACAAAATAGGGTGTGCATAAGAAGTTGGGCGTGTTTTCTAAGTTGATAATGAGTTCTATCTGTTCTCAGAGTTAGTTTTAAGAATTTAAATATTATTTTTATAACTAATGTTTAGGCCATGTCCAGACTACGTGAAAGCAGCGGTAGATGCGGCTATATTCATTCACAAAACAGAGAAACACGGTGATATCCTGATCTTTTTAACAGGTCAAGACGAAGTTGAAACGGCGCTCAGAATGATTATCGACGCTAGCAAGAGTTTAAAACAATATGGCAATGTCAGAGTGTTTCCATTGTATTCAGGATTGTCACAGAAGCAACAGGTAAATGTGCTTTGATATTGTTTATAATAAGCTTTTATTATAGTAAAGGAAAGAAACCTAGCTTATGTTTTACTTTTAAACATTGTCTAAAAATTTTTTTTTGGGGGGGGGGTGGAGACCAAAAAAAGTTTTTCTTTTTGTCCACAGGTTTTTCAAAAATTTTTTTCGATTTTACGCGTACAGGTACCTACCTGTGGAATTTTTTTCGGATCGGCTCTGGGGGTGGATCCACCCCCTCCACCTCCCCCCTAGCCCTAGCGACGCCCCTGTCTACAATCTTTTCTTGATTTTTCGAAAATTTTCTTTGAAACGTAGGTCAATCTTTTTTATACAACTTAATATTTTAGTTAGCAGCCTTTGATTCAGCGGCTTACGGAACGAGAAAGATTATTGTATCTACAAATGTGGCTGAAACTTCTGTCACTATATCAGGCGTCTGTTACGGTAAGGCTCGGAAGCATAAATTGCGATTTTTTACTGAAAATATGAGACTATACATCTCTTTTGGCCAAAAGAATTCTTGTTTTTCTTAAGAATTATTTTAAACGTTAAAAAAGGCTTTAGACTCTAGCTTCAAACACTACAGGCTAATCCCTGCTATTTCAGTAATCGACTGTGGCTTCATGAAACTCCGCGTCTACAATACAGACAACGGTGTGGAGACGCTACAGACCGTGAAGACCTCAAAGTCTTCGGCCAAACAGCGAGCCGGTCGTGCAGGTCGAATTCATCCTGGAAAGTGCTACAGATTGTACCCGGAAGAAGAGTACCAAAAACTGTTACCGTCTCAAGTGCCGGAGTTGCAACGCACTGATCTCAGTCAAGTCATATTGACTTTAAAGTCGCTGGGGATCAACAACTTTTTGAAATTTCAATTTCCTTCGGTAAGTTTTGGAAAAAAGCCTTTTGTATCTGATAGGTCAATTTTAAAATGTTTTTTTTTAAATTTAAATTTGAATTACTTTCAGAGACCTCCATCACAACTAGTCATTCAAGCTCTCAACTCTCTGTTTGCTCTAGGCGCTATAGATGAAGATGGTATGCTGACAAAGCCATTAGGACACACAATGTCAACTTTTCCGTTACCACCAATGCACGTCAAGGTGCTAGTGTCGGCTGCGACATACGAATGTAGCGAAGAAATGGCAGCGGTTTTGGCTATGATGCAGATTCAGAACGTGTTCATACCTGGGGATAACAGACATATGGCTGAGGTTACGAAGAGAAAGTTTGCGGTAGAAGAAGGAGACCATCTCACTAATCTTAACGTCTATACCAACTTTGTGGAGGTAAGGGTTGATAGGACACTTTTTGGGGTAGGGTGCATCGGTTGAGGCGGTTTTCATCGGTTGTTAAAGGAATGACATTAATATAGTCAGGAGGGTTGTTACTGATCTTATCTTTGGGGGAAACGTCGAAAAGGTTTTTTTATTCCGCTACAATATATTACTATATATATCTACTATAATATATCACGAAATTAAAAAAAAAATTTTCAGAACGGAAAATCCTCGAAATGGTGCCGAGACCACTACGTTAACTACAAAGGTCTCTGTTCAGCTCACAATATCTGTGAACAGCTCAAAAGATACCTCAGAAAGTTTGATATTCCTCTAAAAAGCTGCAAAGGATTAATCGGAGAGACGGCCAGGATACGACGATGTTTACTAACAGGTTTCTTTTCACAATGTGCAAGATACGATCACACTGGACAGTATGTAACGTTGAGGGACTCGATACCATTCAAGGTGTACAAGGGGTCTACCGTAATGTACAGGAAAGACTATCCCAAGTACGTTGTGTTCACTGACGTACTTCAGAATTCGATCAGAGATCTGAGTGTGATTGAGCTGGAATGGCTGAGGGAAATCGCTGGACATTACTACGACTTTGGACATGTAAGTATTCGAGCGTTTAAATAATACTGGGTTCTTTAATTCCGAAAGTTTTATCTGATGGGGCACAGAACTATTTGAAAAACCTGATATTTTATTTTGGAATAAAATTGAAACGAAATACTCAAGTTTTAAAATCTATTTGATAATAATACAAGTCATTAATCTTTTTGATGTTATCACGTATTTTAGGATCCCAAAAACAATATGGAAGAGAACTACGAAGCTGATCAGATGGGTAACTTGAATTGAGATCTCTGATGTACATATGAAGTAAATAATTATGTTTAATGTTGTTATGAATAAATTATTACATTGTTTTTGAAATATTTAATTTTTATGGTTGAATGACCTAAGATACCGTAAGAATTCTACTGTAAAGTATTGTATAAAATTTATTCCAATTTTAAATATAAAATGTTTTTAAAAATAGATTTTTTACTTTAAACATTATATTTTACTATCATTTTTATGCAGTAACAAATTGGCTATGTTATACTGTATTTTTTATCCTAAACCTACCGTACTCTTGTATCCTAGAGTTTTACTGCGATAAAGATTAATAATGCCATCAATGTTACTGTTACAGAATGTCAAAAAAAGACCAACCAAAAGTCGACACAGGAGCGTTCGGCCAACTGTTAGCTTTGGCCACAACAGCTCAAGGAGATCGCGAAACCGACCAGTCGATTCCGCCAATGAGTGAAGACAACAGGAAATGGCTGGAACAAGCAATGACAGACTTTACCAAAGACTCGGATCCGATTAAGAAGCTAAAGTGCAGAATCGCCAACCTCAAGGATGTTGACGTGAGCAAAGGGGATTCAGAAGTCAAAGAAGAATTGGTTGTAGCTGTTGATAACCTTATCAATCTAGTGTGTGATATCGATTTGGCTTTGGATTTCTGCAAATTGGACGGGTTGAATGTTGTCATGGATATATTAGTAAGTTTGGTCGGTATTTATTGAGTTTTAATGGCACAGATACTGTATCGTAAACTAAGCTTTACTGTAGAAATAATTCTGTGGTTCCTAACCCCGAGAAATTCTTTTGAGTGGGGCACAGAATTATTTGAACAAACTAATAATTGCAGAATTAGATTTTGGAAAAATTTTTAAAACTCCTTTGATTTTCTAAGATATAAAGGTAATTTTAGAGCAAAGAAAACGATGTAGCCAATATTTCCGTGTTGCCATTGATATCAGAAATTGCACAGAATAATCCACCAGTACAGAAGGAACTTTTGAAACAAAATTTTATAGAATACTGTATAAAGTATCTTGATAAAACAAGCAATAATGTAAGTATCTATGATTTTTCAATAGAAAAAAAGTTATTTTACCATGTTTTTGTTATAAACGATAAATGATCACCTTTGATAACAGTTGTTTCAGGTATAAACTTCACGTTAATGTTAATAAAATTTGTTTTTTCATGTAATAAAGCTAAATGAGCATTGTAAAGTGAATATTCTTTTTTTATTTTGGTCTTCGTTAACGACTTTTTTTTAGGTCGCAAAATTGAAAGCAATATCAGCGTTATCAGCAATGGTAAAAGCCTTCCCACCAGCTGTAATGTAAGTACATATAGATTGAGTTTATTGTAATTTTATAAGAGGAAATTATGTTTTTGCTATCTTGTATAAAAGATATATCATTATGTTTATCACTGTAATTCTAAAACTCGAATCTTCAGTAAGTTCGTGAAGTCAGACGGCCACACCAAAGTCCTGGAAACGTTCGAAGCGGCGTGGAATGCGGGTGACGACCGCCTGATCCATCGTTGTGTCATCACTCTCGCGAACATTGGTCGGTCTGCAGCTCCCGAGCTCATCCAGCGTCTCCATATTCAGCCGGACCAGTTTCTGCGCTTAATTTACGACCGCTTAAACGAAGACCCTCAACGTTACGCTGAATCCATCGCCTATCTCCAGGAGAATCCACTTCCCGCCAACTGACCTTCACTTACTTGTCCTATCATGTTCATCCCATTGTTATTGTTACTTTTGTATGTTTCCAATGGTATCGCCTATCGGGATGGCAATACCAAGTTTAAACTTTGTTGTTCGAAACAGTTGAGTGCTGATAAACAATGTAAACAACGGTTTTGTGACTTCAACTCTCTCGCTGCTGATAATGTAAGATTTTATGAGCTTGTGGTCGAAAAATACGATAATGTGAGAGAGAGTATGCGGGAATGCTAGATGATCGAATATTACCTAGAAAAATTATATTTTTATATCGAAAACAATATTATATAATAGTAGTTTTTGGTTTAGATTCTGTTTTTCTTGAATTCATGCACACCTAAAGGATCCACCGTACCTGACATGTGGGCATGTGCAACTTCCAAAGAAGACCATACTGAATGTTGTAAGAAAAAGTAAGTAGTCATTACCCTATATTAGCTTGTTCAAATAATCCTGTGACTACTAACCCCGAAAATTTGTATTGAGAGGGAGCACAGAATTATTTGAAGACCCTAATAAATTAACTTTATTTTTGACAGAAACGTGTTCAAAGAATGTCTGCCTTACTGCAACTACAACACCACTCCCAACGACTACCTCAAACACATCTTCTGTCTTCAGAACTTCAATCCCATCAAGGACTGCTTCAGATCTCATCTTAACTTCCACCCCAATATCCATGGTGATGAATGATAAAAATAGCAGTTTAAAAATTTCGTAATAAATCAAAAACTTACTAATTTTAATTTTATATTTCTACTAATCCATTAGTTATGATACTACAAAAAAACCACTTCTAATTTGAGGCATTTCGTCACAAAATTTATCGGCTTCTGTGACACTTCGTCGAATATTAATTTAGCGTCGAAAATAATTCTAGAAATCTTTCTTTGAGTTCGAAGCGGGATTTGGCCAGTAAATTACGGTTTTCAAGTTATTTTCCTAAACACATTGTCTTAAATATTAACTATGAAAGCAGCATATCTGCCGGAATGCTGGAGCGACGACGAAGAAATGCGAGGTTTGATGTCGGCGTTGAAGAAACGCGATGTAAACCCGGTAAACTTTGACCGAACGATTGAATTCTGGAGACGTTTGATAGCGGATTATTGTAGGGTAGAAAAGAAGTGCGTTGTACACTACGAAGAGTTGAGGTACAAGTTCAGAAGAGGCAATCAACTACCTGCTCCTTTGTTGACAGTTTTTGAAGAGCTTCACAAGTAAGTTTGAGCTTTTTATGTTGATTTTTTTTTATTTTAGGCTTTGTACTTTTTAGAAAGGAGATATAATACATCTTTATTTTTAATGTTATTTTTTTTTAGAAAACAAGTATTTGTTCCTGTGGACGAATTATCTTCACCAAGGCAAGGCTGGCTTGGATGGGGATCGTCTTTGATGGCCAAGAGTTCGTGGCTGATGGGAGTGAGTGTTGATTTCTCAAAGACGAAACTGGTACACATGCCTACAGTTAAAGTAAGTTAATTTTTTGGCTTTTTGAGGTTTACGTTTAGACTTTATATTGTCCACGAATTCTTGTGCATTATCTGCCAAACCAAGTTAAGCGTTTTACTTTTTTAATCTTTGTAGCTACTAGTTCCTAATTTAGGTGTTTTATAGATTTTTTTGTCAAATTTCTCATTTTTAAAGTATATATTTACATATTGTTTTAGGCATTAGCAAAGAAAATGTTGGGATATTACAAAGAACAATACGAAATGGTGGACTGTGCTGAGGTCGTTGGGTATGAAGAGTTTAAAGCTCGTTGTGAGAATATTGTAGATGGGGAGTCGTTTGATTTGGTATTGGACGAGCTGATGAGACAAGGAGAAGTCAGTGAAGGGCGATCACAAGATGGAGACAGAATTCTCAAGTTTAAGGTATGAAAACATTTTATTTTGAAAAAATGAGAAGAAACGGTGACCTATTGTTATATGTTGTTAAAAACCGCATTTTGTTTGATATTTTGATCTTAAAGGCCATTGTTGTGTTATACTGAATGTGTTTTAACATTTTTTAAAAGTCTGCTAAGTTTTATTATTCTAACTATTTGTAGGACCAAGGATCTCAAGGCCCGGCCAAATTCACTGAAGCCGATGCTTCAGTTCACAATCTGAGAAGAACAATGACTCGATTAAACACAGAGATCAAGAGGATTGAACACAAAGTCAAGACATTTACGAACGAAGCAAAGGAACTGCTGAAGAATGGCGACAAAACTGGAGCTTTGATTGCCATGAAAAAGAAGAAGCGAGCCGAGAAGGATCTCCTTGATAAGGATAATCAATGTCAACGACTTCTCCAGATGATGGAACAGTTAACGGCTACGAAGCAGACTAGAGAGATTATGGATGTTTACAAGATGGGTTCTGATGCCTACAAGAGTGCTTTGAGAAGACAAGGGCTTTCTATGGATAAGGTGGGTTATTTTTAAAACTTCGTTGGTAAAATGGGTTTAGTAAAATATATGTGATAACGGATGATTTTACACTTCATATAAATCCCATAAGCAATTAAGAAGTAGCTTAAACGGTTTTTTACATTGATGTTGTAGATTGACGAGACCATGGACAGTATTCACGAGGCCATTCATGAAGCCAACGACATTGATGATGCTCTTCGTGAAGGCATCAAGAACATGCCAAGTCCTTCGAATGTCATCGATGAAGCATCTCTGGAGGAGGAGCTGAACGAACTAATGAGAGAAGAAGAAGCTCCAGCTCTACCATCAATGCCAGAAGTACCAATTCATGCTCCAGAAAAGGACGAATTAACAGCCCGACTAAAACGCCTCAGGGAAGGAATGCCAGCTGTTTGAGTAATCATTAGTTACAAGGTCAGGAAATGATTGTAAAAACGGATTAACAGTTTGCAAATTGAGTATTATATTGGTTTATTTTGAGTTTTGAGGAAGGTTTGCAGTTGAGAATTCAAAGTTATGAGTGTTTTAGACATCAAAGTATAATAAATTATGGTCGTACTTAACATATGTCATCTTTGGCGTTGTATTTTGTCTTGTTTAATGTATATAAACATGCGTATTTACTGTTGATGGATGAAAATGGTTACACAGTTCGGGTTAGTGACTTTTCGGGGAATGCAGTTTCGGGGAAGACTTTTCGGGGAAAGACTTTTCGGGGAATGGACCTTTCGGGGAATGTACCCTACGGGGAATGAACTTTTTGGGGTTAAACCCTGACTGAATCACATGTGCCTTTATTAAGTATTGTTAACGTTGACATCGTATCATGAACGTTCTTGTGACACTTTTTTGTAAACTTTTTAAACGTAGGTAGACATGAGAAACGGGCCGGGCCGGCCTTCAGCAAAATTTAGATCGGGCCGGGCCTAAAAATTAGGCCCGGCCCGCGGGTCGGGCCTTGGATAGTCGGGCCGGAAAAAAAATTTCTAAATTTTTTAAAATTTTTTATTTCAATCCCCGTTTATGTTTTTAGATTTTATTGGGTTCTATGATCCATAAATGATCTAAAAAAAACAATTTAAAGCCAATTTTCCGTTTAGTTTTTAAGTTTCAAAATTTTTAAAATTTTTTAAAACGGGCCGGGCCGGGCCTAGAAATTTTCTGATCGGGCCGGGCCGGGCCTGACCAAAATCAAAAACGGGCCCGGCCCGTTTCTCATGTCTAAACGTAGGATGTAAATGTAAGGTCGCATGCTAGGTTGAGTACTGTGAAAATTTTACCGTGCCGTGAACGTTCAAATGTTGCTGTTTTTTAAGTACTATTATAATTTACTATCAGATGTTTTTGAGAACCAAAAAAAGCAGTAACATTAGAACGTTCACGGCAGGGTACGATAACTTTCACAGTACTCTAACAAGCATGCGACGTAACATTAAAAGCATAAAAAAAGTGTCAAAGGAACGCTCACGGTACGATGTCAAAAAAAAAGTGAAACTTTAGAAAAACTATTTGTTCATTTGAATATATATATAAACTTCCGTATAAAGTATAAATTTTAACCTCTAAAAAAAGTACCTTGAGGGGATATGATAAAAGTTGAAAATTTTTAAATTGGCCCGAAAGTTCCCTACCTATCCATTTTTATAAACTTTATAACATATTTTTAAATTTAAAAAATCATTATTTCCCGAAGGGTACATTCCCCCGAAGGGTACATTCCCCCGAAAATGCATTCCCCGAAGAGTCCACCCCCCGAAAAATCCATTCCCCGAAAAGTCTTCCCCGAAAATGCATTCCCCGAAACTGCATTCCCCGAAAAGTCCCGCTCCGACACGAACTTGGTTTATCGGGGCGGTAATGATTGTTAAAGTTGTAGGAAAGAAGTTATATAATGATGGGTTTTGTCCTGTATATTTTTTAAAAACCACATATACTTGGTTAAACTCTATAACTAGAAGTATTGGTCCAGTAAAAGAAATTGGAAAAGAACGTCTTCAAACTTTTCGCAGCGTAATAGCTCTCGATATTCAATTACTTGAATAACATGTTTATCCTAACGTGTATCGAGAAGCAGCCATTCCTACTTCTTTGGTACTGCTTTAATCTACAGAATGTAAGACCTAGCTAGCTAGTAACTAGTTTTAAATATTTTGTTTTTATGTTAATATTAACATAAGAACGACAAGGTAAAACTTGAATTTCAATTAATCTAATATCAACTTTTAAAAAACTATTTAAAAATGAAAATTTTTACGACAATATACCTATATTTACTGTGTATCCTATTAGTATTATCTGATAAACGCAAAATTGGAGTTTTGGTTATAGTAGATGATGATCACAATACTCAATTGCTCAGTGAACGAGTTAAGGTAAGTTAATTGAAAATGGTTTGAAGTTTTTCGAGTTATAAACATACTATACAAATATTGTTTTGTATTGAAAGGAAGTGTTTTAGTCCACGATAAACGATGAAGTACGAGAGATGGAAATGAACGCCCAAATCTTTGAATGGAAGGTCCAACAGGATGGAAAAGATAGGTAAAATTGGCTTTTTGAATCGGATTTGTTACCTAATTTGAAATAAATTTTATAGTCTTTCTTTTCAAAAAGTTTAAACACCGTAACCCTTATCTAAGTTTAAATAAACCTTGTTTTAGTGACATTAACCGCCTGTTTGTAACGAAAGAACTGGTATGCCGCGACCTTCTCAACAGCTCAATGGCCGTTCTGATGGTCCAATGCACTCAGACAGAAAACAACGCAGCTTTGGCAGTATTCTCCGCAGTCAGCTATGCCTTAGGCTTCTATAAAGTACCAGTTCTGGGTGTTATGATCAAGGATGCACAATTCTCGCAGAAAAACGTTCATTCAACGTTCCTAAGAACGTCGCCTCCGTTTAGCAATGAAGCCTTTGTTTTTGTGCACCTATTAAATGCTTTGAAGTATCGTCAAGTCGTGCTGATAACAATTGCTGGAGATGTGAATGGTCAGGAGTTTCTACAGGTCTTCGATGATCTGACTTTTCCGAATAAAATACAGGTAAGCATGTTTAATATAATGAAATTGTTAATAAGACACATGAACAAATGAATTTTGAAGGAAATACTCGTTTTAAAGCTTAAAATTCATTTTTAAAAATTTTAAAAAAGGAATAATTTACTGAAAATTTTTTTTAATTCATCGTATAACATGTCTTCATTAGCTCGCGCACGCTTTGTTTTAGCAAAATAACTTCGTTTTTCGGCTAAATATTGATAAATGTTGTTTAGGTACAAAAACACATTGAACTGGACATAAACTGGACATAGGAATAATTTACTGAAAATTTTTTTAAATTCATCGTATAACATGTCTTCATTAGCTCGCGCACGCTTTGTTTTAGCAAAATTACTTCGTTTTTCGGCTAAATATTGATAAATGTTGTTTAGGTACAAAAACACATTGAACTGGACATAAACGACTTCAATGTGACCGAATCTTTGAAAGGAACAACCTCCAATACTATAATATTATATGCCAAGACCTCAAAGGCCTACAGAATCTTCGAACGCGCATCAGAATTGTTTGTGCGCGGCCGAGTTTGGTTTGTGAACGAAGCCGGATTCAAAGCCTACAACGTTCCAGTCGGTGTATTGTCTGTAAGATTGCGACAAACAACCTTAAGTTCGTTGAGAGATGCGTTGGCCGTGCTGAAGGAAGGACTGACAGTGTTTGATGGGGTGGAGGATGTACAACCACCTCCACAATGTCAGATTCGGAAGAACAACGACTGGATCAATTTTATGGGACAACAGTTTTACGACAAGATGATTGCTTCGAAAGTGGAGAGTGACTACTACAATATTATGTTTGATGAGAATGGTGATCGGACTCATGCGTCGTACGATGTTCTGAATAGGCAGCCAGAAGGGGATGTTATTGTAGGGTATATGGTAAGTTTTGGACTTTACTTCTCTTTGTTGGAGTAAAGAATTCGGAAAAACATTTACAACATCTTTAGTGAGGCTTTCAGCTACTATAGTATTACATTTTGGACTATATTTTAACAAAATTATATTTTTAAATTACGAAAAAAATGTAATATTACTATAAGAACGTATATGCTTTCAGAGAATTACACTATAAGAATATAAGATTACCTTATTTCAGACTCATTACGGTAACTTGTCGATGAATGAAAGTACTATAATATGGCCAGGAAAGAGTCAAAGGAAGCCTCAAGAAATTACATTGCCAAAGTTTTTAAAAGCAGTCACAGTACCAGATGCACCATTTGCCTATTCGATTCCAGTCGCCGAGAAGAGTCAGTGTAGATATTACACTACAATGTTGGTCGAGGGAGTTTACGTGGTAAGTTGACATAGTATAATTAATACTGTGTTTGAATAGGTTTTGGCATGAATTAAAAAGATTAAATAAGTTATTTTTTCTTTACTTTTGGACCGCAATACAACCATATTTCAGCCAGGACCATGGACCTCGTGTACGAAGCGAGAGAATGCCACTTATACATCGTATCATTGTTGTGCTGGGTTCGCCATTGAATTGCTGAGTCTGATCTCCACTATTGACTCCAATTCCGATACCAACTTCAAGTTTGAACTGCATTTGAATGACACGTACGGAGGTTCATTGGTGACCGAAGATGACATTATACTGAACGGCATGATCGGAGAACTGGACGTTGGTTTAGCTGATCTGGCAGTTGGAGCTTTGTCCATTAATCCGGAACGTGAACGATACGTTGATTTCAGTGAACCATGGTTGTTCCATGGTATACGAGTCCTGGAGAAGTGGGTAGGTTGAGATTTATTTTGTGGTAGGTTGGTTTTGAGTGGTGGTATTTTCGTTTTGAATGTCGTGGTATGTCGTTTTTGAGTAATCTACTTTGTGCATAATATTATACTATATGATACAAAGATTCAGACTTGATATTGCGACTTCAATAAGCTATTTTTCATATTTTTTGTTCACAATAATGGAGCTTGTCGTATTTTACAGCAACCACGAGATTCACCGATGGAATCTTTTCTACAGCCTTTGAAGAAGAGTTTGTGGGGAGCACTGTTTGTTTCTGTACTTGTCATTGGATGTATAATTTATTTTTTGGATTGGAGGTAATGTAAAAATTTGTAAAAATGGCATAGTAAGCCTAAACTAACTAAGAATTTTTAATAAATTAAAAAAAATTTTTTTATATACAGTTTCAAACTAAAACACTGTAATTCACAACGTTTTCTGATAGTTACGATATTTATTTTGAAGATTCAAAAATTGTTATTCTATTTTACAGATCACCCTTTAACATACCGTACCACAAAGACATCTTCACGCGGCCTGAACTCGAGGATACTCCAGTTTCGTTTGGAGAAGCCATGTGGTTTGTCTGGGGCGTTCTGTTGAATTCTGGAGTCAGTGAAAGTACGTCGATAGATTTACTTTTCATAGCAAGCATACGTTGATTTCAGTGAATCATCGCTGTTTTATGGTATACGTGTAATACAATGTACTTTGCAATTTTGATACGTTTTTTGGCTGTTATTACTGTAGACAACTTGTTATCGTAATAACAGTCAAATTATATTTTTTTGAGAATAGTAAGGAGTTATGAAGTATAGTTCATGCTTTTAAACATGAGGTATAAAGCAATAATTTTTCAGAAACTCCACGGTCGTTTTCAGCAAGAGTTTTGGGAATTGTTTGGTGTGGCTTCTGTATGATTATGGTAGCATCATACACGGCGAATCTAGCCGCTTTTTTGGTGTTAGATCAGCCGGATAAGAGCTTGAACGGAATCAATGATCCAAAGGCAAGGTTTTCTATCTAATACATTGATTAGAACCAAATCTTGGTTGAGCTTGGCTGGCTGAGTCTGAAAGTTGACTTGAACTGTCGGTAATCTTATTATACTTGTCCTTGCAGTAATGTTGTTATAGTGATGTCACATTTACAGCCTCTAGGTCAATAAGGATTTATTGAAGATTTGATACAAGTATTTTTAGTTTCGAAATCCGTCTATAAACTTTTCATTTGGAACGGTTATTTATTCAAATACGTATCAGTACTTCAAACGTCAAGTAGAGTTGAGCACGATGTTCAGAAAGATGGAGAGTCACAATTACAAATCGGCCAAAGAAGCAATTGGGGCTTTACTCAACGAGTAAGTTTAATAATCAAAATTGTTTTGAAAAAAAAAACTTTTTTGAGTAAAAGGTAGCAAGGGTCGCTGTATCGATACCAAGTAAGTTTATAAATTATTTCGCCTAAAAGACTACAGTTATACATAATGTACTGCTTTAGAAGCCTCGGGGCTTTTATTTGGGATTCAGCTCGATTGGATTTCGAAGCTTCGAAGAATTGTGAGTTGAGAGTTAGAGGTACCTTGTTTGGAAGGTCAGCTTACGGCATTGGATTGAGGAAGAATTCACCATGGACTCCGTACATTACTTCTGGGATTCTGAAACTCGCTGAAAGTATGATATTCATCGAAACTTAGAAGTTTTTTGAAATAATTTTTTAGTTTTAGGTTTTTTTGGCTTTTAAAGGTGATATAAGTAATGTCTAAAGCTATTTAAAATTTTTTTTTGTTTTTATAATGCTTTATGTGTGGTTGATCGTATACGACCTGAAGATATCTGTTTCAGAAGGCGAGATCCAGAAGTTGGAACACAAATGGATAAACTCAGCTGGAAAAGAGAAATGTCATCATGAAGTTCATAAGACGCCAGCAAGGTTGGGCCTACAGAACATGAGAGATCTCTTCATCTTGGTGGCTGTCGGAGTCGTTTTTGGGTCGATTCTCAGCTTTTTCGAAGTTCATTGGGGACGAAAGAAGCAGAAGGAGGGGTAAGATTACGTACGACTTTTGAGCCGGAACTTAAACGGGGGCTTACTTGGCGCGGCTCGGCCTTGGCTGGGCACACGTGTGCTTGAGGGCCGGACCAAGCAGTTGGGCTCGGTCTCTTTACTGGTCTAAAAAAAGGTAGTTTTACTGGTTTAAAACTGACCAAGTCATTACATTACAGTAAGCGCAAACGGCTAGCTGTCAGCTATGGTCAACGTTGGCGTCAACGTGCACGACAACAATCAACCGACTCTGACACAGTGAAGTGTGTTGAGGAAGCTAATGATAACCATGATTTGGTAATAACTTTTTTTTTAAATTACGTATTTTTTAACTGTTTAGTACTGTGTAGTATTTTACCTAACTTTTTACCATTTTTTAAAGAAAAAGGTTATTTCTGCTAGTTTTAAGTAATAAAAAGTTTTTTTCAACCATTTAAAGTAACGTTTTTTAATTTAGAGTCTACCGAAAAAGGTAACCAACTTGAACTTTGACAATCGACCGTGCCGAGTATATTGTAGTAGGTGTCGGAAAGCCGTGACTACCATTCCAAAACCAGTTATTGGAACTTTTGCCGTAATATGCTCCATAGTGCTGATAGCTACTCTCATGTGGCCATGTGCTGTAATTCCATGTATTTTGAGGGTGTTTGCTGATTATTATCACTTTTGTCCGATTTGTAATCACAAGATCGGGCAGTATCGGAAGTTCAGAAGTCCTAGGTTTTTCGTGTAGATTAGTTTTGCATTGAGGCTTGTGGGGGTGTAATAAATGTACATTTTAGATTTAGCATATAAGAATAGGCTTTTTAATACTTACCTTTTTTACTTCACTGTATTTTATCTGGCTTTTATATCTATGTACAGACTTTTTATGAGTAAACATGCCAAAAAAAATTTTTTTGGAAATTTGCTTATGTAAAACAATTAATTACTATTTTTTAAACACTTTAGTCATAGGAAATTTTAAAAACTATGCTTTTTTATTACTTTTTACATTAAATACATTTGGAATAGCAACAGGGAAACACTTGACCAAAAAGTAGGGAAGTCTCGACACGCATCGACTTTTTGGTCCTATACCTCTTTTTCAGACCAAACTAAAAACAAATACAAATTTTTATTTAAAAATTGAGAAAATACAGTAGGAATTGTGGTTTACGGTAGGCAAATGGGTATTGTTTGTGACTTTTTTCAAATTTCGGCGACATTTCCGAACAAATGATTGCCGGGGGCGGCGTGGTCGGTGGAGAAGAAGAGCTGAAGGAACATGTCCTTCCATTGTTGAGGAGTGATACGGTCAATGGCTTCTCCTTTGTCAGTTACCGCAAACTTCTTGAAGGCTTCGACGCACTCTTTGTACGAGAATCCGTACAAACTCATACCATCCGCGTATTCGGCTTGGTCTAGGACACCGTCGCCTGGAAGTGGGAAAGGTTGTTCTTCTGACTTTTGAAATTTTTTTGCGTTTTAAAGCTTTTTTTTTGCAATTTTAGAAAGTTTTTTTATAAAATTATGGATTTTGATTTCAATTTTTTTGCCTATTTTAATATTTGTAGCCCGTTTCCCATTGCCATCGCTCTAAAAACCCACCAGAAACATCGAACAGCTTGAACATGAAGCTTTGGTAGTCATCCAGCCACTTGGGGTGTTCGTCCTTCTTCCTGTTCACATCTTTTATCAGTCCGACCCATTCTTCCAATGAGATCAACTTGTCACGGTCGGCATCGGCAGCTTTACATAGACCTTGCCATAGGGCTTCCATCGATTTGCGAGCGTAGCCAATTTGCGTGGATTCGGCGCCGTATACGTCGCGGCATCGCTGTAAGTTTTATGGTTAGGTCTAATTATAAAAAGAATATGCTACTTAATATTAGTTGTTCTATTCTTTAGGTAAAAAATTATGTTGTTTTTGCTTATATAGGGTTTTGGCCAATATAGAATGACACTGTTTACTTACCCTTACGACCAAGTAAAAGTCTCCCCAATCAACATTGTGCGACAGGTTTCGGTCTGTAATTTTAAATGTAAAGCTAACTATAAGGTTAATATGTTTAGACCTAAGGGGTTGGTAAGTTTAGGCTTAAGAGGTTAGTATGTTTAAATTTAATTTTTTGCGAACTATTAGGCTGTTCAAATAATTCTGTGCCCTCTCTCAAAGCGAATTTTTGGGTTTAGAGAGCATAGAATTATTTGAAAATCCTGGCAAATTGTTGTTTACAGAGTAACTTTCTGCAAGTAAAGTTAGCTCCATATAACTATGTCTATTATCATGCAAAAAATGTTTATAAAAAGTTTTTAACCTGAAATAATGTTTTGACAAAGCCTTAAAAAGTAGTTAAATTACGCGACTGTTTCTATTTGAGACATACCGAAGAACATGGTGAAGATACGTTCCCATTTCTGTAGTAAAAATGGATTTACATCAGGAAACTTGGAGACCAGATCGCTGTTACCGTTTTCTCCCTGTAATTTTTAATTAATTATAGTGTTTTTGGTTTTGACTTTTTCATAATGTACTATAAAGCACTAAATATTGTGTTACATTACCCTTTATCTTGAACTTTTTCAGAATTTTAAATATTTTTTATTATAGTAAATTATAGGCTGAACTAAACTATTTTGACCTTTCCAACTCAAAAGTAACATAAAAGCTATCATTTTATGTCATTTTGGAAAGTTACCACGCTTTTTAATTGTCAGCTGACAAACAAATCGTCCTACACAACAACAAATAGTTGTTTATCCTGTTCAAGTGGTTTAGAACATTAATACTTGTTGTTTGTCATGTAGTATGGTGACGAAACTGAGTAATCACATGCTTATAGTTAAGGCGTAAATTTCAGTTTTTAACGTATTTAAAAGTTGATTAAACTTTTGCTTATCAAAATCACGAAAAATTTATTTTACTTTGCGGTTATTTTGACGTTATGGTAAAAACGGACCCTGTAGGCTTGACCAGACTCTACGATTGAGCCGGACCGACCTTTAGCTAAATTTGAACACTCCTTCAAAAAAAATGAAAACCGGCCGGGTCTATACGTAGCCTACGTACGTCGATCCTGGGGCGGGCCTTAAAAGTAAGCCTAGCCCGTTTCTCACCTTTATATTAGGCTAAAAAGTTTTCTGTAACACAACGCCAAATTTTTGCGGAAAACATTAATTTAAATCAATATATTATACTAAAGCACTTTAAGCCGCAATTTTTAAGCTTAAATATTCTCAATTAAAAAAGGTTTCTAGTGATTACGGTGTAGCAAAGTTACAGTAAGGGATACTGCTTTTGTGCAAATTTACAGTTAAAGACTCGTTATCATTGTAAAAACAATTTCATTTTTAAAAAAACTAATTTAAAATTATGTAGTGAATAGTTTTAGCTATCGATAACCGTAATACAGTTTAAGATTCGAAAGGAGAGCACCGAATTAAGCAATTAACTAATTTTAATAAATGACCGCTTAACCTTCCATCACAAACCTACCATGTCAACCCAATGTAAAGTACAAGACAGTAGAACCAGGAAGAGTCTGAAAAGCGTTTGTTAATTTCTTGAACTGAAGCCAACTCACATGTCTTGTAAGGGGACCCTTAATTCTTAAAGCACCGAAATTCGATCTTTCAAGCGCAGATCTCTGTGACCTGAGGGCGGGGAGAGTGGTTCTCGACCTCTTCACGTATCTTCACGACCCGATAACTCACGTTTCGTCCTCGAAATACCACGAATTTAAAGCACCGGATTTATCGTTTTTTTGCAAACATTCGGCCAAACACCACAAAGAGATAAAGTGCAGTAGAAGAGGGTTACAATAGACTGTGGATTACAAAAAACTATAAATTATCAAAGATTTTACGTAAAAGACTTTTAGGTATTCAGTTATCAGTTGATACGCTTATCGACTTTTTAGGTTGATAAGTTCTTTATTATAGGTATAGGTGTAAACCCTCTTATTCATCATTGCCTTGGGTAAGTCGTAACCTTTTTGGAACAAAAAATAAAGACAATCAAAACTCATTACAGCTCAAAATGTCTTTTTTTTTGGTAATATAGTTTCTTGTAGATGTAAGAAACAGGCCGGACCGAAACTAATTTTGAAACCTGACCCAGACCCGGAATCTAACGTTTAACCTTGCCCGTTTTTTTTCTCAGGTCGGCCCGGCTCCGTCAAAATAATTATAGACCATTCACCAGCCTGTTTTAAAATATTTTAAATTTTAAAAAAAAAATTTGGCTTAGAATTTTTTGTAGGCCATTTATTGATTGTGGTACCCAAAAAGATCACAAAACATTAAACCATGTTATGTCTTCCAGGTTTTAGTAAATAAGTCAGTAAACCAAGCCCATGTCATATAACCAGCCAAATCCATAAAGTCGACTCGTAAATCCCAACATTAAGAGGACCTTATCATGAGCAATAAAAGATGCAATATGCAGAGTCATCTGGCCTGGATCGTTTGTCATACTCTAACATATTTTGACATAAAGTGTTCACGAATTAGTAATGACACCACTTAAACATATGTTGTACTTGATTTTGGGGTGTCATATTTGATACTAAAATTTAAAATGATGGTATCTTAACATTACTGCGGTCAAAAAGTACAAAGAAACTTAAACTCAATAATGTCAGCTTTTTCATTTTTTCTATGAACTTTTTGACCAACATTGTCAATTTTGCTGCTAAAATTAAAAATTATGGCATTTTTCAATGACTGAGGTCAAAAAGTACGTCGAAACTTGAACTCAAAGTTCTTATCCTTTTTATTTTTTTTCTATGACCTTTTTGACCAATTACCAAACATTTTACAAGCCAATGACGCTGATTTTGTTTACGTTGATATTGATCTTAAAATTAATAACAGTTAGTTTCTTTTTTGATGTTTTTGTGTCAAAAGTATAATATTACACACCTGGTCTTTCTCGATCCGAATCCCCACACTCACTTATAAAGATACGAGCATATGACAAATGTTTATAAATAATCTTGATCTTATCGAATTACAAATAACCATCAAAGATTAAATACATAAGCTACAGTACAAAGTACTCCAAAATATTTTTAATTTTAAGTTAAAAAAATTTAAAGAAAATCAAGGTTTTTAGCGATGTTACTATTGCTGTGCAATCTAAACTTGCTAATAGTTTATAAAACTTTCAAAACTTTTAAAAAACAATTGGCTAAATTCAATTTTTTAATTTTCATTTTACTGAAACAATTTACTGATGTCGGCTGATAACTCCACCACCCCCACCACTGAATCTGACTTCCCTGACCCCACCCGGCTCCACATCGATGCCTATGTAAGTTTATTTTACTTTATGATACACCTTTTTTGTTTTGCCATGTTTTTTTAAACATTATTGTAGCTAAAGTTTCGACAAAAAATAAAAAGATCAGCCTTCAAGATTATATTGTCGTAGATCAAGATTCCCTCGACCATATTGTTTCAGGTGTACATGGGTGGAGCCGTAGTGTTCGCGGTTATACTGACCACTCTCTTCGTCCTCAACTACATGTGGTGCGAATGTCTGTGTGCCAACACCCGAGCGAGCAGAGCCAAATGCAAAGCCTACGATGCTCAAGAACACAATTCCTTGGCGCTGATGGACTCGTCTTTGAAGGAATCGCTGAAAGAGAAAATGTAGAACATTAGTCTACTCAATAAACTACTGACTTGACTTTGTCTAGTTTAATTTTAAAACTTTTAGCCATTTTATTGGGCAATTTTTCATAAATATCAAAATTCTCACTTTCATTCAATATTGACATTGCGTTACGAGCGGGAAAAGAATATTTTCCAAAATAAAAGTATTTCTTGGAGTTTTTTGTTGGGAAAATAAAGATTCTCTAGTTAACCTTTAAAATAATCTAAAATAGTATTTTAAACTTGATAATTTATATTCTATTGTAACATAAACACTTCAAAATGACTGTCGCAGAAGAAAATGTCACTCGTTTGCCGTTGGTCGAGAAATACCGACCGAAAGATCTCTCTGAACTGGTATCTCACACTGACATTATATCAACCAGTAAGTGTTTCTTTTAAAATGTTATTGGTTTAGTTAAAAAGATGATTCGTGATAACCGGGTTCCTCATTTCTTGTTTTACGGACCTCCAGGCACTGGGAAAACGTCTACAATATTGGCAATGGCTCATGAGTTATACGGAAAGCTGGAATATAGAAGCATGGTTCTTGAAGTGAGTTTATAAACTTGAGATTAAGGTTTGAGCTTTTTTATGCACTTTGTTATTAAATTCGTAATTTAGGTAACAAAACGATTATTTTTTAAGTTTAGAGTACTTGTCTTAAACTTTGTGGTTAAAAATCTTTATTTTTAGTTGAACGCATCTGACGATCGTGGAATCGAAACAGTCAGAGGAAAGATTATCCGTTTTGCCGAGAATTCAGCTATGGGCTTTGGGCCATCCGAAGACGGAAAGTTTAAACTGATTGTGTTGGATGAAGCAGATTCGATGACAAAAGATGCTCAAAATGCTTTGAAAAGGGTAATTGAAAAGTACTCGAAAAATGTTAGATTCTGTTTGATTTGCAATCATCTATCTAGCATTATTCCGGCTATTCAATCTAGATGTACCAGGTATGTTAAGGTTTGAAAACTTTGACTTTTAGTGTTATCTTGTATTGACTTTTAGTATCATGTTTTTAAACTTTTATACTGCTGACGACATTCACAATGAAAATCTGAGAATTTGTCAAATTTTAATTTCAGATTCCGATTCCCACCGTTAAAAGAAGACCAAATCAAACCTCGATTGGATTTCGTGGTTAAGAACGAAGGTTTATCTGTGACTGAAGATGGCAAGAAGGCTTTATTTGAGCTTTCTGGAGGTGATATGAGGAAGATATTGAATGTTTTGCAATCTACATATCTGGCATTTGGAGAAGTTACGGAAAAGAATATTTATGCTTGTGTTGGACAGCCTAACCCGGAAATCATAAAGAAGATCATCCACAGTGCCATGAATGATAGTGGTGAAGAGGCTATTAGAAGTAAGGAGTTTAAAATTGTTTTTAAAACAGCTTTTTATTGAAAAAACATTGCAAATTTTTCTTGTATTGGGTTTTAGTTGAATCCATCTGACGAGTTAGCTTATTTTTTAAAGGTAGTAAAACATAAATTTTTAGCTATTAAACGTCTCCTCAAAGAAAACGCTCTCTCTATGGCGGATGTGTTAGAGAACATGGCAGATCTTGTCCTGGCAACCGGCTTCAAAGAGAACATTGCTGCCCACTTGATTATGGAGTTGTCCAAGATTCAGGTGAATGTCACAATGGGAGCGTCAGAGAATCTTCAAATGAATGCTATGGTTGCAGCGTTCGTATGTGCGCGAGAAGGAACTTTTAAGCTTTAAATATGTTTGAATTCTTTGGTTCTGGATTTCATGAAAGCTTTGGTAGAGAAAGCCAATGTGTGTTATATTATTATAATATTGCTCATATACGTGTAAATCAATAAAGCATTGTCACTTATGAGAATGGAGGTTACTTTGTTTTAATCAATAATTGTTGGTAATATCCATATCGTATCTTTGAATATTATAGTAGTTCCTTAATTTCGTATCTATACGTTTGCGTTAAACCAACGAAAATTGGCGTTTATTTTTTCTTTATAAGACCAAATTAAATTCGGCTTTTATATATTATTTTACTTTCTTATGCTAGAAATTATGGTTTTGACTCATTATATTTTTTAATATTACTTTTTTAAATCGTGAGACCTTTATTTTTAAGTTTTACATATACACGCAAGTGTGGTTACATTTTTTATTAGAGTATTTTATAGTTCACTCACAATGTACAACCCAAACATGGGAATGGGCCAGTACCCACAACGAATGGCTCCTCAATCACACATGATGACTCAGTAAGCTTTGGATTTTTTTAAAACACGTTTTTTATAACAGTGGAGCTAAAGCGACCCCAATGGTACTAAGAGTTTCAAAATGCTTTAGATTAGCTCAGACTTCAATGTTTAAAAATTGCCTAGGTAGATGAAAAGAACATTAAAATTTGAGCAGATATTTAAAGCAATTAAATAAATTCTCAGTGCCCACCGGTCCGACCATTATACGAAACTTTTCAAAATTATGTGTTTAGAGAACAACATGCCCAAATGATGCACCACCAACAGATGTTGGCACAACCACAGCATATGATGGCACAGAACCAGTACCAGAGGCCTCCTATGGTACCACCAAACCAACAAACGCCTCCACAAGAAACTCAGAAACCAAAGAAGCCTATATTCGACCGGGTGAAGGCACTGATACCTCCCCCGTTACCATTTGAAATACTAGACAAGACAGGAGACATGAGTATAACCGAATTGTGTATCCAAGGAAGGGAAATTGTGAATGAATTGTCCATCAGATTCATGAATGTGATCACATCTCTCAAAATGGACAGAAAGAACGCAGTTGTTGATATTGAAGCTACTTTGGTTTACATTCGTTTCCTCTTCAAAAAGCTGCTGGAGATTAGGATTCGTATTGATAGATCACGGATAAACAAGCCACGGGTAACGGAAGAACAATTTTTGGATTACATTACCGAGCCAGGCGAAGTAGCATCAGACCCAGAAGTTATTGAGAGGAGAAATCAAGTTTCTGCGATGGCTGACAAAAACAGAATCGCTTTGGTTAGCAAAAGCAACAAAATTAAGAAAATCGAGTATTTAGCAGCAGTCTTAGACCCACAGTTCCAAAACATATAGTCATAGTTAAATTAACTTATTTTGAATTTAGCTAATAAATGAACCTTTTCCCAGTAGATGGAAGTTGCTAATAACACAAAATGAAGTCATTGCAATACCTGCTGTAAGTTTGAATAAACACCACCCAATAGTCAACTAAAAAACTCGATTTCAAATAAGCCCATTATTCAAAACTCAACATCTTTATAATAAAACCAAACAAATAACAACAAGATTACTGTTCACCAGCTTCTTCACTGTGCTTTCCCTTAAGTTCGCCGGTGATTCTTGATCGTCCTTCGGCTTTGCGGTCCAACAAGTCCTTACGGTCTTTGTCCATCTTCAGTTTGTTGACGACAACCTGCAAAATTAAGGTTTAGTCAATCAACATTTGTAGACAAACGTATTCTTTTTTTTAGTTTTGAAAAAACGACAACGTCCATCACAAAATCAATGGCGATATTAAGTAAACCTGTTAAAAATTTATGCTTTTGATTCTTACAGATACAAAAACTAATCGATTAACAGATAAACCTAAAATTAAGCCAACCATAATTTCCAATTCACTACAAACCAAACGTCTGGTAATGAAACCATTGATTTTGTGATTGGATGTTGATGTTCGTGTACAACCGTACTTTTCTTGACGAAAAACAACGGGCACTAGCGATTAACGCCTCACCTTTGAAGGGTGGATGCCAACGTGTACGGTGGTTCCATTAGCCTTCTCGCGGGTGATCTTGTCGATGTGGACGACGAACTTCTTCCTGTAGACGCGCATGACACGGCCAGAGTTGCCTTTGTAGTGACCACGAGTGACGGTAACTTCATCGTCGGTTCTGAACAAGAGGTAAATCATTATGTTTGAAAAAAATATTAAGTCGTCTTTAAAACTCTGTGGTAAACTAACTAGTCATTCCTAAAAGTAGAATGCAATAATAACAAAAGGAACATACCTGATTGGGACTGAACGAACTCCGTGCTTGGTTCTGAGGTCCTTGGCCAATGGAGCGCTCATGATCCGCCGACGGATGTGGGATGGAGCCTGGAAGTGGGCTTTGCGGCTTTTGCGGGCCGAGGAGGACACAAAGGCGTTAACTTTCATGTTTACAGCAAAACCCTCTAAAAAATAAAATTAAAAAGTTGAATTTCAATTTCAAAGTAACCCGCAAAATCATCGAATAACAGCACACTACAAAAGAAAGTAATGAAAATACTACAATTTTAAAATCAATATGTAATACACAATTATAAAACAGTATAAAAACCGAAAAATCAGTACGAAAAGAACAGAAAAAATAAAATAGTCTATTTTCTAAAAATCCTCTAGAATTTTATCGTAGGATTTTTCGTTGTTTCCGCGACAGGACAAAACCTTGGCATTGTGTTACAAGCGCAAAATTGGATCAAAATCTCTCAACAAAAATATTTTTTGAATTATTTTGTTGTTAAAATCTGTAGATAGCCCTATCTCACGTACAGATGGCTTCTATATCAGTATTGAGTCCGGAACGACGTATTGAGTTGAATCCGTTTGACACGGACGCTTGGAATATCTTGATTCGTGAGACACAGGTGAGTAAAGTATTTGTAATATAATAGTAGAGTAGCATTTTAAAGTTGTTTTACATAGTCTGACTATGTATTTTCAGGCTCGTGCTATTGATCAAGCTCGAATATTTTACGAAAAACTTGTTTTACAATTTCCGAATTGTGGAAAATATTGGAAGATCTATATTGAGCATGAACTTCGATCCAAGAACTTTGAGAATGTTGAAGGAGTACGTTTGAATATTTGTTATTAGTTTTTGTGTGCTTTTAAGGTAATTTTTTGTTTAATTATGATTATTTTCAGTTATTTAAACGATCTCTTGTAAACGTACTGAATATTGATCTCTGGAAGTGCTACTTGTTCTACCTGAAGGAGACAAAAGGTCATCTACCTGAATTTCGGTAAGTTTAAGCCTATTTAGAAACTTATAGTATATTACTTTGAATTTGCAAAAGATTTTTAACTTTGGTAAAGCTTGGGGCTGCTTGATATTAATCCCTAAAAATTTTATGTTTTGGCGTTACTTACGGTGAATATTTCAGAGAGAACATGGCGAAGGCGTACGATTTTGCACTTGATAATGTTGGGTTAGATGTTAATTCATATTCAATTTACAATGATTATATTACGTTTTTAAAGACAGTGTAAGTTCTACTTTTTCTTTTTTCTTAGTTTAGGTATATTTTATGCAAAGCGGAGAAGTATATTTAATGGTTTTGTTAATATATTTAACTAAGATTTGCATTTCAGGCCAGCTGTTGGACAATACGCGGAGAATCAAAGAATATCAGCGATTAGAAAGGTGTTTCAACGTGGTGTTGTCACTCCAATGTTACACATCGACAGTTTATGGAACGAATATTGTACATACGAAAGGGTATGTTTTCAAATGGGTTACTTTTATTGAAAAATTTGATTTACAATTAAAAACCTTAATATTTTTTGTAAATCCAACCTTTTTTGACAAAATTTATTAAGTTTAGGGCATAAACGCAACATTGGCTGAGAAGCTGATTACCGACAAGAATAAAGATCACCAAAATGCACGAAGAGTAACAAGATTGATGGAACAATACACTAGAGGTCTGAATAGGAATGCCGTTAGTGTACCACCTAGAGGTACTGGGGCAGAGTTGAAGCAAGTAGAATTGTGGAGGAAATATATTCACTGGGAGAAGAGCAATCCATTAAACTTGGAAGAATACTCTAATTACTCAAGAAGAGGTTGGTTCTTTTCTTTTTTTGCTGAGTTTTTTAAATTTAGAAACACATTTATTTTTTACCTAAATTTTAATTTTTTTTGTTGTTGCATACTAAATCATATTTCATTGTGTTTGACACCATAAAATATTAAAACAAACTGATAAGTGAAATATTTTAGTGATTTACGCGTACGATCAAGCATTGTTAGCGTTGGGATACCTTCCTGATATTTGGTATGAGTCGGCTCACTTTCAACAACAAGCTGCCAAGCACTTGAAGGACAAAGCTGATGTGACTAATGCCAATAGTATCTTGACTGGTGTTGTTCAACTTTATGAGAAAGCGATTGGAGGGTTAATGAAGGACAGTCAGCTTCTCTACTTCTCTTTTGCTGACTTTGAGGAAGAAAGAAACAGCTTCGAGGAGGCGAAGAAGATCTACCATAGGTTGTTGGACAGGAGGGAGGTCAATCCTACTTTGGTAAGGATTTTGTTGTTTTGTGTTATAAAACTGTATCTAAAGTTTACATTCTACTATGGCATATTAACTTTTACAGTTATTTGTTTAATTTATAGTATTTTTGATTGAAGACTTGACTTTTTAGGCCTACATTCAGCTTATGAAGTTTACCAGAAGAACGGAAGGTGTAAAGCAAGCTCGCGTCATATTCAAACAAGCTAGAGAAGATCCCAAGTCATCTTATCACGTGTTTGTGGCTGCGGCACTAATGGAATATTATTGTAGTAAAGATACCGCTGTAGCCATGAGGATCTTTGATCTTGGGCTGAAGAAGTTTGGCGACGATCCCCTTTATTGTTTAGCTTACACAGACTTCTTGTCGCATTTGAATGGTTGGTTTTTGTAATTTTTTTGTTTACAATATTTTTTTGTTAGAATTAAAGATAGTTAAGGTTTATATGTGAATGTCTATTTTAAATAATTCTAGAGGACAATAACACTAGAGTCGTGTTTGAGAGGATATTAAGCAAGACTGACGGCAAATTGGCTTCAGAGAATTCGATGTAAGTTTTAACTTGTTTATATGATAAAAATGTGACTTTTATCATGTGTAACGACACTTCTATTGTTACTTTGTTTTTCAGTGAAATATGGGATCAGTATTTGGATTTTGAGTCTCAAGTTGGAGATTTGGCTAGTGTGTTGAAGGTGGACACGAGGAGACGTGAAGCCATGAAGGATCAGTACGAAGACAAACAGGCAATACTATTGGTAGACCGATACAAATTTCTAAATCTCACACCGTGCACATCAGATCAGCTTAAGTTTATGGGTTATAGTGTAAGTAAAGAGGTTTTTATGTATTAATGAGCCTACTTATAAATTTAGGTAACAAAATTATTTTATACCACGTAAAATTTTGAAATAAATTTAGAAAGGATCGAAACAATCGCTAACCTTCCAAAATGGCCTGCCTGGAGGATCAACGTCTCAACCGTCAACTTCGAATTCAAAAGTACTTGAGATAGGGGGATTCCCGATGCCAGACACGGAACAGATGTTACCTTTTAAGCCTATAGCACCAGGGGCAGTATCTTCACATCCAGTTCAAGGAGGAACATTCCCAGCACCACCAGCAGCCGCGATGCTACTTCAGATGCTCCCTCCACCTTGGTGTTTCGAAGGGCCGTTTGTTAACCTTGACTTCTTAATGGATTCATTGGCTAAGTTCAACAAAGAATGTAAGTTTAATTGTTATTAATTCTGTATTTATATCAAAGTTGGAGTAAGTTGAGCTTCTTTTGTTACTTCAAGTGTTATTTTTAACTAATTTTAAGATAAAATTTAAAAGCGCTGGTAAATGAGCGACTCACACAAAACTAGATAATAAAAACTTTTAGTGCCAAAAAGTGATATGAAGGATCCTCCACTTGACCCTAACGCGACTTTTGGAGGTGTTAAGGCCGCTGATATTAGAAAAGAGTTCTACCAAACACTTTCAACAACAACAGATCCCGCTGTCGTAGGTTTTCTAACCTTATTTCATAGACATAGCTCATAGAATTATCTTTTATCTGTAAAGTTAGTCTTCTCACTTACTTTTGTTAACATTATTTACTATGGTATTTATAATCTTCTTATTTTAGGTACTAGCCCACCCAGAGTACGCACAGAAGAAGAAGAGAGCATGGGGTGAGGAAGACGATGACTTTAATGGCAGTGGCGACATCTTCAAGAAACGAATGAACATGAAAACCGAAGTCTAATCTTGTTGTAACTATCATACTGTAGCTCTTAATAAATAATAACTTATGTTGGGTTCGGCTCCTTTCGTGTGGTGTTATGGCATTTTCAGTGCCGCAATATTTTCGGGGTTTGTTCGTGATTTCGTGGCATTGTGTTTTGGCGTTATTCAAACTGTTTCATTTCCAGATGGCTGATGAACCAAGCTCTTCCCATGCGGACTTGTTTCACAAAGACGAAGACTTTAATTCCGATTACAAAAATTACAACCCCAACTACGAAGGAATGAATAACCAAGATCAGAACACCAGCGGAGAGTTAATCATGGAACAGGAGAGGCTGTTGCCAATTGGTAAGGGTTGATTGAGGTCCAGTATGCTATTGAAAAGATCTATTCTAAAGCTTACTGCCAGACAATAATCAATGGCAAATTATGTAAATTAGTATCTGCGTTTATGGTTCAAAATATATTATATTAGTGAATAATTTTTAATTTAGCCAACATCCAGCGGATCATGAGAAGGGTGGTACCAGAGGAAGGAAAACTGTCCAAAGAATCCAAGGACCTCGTTCAAGAGTGTGTTTCCGAGTTTATTCAGTTCGTGGTTTCAGAAGCCAGCGATCATTGTCTCGAGGTTTGTTTAAATTTGCGAATAACTTTTTAAACAGATGTTAATATTTTAAAATGGTGAATAATCCTGTTTTTTATATCATTTGTGCATTATCTTCAAAGTATGAAAGTACCTACACCAAATAATAATGCCTTGTCGTTACAGGAAAAAAGAAAAACCATAAGCTGTGAAGACTTGTTGAAAGCTCTCAGAGACCTCGGCTTTGATCCTTATGTCAATGTCCTGAAAAGATACATTGAAAACTACAGACTCGCGTTGGGAAAGCCTTCACAACCTGTAAGTCCATCTTTTGTAACATAATTCCGAATTTAGATCAATTTGGAGCCCAGTAAACCATCAACATCGGGTGTATGCAGCGTTCACAATCACAGTCCTGGAGAAGTTCCTACTTTAACGCTAAGAGCGACATCTGAAACCCCATCGTTTGTTTGTCAACCAGAACAGCCACAAGAGCAACAACAGGAAGCTCAACAAGACAACAATGATCCACAATCGCTGGAACAAGTTCAAGTCTTTATTGACAGTCAGAGTGGACAGCATTACATGGCTGTGAGGGGTAGGTTAATTATAACATGATCATCATTTAAAAACTCGTACTATTTGCTTTGTTCTAAGCTAATATTAATATCAACTGAAATACGAATTATAAATTGCCGCATTTTTCAGACCCTCAAACTGGAGAAGACCGTCTGATTCCAGTCAGCCTCAATGTCGACCAACTCGCTCAGCAAGCTGAGGAATAAGTTATTCGTGACTGTTTCGTACATCTCTACCATATTAACCTCCATACCCACACTTATCCCTTAAACTATCAATTTGGTGACAAATTAAAATATCTCTCACAATCCTATGGCCAATATCAAATCAAGGTCACAACGTCTCACAGTTCATTATCAAACTGATTATTCAATAAATTATTTACAAAACTGTTATCAGTTACATTTAACATTCCACGACTTAATACAAAACTGACAAAAAAGTGAAGTGCTATAAGTTATGACAAGTTGGAATTGCGACGAATGTAATCGCTAGCAGGCTGAACATAATAAGAATCCGCTACGAAATACTTTTCAAGATGGTCACCAAGATACCTGGCCAAATCGTAGCACACTTCCATGACCACCTTGGCGTTCTGGCCTGGAATGTCGGTCTTCTCGATGATCTCGTGGATTCTGGAGAGCATCCTCAACAAGTACGTCACGCCCAAGAACTTTGACAGTCGGAGAAGTCGGTTTTCGTCTAAAAATTGGCAAAATCCTATAGGTATTGACTCAATTAACATTGCATCAGACTAAAAAAATTGCCTATAGAAAGCTCAAATATTGTGATCGCTTTGTGACATAATAACCATTAAAAAAACAAAAAACTTACCTTCTCCTTCTGTTTCGTTTTCTATTATTGTCTTGATGTGCTCCTTCTCAAACGGATAGATCAGAACACTAGTCACGCATATCTCAAACATATTGATGAGGCCAGCACAACAATCTACTCGATTAATATGAGTTGGTTCGACCAGATTCTTTGCTTTTGACAAATCCATCATCTTATCCATTTTCGTTAATTGTGTATTGTGGTGCTTACAGTACTAAAATTACTTCGTTGTATATATGTAAAAAGCAATTTTCTCTTTAAATATTATTTCTGTCCCACATCAATACTGATACACAATTAAAAAATACCTTGCTTGGTACTCAAAATATAAGAAAACTCAAAATTAACTTACATTTTCAAACAAATTGTAAACTGTCTTCTCGGCTGGCGTTCTAGGAAGCCGGTATCGTCTTGTTATCATCTCTTGTTCATCTGTCAGCATCTCAGCCAAATCTGGTCCGATCAATTTTGTGCCTGATTCCAGTTTAATTGTAACATCTGTTCGTTTTTTCGCTGTTGGTGTTACTATGTTCCCATTATAACTGTTTTCTTCTTTTTTGCTCTTCGGAGTCCGCGAAGAGCCAACTAGAAACATTAAAGCACAGATAATAACATCATATAGTCAAAATACCAACTAATTAATTAAAAACTACGTTTTTTCAAAACTTACAATCAGGCTTTTGCTTTTCGGCAGTTCTTGAAGAAATTCGAGGCTTTGAACCGACGACTTTCTCTTGAGGTTTCACATCATCTTCGGAGATCGTTGAGGTATTTCGAGATCGTTCTTTTGTTTTAGGCGTAGCTTTAGGCTTGTTCGCCTTCGGAGTAGCCGACTTTTCTTTAGAAACTTGTTCCTAAACAACAAATTAATAATACAAATATTTTTTTTTACCTTTATCTTCTTTATTTCATCTTGATCGTACGTTTTGAAGCGAGTATTTGATTCTGTGAATCCAACAAACCCATCGTATCGCTTGTTCCACCCCTGAAAAGCAATAGAATTATAATCGATTCTTAAATTTACAGCAATAAACAACTTTCTTCCGCTTCTAAGGATTAAAACTACCAATCAATTAGCTGTGAAACCTTTGTTATAAATCTAGAAGAATAAACAAAAAATAAAAATAGTACCTGGTAATGTATAAAATATCCGTCATCTGGATCAATCGCTAAAATCTTGGCTTCATAAAAGACGTTTCCATATTTGCACATAACAGTATCATTGACAGAATACTTGGCATCTGGTGGTGGTCCTCCTTTCTTGGCCGTTTTAGCAGCAATCTGGCTTTCTGTAGTAGATTTTCGTTTTGGAGGCATCTTGAAGTAGAAGAAGAAAAAGGAATACGATGTATATTCTTACTCAGACAAACATATACGATTTATCGTCGAAAAAGGCGCGTTTTATTTTATTTGTGTCGAGTTTGGCAAAAACTCTTTACACAGCAATTGGTCTTGAAACGAAAACGGATATTTGGCTTAGTGCTAAATAAAAATAAAAAATATTGTTATAAACAAACTGAATCATACAAATAACAATCAAGAACTAGTTATAAAAACAGTATGTTGTTTGTTTACAACTTTTTGATATAACATTTAGTATTCGAGGTGATAATGTTATTTTGAGTTTGAATAGAGAATAAGTTTGTCCTTAAATTTTTATTTATTATTTTTAAATATATGTATGTTATGAAATGTGCAAAATTGTAAAATGTATTTACAGTTTTTGTCACATAAATGCAACCTGACTGAGGTTGTTTTAATACGGGTAACAACGAAGATTGGCAATGTTCCATTTGGCACCAGTTGGAATCGATTCTCGATCACGAGTTAAAAAGGATAAACATCAGGAGTTTCTGAACGATGTGAAGGCTTGTGTGAAGGCTTGCTTGAGGTTTGGCCAGAATGAAGTGCCGGGTCGAGAGGTTGAAGCTGTGGAGCTGCTTCGAACGTTGGATTCTTTCTTATCTCACGGGTATGTTGTTTTATGTGGGTGGATCAATCGACGCTTTTGCACTTTTAACGATTTTTATGTTGTCAAATTTTAAAAGACATAGCTGATTTTTTTGATAAAATAATTAAACCTTGAGTTTAGGTTTCTGGTGTCCCCAAAATGTTATTGGCTTTACGTGAAAGAGTTTATACCACACGATATACAAAGAGATCTTCAAATTGAATGGCAGACCAAGGATGATCGCAAACTGTCAGTCGGTTGGCTTAAAACAACTTTGAACAATAAGACTTTGAATTTTGAGTTTCTGTCTTTTGTCGCTCAACCAAGTATCATTAAAAAGCATTATGACAAGAATGCGGCCATGAGGAACCAAGCGTTGTTGAAGATGATTGCAGTCGGGGTTGATCCTTTGAGTAATGTCAACTTTAAATTTATCGTAAGTTAAATTTGATAGATAATGGATTTTTAGGTATTGAATTATGTGGTAGAATACATTTTTATACTTCGATGTTAATATTATGTAATGCTGAATCAAAATATATATTTTTGCTTAAAAACACTATTTGTTTTAGTCTCCAGCTTACCGTGAAAGTCAAGAAATCCCTCTTGCTCAATTTTCTACACAAGCTCCGATTTACCATGTGCCTAGTTCTACTGCAATACAACCTAGAACAATATCACGTAGACGACTGAATCGTCCAGACCTGATTTTGTCAGCTTCTGTTCATGCTGCAGATTCAAGTTCGTCATTTCGAGTTGGTTCTTTTGATCATCCCGGGCCGAAAGAAGATCGAGAAGAAGAAGATGAGGATCTACCTCGTGTTGAGTTACCACAGTCGGCTAATGAGCCATTTTTGTCTACAACCAGGGATCAGGTGAGTATTTGATTTGGTTTTATTAATTTAGGTTTATTCTAATCAATTTCATTTATATTGAGGGAGTTTGATTGGTTTTAAGTGATATTGAAAAGGTCAAGATATCTTATTGTACACGGTAGTCTGTTATACAACCATTAATCCTAATATTTTCAGGAATACATTCTGGACGCAATGATAAAAAATCACCGTCAGAGAATTCAATCCTCTGCCAGATTTGAATCAGATTCAGAAGAAGAAGCGCCAAAAGAAGAGGATTCAGCACGACGAATGTCATCTTCACCTTCAAAAACGAGCAGACGGCGATCTATCAAAGCCCGGGAGAAGAGTATGGATGCTTCGATTCCATCTTCACCATCTTCTTCCACTTCATCAGGTGCAGCCAAGTCAACCAACGTAAATGAAGAAGTGAAGGAGGAGGAGAACCTATTGGATGACGTTGAAAATGGCAATGACGAGGTCAGTGAAGAAGTTTTTGAACACGAAGTTGAGGAGAATGGAGTTGATCACAACGAAGAGAAAGATGAAAAACCAGAATTTGAAAAATTTGTCATTGATGAGCCTATTGAAGGCAATTTACAGTAGGTATTTACAGAGTAGTTTGTAAAAATAGATAAAAGATACGAATTGTAGGGCGTTTAAGCATTGAAATTCAAGAAGAATTGAGAAAACCAGGCATTAACATAATTCATCCTTAATTTCATATTATTCTAGACTAATTTCCGGAGAGATCGTGAACTTGGCCATGCAAGTATTTCGTCAGGACTCCGAAAGATACCAAGCAATGTTCTCAATCTATGTCAACTATGCTGTGGGAGAACCTCAACGGAGATTCTTGCTTTTGACAGACCAATGTATATACTTACTGAAGGCTAAGTTAGAGAACACGGAAGAAGATACGATCCAAGCTTCTTCGTATACGGTAGCTGGCATCAAGTTCGACTCATTGAGCAAGTCCTTGGAGAATATGTCACCTATCAGAATGTTGGGAGAGTCCAGTATGGCTCAAAATGTCAGTCTTGGCGACAATACTAAAGTAGGTCCTTAATGATGGTTATGTCGTTATTTTAAGGGTTAGAGTATTTTTATATAATTGTTGATAGGCATACTTAATATATGGTTATATGATTTACATTTATTTTTCAGTACAAGTACGAAACTGAAGTATTTTTGAATTTGAACAATCTGGACTGTATCAGCATTGGGATCAGCTCTCAAAGCTTGTGCTTCCACTCAACCAACAAACAGATATTTGCATATTCGCCAGACAGAAGAGAAAAACAATTTCAAATTGAAACGGCTAGCCAAAATCTGGCTGAATTGATCGTCTTCAAGTTGAACACGATTGTGAAGAACAAGTTCAGGCATTTACTAGCGATTGACAGAAACCAGAACACTTTCGGGTCAATAATCATGCACAACTTTGTTAGGAAGGAGTTGGCTTTGGTACGGTTTAGACGCTTTAATGCTGTTACTTCTCATGATGTAGTATAAGTATCTGTGGCAGTATAATATAGATCTCTGAATTTAAGCACAAAATGAATTTGAGTAATAAGTTTTGCATTTTTAGCCTCAAGTGGAGATAAAACGAGCTAGTCTGGTTTATTGGCTTCAGTCGATTAAGGAAAGTGAAGCGTCTCGAGATACGATGGAGAGTTACATCTTTGTAAGGAACGTATACCCAAGTGCTTGGCGCAAAAAGATGGATGACTGGACTCAGTCCTACTTTATTATGAGGTACTATTTTGTATATTTATTGTAGAATGGTAATTAACCCCTTTAAAGGGCTGTTATCTAGACTAAAATAGCTTCATTAAAAAATGTCCGTTATAATTATTGTATTTTACACAAAATATTTAAAGATCAGTCAGTACTATAACAAATATGAATACGATATGATATTTAAAATGAATATTTTAACGTGACGAACTTACAGAGAGCACATGTTGTATCAATTCACAGACTCAACGTGCAAAGAAGCTATCAGTTCTGTCGATTTGAGAGAGAAAGTGGAGCTCCTGGAGCAGGTGGAGCTGAAGAACGACGAAAACTTTGTCTTCCAATTGACTTTAACTGAAGAACCTTTTATTCAGTTTTCTTTTGAGACATCGGAGGAGATGAACAAGTGGATCACGGCTATGAGGACGGCTATTAATTCTTCTCACGTAAAGCTTGCTTTGTTTACTACTTTAATATCTGAAAAATTATTTAGTTTACTGCTATAATATCTTAATCTTCGAAAAAAGGTGTTTTTAGATAATATCTTACTTTTAGGCATTAGAACTCGACTCTGTAGCGTGTTTGGTACTGTGCACTGACACGACGATACTATTCGTGCAAGAAGGTGCCAACTTTTTAGTCGATGGCTTTGTCCGCTCTCTTCACAAGATCAGCCTTCGTGAAGTCCACTCGGTTTCATCAGCCAAGTCTACAGCACATCGACTAATCGCAATTCAACGAGAATCCGGTGATTCAGAATGGGTGTTCTTCAGAAATGACACGGAACTATATAATTTTGTTACATTCCTCCAAAATGAATGGGGATTGAAGGTGGAGGAGCACGGTGAAAACTGGATGGAATCCGACAACGTTCACGGAAAAATCTACCGTCAATATCTTCACAAACCCGATTTTTTTCAGCACAAAATGAATTAATAGTATTTATTGAACATATATGTAACATATCAAGCCTGTGATCATGATCTTTAACCTGGTATAACTTTAAGTTTCTCAATTTCTTAAAATAAACGGTTTATTAACTTACAGCAAGTTGTAATGATACTAGAGAAATTATCTTTTGTTAAGTAAAGTATGATGAGCAACATCTAGGAATTTTAAAAAGAATTGTAAAACAAATAAGAAATTTCGTGATTTTAGTCAAATTTTAAGTTTACAATAAGTATACTGTACTTTTACTACAGTAACACTAAACAAAATGAAAAAATATTACATTAGTTGTACATATCATAGCGAAATTAGCCGAAATTGATACTTTATTGTACCATTTTAGCCAATTTTTAGTTTTACAGTAAATATACTGTAACTTTACTACAGAGGTGACCTATTCAGTAGGGTGACCTTTTTTTATAGGTGACTTATTCCCAAAGGGTGACCTATTCTGTGGGGTGACCAATTTAGGCGGGTGACCAATTTTTTGAGGTGACCTATTCCGGCGGGTGACCTATTCTGATGGGTGACCTATTCACTTCTTTGTGATGCTAAACAGCCCCTTGTATAACTTATCACACGCAAACTGCGGAAAAAAGGACGCAGCGGTTTCAAACAAAAAATCGAGCAAAAATAAAATAAAATTGGAAAATTTTGGATAAAAAAATCTTTAAAGATGGAGAATATAGACCATGAAGCCGTGCCTTCTACTTCTAAAAGTGTAAGAATGATTTTTCAGTTTATTCGTTTATTGTTTAGGCCAATCAGATTGAGTTGGAACGAAAAGCGGACGAACTGAGACAGCGTTTGCTGTTGAAACGTCAAATGCTTCATAAAAATGGGGAACACAAAGCCGTCAATGAGGATGTGAACGTTAAACATAAACATAATGAGCATCAGGCAGTAAATAAACACGAGAGGGTAACTGAGCATCAGATCGTACATGAACATCCTAATGCCAAAAATAAGGTTGATCAAGTTGTGAAGGAAGAAGATAAAGAGCCTATTGTTAACCACAAAGTTATACATAAGAACAACAAACTTGATAATGGAGTTATAGTGAAGATAGAAGACAATAAAGAAGATGTGACAAGTTTTTTAGATGTGGATGTTAAGTTAAAGAAGGCTGAAGAGCTACGACTACGACTGTTGTTAAAACAGAAAATGGCCAAGAAAGTTAAAGAGGTAAGTGTTATTTAAATAATTTTTTTATTGTTTAGGAGGTTGTTAACGAGCCAGAGGAGAAGAAAGTACATTATGTTCAATCTAGTCCATCAACGGATGGAGAACTTGATGAATATGTTGATGTAGGTCGAATGAGGTTCGAGAACATGACTGAAGAGCAAAAAGGGCAGGTAGGCTGTTGTTTTAAACTGTGTTTTTTGTGTAAAGATTTACTCTTCTTACTGTTACCTGCTTCTTACAAATAAACTGCTTCTTGAGTATATGTATTACCCATGTTAATCAACTATTTTACATTTTTTTCCTTTCAGCTCAGCCCAGGAGAGCTCCGACATAAAGAATACGAGTATCAGCAAAGACTTATCAGTGAGCTGCCTTTATATTATCCAGGAATCAGTGGAACGAGGACTGTTAAAGAGTACAAGTTTGTTCGTCGCATAGAAGAAGGTACTTTTGGAATTGTTTATGAAGCCATAGAACTTGATAGTGATACCACAGTGGCTTTGAAGAAGTTGAAGATGGAGAAGGAACGAGAAGGGTTTCCTATAACGTCGTTGAGAGAGATTAACATGTTAATGAAGTGTAGAATGCACAAAAACATTGTTAGGCTTATTGTAAGTTTACATGGTTCTTTTTTATGCAGCACGGGGGTTTAGGATGTTATGTGCTTTTTTGCTTAAAAATGTTAATTTGGACGTGCTATTTAAAACGAAGAGGATCTTATGGAAGATTTCAGAATAATTTGTTATCTATTTTCAATATAAAACGATTTTATATATCATGGTTCAGCTGTTTTGTCTTAAACCAACGTCAATATAGCGCATATTGTTAACGTATTTTGTTTTACACCTAGGAAATAGTGACTGGCTCGACAATGGACAAGTTCTACTTGGTTATGGAGTATATTCCACATGACGTGAGGAAGTTGATCAAGCTAATGGAAAAGAAAAAGAAACGCTTTACAATAGGTAACAATTATAGTTCTTATTTAGCAATGATAATATTTTTTGATTTATTTCATTTGGCATTTCACTATTTATATAAATATAGCTATTTTGTTATCAAATTATTGGTTTACAATATAAATCTTGACCTTACAGCTCAGATCAAAGCATTAATGTTGCAATTGGTGGATGGACTAGCGTATATGCATTCAGAATGGGTAATACACAGAGATCTGAAGCCATCTAATTTGTTGTTGACTCACGACAATGTGTTAAAGATAGGTGACTTTGGCTTGTGTCGAGAGTACGGTGACCCTTTAAAGCCGTATACGCCGGTGGTTGTTACTCTGTGGTATAGATGTCCGGAACTGTTGTTGGGTTCAAAAGTCAGTTTTTTTTAAATTTTATGAGTATTGTTGGTATGACTTTTATTTTTTTTGTTATTATGTTATTCAAATAATTCTGTGCCCTCTCAAAAAGAAAGTTTTTGGGGTTAGAGGGCACATAATTATTTGAACAACCTAACAGTAACTGTAACTTTTATTGCTGAGTTTTAGTTGTACAGCACAAAGGTTGATATGTGGTCAGTTGGATGTATACTCGGCGAGTTTTTGACATTGGAACCAATGTTCAAAGGAAGGTCTGAACTGGATCAGCTGAATAAGATCTTCTTGGTATGTTAGGCTTTTTGTAAATTCCATTTTTAAGTTGTATTAGGTTGTTCAAATAGTTCTGTGTCCTTGACTCATGAAAATGTGCATTGAGAGGGGCACATAATTATCTGAACAGTCTAATATAAACACATAATTTTTTTGTTTGAAGTTTTGGTTATTTACTTTTTATGGTTAATATAAGGTTAATATAAATTTAATAAATGATTAATATAAGGTGTTTTAGGACACAGGAGTGCCGAATGAAACTGTATGGCCAGAGTATAAGACATTGCCAGGGATAGTTAAATGCATCTTTCCTCCAGCACCGTTCAATCAGCTTCGTTCCAAGTATTTGAAGGCTATTTGTAGTGAAAATGGGTTGGACTTGTTGCAAAGGTACGGTGTTTTAAAGCTGTGGTTATTAGCTCTTAACTTTTTATTATTTTTTTCGTATTTTAAGACGTGATAAAATGTGATTTTTTTGTTTTTAATTGAAATTATCAATATTTTCTTTTCAGATTACTTGCCTTATGTCCTGACCGCAGAATCTCAGCAGAAGATGCTCTAAAACATAAGTTCTTTGAAGAAAAACCAGAACCGGCATCTTCTGACAGTTTCCCATCTTGGCCTGACAACTTGGAGAAAGTAAAACCACCACCAGTGTTCTTAGATCCTCCTTAATTTTTTTATATTTTGATAATTATAAATTATATTGTTATGGCTGTGGGATTCGAGTTTTAATTGTTATATTCAAATTATATATTGATTAATGTGTAATGGTACGTATTTTACATTAAGTTTATTAATGTAAAAAGCTATACCTGTGTAATTCTCTACCATTTTTGTTTTAAGGACATTGTTTTTAATTTTGTAGTAGTTTAAACGCGATTTAAGGCTGATATTTTCAAAAATTTTGTACTTATCTTTAGTTGAGTTTTGTATTTTAGATACTGGCCGTTTTACAACGACGAGTTTGGGATTTATGGCAAAGGAGTGGATTTTCAATACCAGCCGCACCGAAGCCATCCGAAAGATTCTTGTGCTTGTTGCCGGTGTGTTCGTTGGAGGAAGAACGGTGTATACATACTACAGGCCCTTGGACGTATGATTTTATTACTTTTTATATCTTTTTTGAAAACTATGTTAATGTAGTTTATTTGAAAGTTTAAAAAAAACACATTAATTGGGATTTCTACGGATTTTTTGACCAGAACGATATTTTTTATCAAGTTGTCTTACCTTTTGATTACAGAAAAAGTTTTATAATATCTATACATAATCTTAAATCCCATTCTTTCCAGGACTTCTACCGCGAAGTGGAAGAAGGAAAGAAGCTCCTTCTCATCAAGTACCGCAACCGATACTTTGAGAAGGGACTTGACAAGATTGTCACAGATGACCAGTCAGAGCTACCAAAGTCTCCCTGAAGGCGATACCGTCTTCAAACAGGCCTTCAAAAAGTACAAAAAACGGAGTGAGAAGTTGGATCTGGAGGATGTTGTTGATGTTAGAGTGTCAGACGCATCCAAAGGTCTTGTTTGTCGCCCAGTTCAATACAATAGGGATATTAATAACATAGGAATTGAGCTACGGTAAATTGAGTTTTATAATAAAGATTTTTTGATGGATGAAGCAGTTTTTTGATGGCATTGATCTTTTTATAACACTTTATGTAGATTTTTTATAATACTTTGGTCGGACTTTAAATTTCGAACCAAAAAATCAACTAACTATTAATTTTTACATCTTCAGTACTGTCTAGTACCATCATTTTATAAGCATGACGTTCTGTATTTCCTTTCGCATTAAAAATCTATTTTCAGCCCACTAAAAGAATGGTCAATATCAACATTCGACTCCCGACCAGGCCTCTTTATCCTAAGCAACATCATAACAGAAAAAGGGCAAGTCAATCTAGCATCGAAATGTCTACTACAATATGCTGAACCTCCGAATATAACCAATCTCACTGTTGATGGCTCATATAAAGAGGCGAATGTGTTTCGCAACATAGCCAACAAGTTGAGGTGGGTAACAATGGGGAATGATTATGATTGGACTCAGAAGGTATACGACGACAAACCACGAGATAAACTGCCAGATGAGATAGTAAAGTTTGCTGATTTGGTGTCCAATGTGTTGGGATTGGGCAGCGTGGCCGCTGATGCTGTTATCATGAACTTCTACCCGGCTAAAGCTACTTTGTCACCTCATGTGGATAGGTATGATGTTTAAAATTGCTTGTAGAGATAGTGTTGAAGCTAACTTAACATATATTTTCTGTTTTAGGGCTTACATCATGTTGTATACATTTTAAAATCAGTTTATGGTAACTAAAACCTTGTTTAAGATCCGAGAGAAGTATAGAAAAGCCATTGATATCGATAAGTTTGGGTCAATCAGCCATCTACCTAACTGGAGGCGAATCTTTGGACGATCCTGTAGATCCACTTCTGCTACATTCCGGGGACGTACTGGTTATGCATGGTAAACAACGTCTTGTCTACCACGCTGTACCCAGAATTCTGAAGTTGCGCACTTTTCCAAGATCAAAAGAAGTCGACCAAGATGTACTGGAATATTTGAACAACTGTAGGGTTAATGTTACGATACGACAGGTCGATTTCGTGGATGATGAAAAATGAGTTTCAGCATCTTTCCGGATTATTGATGATCATGCTAGCCCGTGTTTACTTGTTATGTTAGTTAATTTAGGTTTTTTATTGTTAATTTTTGTTCAATTCCTATGTTGCACTTGTTGTTTTACATTAGTAATAAACATTATTATAGATATATTAATATTATATCATAAAATGAAGTCAAATAACTGCCCTAACTTGTTTTACGTCCAGATATTTATTATTATTTTTCTCTTTTTTTGTTAATTTTTGTCTAATACGTTAAATACAATGAATATCATCAATCAATTTACTCTGACAACAATATGTCGTCGATTGAAGACTGTTTTCATTACAATATCGATTGATGTTATGCAATCAGACTAAACAACTGTTTCGTTTTCAAAATACAAGAGAAGGAACATATATAATATTATGATCGATTCAGATTCCCGGCCAAAGAAGGAATGGCATTGGGAGACCAGAAGCCAAGCAAAGGATGGCATCAGGAGACCATAAGCCACAGAAAGAATGGCATTGACAGACTCCATGCCAAGCTGACATCGGGAGACACATCAGATCGTCGTTATATATGTAGGTGTTTGTTTTGGATGACGAAAGAACGTAGTTGGCTGCCGGAAAATCCTCAGCACAAGGGGGGTTAGGAAAACATGCTTGCGACGTTATACTGGGTCGAGTCAGAAGTTGTTAGATGTTTTACAGTACTCTTTAGATGTTTTACTGTACTTTTTGGATGCTGTACAGTACTTTTGGATGTTTTACAGTACTATACAGTAAAAAAACTGACATCCAACAACTTCCAACAGACCCAATAGACAGTTTACGGACCTTGACAGACCGAACGTACAAAAATATTACGAGATTCTTAATCTACAGCTCGATTTACCATCAAACACTATAGAACTAACTTCGACTTCCTATACCTAACGTTGAGAGCTCCGAGTTCTGCGAATCTCGACTCTCGAGTGCGATGGGGATGCGCCGGTGCGGGAAAATATTCGGGGTGGTGCCCAATATATTCAAATTTTAAAACCTAAGGGGATGGTAGGGGTTTTAACCTAAGGGGTGGTTCAATATAAACCTAGGGGGATGGATCGGTTGGTTTGTACTCAAGATAACTGTATGCTATTATACCTGTAATCTTAGCGTAAGAATGCTAGTACGAGTCAATTTTTGTTGTCGTATAGCAGGATAACTGTCAAAAGCACTTTGACCCAAAGACTTAGTACTAACGCAGTATTAAGGACCTTCGTACTGACTCAGCCTTAAAGACAATCATACTGACTCAGTCTTCAGGACCATCATGCCTGACCTTATCACCTCAGTTATGACTCGAAGAATCTACTCTAACTTCTACTATATTTATGGGTTTTGTGTTTTTTTGACTATGTACACTTCTATCTACATGCACTTCGTTTACTACACTATTTACAACTAATAACCGAAAACACCCAGTTCAAAATACTCGCTTTTCAGGATTTAAGCCGACCGGTCGGGTCGATGCTATAATTACACGTGCAAAGAAAATGTAAATTTACAGGTTTTGAAATTAAAAAGTAAATTTACATGTCCAAAGAATAACCTTACTAAACACTATGTACAGTGGGGAACCGTAAGAGAGAGAAGCACCCTAATAATCGTGATTACCGTAATTCAAATGTGTGATGCGCTGTGTGGTCCCAAAGTTTTGAGAGCAACCGTATGTAAAATGGGATGCGCCTGCGGGTGAGGGGTGGTATGCCATGAAAATGACATAAGTGATTACAATACTCATAGAGATACTTGTAATCAGCCACCACAAGTTAGCTATGCTTTTTTAAGCCAGCTAGGCTATTCAAAAGCTGGCTAGGCCGTCCTAAGGTTGGCTATGCCATTTTAAGACTTCCAAGATCAACTTAAAGCTGGCTAGGCCATCCTAAAAACGGCTAGGCCATCTGAAGGCTGACTAAGCCAGCGAAAGTTAATCCAAGCCACCGCAGCCAGTTTGGCCATGAGAACTGCCAGAAAAGGCATAAAACAGCGCATTAGGCTAATATAGCGACCAGCTAGGCTAAACCCAGCCTGTTAGGCCATAAAACAGCCTGCCAAGCCAACGAAAGCTAGCCGGGCCTAAAAAGCCATCTGTACAACCGTTTTGGGATCATTAAATAAAATATGTACAAGACCCTAGACTACTCTAGGAAACCCTAAGGGCGTTTTGGTTAAGGGTGGACATTCAGACGGAATGCAAGCTTTTAAATCGGAGTTGAGGTACAAAGATTATTACATGTGTTGTCGTACCTATCTATCTCCTATCTCTCATTTCCACTGTAAATTTACCGTAAGAGCCCTTCCTTCAGAAAGAGATTTACTGTATTAAAGTATGTTTGAAATCAAATTTACTGTATTAAAGTTACTTTGAAATCAAACTACAGTACCATCTTTACCAGAACAACTAATGCCATCAAACGACAAAGCAAACGTTAGGCCGAAAGTGCCAAATTCCATAAACTTTTGATTTTCTACATCAAAAATCTGATGCCTTGAGGATGGTTTGAGGCGTCCTAATCCCACAGTGATACGACAACACATCCTCTGTTAAATAGAGACAACTATAACAAGAAACTCAACAAGAATGCGGGGCCGTGACATACCATCAGCGGCCATAAATATATAAATATACATCATGAGCCTACGAATCCGCTTGTTTTCGTGGGTTTGTAGCGAAGAAGGTACTTGAGAGAGAGAGCTTGGAATTTTGTTGTATAACATTAAGGTAGTTAATAGATACCTTAATATTAAGGATCTTGAAAGCTGCCTTAAGATTTCACAATTTAGAGGTACCATTGTCGTTACTTTGAGGTATTAGCTCAATGATACTACAATATTACCCCCAAACCACTATTTTCAATCCAAAATGTCTCAACTCGTACCCCCAAGTCTACCGTAGAGTGTGTGTGACAGTAGAACAATATCGTACTGACTGTGTGCTCATTATAACTGACAAAAGCCGAATTTAGAGTTCGAATCATTTAAATGATTAAGAATTAATTTACATAACAACAAAAAAGACCTGTACTAAAAGAGATGGTTCTACCTGAGACAACAATCGTCTATTAGATATAAATACAATATAGAGAAGAACCGTCGTGTGTGAATTACAAACCAACTGTACAATATATGAAAATATACAAAGTAAGCTACTGTACACAAAAATATTACATAAAGAAAAAACATAGTCCGGGCGCTGCCACCACAAACACGTTAGTTTTATTACACATTCACCTGCGCTTCGCGGTTGGTTTGGTGGAGGTGAAGATCGTGAGTGGACTCCTGTAAAAGAAATGGATATTAGTGTGGCATAAGGCAGCTTTTAGTAAATATTCGGCTTTAAATGATCTTATATTCAACATGTGTTACTATTACCAAGATCTACGATAATATAGAAGACAAGATCTACCTATGATAATATACAACCTCCTTAAAAACCTACTCGTCTGACCATAGCAGTTTGACAAGTCTCCAAGGCGGCATGAGAACCGCCTGGGCGGATGCTGGTCGGGAAGAGCTTCTTGCTCTTGGACTGACGAGCTTGTGGATTGCGTGCTGTTTGAACATGTTGTTGGTACCCGGGCGTTAGAGATCGTTGTTGGCGTAGACGTTCGGCGCGCAGCTGGCGGCCACGGTTGGCCGAGTCAATGTTCTCCGGCTTGGTGGACCAGTGGGCGGTGGAGAATTGGTTTGCTCTTTGGTTGGGGGAGTTGTTGTTGTTGGAAGCGGGTTGTTGCTGGCACCACTGGGGTACCATCGGCTCGACCGGGGCTGGGCACGGGGGATAGTATTGATTAAAGTAGGCCTGTCCGTCCTGTGGCATCAGCATTTGGGCGGATGGCGCGTACAACAACATGCCGTTCATGTTGATCACCGGGGGTGGAGGACCGTAGTTATTACCGTAGTTGTTGGAGAACATGGCGGGCGGGTAGACCGGGTAGTTGACATTGTAGACCGGTGGTTGGGGTTCGGGTTGGACCTGCTGAAAGGGCTTGTTCGGTTCGGGTGGGTGATTGACCGTTTCGTCCACCATTTCGATGGGTTTTTGTTCTGGAGGTGGAAGAACTTCGACTGGCACGTTTTCAGTGTTCTGAAAGTTATATTTATTATCAGCATAAAAAGCCATGAAAATTTACGACCTAAACATCAAAAAACCTTGACATTTAAAACACAAATTTCATTTTTAAACCCTTTCTATGCCCTTACCTCAAACTTCTGTTCCTCCTCTTCTTGTTCATCTACATTCTCGCTCAGAACCAACTCAGTTTCAGGAGAAGATCCCATGTCAGGACCGTTCTCCTCCAATCGAGCACTCAATCTGACAGCCGTGAGTCTGTTCATGACGTTGAAGTGCTCGTTCATCTGATGCACATCTCTGGCCGAATCGTTGCGGAACAGGTTGGTGGCGGTTTGAAGCGGAGTCTCTGGAGCTCCACCACAGACCCATTTGTGTCTGAGGACGTCGGTGGCGGTGTAGCGTTGACGAACGTTCTTCACCAACAGATGGGAGATGAGATCCTTGGCCTCGTCGGAGATGTTGGCCCAGTCCTCCTCGGGGAAGTCGAACTCGCCTTGTTGAATACGATGGAAGAGGTTCTCCTGACAGTCCGTGCACGGTCTGCCCTGATCCCAACCGCAGTTGTCGCGTTCGCATTCACCGTAGAAGGGAGTGTAGCCGCAAAGCATGATGTAGATGATCACACCCAGACTCCACATGTCGCAGCGTTTGTCGTATTTGAGGGCATCACCAACAAAGGTGTCCACGACTTCTGGAGCCATGAACTCGGCCGAACCGACTGGACTAGCCAAATCGGGTTCGGATTGGACGTTGTGAAGGGTGCGGGACTGTTTGCGGAGCTTGTGAATCGAAGGTTTGGAAGCCAGATCGAGATCGCACAACTTGACTGGACTGACTCGGTCAAAGTCCGTGCACAAGATGTTCTCTGGCTTCACGTCTCGGTGAGCGATGCCACGCTCGTGCAGGTGTTTCAGGGCGTTGGCAATGTCACGCGTGACCATGGAGGCTTCTTGTTCCGTGAAGCAGACCTTGCGTTGGATGTGATTCAGAAGCGGGCCGCCGCGCATCTTTTCAAAGATCATGTAGAAGTAGTCGTCGTCTTCGAACCACTGAAACAGAGGCATTACCATACTGTAAACTGACAAAAATGTTTTTAAAACGTCATAAGACTATTTGAACTTGTAGTGGCACTTTAAATTGAAATTACTTCGACCATTTGAACAATGTTCGGGTGATTGGCACACATCTTGAAGATGTCGACTTCTCGTAGGATTCTCGATCGGGTATGGCCTGGTTCGTGCTTGTCCACAACCTTCACAGCGTACTCTTTTCCAGTTTCAATACAAACCCCAGTTCTCACAGATGCATACGCACCGGATCCAAGATGATCATTGGCCAGGCGGTAGAAATCTATAAAATTTAAATTTTAGGTATAAAATTAGTCTTTTATTATAATTTTTAATCAATTTTTGTTTGATTTTCCATATTATTGATTATATTTTAGCTTTTAAGTAAGTAACTTCAATATAATGCTTGTAATTGAATACCTTTGAAAATGTCTCAAACAATAAAATTTAAGTTTTAGGTAACATAAAGTTAACCTTTCAATGCTCAATCCTAAAACAAGTTCAAAAACCCTATTTTATCGTGTTTTTTATTGCTTTTCCATTTAATTGCACCTTCCGATATTCAAATGTTGATGTTGTTATTGTGTGAATACCCGCTGGTATCCCACAGCGATCGACGACTGTGTTTTTGTTGCTTTTTGTATTTAAATTTCGTTTTCTATTGCTCACGCGACTTTTGTATTGGCCTTTCTTCCTATTCCTTCTCTCTTATTCTGCCTTATCTCTTTGCCTCCCTCTTCAGTCTGTACACTCTCTTCACTCCGCACACTCTCTCCGGACCAAAAGCCAAGTTTAAACAAAAAACTCTGAGAAACAGGACATTGATTCAAGACTTTGTCAGACAAACAAATTTCCTTTCTCCGCGAAGACTGAAGATCTCTGTGACAAAGGCCTCGGCGAGAGAGGGCGGGCAATGAGGAGAGTGGGCCCTCCATAAGCATTGTAGGGTTTGAAGAGAGTGGGCAGGGGGTGAAAGACGAATGGGTCGTGTGACTCGAGAAAGGCCGTATTACTGACCAAAACAAGAAAAAAAACTGCACTTTTCTCTCTCGTTCGAAGCCTGATGTTACCGTAATCCCTCGCATTTACAGCAAAACAAAAAATAAAAAACATTGGAGAGTAATAAAAGAATCAGATATGGCCTTGTTTTTTGTACGCTCACAATTACTGATTAATTAGCCTGTGTTTTCACGCAAATCAAACGGAATTGCGAGGTTTTAATCGGTTTTGGGGTAATTAAGGGTATTGAGTGGAGATAAAGAGTAAAATACGATCTGTATCGTACTGTATTCTAATTTTTATGCCATTTTTGAAGCTACAATAACATTCTCTACCATCTTTTCAATTTTGCTCTCCTTAGCATAATCAATATCAGACAAAAACCAACTTTAACTGATATTAACCATGATATTCAACCAAAAACTTAAGAAATTCCTTTTTTGTTACATTGCCTCAGTTTAAGTTACCGTAAATCCTGTTACAGTAATCCTGTTTACCATCGAAAAAGGTGGGCTAAGATGTTTTGCGGAGACGGAGGTTTCAAAAAGAGAGAACGTTCCTCCAACGTTCCTCAATTGTAAACACTCGAATCTTCTTTAAAAAGTACCATAGGAAAGGGAACAAAGCCGCGGTTTTGGACATGTTTTTGACAATCAAAGCGAACAATGCGACGTCATAATGTGCTGCATATATTCACGTTAACTGTGAGAAAACTTGAAATTTCAAAAAAAGCTAAATTTTTAAAAATTTGTAAAAAAAAACTAGTAGAAAATAGCCAAAACTTTACTTTTATTGCCTAATCTATGCTATGCCAAGCTCATTTTATTAATTTGTTACCCAAAAATACCCACAAAACCAAACAATCGACCAAAACACCTACCGGAGAATCGATTTCGACGTCGGCGGCGCTTCTGGGTCTTCAACACCGCGTTCTGGCCAATGCCCAATGGTCTCAACGGCACCAGTTGATGTTGTTCATCGGCGTCGTTGGCCGGCTTCGGCTCCTCTTCATCGTCGTCGTCTTCGATGAAGAAGGCGGCCACCGGCTTCCGTGCCATTAATTCTCGCTCTTCATCCAGCTCGAAGTCCAGCGTGGTTGGTGCACCTCCAATTACGGAATGGTCGTCGTCGTCGGAAAGGTCAGGCGATGAGAGTTCGCGACGCCCGGCGTCGTGACCCGACTCACTTTCCGTATCCGAATCCCCGACGATGAAGCGTTCCACTCGCGAGCGACGTTTGAGTTCGGTTTCAGATGTTCTAGAAATTGGATTGTGGTTAGGTGGGGTTGGGAAATCATGGAGAATTAAGAGAATCCATAAACAATGTAAAATAATACCAAAAAAAGTAAAATTTCCAAAATAATTTTTAGGTAACAAAAATGATAAAAAACGTGTTTTTAGACGCAAAAAACCTTTAAAAACCCATTAAATTTCAAAAAAAATCAATTTAAGAACCTATTCCACTTAAAATATTTCAAAATTACCTATAGTTGCCGTCCATGTTGATCTCGAATCGGGGCAACAAGCTCGTCGAGTCGTGGCGCTGAATTGGGGTGTAGGCGCTGATGTTCGAGGCGCACTGGGCCCTCACGTACAGCTGAACTTTAGTGGAACAGTGTGATGGTGAAGAAGGAGCAAGTCGTGACGATAGTAGTTGGCAGACTTTGGACGTCGAGATCTCGGTCGACGTCACTGCAAAGTCGCCTGAAGTGTCTGGTGATCGCGCGTCTAAAACGAGATAAGATCAGTAAAGTACGTGGATGTTTACACGAGGCAAGCTAACATAATGTTGATGATAAATTTTCGAAATTCAAAACAAGCTCGAGAGTCGGGGTTTAAAGGTTTCAAAAAGGAAAGATCGATAAGAGCATAAACAACCATGAATAACAATATTTTTTTAGATTTTAGATCAAACTGTTCTAGATAAACCATCCATATGCCTTGTAAAATGTCATTTACATCATATTTCACCATATCATCCCAAAAAAACTTCCTTCATCTACCCAAAATCAATGATAATATACAATAATAACATATTATGCATGCCCAACCCAAATATATGTCTACATAAGTTGATATTACAAATACTAACGTATTCCCGGAAAACAGAATATCCAATTTTGCGACTGTAAACGATGGAAGGGGGAGAAAGCGTCCGGTTACCCGGGTCTCGCGCGAAATGGCGAAATGACCGAAAAATCAATTCATCAGAAATTGTTATTACTCGTCTGGTTATAACACGTCTCACAGCGCGCACGTGCCCGATTGCTGCTGATAACCGTAATAATGTTGTTTCAGACAAAATACTGTACCTAATGAATGTAAAAGCTAATGGTATAACACGTGAAACAACTTTAAATCAATCATTTTGCCTCAACAGACCAGCTATACCTAAAACAACATAATTTGAGAGAAATTCGAACCCAAGCCCGTAACATAAACAGAACACTGTCCCAAATGTCAATGAAGCGTTTGTGCTACGATTTAATTTGGCTGCAGAACAAAATTTTGTAGAAATTTAATTAACACAACGCCAAGAATCATAATTTCCCGTCGGGACCTGTCATTTTGAATGTTGTGAAACAATATTGAAATACCCGAATTACTGCAAAAAAACCAAAGACAGACCTAAATTAGCTAGTTTTGACAGTGTAAACATTTTTTTAGTAAATTGAGCCAAAAGTTATCGGACTTTTTTGCACGGTGCGCATTAAAGATTGCACCGTGCAGTCGAAATAACAAAGTTTAAAAGTTTTAATAATGAGAAAGAAAATTCAAAAAAATTAATTGCTATGAGGATTATAAAGGACTAAGTAGGATTTTCACTAAAATTGAGTCAAAAAATCTCAGACAGTAGAGCTCAATGCACTTTAAAAATTCAAGGCTGCACAGTGCAGTAGAAGAATCTTGAAGTAGCCCATTACTGAAAAATAAGACCTAAAAACCCGGTTTTTATATTGAAAACCTGCAGACAACATTGTACCCAAAACCTGTAGACAAATACCTAGATCTAAGTTCAACTATCAATCAGTACAAATTTCCCTTCAAATAATGATCAAGTATAATATGTGCAGGTTGACTAGATGTGATTCTAATAGACATTACTGGTAAATTAAACACGGGAATATGTAGAGCGTATCCCGAATTGTGCTTTATTGCATAATAAAACTTCTCCATTGCAGGAATCGCATCTGTGTTTATGTGTTGTGAAATGTTGTTATAGGGGGAGAGATGGACACATGAGGGGTCAGAGATTAAAGACAATTTGTTTGAATGTAAAGTGGATATCAAAAAAGGATTCAAAATACTATTCTTAATTTAAACTTTACTAAAATTACTTTCAAAAACCCTCCACAATGTATTATACTGATATTACACGACCTTATAAAGCTAATACCTGCTATAATATGTCAGCCAAAAGCCTAAACCCCCTAAAAAACGAAATCCCATAAGCTGATAAACACAAGTCTTCAGAAGTACAAAGGTTACCAGCTGAGAATACTAAGTAGACCAGCTGGCCCCTTAACGATGGCTATGAAAACAGATTACAAAACAAAGTCAATAAACACCTTTGTCTACTTGGTAAACTTTAAAACGCACTAAAAATATGAAAACAAGCTTTACAATGATTAGGCTGACAAAAGAGTACAAGTCATTTTGGGGAAGTGGCTAGGAATGTAATCTTTTTCGTATCTGGAGGCATAAACATTGGTAGTCTATAAGGTTTTATTAGGTTGTTCAATTAATACTGTGCCTCTTAATCACAAAAAGTGCTTTAAGAGGGGTGCAGAATTACTTGAACAACCTAATAGATCGAATTAATTACTGTTTTTAAGCTGACAACGAAAGAGATATTTAAAAAGTTAATATCTATCGTAATATAGGTCTAATGAAACACTTGCCCCAGGCTTAAGAGTGACAGCCGGCACCAAAATTAAAAAAAAATCGAAAAGTTATAGGTATAATCTACCTTAATATAAAGAGAAAACGTACTAAAACCACCACAGTAACTATAAAAATAAAGAATATTACCCATGGTTCCAAAGCAAATAACCCAAATAAGGCCGAGTGACGCTGAGTGGAAGGAGAGGAAGAAGAGCTCGTGATTGGGCTCAAGTGGAAGGTCAGGTGAGGGCAAAAAGAGAGGCTTTTCCTCAGATTTATGGGCTAATGTTTGACCAAGAAGTATTACATTTGGGTGATGTAACACAACTTTGATTTGTCATTTGAGTACTGTATTGGAAAATTGGGTTACTTTATTTAAACAGTAGGTAATGTGTTAAGACATGCTTTTTTCTAAAAGTGAAAAAAGTCTTGTCGTCCTTGGCCGTTCAAAGCTGTGTAAATTGATGACAAGACTTTTGTAATGCTCTACTAAACCAAATCTTGCTATTCTTGTACTACTAAAAGCTTTTTGTAACTCTTTCTATGCCTATGACATTAATAATACCATACTAATGTAACTATGTCCAATTACTATAATGTAAATTAACCTAACTATCATAACAGCCGACCCAATGCAAACTAACACAATATAAGCCTAATGTAATTAGGTAACGCGTGACACAGACCCATTGTTATGACATACGGTAAAAAGGCATCAATCCCTGCAAAGTGCAACATCTGCCACAATTAACGCGTGACATCGCTGATCCAGGGCATCAAAGGCTGGTCGTAAAACATCAAGGTTACCCTCTTTGTCTCTGGACATACGACGGATAAATTGCTTGGTAAGCGGGTTTTGAAGAGCAAACATCACATTTTAGGTTTGAAATGAGGAATAAGGTACCTATCCTTCTATAAGATAGTAGTCCTATTGTACTATAAGGTAATATAAGGTAGTAGAATAGGTATTGAAGTTATAAGTGACATAGTAAAAGTCATGGTAAAGTTGGGTAACACATAATGTTAAAGGGAAAACATTGCTCAATGTTACGTGGCATCTAGTGGCTATATACTCAATATTCCAGTTATACAGTGAATAATACAGTTATATAGTGAATAGTATACCTAGTGGTACATATATTGCTGTTTGAATGCACTTTCAAAGTCTAAACCACGAACTGTCTAACTTGATAATGATATGTAAAGGCTTGTATACTATAATATAAACCAAAATAATGTACTTTTTACAAGATAAAAAGCGTTGTTACCACCAAAATGGTTAATATAATATTATAAGCTCTAAATCACCCCCTAAAACCGGTTTTGTCAACAGTTCTATAAACTTTTTGACCAATTTCTATAAACATTCAGACTAAAAAAACTAAATTTTATCGACTTTCAAACCAAAAAACGTATAATAATATCCAAAAAACACAAACCCATCGTACTTTCCCCAAACCCTGACCTACTATAATATAAAACAAAGCCCTGTACTTTCATCTCAGTGCAGATTACTTGCAACCCCAAATCGTAAACAATATGCAAATGCGGATCGAATTAGGGGCCCAAAAACAAGCTGCGAACGCCGCACATGTCACATTGCCCATCCACCGTTTCCCACAAATAAATATGCTCACAAGATCTCCGGCACAAGCAAGGGCTCTGTTAGGGGGGGGGGTAAGAGAGAGGAGAGGGCGGGGGGAAGAAAGAAATGACAGATGTGAAGGCAGAATAGAGAGGCGAGGGTGTGACAGATAAAAGGAATGTTAAAAGGGCAGGGGGAGAACAATATTAAGCATAGGAGAGGGTAGAGACAACTAAAAAGAAAAGAAACGGCTGATAAGAGAGTATAATATGTAAAGACAGTATGAGATACGTCAGAAAAAGATAGTAAAACCTAGAACTACATCTTAGAAACCCCAGAAGACAAAGATGATGATTATACAGAGCAGAGAAAGACAAAAGATCACATTGCCCAGAGAGAGCTAAGAAAAGAAGAGATCACATACAAAGAGACATTAGACGCAAAAGACAAAGAACAAAAGAGAGACTCCAGACACAAAACATTGTAAACAAGAAAGAGCCAGTAAAAAGAAAAGACTATATCCAACTGAGAGACAGAAGAAAGAGAGACTGTGCAGAAGAGAGAGACCCCCAGACACCCCTCCCTCTCCCCCTCCCCAGTCGGTGTTCGGTTTTTTTTCAGAAGAAGGAGGCAGGGTGGGGGTAATAAAAAAGTCGAAAAACACCAAAAAAGTCGTTTTTCTCTACAATTGGAGTGTTTCAAACAGAGTTTGTTCAGAACATATATGTTTACACATTGGCACCCCCAAAGTACGATGAAATTCGAAATTTTAATGGTTTGAGTGGTTGGGGTAGGTACATAATGTGGTAAATAGGAAGTTTGAAATAGTAAAAAGCATGTTATTAAAGACTTAATTTGATTTACAGTAAGTTATAAAGTATTACAGTGAGTTATGAGCATTATAAAGTTATTTTAAAATTTCAAAACAAGTAAAACCTACCTTAATATACACTTTTGCTACAACTCTCAAGACATTATAGTACAAAAGACGAAGAAATAACCACAAATTTAAGACAAAAAACTTGTTACAGTATTCAAAAATAGTATAACAAGTAAAATATTATCCCATAAATGATAACAACATTGCAATATCTCTCAACAAAGGTATCGTATGTTGCTAAATTGATGACAATTTCGAAACTAATGAGTTACTAATCCATTTCCCCAGAACTGCCACTTTAATATGCAAAAACTCAAAGCCCAAACCGTATTGGGTTTATAAATACACAGGATGTTGTTATAGGGTCTTATGGAGGCACAAGGTGTTATTATACGAGATTATACTGCAAAGATAAAGTTGTAATAAATTTAGTTTTTAGGTTTTTCAAATAATTCTGAGCCCTTTTTCATATCAACTTTTTCGGATTAAGAACACAAGATTATTTGAACAACCTATATAAACCATTGCAGAGTAATTAAGAGCTAATGAGTCCATATTTTGAGGTTTCTCAAAAGATAAAAGCTTTAGCTCGATATCTTAATTTACTCTGTAAATCCCTCTATCTATGCTGCATTTCCCTTACTCTCCATTTGTTCTACTGTCAATGTTCCTCCGTTTACTGCTGCGTCATAATCGAATTAAAGTAATTGAAACTACTATTGCCGCAATAAATTTGATCATATCGTAGAGGGGGGATTCAGTATAGGCTAAATATACTATAATAGTGTATATGCGCTAAATATACCACGATTGCCCATAAAAAGCTATATATAACCTTTAAACAGTATAAAACAATCTTTTTTTTCTACTGCCTATTAATTTGTTCAATTAATTCTGTGCTCTAACCCCAAAAATTTGCTTTGAAAAAGAGCTCAGAATGATGTGAACAAAAATTGCTGATTGTACTAGTCATGACTAAATAAAGACCATGATGCATATATAAATATACACAAATCTCCCCAAAGATCAGTAATATACATAACCAACTGTTACTGAACATGATTGTACTGTCAGAACAATATAAAGCAAACAATAAGTGATATATTGTAATCTCTCAACTGACACGTAATCTTGTGATAGATACTACAGATACAAACTAGCATGTACGGCCATATAAAAAAACTTATCTACAAGTAAACATGAATAAATTTCTAAAAATATGTACAAGATATCATGCACACTTAGTAAAAGACACCATACCCAGTAAAAAATAGATATACGTACAAAACAGCACGTACATAGCTAAACA